GGATTAGGTGAAAATGGGTCTTGAATGATCTGCAGGTGGATAAAATTGATCATTATCATCACTTTATGCTTCTCTCTCTGAATCATATCTTCTTTCCTCTTCTTGCCATTTCATTTTGCCTTATTTTCTGACATCTTTCTCCTCTTTGACTTTCCTGCTGTGCTGTCTTCTCTCTCTCATTACCTTGTTTTCCTGCATGACCAAATGTTAACCCCGAGTCAAGTAAAGAGGTAAGCATATATACACACACTCAAGCGCACGCAGCGAGCTGTAGCTGGGTTTCAACACTTTGCTGGGAGTTTGAAGAGGAAGGAAAAATGCAAGCTTGTGAGTGGGAGTGGGAGTGACTTGAGCAGTCAGGGTGAGAGAGGATGAGGATGGGCCCAGAGTCAGCTCCAGAGTCAGAGAGGAAAGCCCCTCCCACAGGAAACCAGCGCTCCACTCCACATGGCCTTTTAAGGTAAAAAACTCCCCAAAACTCTTCTCACCGGGGAATAGAGCAAAGATAAAGTCACATTCGAAGCTAGAGAGGGAGCAGAGGAACGCAGGCTGAGGGTTTGAGCATTTGGAAAGATTTTTATGAAAGGTTAAACCATGAGAAAATTCAAGTAGTTTTGATAGAGGACAAAACCTGGAAGGAGGAAAAGTCTCCCACAGCATTTCCCTTTCCTTACAGATGAATTATGCATTGTGAGTGCAGTCATTTCCATGCCGTGTGGTTGATTATAACTCACATTTTCATAACATTTCACTATCAGAGCATTCATGCCTGAGGGTGCACATTCGCCCTGGTCATGACTGTTTCTTTATGGTGAAGTCTGAGTCATAATTAGAGCAAAAGGGTGTGGGAAATAGACCCCATGTGTGTGTCCCACATGGGAAAATTAGCTGCAATTTTAATCAAATGTAAACAAAAGATGCATTCATGGGGTATGTTATTATGGAAAATAGTTAAGCGCTGTGAAAGGAACCACACAAGATCCCTACCTTCAGTTTTTGTCTCCACTAGTGTATGACAGCTAAACTATGTCCCTATTGAACAGTCTGAGGTTTCTGTATGTTCAAATGGGTGTGTGAGTGTGTGTGTGTCGTTGGCATGACTGTATTGTTGATTTATTTGCTTCTGCTGTCAGAGTCAGCATCGTTTTGAGATGTCATTATTACTACCATTCACGTGTGATGCCAAGGTGGTTTAACACCTGTTCTGTAACACACCCAACCCTCACGCTGATGTTTTGGTAGACGAAGGCAGGGATGACTTTTCATTAGGTGAGATGAGCTTTTAGCCATGAAAGACAAACATGTCGGAGTGGAAGGAAGGAGTGTAGTCCTTATGATATCTTGACAACTATGAAATTGATGTCATAGACCAGACATTTAAAGTTCACAAATGATAACTGTGCACCTTTTTGATCCCCTGAGCCTTTACATTTCAGGCACTTATGTTGGTTTAACACACATAGGTTTAAGGGGGTTATACTTATAATGTAGTTTTTACCATCTAGTTATTTTTAAGGGAGAATTATTTCCATTCTTTAATGCATAAATCTAATCCCTGTTGCTGGCCTGACAGGGCTGCCATGACACCATGTTAATTCTATCATTAGCTCCCCTTTTGCATTCACCATCAGCAAATACTGTTAATGGGCCTGTCTGTATGTGTGTGTTTGTGTATCTGCTTTGGAACCGCGCCATCTTGCCCTCTGTTATCTGGCTTAGCATTTGTCTCTTTGACTTTGCTCACAGAGGGTGTGTAAATAAGGATCCCTGTGGTTGAATGGGTGTAATGAGAGCCAGTTATTCAGATGGATATCATCTCATTACACCCATTCATGGGAGAGGGACTGACAAGGAGAAGGTAAAGAGAGGAGAGGAAACACAAGCCCCTGTTACACATGTACTTCTGAAAATGTGTACAAAGTTTTAGGACAGACTGCCCCTGAAATTTTCCAAAGTTGTTGTTCAAAAATGTCCTTTACAGTATGGAGTGTCCCCTGGGGTTAAAAGGCCACCCTGATAGTCACCATATGATGTTAATATAAGATCACATGTGAAGAGTGAAGCATAGTCAAATACTGTGATGACAGTAAAGCTGCTTTATGTGTAGATTAACACAGGGAGAGGTGGTTAAAACAGACGCAAATAGAGGCTCTTTTTTATGTTTTTCACAGAAAAAAAACACAACCGCGAGAAAGTGTGTAAGTGTGTGTGTGTGTGTGTGTGTGTGTGTGTGCGTGTGCGTGTGTGTGTGTGTGATCATAACAGCTGTTAAGTTGTGGCCAATAAAACACAAACAGCCTAAAGAGACTATAAAGCTTTGTAGCACTGAGGGGAACTGTAGAGTTGAATTGCTAATTATTCCCCTTTTGGTTTGTCACAAGCAATAACTTCCATGTCTCACACAGTTTTATATCCACTGTACAGAGAATTAAATTTATTAGTGCAATCTTTGAAAATGTGCTTAATTATATTTATTCCACCACAGGCGTAAATCTATTTCTGACAATCTGTTCATTGTCCTAATTACATGTTTTACTGATAAAAAAAAATTCATTCATCCCTGAATGGTGAGTATAGAAGAACATGACTGTATCACTGTAATGTAGTCATTTTGCTGGGGTTATTGTGGTGCCACACTAAAGAGTCCATGCAGGGTGACTGTGTGATGTTAATGTTGCTCTGCTGATAACTGCCGATAGCTGCCAGCAAAACTAAGTATGTGAACCATTACTGAGCCACACTGCATCTGCCCCCAAAGCCGCAAGAGGTCAAAGGTCTCTGAATGAGGGGTCTGCCTCTCGGTGTAGAAGTGAATCCAAAAAAGAGGCGGAGTCAAACAGATGTTTCAAATTCACATTTTGAGTCAACATCCTCATCCAGACTCTAGTTTCACTCTTGATCTCTCTTAGCTGAACTTCACTCAGCACCTCGGCCTCCTCAAACTTCTCTCTCCTCGCCAACCTCCTGTGCTTCTTCCACTGGCTGCTCAAGTCAAAGTGTAAAATCCTGGTTTGAAAGGAACTCCCTTCAAAATTGCAGACCAGCTTTGCACGGGTGCTAGCAAGCAGTTCCTCCTGGACACCAGCCTGACCCTGAATGTTAACTCTGTCCTGGTTTCTTCTCATGTTAGGACACAATGGTCACTCCCTGAAGGCTTGAGCAAAATTTATGCTTGTTTCCCTCGTCACTGCCCTATCAGCTTTCCGTGAAATGACACACCATGCAAACATATTTCTCCAAGACTAATTTTCGTTCTCATGTGCAAATTTTCACATACATAGTATCTCTATGTCACATACCAAAGTAACAGAGATATTGACAAATCAATCTCCTCATGATCTAACCCACTCTGGACAAATAAGCTAAACTAACTACACTTCTCAAATAAATAATCTCAAATCACATTCAGTTCCACATACGACGTGGTTGCAGGCACTGGTGATTACACCTGAGAGATGAGGGTGTAAAGTTAAGATCATCTCAGACTGTAACAAATTTTGTAAGTCTTGCCTTGTTTGCAAACTTTATGTACTTTGGCGATTTGTATTCCCTCCTCGTCTCTAAATCATCTGATGATTTTGGGACCTGTTTGATTTTGCTTTCTACCTCTAACACTTGTTCATCATGAGAAGCAAAGCAAGTGTGAGAAGCCCCCTCCTCTGGCCTGGATCAGTATTACAACTTTCAACAGTTCCAACTGCACGCTGCGTCTTCCTTTTCAACCTCTTGTTGCAATTCTTGAAAAGATACTGCTTGTTTAAGATTGCTCTACTGACAAACCAAAGAGAAACTTGAAAACCTGAAGCCTGATAACTGCCTTTGCCCTTACTTTTGAATTTTAACAACTGTACTATAGGCGTTTTTTTTTAATTTTTTTTATTTTAGTATCTGCCATTTAAAACACTCCTGCCTTTCCGAAGGTTTGAATCTGATGGCACACAATATACATACATTTTGTGTACATATTCATGCATGCATTTAAGGGTTGTCCAAGGTTTGGTACAATAGAGAGCCTTCAGTAAGACTGTTCCCCTTCAGTGGAACTATAGCACCTTGTGCCACCCAGTGGCATGAAGTAGAACTTCAAACAGACAGGCCCTGGCAGGTTGATGAGAGGGCTCTGTGAGGAAGACACCCAAGAAAATTATAGAAACAAGTATGTACTGATACAGAGACAAAATGCAAAGACCAAAAACTTTGTAGAACTGGCAAAATTGGCTTGTAACACCGTTTGTTTGTTAATAAAAAGATACACCATCTCATTATATTACATTTCCCTATGGGGATAAAATAAAGTTATTCTTTTTCTTATAATTGTGAGATTAAGGTTGTGAGTGTGATGTCTCTACAAGGGACAGACAGAAGAGCACGGACGCTGCTGGAAGGAATGAAAATGTGCTGTAGTCCAGCCAACAAGGCTGTCGCTCAGGTCTTGGAATGTGTCCTGGAACAGGGTCAACTTTACCGCGGTCAGCTTTGGTCATTTGGTCAACCTCCACTGACCTATCTGCAGATGTAAACTGTCTCCTTATGTGTCTTATGTTGTCTTAAATTAGGATAAAGAACAGATTTTGTAACATAATTTAAATTTAAGTTGGGGTAGGCAGGAATCCGTTTAAGAAGCATCTTTTTTTGTGGTGTATATGCAAAAAAGGTTTTAATATCAGTCAACAATTATTAGTTATTAATGACATTTGGTAATATAATGATATCGCTATGTTTTGTTATGTCAGTGTAGTAAACATTTTAACATGTTTTGAGCGGTCCGCTCTTTCTGACAGTAACCAAAGCCATTATCTGCCTCCCCCAACCTGATTGGTTGTGAGGCGGACGCTGCTCCCCTGTGTCGTTCACGAGCGCGAACACAGTTAGCGTGCTATAACATCGGACAGTAGAAACCAACCAGAAAGTACGGAAAATTGTCTGAATCCTCCTTTAGCCAGGACTGCCAACACAAGCAAGAAAACAAAGTAAATACCGGAGAATCTGGCGGAATAACCGGCGCTTAAAATGGAGGTAGACCACCTGGACAAGAGCCAAGAAGCCGGGTCAACTGAAGCTAGCATAAACATGGGGGACACTTCCGGATCTTCCGGACCCTGTAACCTTTCTACTGGACAGGTAAACCGCTTTAACAAAGTAAGCCAAGTGTCTGTTACAGAAGTGTTTCTTGTCAAACGGGACCTGCTGCGTGTTGTAGCGCCGCTAAACTGTTAGCCTCGGGTCCTGGAGTATGTCACTTTATCCTAGTTGTAGAAGTCCTGCAAACATCGTGTTTGCTGGTAGTCTGTTGTCATCTACAGAAGCACCAATGCTTTATGCTTTAACATTGACTTGGCCCCATTTGTAGTTATCTGAAGTATTTATCTGCATTATATCTGAATTATATAGAACGATACGAGCAAGGACGAGCGTCTGTTCGTGGGCGGGGCTTCCTGGCGCAGAGACGGAGGGGAGAGGAGGAGCTGAAGGGAAAACTGGTTTGGAGGGGGAGAGTTTACATTCAAGATTTGTCCCCAAAACTGGCACTTCCTCAGATCCTGCCTACCCCACCTTTAATATCATTTTTGTTGTAAAAGTATTTAGGAAATTGTCTTAAATGCTGGAAAAGTGAAGTAGTCTATTTGTAAAAAAGAGGCGTGTAAAAAAGGTATTCACCATTAGGGAATCAAACATGCAAACATGGTTCCTAAACTTGCTTCCAACAAGGAACACAGCCAATCGAGAGAATGAGATGGCATTTTGTAAATTTCAGTTTCTTCTTATTAAGGGGTGGGGTGTATCTATGCTATTCTGAGTATGGTGTTGATGAGATGATGGTTTATTGTGCTCAAAGACCCACCCCGATGAAAATCCTGTTTTTTTTTGTTGTCTTCATGTTCATATGGCATTTTTCTGATGCTAGAGGGCACATCAAAAGAAAGCTAAGTTCAAAATTAAATTTGTGAGTATTTCTGCATTCAAATCGTTGTGAACCTCTGGCAGACCAAAACGTCTGGCTCAGACACAGTGGGATTTCCTACATCACAACTCCAAGCTCCGCCCCCGGAGACCCACTATGCAGGCCAGACAAAGAGCGGTAGAGAGGACGATGGCGGAACAAGTGTGTGCAGTTGCGGATTGCTATGCTCGTAAGAAAGCTAATGATGATATTAGCTTTCATCGTGCCCCTAAAGACATCAGTGTCTGAGAGCTAAATAGCTTCTTTGTTACCTGCTACTTCTGCTGCAAAAGCAATGTTAGGCTACAAGCTAGTGTGAAGAGGAATGTGCAGAGCAGCACTGTCTCTGCCCACGACTCAGAGGCAAATAGCTAATGAGCAACTGGAGCTCTGCAGAAAAAGCCCCTTGAAAATGACACGGGTAATGTAATCTTGGTTAAAAACTTCATATTTACAAGACCACTGAGAACACTTTAAATAGTAAGTGAATTGTATTCCAGCATCTATTGTTTTCTGAGAAGATTACACCCTGAAACTGTTATAAAACCCAAAAGCCTCCCTGAGATGAAAAAAAAAAGTACACAAACTGGGTCAAAAATAAAAACAAGCTTATCCTGTTGTTAGTTTAAGAGTACAGACTAGTCCTCTTTATCTCTGTTGATTGTCCCTGCACTTGTCCTGTAATCTGTCCAAAAGACCTCTATGTTGACCTGCTCAGACTTTATGTTTTGGGGAGCAACTAACGTCATGACCTTCAGCCTGAGATGGCATGAGTTATGCAGGACTGGAGTTTAGGCTCTGCCTTTAAAGCTGCATTTTTGAGCCCTAAAAAAAAAGTTAGATGTTGAATGAATTTAGATGTTATTGTAATATTTGAGAGTCAAACAGAACATCTGCAAACAAAATTACAACACAGCAGAGCAAAATTACAACACAGCAGAGTCTCCCTGTCGTGTCTTTTCAGTTATCAGTTGACATAGTTTACCAATCTAGCTGAACTTTGCTGCTTATGTCATACTTATCTGAAAGTGAAATTGCTCGTAGTGAATCGAACTTTGACCGTCATTGATTGATCTTTCAAAATAATAATTTAGTTGTTTTCGATTCTTCACTTTCAAAAAACTTTCTCTAGGGGGAAGCATTGCATTGCAATTGGTCTGACTCTTAAACAATAACACTTAAAGCTGCCAGCCTGCAGTCTCCTCCTCAAGTGAGATATGTGAACTACTGGAGGTTTACTCATAACTCTTTTTTTATTGTTCTGCCTGTGATGAACAGTTATGCACTTGCAAAAAAAAAACTTGAGGCAAAGATGAAAGTGAAAAAATTATGCAATGCTAAAGAGCTATGATCATTTATATTCAATGCAATGGGTGTTAAACTGGCTCTTGCTGCTTGTAGTACCATGCTGAAAAAAATACAGTTGATCTTTTATTGTTAGAGTCAAAGCGAGGACATCAGAAACATTATTAAAGTGTCAGAGATGGATGACAGCTACCATTCAGCTTAGATCTTTGTCAACGCCTTGAGTACAATGTACTCATTATGAAGTATAACACAGACTGGATATTGTGTGGTGCTGGGGTGTGAACTGGGAAAGCTGGAGTCTTTTGTGAAGTGGGTCAGGTCCGTTAAGGGGTTAACAGTTTGCTATGTCAGCAAAATGTGATTTGATAATTCCCATAGCCCATGAACCCCCCAAGAACCAAAGAGACCTGTTGTGGGCCTGCAGTTGCTCTAATTATCCCATGATCCTTTGTCTGGCACTGAATACTAGACACTTATGGGGTCAGATTGTGTGTCATGTGTAGTGTTAGTTTGAATCAGCCTCATAGCTGAAAATCTATTAAAACGCTTCAATGAAGCAAGTAAGCAAGGAAGCCCGTGAAAGCTTTTTATACCACGAAACCCTGACGGAAGAATAAAACATGAATATTAAAAACAGAGTCTGTAAGTGGACCGGTTTCCAAAACTGACAAAAGCATTTACAATCACGCCTGAAAATATTGTTAATTTTTAATTAGCCTCGCTAATGGCACATGTCAGGATTTGCATTCACATAACGAGAACTAAAATTCAAGTGTTTGGCATCACAATAGTAGAGCTTTCACTTCTGAAAGCGCCGTCCCTGTCAACTTCCTGACATTGTCGTTTACAATTACAGGAGGTTACACAAGGGCACAAGGAGTAGTAAGAGTACTGCAGGTGTTCAGTGTTTGGATAATACTCTGAAGGTACAACTTCCTGGCTCTGTTGTCTCATGATAGGTCCATATGCGAAACCTCTTATCAGGGGAATGTTCAATAAAGTGTGTTAAAAGTTGTTCATTGTGACTCACACCTGAGAGATGAGGGTATAAAGTTACGCTTCCTTCAGTTGAGAGTTCAGTTTCAAATTTACAAGACTATGTGAGTGTGTGTGTGTGTGAGAGAGAGTGTGTGTGTGTGCGCGCGCTTGTGGGTGTGTGTAATCTGTGATGTCATTTCTTGGATCCGGGTGATCCCTTTCTGGCCAATCAGTGTGCAGCAGGAAGTTTGGGGGATGGTGGGGGGGTCGGTGAATGATTAAAGGATTGGGGAGTTGAAGCTCTGAACCGGGCTGCAGAGGATTGACCTGCCCTCAGTGCAAGTCAGCAGCAGTGTACTGTGTAGTCTGAAGAACTGTCTCCTGCTGCTTCAGTGTGACATCTATAGTTTTATACAGCCAAATGTGACCTAACCAAGACATCATAGAGACTTGAATAAGGAGGTTTTAGCATCATGCAATAACAGTCTGGTCAAATGCGTCACGATCAAAACTTCCCAAACTCTTCTAACTCCCTAACACCACCACAATGCACATGGCTGGAAAGCTTGGATGATAATACACAGAAACATCAAAAGGCAAAGGTTAGCTGTCGATGCTTCACTCACGGCTAGGATTTGTCGTAAGATTCAAATTTTGTATAATGAACATAAAGTGCTGTGAAAAGTATTTGCTCCCTTACAGATTTCTTCTGTTTGTACTTTTTGGCCACACTTGCAAGTTTCAGATCATCAAAATAATTTAAATATGATGATTTCACTTATTAAGGAAAAAAAGTTCTCCAAACCTAATAGCTGGTTGTGTCACCCTTGGCGGCAACAACTGCAATCAAGTGTTTAAGATAACTGGCAATGAGTCTTTCACATCACTGTGGAGGAATTTCATCCCACTGTTTGTTTTAATTCAGTCATATTGGAGGGTTTTTTGAGCATGGACATCCTGCTTAAGGTCATGCCACAGCATCTCAATCCAAGTTAAGTTTGGGCTTTGTTTAGGGGACTCCAAAACCTTAATTTTTTTTTGAGCCAGGTCCTGAAGCAGAAAACGAGGCCCCAGAAATTACACTTCCAACACCACATCAAAAAAAATATTTTCCCTCAAGTCTTGGGGACCATCAAGATGTTTTTTGGCAAATGTGAAATGGGCTTTGGTATTTTCTTAAGTCAGCAATAGTTTTTGCCTTGCCTATGGATGCCATTTCTGCCCTTAAGTGAGGCAAGTGAGCCCTGCCAGTCTTGGGAGGGTTCACCACTGTTCCAGGTTTTCTCCTTTTGTGGATAATGGCTCTCTCTTGGGTCCGCTTGAGTACCAAAGCCTTAGAAATGACTTTGAAACCCTTTCCAAACTGATAGATATCAATAACTTTGTTTCTCATCTGTTTTTGGTATCTTTAGATTTCTTTTTGTGAGATCCTTTAGTCCAGTGGTTCTCAAGTCCAGTCCTCGAGGCCCACTGTCCTGCATGTTTTGGATGTTTCCCTGCTCAACACACCTGATTCAAATGATCAGCTCGTTATCAAGCTCTGTAATGGCTTAATAACGAGCTAATCGTTTGAATCAGGTGTGTCACAGGTCACAGTTCATTCATTACTTTTTTTTTTTTCAGGTTGGTTTGGATAGCTTTTTTCCACTCAATAAATGAAGTCATCCTTTAAAAACTGCATTTTGTATTTACTCATGTTATCTTTGTTTGATATTCAAATTTGTTTGATGATCTGAAACATGTCAAGCAAAAAATGTAATGTAAATTTAAAAGGAAAAATATAAGAACTCTGTGAAGGGGCAAATACTAAGTCACAGAACTGTATGATAACGATGATTTCTGGTTTCACCATAATTTATTAGCAGGAAATAGTCCCAAACCATTAGCATCAATGATACTCCAATGTTTTAAGGGGATATTGAAAGAAAATACCTAGGACGCATTTTTGGTGCGTTTAAAACTCGAAATATGCATTTATTTCAAGGACAGCTGCAAAAGCTTGTACTGACAGTAAGACAAAAAGTGAAAGCCATTTCTGCTTGTTACAGTTTTTTTAGTTGTTTATGATGTTGAGGATTTTATAGGAGCAGTGATTCTGTTGGCAGATCATCAGCCTTAACTTGGTTCCAGCTCAAGTGACGTGATCTGAAACGTTTCACTGAGGCAGTGAACTTTTGCAGCCATAAACCTAACAAAAGAAATATTATTTTTATAATTCAATGCTGGCAATATTGTTACAAACTCAAGACTATTTATCAGCCCGGAAGGACAAGCATAAAGAGGAAGTTCTTATTTTTAGTCAGAAAACCTTTGTTTTAGGTCACCTTATTTTAGGGTCAAATGTCCTCCTTCCTCTCTGGGGGTGTTCTTCCTCAAATAACCAAAATGTTCTCACATAGTTGAGAATAAACCCAAGAATTACCCCTGAGTCATAGCTACAAATGATTGCTTCCTTCTCATATTTGGAACAATTTTAGCACCTCTCTGCCAGGCTAGAGTCAAAAATAAGACCGTGGGAGGCATGTTCCTGGTTGGTAAAGAAAGAAAAGTGATTAGAGTTTAAAATGAACAATGATGTGCTAATATGGGTTAAAGTAGAAATGGACAACTCTTCCGCCAGTAGCATTTCCTCTTTGGTATTATCAGTTAAAACCAGGATGCTCTCCTTTTTCCTCTCGTAATTACAAAAAGAAATAATAGACCCATAAAAAGCATGCATTTTATTTTCAATAGCTTAAGTGCCATGTAAAAAACATTAGTAAAAAACAACAGGAAATATCACACAGGAAGTTTTTGTGACTGACTTTCGTTCTAAAAACATGAACCATTCATTAAACTGTCTCCAACGCCATTGAGTGAACGTCCCTCTGAGATTAATTCCCCCTTTGCTGCTATTACTTCGCCATCTTTCGCTCTCTTGTCCTGCGAAGTTTACGCTGTTTTTCAGGTTGTTCCATTTTCCACCATTTCTGCTATCGTACCTTAAGCCTTCATTTTCCTATTGTTGTAGCTGCTGATAAAAAGAGTCGCAAACCATGTCTAACCATGTCATCACACAATCTAAATATCCTTCATATCAATATGTTACAGCAGAAGAAGTTGTCTTCTCTCTTACCACTTCAGGACCAGCCTGAAGACTGTGAGCTAATGTCTGTCAGTCAGTTTGAGGCCCCACTGAAGACTGGAGTATCTGAACTACTGACATGTAATTTGTCAGTCATTAACAACCCTTTAACTTCCTCATTATAGTGATTGAAATCTTGAATGATTTCATTTTAAAATCACACTCATAAGTATGCCCTCATTGGCAAATCTTCAGCCTTCATTGCTTCATTTCACTACTGCAGTTAATAATCTTCTCCAACTCTGTTTGAAAGTGCTGCTGCAACTCGTAATATGCTTCAAAACAAGTCTGAATATGCCCTTTCTAAGCGTTCATATATTCTCGCTCACTCTTGGCTTGAACTTCCAAACTGGTCTCATTCCTGTGTTGGAGGACCACAGGTACGAGGCTGTTGAGGGGAGAGGGAAGAAAACCCAAAAAGATGACAAAGCGAGACGAGTGTGAACGGACAAGAAAGAAAACAATGTAAGAGGCAGTAAATACAAACACACCAAAAAAGTAAGTAAGGAGGAGACCATGGGCGTGCAACACTACTGGCTGCTGCTGCTGTTGTTGGTCGACTGCCGGGAACAGATTACAGGTAGTGTGGCGGTGGAATATGCAGATAAGTGTGTGCATATGTGTGTGTTTGTGTGAGTGGGAGTGTGTAGGTGTGCTTGTTTGAATGAAAGGTACTTACTTACTACACACTGGGTAGGTATTTGTGGCTGTATGTTGTGTAGAAGTGTGTGTGTGTGTGTGTGTGTGTGTGTGTGTGTGTGTGTGTGTGTGTGTGTGTGTGTGTGTGTCTTTGTGTGTGTGTGTGTGTCTTTGTGTGTGTGTGTGTCTTTGTGTGTGAGTCTGCGGTGCATGTGTACAAATATGCAGCTTGTGTTTGCTGTGGTGGACTGGCCTCATTTGGCCTGAAACATGTCTTGACCTGTCCTGTTAGGAATGTTGCAAATAGAAGCCCACATGCAATCTCAGCAAGGAAAACACTGAAATGATTTAGCTGTGATTAATGAGGTACACTCATTTATTTAACATTTGGGAAGTGTGTATCAGCAAGGAGAGGCAGCGGTAAGTATGTAACAACACCTTGTACAGGACAGCACAAGCCTCTCCATGAGCTTTCTCTGATTTTCCCCTACTTTCACAATCATATTACTCATAAAGTATGAAGCCACATATACCGTGGTATGGCAAAGGCAAGACTGTATAATAATAGACTGCAGGCTGGTTGTGCAATCTAAGCATCAGTTGCCCAAACTCATTCGTTCTGCTTTATTCAAACCTTGAGGAGTCATTTAAAGCATGCTCTCATTTTCAGTGATATTAAAGGATAACAAAACAATCAACAAATTTAAAAACCCATGAGGTCAGGATCTCTTTTACATAAATATGCACAAACAGAATAAAACAAAGAGCAACATACTTTAAAACTGATTCATACATTAGTGAGAGGTTTGTTCCTGAAGTTTTAGATTTGACCCAAGGGCACAAATTTGTGTTTTAATGTAGGGTGCATTATAGTTTCTAAAAGCAGCTAGTGTATGCTTGTGAGACTTCAAACACTTCACAGCTTTTTGGACATGTTGAGTTGTAACTTTAAAACTGCATTAATAATAAAGTTATGTATAGTGGTATGTTCCAGCACCAAAAAGTGCAACTAAGGCACTTTAACTAGTTAATTCAGAAATACAATACTTTTTAAAAGCTTTTATTTTGCTTATTAAATGGGATTCAGTCACAGTTCTGTCATTGAAACAGATCAGTCTACATTCCCACTGAGCAATAGACGGCTATTAGACATCTAGTTTTTTTCAGACCTAATTTCAACCGTCTAGATTTTGTATATTTTTAGACGGTATTTAGACATTGAACTTTAACTCATTATTCGATAACAATTTATTTCAAAAAGCAACTGTGAGTTGCATAACTGATCTCCAATTACTTAATAAAAATAATTATAATCGCCATTGAGCAATATACAGTGTAGTATAGATATAGCCCAGATTTAGACTTGGTCTAAACTTGGTCTAAATTTAGACATTTAAAAAACTTTCATTTTTAGACCTGTGGTAGCCTGATCTTAGACCAGTCGTCCAGGTCTGATGATTAACTGACTTCTGAAAGATGTTGAAAATAAGAAATGAACGTAAACATCTTTGCCCTGTGAAGTGACCAGTATGTCTTTCTTTTTGCCAGGGGCTGTAAGTAGCATCAGTCCGTACATAAAGTATTATGAGGGCTTATCATACGACAGACAGGATCTGCACAGGAAGCATCTGAGAGCCAGGAGAGCCACACAACATCAGGAAAACACACTGAAATTGGACTTTACTGCTTTTCACAGGTAACTTTACAGCGGCAATTGTTTCAAACTTTTTTTATAACACACTCTACATGAGTTGACTAAAGTTCAGTATTCTTTTGTTTGAACACAACAACTAGTAACACATGGTAACTATTTCTTCTCCATAATTGCCTTGTGTTGATTGATCGTCATACCTTCCAGTACATTACAAAGCCCTGACCACATCTGTGAGCTGTTTGTCTTGTCTGTTTTCTACAGAACTTTTCGCCTGCGTTTGAAACGCAACGCAGAAGTGTTTTCTGAAAATTTCCGACTGGTCCTTGAAAATGGTCCCACGTCAGCAGACCTCTCACATATTTATTCAGGAACTCTAGAGGGTGGGTAACATCTTGATTTCTGGTCCATCAGAGCTGAGGGAGACTTTACTTTGATCAAAGCTTTTACATACTTGTGTTTTGGATGAAATATCTGGAAAAATCGAATAAACAACTGTTAGTGTTGATCAAAGTCCTGATTGTGAAAAATCGGAGGTCAGAAGTCAGTGCATTGATATTCATCAGCTCTTGAATCTCTCTCACTCTCTCAAACACTGCTCATCTTTAGGTTGCCTTGTTATCTACAATATCTGTCTGTCTGTTTCTTGGTTATCTCTTATCTGTGTTCATGTTAACCTTTCAGACGCAGACATGTAATCTCTCTCGACTCTGTCTTTCAGGTGAACATGGCTCAGCCTGCCATGGCTCTGTGATACAGGGTCTGTTTGAGGGAACAATCCACACAGACAACGGGACTTTTAATGTAGAGCCAGTACATAGATACAACAGCAACCAGACAGATCACCACTCAATAATCTACCATGAGGATGACATGGGTAAGAAAATCATTTCTAAACTTATATTCAAGTATCCCTGACACTCACAAAGTGTTTGTGCATTTGCTGCCTGGACGTCTCCATCTGCAACTTCAGCTGCTTTTAATGGAAGTTTGATGATAATGGCAAGAGCACAAGAAGGCATTCCTCACTACATTTGAGGTCCCAAAACAGTTGATTCATGACCCTCTTGGAAGTATCACAGAAAGATAAATGACCCGAGTAGAAAAAAGCTTTTCCTGCTGCTCTGTTTCAACGCAGCGTAGCTCCAAGCTTGATTATGAAATAAGGTAACAAGAAGTCTGCGAACTATCTGTGAACTGTCTTGAAAACGGTAAATTGAACATTAAAAAAACTACTTCGACTCTGAAACCAGCCAGGCCAAAGGATTCATAAACTGAGGATGGTGGGATTTGTGAAGAGGAGTAAGGGTGGCAGCTTAAGTGGAGAGGGAAGAGAAAAGCGAAAGAAAAAAGAAAGAGAAAGTCTCTCCAACCGCTTTTGGTTTCTCGTTGATTACATCAGCCTTTGATTTGGTCAGATTGCTGTCATTGTGTTATGCGCTGTACTTATTGTCATGAATGAGCATGTGTATTTCTCTGCGAGGTTCCTTGGCGCCTCGTGCACATCATCATCGGTGCGAGATTTTCTGAGAAAGCATATTTCTGGCACAGGATTGCACAACAACCTCCCCAGTGTTCGTAAATGTTCTTAAGTCAACACTGACTCCATGGCTGCCTTCCTCTTTAACTTCTTTTACAACTGGGGCCACATTTACTTTAGATAGTGCAGCAGTCGACAACATCCTGGTCTCTCATTCATTGATCCGTATCTACAGGAAACTTTAAAAGATTTAGTACATGATATTTTCATAAACAATTAATGCTTTCCATGAACATGACAAATAAGGACGGGAGGGGGGTGACATAATGGTGTGCTCTTGTGTGTGTTTACACATCCTGTGGTTGTTGTCTGGGGGCAACAAAGGTCCCCTTGGGATGTTGGACGAAGGATGTCATACAGTCCCTAAAATATAGGACACAGGGCACAGGCCATGACGACAGTTGTTTAACAAAGCCATCAAAATACCTGATCTGCTAGAAAGCCAAACACTAACATCAAAGTTTGATGTAAAAATGTATTTTTACAAAAGTGATTATTGATGAATGCTTAAAGTGTACTCATGAATGAATGACCAAAGTGAGATTTGTCCACGTATCTTCCTGTCGAAGTCCCTTCTTTCCGCTGTTGTCAAATGTTGCAGAGTGCCTCAAAACAATAGAGTTAGCCGTGTATCTGTAAATCTAAGTATAAAGGTCAAGCTTTTATTTGCACTATATGTAAAATTTTATGAGTTGGCTTTTGTTGTAGTATATAACTAAAATGAATTTAATTGATAAATGTTTTCAGACAGTCGTTACATAGAAACTCAGGGGTTCAAAGGAGCACCTAACAACCAGGGTAGGAAAGATTGAAAAATGAATAATGACAAAATTAACAGAGTCTTCAAATAGTTTTACTTTTAAAAAAATCTCCATCTCTTCATTTGTATTGTAAAAGAACAAAATATGAGAGGCTACATTTTTGAAGCCTTATTCAAACACATATGCATTTTAAACTTGGTACTATTTAAGACAATATTTCAGCATTTTCACTTTTTTTTCAGGCTGTCACTTGGATAAAACTTAGATGCACCCTACCTATAAATTCAGTAGTTGTCAAACCTGAAGACAAGAGGCATCCTGATCAGTACAAGAGAAGACTCTCTTACTGTCGTATCAGGGTATTTTTTTATAAAATCAAACATGAATGCAAGAGGAGGTGATTTTCCCGACAGTCAAGGCATTATGAAAACTGAAAAGCATCTTCAGCTGTTTTGGGTTTTCATTATAAGGGAGAATGGGCTAAATGCAGATCATCCTGTACACCAAGACTGTTTGAGCTTTGTGGGAAACACCATGACATAAGTGATAAGTAAGAGCTTTAATCCCTGCATTGACATTTCTGGGGCCGTGGACAGATTCATGTCAGCGCGGGAAAAGGTTAATGACTCACAGGAGCGTTTTTTTGTTGCACTCAGTGCAGAGCTAACCTATGTTGCTCTCGAAGGCACTTCAACTGACCATAGAGGCATCAGGGACAACTAAACTGGCGCTCAGCTTTACCAAAAGGTCTTTAGGGTTGATGACATGAATGCAAAATCAAATGGTCTCATTGCAGGATAAATCCACCTTGTTTTTTCAAGTGCTTTTAAAAACTCAAGAGGTAGATTACCTCTCTGCTTGCCCCCGAGACACCACACCAGTTTTCTACATTTTTCTGTCCTGCAGCTGCAGGAGTGTGAGTCTTGACTGAAATGCAGCTCTGATTTTCTCATTTGGGAAATTATTCTTAAACTCACAGTCTGACAGTTTTAAGTTGATTTGCAACGTAGATCCCATTTCTTTGCTTTTTCTTTTGGCAAATCAATGAGAAGTAAAAACAAACTTTAGCAACTTTGGCAGCACACGACTGAAACAACTTTCTGCTTCAGAGTAATGACGAGGAGAAGACAGAAACAAAAGATGAAGACAAAAAGAGAGTTTGAGCATGTAAAAAATGGTCTGGAAACAATCCCATCAGTGGGTAGAGGCCCGGCATTAGGCCTCCACGTCAAACCCAGACCCTCACAGCCCACCCCCACTCAGGCCTTGTATAGAAAGAATCACAGGTTTGTGATTGGCTGGAGGACTTTCGTTGGATGGTGTGATCCAATCATGTTGTCTTTCTCTCACTGAGGCCCAAACCTGATCCAGGGAGATGTAGGCTACTGGGGCAGAGTGATTCACATGCACGTATATGCACACACACATACACATATGGATTTAATCTGCATCACTCTTTGAAGCTGGTACACCAAGGGTTAAAACATTACCTAATTCTGTCACTACTGCAGCACTAAAAATGTCATGTGAAAGTGATTACTGCAGCATGTGACTTCACTGTAACCTAAGGAATTCAAATCCATTTTTGTCAACATCAATAAAGTCAGGAAAGTCTTTTTTTGGGTCTGTACATCAGAAATCAGCTGTAACCATAAACATGTTGTTTTGATTATTTTACACTCATCTAAAACATGTGGCACTTTACATTACATTACATTTTCCAGTGCTGATCCACAGCCATCGACCATACACACCATTTACTCTGTTGCGAGGGAATCCCCTCTGACTCCCTGGATTTCTTTGTGAAATCCCCCTTGTGCCAGTGAACTAAGATGGACCAATTAGTGCAAATGCAACCCTTCCCCTCATTCGTCACCGCCATTATCGCATTAATCAAGAGAAGGCAGGCATCCTAAAGGCGTTGCATTAAACACACAATGACACCGCTTTCCTAAGACTGTCTCATGTCCCAAGTCAAGGCTACAGCTCTGATTTCCAAATACAGGACCTCTATTTTTAAAGTGTCCAAGAATGTGCTGCCCAGGTCAGCTGGTCAACGTGCTGAAACTTCCAGTTGATTTCTGCCTGGTTTTTCAGACGAGTTTGAATAATTTTGTTAAAGAAACACTTAAACCTTTTATAATGTTGATAATGGGTTTGGCAGATGAGTAGAGGGCATTTTGTATTACTACATGCAAACAATATCAGAGAGAGGAGAACAGACTGCAGATGACGTGAACCGGTTTGATACGCCTGAATTCATTTTTGCACACACTATTTTGGCGTACACTTTTAGAGTGGGTTTAGAGCACTGATTAATGAATGATACCCCTGGTCTTCAATCTGAAAATGACTTTTTCCAGTGTATCCAACATTTGTGACACATAACTACCTGTGACTTATAAAGGGGGAGTTGCAGTGTGAATAATATGAAACAGAGTTATATCACTTTTGTGTTAATATGTGCCTTTGTTTGTTTGTTTTGTGTGTAGTCTTGCCATCTATGACACCTAAGCACAGAGGATTCTGCGGTGCTGATCATTTAAATAACCTCACCCAAGGCCTCGGACTCAATGAGGTAGGACAGTCCAGACATCACCTTAAGTAGCTGAACACACTGAAACACAAACACTCTTTGCTTTACTTTCTGAATATGTGCACCCTTGAATTGTCCTCCTCTGTAATCCCATTTATAGACAATAAATTACAAACTAAAAAACATTTTTGAGAATTAAAGAAAGAATTAAAGAGAATTGAAAGAAATTCTATGAGCTGCTGTTCATGCAGTGAGTAAAGAGAGCAAACAGGATTTACCTGTGTAAAACACTGAAAGTACAGCAATATATGGCGACCTGAGAAAGCTGAAATATTTCCCCTTACAAATCCCTACACAGAGAGGGGTATAATAGCCTAAACATCTGCCCAAACTATTACGCTGATCCCCCCCTCTGGATTCCCGGTTTATTGTTAACTTAGGAGGCTGGGTGGTGGTCCCACTGGTCATTGTCAACAATGGATGTCTGGAGATTGGTATGGATCCATTTTTAACAACATACCTGCAGGTGGAGATAATTTCCACCGTGTGATCCTCAAATGGTCTGAACAGATGTTCCAATGGAGCCATGTTGGGTTCCTGCATTTATACACCCCCTTCCCTTTTGGGACAAACCATACCCCTATTATGTACCAGGTTGAACTGACAATATGTTTTCATTTCATGTTCATATCGGGCATTTATTTACTTTTGCTGTGGGTAGACTCATGTGTATATTGGTGATTAAGAAGGATGTTTGATGAGCCAAAATTTGTCTCAATTTGTGTTACCTTAAAAACCTTTAAAAGTTGAATTATTTCTCTTTTTTTTAATGTTTCTGTTATGCCATCCACAGGACGCTCCAGTGAGCCGGTCAAGGAGGACAATAGATGAATCTAAGACCACTTGCCTCCTCCATTTCCATGCTGACCACCGCTACTACAAAAAGTTCAAGTCTGTTGAAGCTGTGATAGCTCAGGTGAGCAGTTCTGTTGTTTGAACCCAGTTAGCCTGGTGTCACTCTGAAAATGTATTGTACTAAATATGTGATTCAGATCGTAAGGGTGACTCTTCTTTTTCCATAATAGCATCTGTAACGCACATTAAATGTTCTTGTGAATAGTCAAACGGTAAGAACCCCCTAAAAAGCCCCACATATGAAACATGTATGCAAGCTGAAGCCAAAAATATAAAGATTTTTAAAGATCTGGTCATTGCCCAATTTATCTGTACACAGGGAGAAGGCTCGAGCTGGGGTGTAAATCCAGTTCAGTGACGTGTTCAGATGTCTGATTCCTGAGCTGCCCTGTTTCTGAGGCCTCAGAGAACACAATGTTCATCTGCGTTTATGCAGTGATGAAACATCCTTCAGAAGAAACAAAACACAACAGAGATCGTCAGCTGTCGGCTGACCTGAGTGTGTCATGCGTACAACACCCTAAAGTCCACTGCCCTGGATTTTGAGTTTGCAGTCAAAGTTTACCTTATGTAATTCTCATTTCTAAATGTTATTGAATAGCTTCTAAAAAGCCACCTCTACAACAACGCTCTGACGAAGTACAAATGGGTTATACATACATTCATAACAGATACCTGGAAAAGTACAAGAAGTGGATGTAATAAAACACAGACCATTAGTTTAGCATCGTGTTCATAGTTTTGAAATAACAAGGGAAGATAGTCTCATGTAATGTTGTTTGCTCTGAGCTAATGTAAAAGGAGAGCATTTGAAGACGGTAGGACTAACTCAGACAATTTGAACTGAATGTTCAGCATTGTGCTCCAATGGCAGCAATATGTGGGTTGAAGGTCAAGTTGATATCAATTGAGCCATGCTCACACGGTCTCCATAAATGGTTTTAACAGCATAATAAGGAGATTTTGACCAACTGACCAACCAAAAATTGCTGGACTTATGCGAAAGATGCTGTCAGTGATATCACATTTATAAGTCATCTCTAATATAAGAAGAATTTCAAGCCAAGGCGGGTTTTCTCAATACAATTAAGATTAGCTGATAATGATCTTCTCCTGAGTGGAATAAACAGACTATAAAACAATAGAAACAACTGGTGTAGTCCATTATTTACCACTGATCTATTTAATGAAAAAGGACAAAGTGTTGCTGCTCTGAGGCTACATTTAGGGCCACGGGCTTGCACACGATGTTAGTGAGGTGAACATTTAGAAACTTCTGGCTCAATGTAAACATAGTGGCACATGGATCCCAAACGTAGGCCACATAAGTCCTGTCCCTTCATACCTTGCGCAGAGCCATCATGGTCAAACAAGGAGGACCAGTCACTTCCTTTTCTCCCCCTCAGCTGCACTATGTACCTTCACTTCAAAGTATTAATCCTACATGAGGTGTTTCAAGGACAAGCTGCACATGGAGTTGTAGTGGTGAAGGGCACTTTAAGTCAACATGACAATTGAGTTCATGGTATTAATATTGGACCACTCTGTTCAATGAGTTGTATGAACTCTTAAGTAGCTGTTCACAATAAAAATGTAAAACATTTTTAACCTCATCTTCTGCACACTTGACCTCTGACCTTCATAGAGCAGCAATATTTTTGAGTCAGCTTTCTGCTGAACACAGGGGGCTGAGAAGTTTGAAGGAAATTCTTCTTCAGCTCAAATAGTAAAGTTGATGAAAAATATACATGTATTTTTCTTGTTAAAGCTGATTGTGGTTGAAAGGGGGACTGACCTGCCCTGGATTCAGATTTATTTCAGTTTGGGGTTAACAGCTGGGTACAAGGTAACAGTGATTTTAGAAAGCCTGCGATCAAATGTTTCTCTATCTGAAGAAAGTGCTCTTCATAGGGGTCTGAATCATGTGAGATGCTCTGCTCATATTGTGTTTCGTGGCATGCTGACTTGAGGATCTTGTGGCCGAACTTTTACTGCAGTTATTTCGCAGTTGAGTCTAAATTAGAAACAATAAACATTATTTTTACAGTTAATAATAACATAAGACAACTGGGCTCTGGCTTATCCCAAATCAGTTTGAAGTTTCTCCTTTATTTGTTGTCTTTTCATCCTGCCTGTCATGCCTTTGTTTAATTGGATCTCTTTGTAGTCAAAACGAGGTCAGTTAATCACTACAATCGTCTCTCCTTAGCTGCTTTTTTTGGCTAGTCTGGCCTAACTCCTGCTGTCTGCCCCTCCATCACCTCATCTGACCCTCCTCAGATTCTTTCCAGCTTAAACAAATGTACTTGTTCCTGGGTCAGTGCCAAGCCTTTGTTGAACCATGTGAGAAAGTTCACTGGAAGTCAAGCGACGGTGGGCTGTGATCGTTAAGTGTAAATAGAAGAAATGCTGTCATCACTCAATGTTGACCTGGTTCCACTGTCCCCTCCGTCAAAGGTGTCAATATTTACATTCATAAATATTCCCAGCCCACTTCACCGTATGCTTCTCTCCTGTTGTGTAGGCTTTCACATGTGACTGGTCAGCACGTGCAGCTCTGATTGTGTGACTGGCTGTGCCACCCACAGCGAAAAGACCCTGAGAATAACCTGGAATGACTTCACATGCTAAGATTATGTATCACAATCCAAACTGGGTTGAGGATGTTAGTGCTTCTATTGTTTATTTGTATTGTTGTGTTTGTATATGCATCTTTTATCCAATAGGTGGGGCAGTTCTGCTAGAGTCAAATGTTTTAGCTGCTTTGAAATACTGTTTTGTGCTTGTCAAAACCCTCTACCAGTATTTCATTGTTTTCTGGAGCCGACCCCTTTATGGTGGCCCTGAGCGCTCAATGCACTGCAACTTTAATCTTTCTGCTCAGCAGATACTACTCTTGTTCTTAGCATTATTGCCCACAAGAGTTTTAATACACATATTGAGTTATATGATTGTGTGAAAAATAAATAATTTATTTGTGAATCTGGAAATACAGAAAATCTGTTAACGCAGACAGCACAACCAAATGCACAGATGAACCACGGGGGCAGCAACTTCTGTATCTGTGAATGTTTGTCAGCTTTTAGTGCTCCTTTTTAGACTTTGTTTTGCAAATTTGAGATACATGCTACTCAGCATAGCTTCATAGTTTGCAAACAAGTTGGAATAGGTAGGATTTTTTAATGTAGCCATGCTTATGTTACATAGTTACATACAGGAATTTTTTTTTATGGAATGGATTTTAGCGATTAGTGCTGTAATGATTCAAATTTCCCTGCTGTGGAAATAATAAGTTATTTTCTACACTTTAATGGTAGTTGTTAAAAGTAGATTGTGAATACAGAGTGGGTAAATGCTAATAATCTGTGTGTGTACTTATCCCCTGGCCATCCCAATCCGTGTCAGTGGTCAACTTGTTCCACTTAAGTCATTAAGTCTGGACATGTCCCTGCACAGCAGCACACTAGAGACAGTGAGATCTGAGCTCTGTCAGGCTGTCAAGTTTGCAGCTGCAGGGAGAAAAAAAAATATCTACGGATTTTTAACTAACAAAAGGAAACTTGTCCAAACTTCAAACTCTGTCCCAGAGAGATGGAAAAAAGTGGACGGGAAAGAACCAACAGTCAGCCAAGGTGTAATATGCACATGTAAAATCACACCAAGCGTTTACAGGACCTGTCAGCATTGGTCCTCAATGTGTTGATCAGGATGAAGTTTAAAAGAAATTTACGGGGAGGACTCCGCTCTCTAGATATAAAAGTAAATGCAGGAAAAAGTAATGAAAACCTTGTATCTTTTTCTTTGACTCACAGATGTTTATGGTATGACATGAGCAGTATAAAAACACATAAAATCCTACCCTGAAAGGTTAATACAGCCCTACATATCCAGAAACACTGATGAATGATTGTGTGAACAGCAGTCTCCTTTTTTGCTCTCCATGTCAATGTCTCTTTGTCCACAATCATATAAATGACAGAAGTAATCACTTTCAGAATTTAAACTTAATTTGTTGGCGTAGTGTTTTGGTTTTGTTGCTGGTAAAGGTTGGTCATTAGGTTTGTAAGGCTAACGCCTCTGTTCACAGTGTGCAAAATACAGTGTACTGTATGGTCTGGATTTAATTAAAGGCTCAAGGCGTGTAATGTGCATTGAGGATCTTTTTTATCACCCATAACTCAAGTTGTTAGAGTAGTTCTTTCATCCCTAGTTACATGTTTCCTCCTCTTGGGGCCAACAGAACTTCCCAGGACTTCCTTTCAGAGTTCAGAGACAGATCATGTACTTGACGGTTTCCTCACATTAATTTTTGTTCTTGTCAGATCGCCACCTACATGCGAGCTGTGAATGACATCTTCGACAAAGTGGACTTTGATGGCATCAAGTTGATCAACTTCCAAGTGAAATCCCTCAAAGTAAGATACAACAGTGACAGGATTGAACAGTAGGAAGATGCTCTAATGTGAATGCAGGTTTATGAAAAGTCATCACAATGAATAGTCCAAGTTTTCTCACATTATTCTGATTCGATGAGCATGTCATGACCCCCTCTTGTAATTGACAGGAAAGCTTAAGGAAGAGCTTCGAAATGAGATAATTGGGTTAATGCATGACTCTCAGGCCACTGCACTGCATTTACCTATCTCCCTCTCCAGGTGATGACAGATGAGGACAAGAAGGATCCCCTGAATCCGCTGTACATCGGACCCGAGAAACTCTTGACTCTGTTCTCTGAGAACAACTGGGGGGACTTCTGCCTATCCTACCTGCTCACTAACAGAGACTACAGTGGGACGCTTGGGCTCGCCTTTCAGGGGAAGCCCGGTGAGTCAGACTCGCCCTCACATGTGCACCCGAACAAACATCGAATAATCATACCAATATATCACTACAGGCACAAAGAAGTCAAACATATATTTCCTCCACAGGGTAGAAGGAGTTATTTTTTATTCTTGTGCCAGAATAGAAGAAATAATAGTAATGTCTCAGAGTCACAGTTCCCTGGTATACCATCAACAAAAACAAAGATAACTTTGGTTAAGCCTGTTAGAACAAAAGGACTGGAGGGAGAAGATCAGCCATTTTACCCATGTTCGCACACTTCATATGGCATGTATTCGCTGTTGACTGGGTGTACGACATTGTGTTTTTAAAGGGTTATCATTACTCTTGAATCATTAATTGGGGAGATATCTAAAGGATTATTAGGTTTCTGTGTAACATTGACTTTAAAGCACATGGGCTAACTTTAGTTTTGTAAGCAAAATCATCCAGAGGAAACAATTTATTTGCCATTCTCCCTTGTACGACTGCCACAGTAATCAACCAAAAAATAAACTGGTGATGAATGACTCATACATCCTCAGTTTGTCCAAACCATATACACATATTTTTTTTTATAATAAAAGTCTGTCCAGCCATCCCACCTTTGGCAGTCCTGTCAAAACATCTACTGAGTGAGAGTGTAAAGGATGCCCAGTCTGATCCTGTTTGTCCCAGAGAGTTCGTTAGTGTTCTTACATATTTAGAGAGACAAAGAAAAAGATCTATTTGTAACTGTGTGTGTGAACAAAAACATAAAACAAAGTCGAGTCTGGTCATGTTTGGCAGTCTTGAACACTTGAGAGTGAACAAATGTTTTGCATGAACCTCTGTTATCTACCAAAGTGCTGATCCCTGCCTGGCTCTCACCTGGCAAACTCTCAACACTCCATCGTACAGTCACAGTTTTCACATTAATATGAATGATTGTCTTGTTTAGAAAGTGAATTAGAAGTTATGGACATAGTCAGCTTGAATTCAGCTACACAGTTACAGGTCGCTTTGGATAATGGGCTTAAAATTCATTGTAGGTTGGATCAGTGTGTTGTGTTGGAAGAGGAATGGCTGTAAAAATGTGTATAAGCCTCTTTTTTCATGGATCAGAGAGTGCTGTGGACCACAGAAGTGCAGTATTCACACAGCTTCTATTTGATCTGTTATTTTAAAGATTGGTCATTTTAAGAACAACCCCTATGGTGGTTTGTAAGTTGTTTCATAACATTTGAAAACTTACTGTCATTTAAACAACACAAAATCCAAACATGCTGCTTTTACAGATGAATAAAGTTAATGATCTGAAACCTGCTGCTCAAAATCAAACAGTCTTATTGCTTTGATTAAGCAAATAATGAGCATTCTTCTCATTATCTACTTGAAACCAAGATTTGATTAAAGCTAACCACAGCACAGTTTGATCTAGAAATAATAACCTAGAAACAAGGATATTTAATATTTCTACAGTTTTCCTTCATACCCACAATACAGGTAATTGTTATTGGTGATTACTTTTGTCTTTCATGTTGAATCAGAAACTTTAGGTTTTAAAATTTTATAAGAAGAAGGTTAACCAGACTGCACTTATTAACAACAACAAACAATGTGACTTTTCCTGATGCCAGCCACGTCTCTCAGGTCTGTTCTGACAGACTGTGTGTGTGTGTGTGTGTGTGTGTGTGTGTGTGTGTGTGTGTGTGTGTGTGTGTGTGTGTGTGTGTGTGTGTGTGTGTTGTGTTGGAGGAAGTTGGAGGTTGGGGTTGTTTTGGTGGGCGGGATCTCCTGCTCACGTCTGTGACATTGTCTCATACGCAGCATTTGATTGGCTAAACTCTGGGGTGTGAGAGAAGACCACCACAATGACATGTGATTAGGGAGCAACGAACCTTTGACACCCACATACCCACTCTCTCTCTCTCTCTCTCTAACACACACGTACACACACACACACACACACACACACACACACACACACAGCTCCCAGACAACTTACTGAGGATTGGTGACTACATTCCTCAGTGGGATCGCCATGGTGACACCTCACGTGAGGAACACACAAACATGCAGACACACGCATACACACTGTGGATCCATAGTGGCAGTGACATTGTTGTGACATTTCAGCATCATGTGACCACTCTGGAGAATGAGAGGACTATTAAACGTGGATAATGTTTGACCTCAGAGTAACAGATCCGCTCAGCACCATATCACCGTAACCCACTTCCACCAGTTTATTACTGGTATTGGGTAATGGAGGGCTTTAGACCATGGGACCGTAAACTCAAGGACCTACATGCCACTACAGCTATGGTAGACACATACACACACATGCTCACGCACAGCCCCCATCAGTCACTGGGAACTCCACCTCTAACCTCCAAGGGCTGTGTTCATATATGTGTGTGGAGGGCGGGGGGTTGGGGTCTGAATGTCTCGTGCCGTGCACTTTTTCTCACCAGTAAATTTCCATCTTCTTCTGCATATAATCGAGGAAACTTACAGCATGTTTTGTGTTGTTGGGTATTTTTGTGTACTTGTTCTGTCTACTGGCTGTGGCACAGTACTGAAATTTAGTGTTTTTTTTTTTTTTTAACAGATGTACTTTTATAAGTATATATTTGAATGGAACGACAGTTTTACCAGAAATGAATAATTACAATATTGTCTTTGGATAGGACTTTTACCTTTAACTGCTACTCGCCTACAGAAGTCTGCATCTATGTCTTTACTTACTAATACTATTAAAGGTTGGGTGAATATGATGTTAAGATGACTGAACTGAAAATAGAGCATGTCTTGGTCACATCTCCTAAATAGTTAGGTTAAACTGCAAAGGTTATAAAAGAAAAAGTTTATAAATAGTTGGGCAAATAGAAAAAAAAATTACCTACAATGCACATCCACCACTGAAAGTGTCTGTTTATTTCCCCTAAAAGGCACAGAATTTGCCAACACAAGTGAACCAATTAATGGTCTGAATGCTTACAAAGTACATGTAAGCTGTAGTACTTGAAACACCTTTTTTGGGGGGTAGTGAAGATCTGTGACTTCACACCGGTACAACTCAAAATAGGGCTAGTGATGCAGAAACGTGCTGCCCTCCTGTACCACCCGTGCCATCCAGTGTGTAGAAACTTCTAAAGAAAGATGTGCCAGAATATATATACAACTGCATATCAATGAGGCACAGCATGTGCCTCATGTGCCGCTGCTGATGAACCTCACCTACATATCTATCATACACATGATGCCTATGTTGCAATGGCAATGACAATGTACTTGCCACTTGGTAGGATTACGAAAGAACAGGACACAGAGAAATCAGTTCAGTGTGTCAAGGCCTGATGACAGGTTAACTTCCAATATGTCAGAAATTCATCAATCAAATATCCTGTCTGTGGGAGTACAATGATCCTCACTCTATTTTCTTTACAGTAGCTCAATCTACAGCTTCTTGTTCTGTGATTGGCTAATTCCTCAAAATTTAAATAACTGTCAGGACTGCAGGTAGGCCAGTTCAGCTCTCCCCTCTTTGCATTGTCTGGATGGCTGCACAAGTGGCTTGAAAACCTCAGAGTATGTAGTATGTGTACACATACAGGGAATTTGACTCCGGTAAACTGTATGTATTGTCCAACTTAAATGGTGCCTACTCAGGTGTCTAAGCAACCAGTGTCATCAGCATTTCCATACCATTATGGAAACAAGCCCGGTGTTCTCTTCTCCCTTCCCACTTTTAGCAGTATCCATGATCCATGATCCATGATCTCTGTCTGTCCTCCATAGACATGAGCCCTGACAAGTCACTGGCATTTCTGAGTCATGTGTTTATTTGATTCATCTTTCCATTGTATTAATCTGAATTTAACCGCATTTGGAGATGTGGCGGTGAACTGAATTCAAAGATTTTTAGTCAATGCAGTGAAATATACTACAGAGGGGTCATAGATCACAGTCATACAGAAGTGGTTTCATGGCCTTGTCTCTACTGTACAGACGTTTCTCTGGATTCTTTATAAAAAGCAAAAACCTGATACTGTACATCCTATTGGACTTACTTTCTTTTGAGACAGTGGGTCTTTCCTGACTTTGTATTTAGACCAAACAATGGCAGTCACTTGTAGCCTGAGCTTCATTGTTTCCTCTAAAAAATACAGCTAACCCCATCAAACCAAAAGTAACAGTTTGAATGCCAAATCTGAAAATGTCAGGAATTCAGCTCAGTAACAAAACACCCTCCACACTACTGGCAACTTTTGCACTTTCTCAAAGTCTCTCTTTCTCTTTTGTTTCCTTAATTTTATCGGTCAGTTTTACAGTTGTTGTTTTTTAACAGTGATGGAGGATTTTTTTGACATCATATTAACTTACAATTATAGTTGTTTGCGTTTTTAAAGTGAAAAAGACCTGCAATGCATTCCACAAAGTCTTTTTGTTTCCAGCTATGAAAAGGTCAAACTAGTCCCACAGTATCTTGAACAAGCTTCAGCAAGAATCCAATGCAGAGGTCAATGAACCCTGAAGACAAAGAGAGCACTGATGGACTGTTTGTAGGTACAGTTACATTACTTGCAGTACTTTTGGCTCGCTTCCAGAGTAGAGCTACTGTAGTTTTCTGGGAACTTTGGCCTGTGTTACAAGAATCACTTACTGTTTGTTTTTTTTTATTGATGAAGGTGTTACGAGGAAACTCTGCCTCAATCTAGATGTTTATCCAAGGGGAAGCAGCCTCATACTCGCCTACTATTGTTTGTTGGTTCACATCGATCCGTGAAGCAGAGTTTGTCATGGCATGTGTGTTTTTGGAGAAAGGATTACCCCAGAGTATGTTTGGGGGAGGATAAGTTTCTAGTAAAATTGGTTAATATTGTCTGACCAAATATTTTGTAGTAGCTGATGCCATGTGCTTTTTTCTTGTTTCGGTTTTTGAGTGTATTAGCATGTGTGCTTGTTTTCTTGATGGTGAGTGATCCAGAGCGTTGTTTGTTTCTCTGCGCTGTTTGTTCAGAAAGCTAATAATAGGACTCTTTCATTGCGGCTCCTTTCTGTGACGAAGGAGGAGGGAACCACAATCGCAGCCCCTCTCGGCTCAGGCTGCCAAAAATCACAGAGGAGACCTCCAAAGTAAGCTCTTTCTAGGAATCCCGGCTCCTTGAATAGCCCATCAGGGGGGCCATTTTAGGTCAAAAGCAGGGAGTGCTGCAAAAAAGGCATCCAGAATTCATAAATAACACAGCTAAAGGAGTAGTGCCTGTACTTTATTGATATGACAAATTGCTCATGTTTATGGCTTAAGCTGAGCGTAACCAGAATTGACATTTCATCTGAAGCTAATAATTCACAGCCTGTTTTCTCAGCTTGCAAAGCTATCATGTTATTCCAAACACCAGGAGAAAAACTCCTCAGCCTGTTTCATCTAAGATCGGATGGTAGTGAAGCCATCTTGCTTTTGCTTTTAACCTCTTCAGTCCTCTCATTGTTTCTACAACAGAAGAGCTAGAGGGCACTTTTGTTTTTGTTTTTCAACCTCTAACTGTCCTTCTCCATTCCTGGACGTCACTCTTACGCTCGCTGTGTAACAAAAACATGCTGGTGGGGGATCCAGATGCCCATGAGTAGTTCCCACACTCCTCAGTGACACGGAGTGAACTCAGTTTTCTTTGAAACGGTGGATATCTTTACCAGACATGTACCTTATGGGCTACCCAAAAATGGCTCAGCAGACTATATTGTGTAAGAGAGGTTACATAAAACTCACGTGACTCAATGGCAAGTGCTGGGACGTCCAAACTGAAGAGTATGAATGGCAGGAACCAATGACGAGAGAGGACAGACACATGGAATGACTCCCACGGCAGGTGATTAAAAGACCAGATTAAAAGAGTGCAGGCAATGTAGGAAATTATGATAGATTAAGAACTTCACACAGCTAGATGCTTCTGGATGCTTTAAGGCTGTAGATCAGTGACATTTTGGGCTTAGATTAGAAATCAAGGTGGAAAAAATTGTAGTTAAAGTAGTTTTGTTGCCCATATTCACCAAACAGCAAGAAGCATTGACCCAATTTTACCAAATTTAAGAGAGCGTTTTATTGACGTCATAACAGATCTTGATTTTGAAACTGTAATTTCATAGGTGCTTAGGTTGACCAATCAGACTGGTTTCTGTCCAACTAGTCCTCTGGCTGGCCAGCTGGACGATGATGTCACAGTCCAGTCGTCCCTCCTTGTGAATGAGGCCAGCTGTTTATAATTGTGGGAATGGTATTCAGAGACATTATGTAAACCCAAAGCACAGACTGGAGACCACCGTAGGACAACTGCAGGCTCTGATAACAAACTAGAGGACCTCAGCAGATCTGGTGGCCTGTCTGGCCCCCTGATCCCAGGGCCTCAGAGGTAATTGAAAAGCCTTTGGTGGCAAACCATTGTTGGTTTAAGGTATTTCCAGTAGCACAAGACCAGTTATGCAACCAAACTGTACAGAAAAGTGTAAAAGTAACTGGAAAAATCCATCTGGGAAATTTGGAAAGGGCTACTGGAGCTTCTGTCGGAGTGTGTACAATATGATGAGATCCTTCAGAGATATCAAATAATTAATACTAGTAGCGTTGTGAGATTACATACAAGGAACACGCCTTCCACAAACATTACTGTTCAAGTATGTCCATGATCAATCTTGGAGACATTTTGAGATTATAATAGGTGTGTAATGCGTGAAATCTTTGTGCCAGAGTGGGTGACTTCATCTGTTAGAGTGAGAGAATTTGCATGAAATTGTCTTTCCACGCTCCTCCCAGCCACAGATTGCTCGGAAACTTCCTGTAGTAAGTTGTTTCCCCAACTCACATCACTCAGAACCACCAAGTAAGGCGGCAGTAGCTCAGGAAGTGGTCGTCCAATAACCGGAAGGTTGGCGGCTCAATTCCCTCCTATCCCGAGTCCGTCTGCTGTGTCCGTGGGCAAGATACTTAACCCACCTTGCTCCCAGTGTGTGTCCTCCACTGGTGTATGATTGTGAGTGTTGTGTGGTGGTGGTTGAAGAGGCCGTAGGCACAAAACTGGCAGCCATGTTTCCATCAGTCTGCCCCAGGGCAGCTGTGACTACAAAGGTAGTTTACCACCACCAGGGTGTGACTATGTGAGCAAATGACCGAGGTATCCAATGTAAAGCGCTTTGAGGGTCACTGGTAAGGCGCTATATGAGATCTGATGCATTATTATTAAGTAAGTTCAACTATTTGTTGTAAATAACTTACTTGTAGCTTGTATAAGGGTCTGTAGAAATGGGGAAGTGGAGGTGAAATGTCTGGTCTGATAATGCTTCCTTTGTACGGACAGACGTCTTCACAAAGTATGATCTTATATGAGCTCAGCTGTGCCTTAAAATACGAGTCCTTCACTATGCAACTAATTACAAAATTTCCAGTCTAATGTACCTATGAGTTAATATATCATAAGCTTTATTTGAAAGACCTGCTTTGTGAGACCTGTGGTATCAAAATTACAAGGAACACCAGAAAACATAAAACTGTGCTTTCTTACGGCATTGACATGGGCTGTGAAGTGGATCCTCAACTGTCTGACTCAAGGTTTACTATCTCACCTGTGTGTGCTCCAGGTAATGCAGGGGGGATCTGTTCAAAGGTGACCAGACAGAGGTACAAGAACGCCACGTTGAACACAGGCCTGATCACGATTCAGAACTACGGACAGTTCCTGCCTCCTCGACAAGTCCAGCTGACCATCGCTCACGAGCTCGGCCACAGCCTCGGAGCCGACGTTAGTCTCCACATAAACTCATACTAACATACTTGTAGTATTTGTTTGCTGCAAAAGGGAATAACGCTTTCCAAAACTGGATTCCTCAAACCAAACATGGTGCATGCAACCTTTTTAACATACGTCTACATGTTTCATGAGTAATATGACAAAGTGTAGAAAGTTATCATGCATGGACAAATCCTCACTCTACTTCTCATGTAACTTCACAGATTGGAATCAAACCAACACTAATCTAAATCCAGCAACATCATGAGTGTGATTCATGCGCTCAATGTTTTTTCATCCAACATGACAAATCGTGATTAAAGTCTAACTTCACGTTTTCTTCATAGCCTGTATGTTTGCTGTGCAGTAGAACAAATTTCCTGTCAATGATTTACTTACGTGGGCATCACAGACCTTGGCCTCTATTGACCAGCTTCTTTTATAGAGACCCTTTGCCAAGTCCTAGTGGATTATCTGAAAAAAGAGAACAGGAGGCTCTGTGATTTCTATATTCATCCCATCTCCGTCTCTTTCTCTTTCCCCTCTCACACATTTATTGGATTTTAAATGCAGTAAGTTACTGTAGTTGTGTGTACTTGCACTTGAACTCAAGAGCTTTTGAACCACTGAAAAGCATACACCTCTCTCCATGTGAGACTGCTTCCAGCACCTGCGACCTTTCTCCCACTTGCCAAAATGCCAGCGGCCTCTTTTCACCCTGCCCGCTGTTATTCACACTTTCACAGACCAAAGAACCCCTTGAGGTTGTCTTGAGTAGATTAGTTCTGCTCCGTCAGACCCCGCTGGTTCTCTCTAATCTAAAATACTGTAACTTCTGCTCTTTCAGCATGGAGTCCTGGCTCCTGGGTGCTGGTCACTGTTTTCAAGCAGAATGAGGGACACAGAGAAATCCTATAGCGCAGATTTCACCTGAGAGTTTAGAAAGATGAATGGCACAGGTGAGAAAGGGGGTGGATCCGTAAAAAATGCTGAGTTGGCCTTTGGCTTGCTCCCTACAACCACAGTCAACTAAAGCAGTAAATTCTCATGGAGCTGGAACCAGATCATGTTTCACCTTTTTCTGTTAAAATGTGTGAAAACCGAAAAAACTCAACAAACATATTGGCTACCAACAACAGAAAAGAAAACAACTTAAAGGGATATTCTGGCGTAACATTAATTTAGGGTCAAACACACCGTAACACTGAGTTGGACACCAGATCAAGAGATGAATGTTGCTGACCGCTTACTTCTCTAGTTATATCAACTTTAGTATCGACCACAGGATAACAATACACAGCGGTTTGAGGAGCCATAAACAAACCTCAACCAAACCCCACTCTATAGCCACAAATAATGCTCAGAACAGCACTTAACTTCATCAACAGTCTCAGCAACAGCACTAGCCACCAAACATCCTTTTAACTTTGCCTGATTTCTTTCGCAAAGAGACTGAACACAACTCACCTACTTTCTTACAGCAGCCACTTGTTCGTAGCGAGACCTCAGGCCAGTCCATTACGGACTGCTGCAGGGTGACACATCTCAAGGAAGAACATTTATGATCATTTCTTCGTGGAAATGCAGTCAGACCGAGATGCTAAGGCAGAAGAACTACCGCAATTAATGATTAATGATTAATATGGTGATTATTACTTCAAGGAAATGATAAAGTAATGATGTGAGTTGGTGAGTTGTGAGTGGGTGAGTTGTGTTTGGTCTCTTTGCTAAAGAAATTAGGCAAAGTTAAAAAGATGTTTGGTGGCTAGTACTATGGCTAGGACCCTATATGTACTGTTGATGAAGTTAGGTGCTGTTCTGAGCATTATTTGTGACTATAGAGTGGTGCTTTGGTTAAGGTTTGTGTGTGGCTCCTCAGACTGCTGTGTATTGTTATTCTGTGGTCATTACTAAAGTTGGTAGAACTAGAGAAGCAAGTGGTCGGCAAAATTCATCTCTTGACAGGGTGTCTAACTTGTTGTTATGGTGTGTTTTAACGCTAAATTAATTTTACACCAGAATATCCCTTTAATGCACAGTGCAGAATACAGTTAGCCTTAGACTGAACTAGAGACTTTTCTGAACCATCTTCATCAAGAAACAGAGATGTTACATTTGTCATTTGGTTGTTTATCCCATTTGTCTGAATGTCAGTTAGACCTGTAATAACAGCATCTGTAAAACCACTACAGGTGTTTAAAAGAGAACAGGAAAGACTGGAAATTTGCTATATGGCATGAAGCATTGTGCTGTTGCTTTCTTAGGTAGAGCAGTTCTTCCTTTTCATACTTCGTGCTTCATCATTATGCAGTTTTGCTCAGTTGTCAACAGTGAAGTGTGCGGGGTTGTTGTAAGTTGAGACTTGTTTTCAGCTTAACCTTAAGTCTGCAGACTTGAACTGAAAAAACACAAAGGGGCAGGGTTAGGGTTAGAAGATTAAAACAACTTTCCTTGTGAAACTGTGATTGCATTTACTGTGTGAATGCTGTTCTTCAAACCCTGGAGCTGCACCTCTTGACAGATTTAGTGCAAGAATAAAATTTTCACTCATTATACCCATCAAACTAATGAGGAACAGATGCAGAAAATCCACATCTAACATTTCTCTCCACATGAGTCAGTGTTAACTTTTAGTCCCTTCCTTCCTTTCTTCATTTACCAGTGAGTTTTACATCTATGAAACACGAGTTGTAGATAAAGTTTCACAAATAAAACCTTTGCCAAAACAAGAACAGCTCTGTGTTCGGCTCTCTGTGTCCCACATGTGGGACACGACATTCTTCTGCAGTTTCAGGGCCATCAGATTCCAGGGAAATCTTTTGACTTCATAGAGGATATTCTCTTTCTGTGAAAATACAGCAAAGACAGCTCAAAGAAGATCTGGCTTTGGTTTGTGCTTAAGGACTTTGTGTAACCACAGATGTTACAAGAATTATCTTTCACTGTCCATGGACATCCCTGAAAACATTTCAACCGTCTGCAATGGCTTTAGACGAGCTTCTGGTTGCCAATAAAGGGATTTAATCCCCTCCTCTGTGATCAGGATTGAGACCCATAGTCACAGCTGTGTTAGATTTTGTTCCCCCTCCACTATTGTTTTTGTCTGCAGCTGTTTTGTTTTTTTTTTCTTCATGAAAATACATATCCAGAGTTGGGTATTGTTTGAAAATTCAAATCTTGGTTTGTGTTGTCTGTTGTTTTTCAGCATGACCAGGGCTCAAACTGTGGAGACCTTGGCTCCTCCCGGGGTAAAGGCAGGTACCTGATGTTCCCTGAAGCCACAGATGAAGTGCGTGACAACAACGATAAATTTTCACCCTGCAGCATCAACTTCATCAGTGAGATCCTGAAGCTAAAAAAGGATGACTGCTTTGTAGGTGAGGAAAAAAACAATCACATGTGCTGCCAAGCCGTGCAGAGTCAAAGCCATGAGTTTGTACTGTTCATTAGTCATTGTAAACAATTACAAATTGTCTCTACTTTTAGAGTACATGTGTTTGTTTATTGTGTTCATTTATTTACATGTGCAATCTTTTTTGGCCAGTCAGTGATCGACCCATCTGTGGAAACCAGATTGTGGAGGCAGGGGAGGAGTGTGATGTGGGCCACAATGATACAGACCTCTGCTGCTACAGTGCTATACAGCCTGTTGGGGTCCAGTGTCGACTCAAGCCTCAAAAAGCCTGCAGGTATGATGCCACCAGATAATTTGGGATGTTATTTCTAGACTTCTAAGATTGACTTGACGCTGGTATTGTATTGTGTGTCCCCCTGACCCACATTTGCATTATGGTTTTTCCCTTCTATGTGACAGTCCCACTCAGGGTCTTTGCTGCGCTCAGGACTGTGAGTTCAAGCCGTCGGATCAGACCTGTGACGAGGAAACAGACTGTCAGAAAGCAAGTTTTTGTTCGGGCCTCTCTGCGCTGTGCCCCGAGCCAGGCAACAAGGAAAACTTGACGGTCTGCAGTGAGGGCACACGTGTGTGCCTGAATGGGGTGAGGCAGCAACATCCACCACACAACACTGTGGCTTCACGGCCCCAACAAGAAAAAAATTGTGTAAATGAAGAACTATGTTGTAATGCTGGTCCTGTCTGTAAAAGGAATGATGCTCAGAGGTTAAATTCATTACTTGTTAAAAAAAAAAAAAAAAAAAGATTACGCAAGAAGTTTATGCAACTTTTGAGTCTGAAAAGTGATGCTATAGAAGAAGTGTCCTAAAGCTCTTCACCTTGATGGCCAGCAGGGAAAAAACAACCTTTTCTAGAGAGTAACTGAGTCTTATCTTAGTTGACTTATTACCTCATTTGTTTCACACCTTTCTAAAAAGAGCATGGTGTTCCCTGCCGAACTTGAGATTTGGAGTATGTGGAGCAACAAATGCTTTAAGGCCTGACCTCCTGATGATTGACGCATAGCTATCACAGCTATCTGACTGGGAAGTGTTGTTCAGTTTTTGCAAAAGACACCCTGAAGGGATTGCTGTTCCTACTGTATGTATGAAAGAATCTGTTTAGAGCCTGTTTCAACGACACACCTGTCACCAAAGCTTACTGTTGTTTTAGCACATATGCTAACCCCATGCTCCTTTCCAACTTCACCCTCTTGTCCACATATAGTCATTCTGGCTCAAAAAAGAGGAAAGTGCTGGTTCAACAGTCCTTTCCCTTGTCCTTCCTCTCCCATCTCCCTTTAGCTGCATTCTCTTATACAGCCCAGCATAGCTTTAGATTTTAGTTTTATTTCTTCAACTAAAGGACAAGAATGATTCAATTATAGGGAGATTCTGACGTAAAATTAAGTTAGGGTCAAACACACCGTAACACTGAGTTAGACACCCCTTCGAGAGATGAATGTTGTCAACTGCTTGTTTCTCTAGTTATACCAACTTTAGTAACGACCTGTTGATAGCAATATATCGTGGTCTGAGGAGCCACAAACAAACCTCAACCAAAACGCCACTCTATCGCCATAAATAATGCTCAGAACAGCACCTAACTTCATCAACAGTACATATAGGGTCCCAGCCATAGTACTAGCCACTAAACATCTTTTTAGCTTTGTCTGATTTCTTTAGCAAATAGACTAAACACAACTCACCTACTTTCTTCCAGCAGCCGCTTGTTTGTAGCGAGACCTCAGGCTAGTCCATGATGACTGCTGCGGAGTTCCGCAGCTCAAGGAAGAACATTTATGATCATTATTTTATCATTACCTTGAAGTAATAATTACCAAATTAATCATTTTGTGCTGCAGACGCAGTAGTTCTTCTAGCGTTTCGGTCTGATTGCATTTCCATGAAGAAATGATCATAAATGTTCTTCCTTGAGCTGCGGAACTCCGCTGCACTTGGTGATCGACCCCTCAGGGCTCCCCCTACAAACAAGCGGCTGCTGGAAGAGAGTAGGTGAGTTGTGTTTATACTCTTTGCTAAGGAAATCAGACAAAGCTAAAAAGTTGTTTGGTGGCTAGTGCTGTGGCTGGGACCCTGTATGTACTGTTGATGAAGTTAGGTGCTGTTCTGAGCATTATTTGTGGCTATAGAGTGGCTTTTTGGTTGAGCATGTGGCTCTCTGTATTGCTATCGTGCAGTCGTTACTAAAGTTGGTATAACTAGAGAAGCAAGCAGTCGTCAACATTCATCTCTCGATGGGGTGTCTAACTTGTGTGTTTGACACTAACTTAATTTTACGCCAGAATATCCCTTTAACTTTAGACATCCGAGCTAATTTACTGCATCTATAAAAATCAAAACTTCTCACTTCTTCACTTCTCACCAACCTTTTTTCTGTGTTTTAGAAAACTTCATGCTTACTCTGGTAGATTAGTCAATTGAAGAAAGTTATGAGTCTCCTGAAAAAGTTTGGGATCACAGTGAAAGTAAAGAGAGATATTTATTCTGAAAAATTCACTAAATGTCAGCCAATATACATGATTTACATTTTAGTGGTTGTGGTTGGACTTTTTGTCCTGTTGATCTGATGTCACTGCACTGAAAGGTGTGTCACACTTTGAGGTAGTTGCAGGTACAACTCTGCATGCTTCATTTTGAGGATGAAAGTTTGCAAACACTGGATCTGTTCAGACATTTGCATAGTAGAAATGATATAAAGTGAGTATAGCATCAGTAAGAGTACTCAGTAAACTCTTCTTCAAGAAAACTTTTTACATTAGGGATTTAAAAAAGACATTTTATAACATGACTATTTATGAGATCAGTTTCGCAGTTTGACAGCCATGTCAGACGTTTCCTAGAAAACTTTGGATCCATTTGTACTCCCTCTTGCTCAATGATAGTACTCACAAGTGACTTTATTTGTAAACAAAAGCAACATTACAACACTGTGGAAAGACTGGATCAAACCCATGGAACCACAGGACAGCTGTGCGTGACTTCATACAAGTTTTATCTCCACTAAATGTCCTCAAGCAGCAAACGCCTCCTGATGACACTGATGTCTGAGCAGGAGATGCGAGGAATGATTTCCAGCTGTGAATGTTGCTTCATGTTGTTTGCAGGATTTCTTTCTTTCTGGATGTTATAAGTGTACAAACTTCTACAGCTCATCCAAATTGATCATCCAAAGTAACTGGAAAAAACTTTGGGGGCGGCACAGGAATGTGAAAATCCCCCAAAGATGCCCAAATGAAGATGGAGTGCTGGTTTTAGTGTTTCAATTCACCCTCGACAGTTTCTATTGACCAATAACTCATATTTCTCTCTTTATTGAGCACGCCAATCCTTCCTAGAAAACAGGAAACAGGACCTTCTTGGTAAATTAGGTCGAAGTCAAATGTTAGCGTAGGATAAGTTTTCTAAAACACTTGATGATTAGACTTTGAAGAATCTAAGATTTTACAAACCACAAGCACAAAGATTATTACTTGAAGTGCGTAGCCAGGTGTTGGCTTAAGATTAAAGCTTGAATTATTTAAAAAATTTTCTCGAAACAATCAACTATCAATTAACAATAATTAACCATTCATACAATTTGTCTAATTTTAGTTCCATAAAACCAGAAATCTCTTAAGTTTGCTGTAAAATAATTTAATGAACTCAATTATGTTGGAGGCATACAGAGAAGAAACCGAAACTCATAACTTCACAAAGGGGGTTATAAAATACAAGTTTCAAGAGTTTTTCAAATGAGGGGTCAGGGACGTGCTCTTTATGTTTACATTTACATTAAATACAATATAATGTGTTTTTTTTGTACTCCAAAAATTCAAAATGCTACGATTGAGTATTAGGGCCACATTATGAAAAAAAAACTGAAGACTTTGAGATTAATTTAAATAAAGTCATTACTAAAAAGAATAAAGTCGTAATAAAATAATTACATACGAGAATAAAGTCGTAGTTAAGTAATCACTCATGAGAATAAGGTCGTAATAAAGTCCTTATATTCTAACCTGCTGTTTAAGATGACAGTTGTTGAAATGAGAGCTATGGAGCATTTCGCGGAAATGTACTTCAATATAAGTTTCTTAAACAAGGAGATACTTAATCTTTTGGCACATCAGCACCACATTATCATAAGTATCAGAATGATTTTACTATGACTTTACTCTCATCGCTAAGTAATTACTTCATTACAACTTTATTCTCATATTTAATGCCTTTTTTCTCGTAAATTAACAACTTTAATCTCGAAGACTAAACTTTTTTTTTCTCTTAAAGTGGCCCTAACACTCAGTCGTAAAATGTAAAGTTGGCAAACATAAATGATATTTAATCTTTGTCTGACCTAAGCAATACTTTTGATTTATTTAGGTTTTAATGAGCCCAAATAAAAAAGTACCTCTGCGAGGGATTGTTGGACTGATCCAGCTGACTAATTCAGCCAAAAATGAGGAATGACATGCAGCTGTGATTTTTTTTTTCTTTGCTTTCCTTTACCTTCCCTTGTATTGTTATCTTGTATAATTCCTGAATTTCTTTTAAAGTCCTATCTAAAAGATCCTTTGTGGTTCTCTGTACAGGTGTGTTCTGTGTCTCTGTGTGTCAAGCACAACCTGCAGCAGTGTGACTGTCCAGGAGACTCCATGAAGGATAAATGCCACTTATGCTGCCAGCAGCCCGGTAACCACCATCCATGTGTCTTCCACTACAGAAGAATGTGTTTATACTCTGTGCTTTAACACGCCAGCCTGTGTCAATTTGTACAGGGGTTACCCTCGTGCATGATTGTTTTCCATTAGACATCCTAAAAACTTTCACAATATCTGACACAATGGTTGGCTTGAAAAGTATTACATGAGGCCCAGCAGGGACACTAACTCTGATTTTTTATGGTCTATGCAAAGATGATTTGAATATATGATCGGAGATGTTTTAATGTGATTTACTCTGTTTCTATGACAGATAAGCCAGAAACATGTGCCAGTACCTCTTCTTCGGTGCTGTCCCGTTACTTCCAGAAAAAGGATCTACCCTTGGTCGGCGGGGCTCCGTGCTCGGGGAACCAGGGATACTGTGACAAATTCCGTGTGTGTCGTCTTCTGGATGCAGATGGTCCTATAGCGAGACTGAAAAACTCCTTTCTAAATTTGGATGACTTTGATGACTTAGCAGAGTGGATGAAGGTGAGGATCCTTTTATTAAAACACACACACACATAGTAGGACAACTGTGTACATCTAAACACAGTTTGAAGACATTATTCTACACTTGACTGAGTTTAACTTTCTTTATTGCATGATTGCACTCTAGTTTTATTGATGTTTGGATCAGATTTTGAGGTCATACAAATGTATGTATACATTTTAGGAGATTTTGCAACTTTAACTGCTGTTCAACTACATCTATTAGTGAGGCGAGGTGCTCATCTCATTGTTTTCAGCAGCTGTCTGCAATGATTCAGCTTCTATCTTCCTTTGAGGTTCAGTTTCTCCTGACAGCATGGAGAATCAGGTATGAGCTGAAGAGCGCCTCAGTGGTCCTCAATCTGTTTCAGCAGCAGAGACACAAATGACCCCTAGCCTCTGCACCCATTGGGGACTTTTATCTGAGCTACATATGTTACTTACTAATTCAAATACAGCAGAGTTGCAAAGCAATAGGTAGATCTAGTTTGGGTTTGATTCCTTACCATTCTTTGATAACCTAATTTCAGTCCCTCAAGAGGAATAATCAGATGAAGAAAGATGAGCAGCTTTTCTTGTTTACTGGAGCTGGTTGGCTGCAGTAGAACTGGGCGATAAAAACAGCAAAGTCAGCAGTAATTTTATGTGACCAGGTATCTTTTTGGTGAACTGAACTGAAATGATTCATTTCTATCTGTAATTAATGCTATACCTGTATTCTCCCCTGCAGGCACATTGGTGGGCCATCCTGCTGGCTATCCTGACTTTGTCTGGAGTCATGGGTTGCACTGTCTGCCTCTGTGGCCGCACCCTGGTCACAGATGACCTGGAGTGACCTTTGACTTTTGACCCCTAACCACAGCTGGGACTACAAGTATCATTGCCAAGACACATTCACACATTTTTTCAGGGTCAATAAATCTAAAATTTTGAAGTGTCAGTGTAACACAAACAGCTTCTCTGTGAACTTTGCTCCACATTGAAACCGACATGTCATCTGCATACAGCTTTATCAGGACACCAGCACCTGCTAGTTACATGATACATCCCTGCGTCATTATGCATCTGTCATCTTTTTTCTTTGTGACACTGTCCATTCACATTTCAACGGTCAGTGAGGGTCTGCTTTGACGCAGACGTGGTAGTTGTCACTGTTGCTGCCAGTAGTGGGTCAGTTTAACCCCCTGAAGAGGCCACACAGCGTCATACACTCCTCTTGATTTAAAGCCACTGTCTGTGGAAAAGACTGACGGGACTGTACCTCCACTGCCCTTGCTGTTATATTTGAAGCTGAGCACTAATTTAATCCTTGATGTCCATCCAGTTTTCCATCCTGGTGAGAATATCGTCACAGCAGTGTGAGATGAAAAGTTGAAATTGGCATTTCTTTTTAACAGACATTTGGTCTGAGTTCTGTCAACTAAAACATGTGTTTACATTAAAAAAAGAGACTGATTTCTTTAGTTCAACAAACATGAGTTCATCTTAGCTGATTTGCTGTCACTTTAAGTTACTAAATGGGTTTACTGTACTACCTAAGTTTTTCAATATTTTTTCAAATTTAAGTTTTCTTACACTGTTCCCTTTGAAAAGAAACCTCCACTGTTTTTTAAATAAAATGATTTTTAAAAAATGACTAAAAAATAAAATAAGTTCAGATGGTATTGTATTGTTTTTCTTCTGTGTTCTCGATCTTTTCGCCAGTCCTGCAGACTTGAACTGTCACTCCTTAGATAGGACTCATACCTGAGGCTAGGAACAGTTGATGAAACTACCAAACTAGATGTAAAAGATAAAAAGCTTAATCGCCATTACATACCTGACAATAATGATAACATGGCAGTGTTATCACTTCATGCATGTGCTGTATAAGCATGAAACACTCTGAGATTGCTGTATTTGTCCTTTTTCTCCAGTAAGAAAAACAGACTTGGTCAGGCATGTTTGTAGGTATTTCACAGGCTGACTTTACAATTTTCTAAAATCTGTTTCTGGGTCAATCTGACATTATGAGCTAAACATAATGGCCCTACAACGTCAGGGACATGAAGATATACAGAGCTGAATTTTTTTTTTCTTTATCAAAAACAGATTTAAGTGCTCAAAGAGTCCAACTGTTTGGATTAAACACACATTCTGAATCAATAATAAATATAATCTTGAGTGGTCATGACCATAAGATAAATGTCAGACTCTAGATGTCCTCTGGTTTTGGTTTATTAAAGAAATGTATACAGTATAGTTGATATTTACAAGCATTTACAAAATATTACAGAAATAATCCTTTTACAGTGAAAAAAAAAAAAATATATATATATATAGTTAACAGTGTTTCATACAACAAAATCAGTTATCTATATTTTGGTATTTACATAAATGTACAAGTAACTCAGTTCAGCCTTTTCCTCCCCTGTTTTCAGTGCAAAGGTATAAAAGATTTCTACATTTCTAAAGTCAATGGAAATGAAGTCACAATGATTACAGTACCGATCTCTAAAGAGCCGAAGCTTAGACATTGCTCACACAACTGGAAATGTAAGAATGGATTAAAGGGTATTAGTCAAGAATCTAAAAGTCATGCACAGAGAACTGCAGCCAAGAGGCATTTAAGATAAGCAGCACAACAAAATGGCAACGTTAATACAACCTGTGCTTTCCTCGTCGCTATGAGCACTATGCATCTTATTTATTTCATTAACAAAACCATGACAGAGAAAATGTCCCACACTAACGTGAGGTAACAGCATCCGAGTAACACATCATGTTGCATTGAAAAAGCGGTAAAAAAATGATGCAGTAAAAAAAATAACAATATTGGCATGTTCAGATGGTTGAGTAAAAGTCACAGAGTTTCAAGGACGACAAACACAAATGTGTAAAACAACAACAAGGCACAAAGTTCAGAGTCGAGCTCTGTTTGCAACAGCTTACAACTGGCGACAGTAAGGCACAGTGGTACAGATCCCACAGTCACATACAGTGCTGAGAGCCACAGCGGTGAATGCTCCGTCAGATTATGCATCAGTTAGAAAACACATACACAGATAATAAACTGCATCCAATCACATAAAACAACTAGCGACATTCACACCAGCGGCCATTTCTGCCTCTTTTTGAACAGAACTCTTAGAGGACTTTTTTTCACAGTGGTTGCTATAACTATAAAATCGGACTTAAATACTTTGAAAGTACCTGGACTTCCTCTAACACCATTACAAATTAGTCACATACGCCTCTTTAGTGTTTGAGGCTCTGCAGGGAGCTTGAACAGGATTTACACCTTTAACAAAAAACATGAATCTAAGATGATAAAATTATTTTTTTTTGTACAACAAAGTAATGTCATAAAAACAGCTCATTACAAAATATTTTACATTATTCACAGAGATATTGCTTTAAATAACATACAAACTTCTGAGACTTTTGCATTATTGTCAAAAATAAGTTACAGATTTATAAGTTATTTATGAAGTGCTGAAATGGACTGAAGAGCTTTCAGCATTTTGAGCTTTGTCTTGAAGGTCAGTGGTTCCCCAAGGTGATTCTACAGCCAAAGAAAGTTTGTTATTTATAAGCACCTATGGTATTGTTTTATTTTGTTTTATCAGAAGAACTATGGAGGAGTTCTTACCTTCTTGGAGATCGTTTTGAGTTTGTCCTCCATGCATCCTTACATTTAACAAATGTGACCTCTTGTGTTAAATCTCGGGTTTCAGGATTTTTTACACATAGCACCATCCTGAAAAAGAAATCACAGAAAAAAAACATATTTGGTTGACATTTTGGACTACTTACTGTGTTTTCGTTTAATCTCTAATATTTGTTTGTTTTGGTTAAATCTTCTTTCCTAAATATCACAACTTACTTCTGTTGGGTCTCTCCCACACGTATACGAATTTTGTCAACCTTTACACTGGCACTGTCAGAGTCACCGGACCACAAAGAAGAAACCATCTTCATCATACTGGAGGCTGACCACCCGTTTGTCTCTTCCCATTTAAACTTCACCATCAACAAGTCTCCGATATCTTTCTCCGTCACCAGCAGGAATGAGTATGTCTTATTCGTTGATATTTTCTCTTCTCTGAAAAACAAAAATAAAGTGTTAGTGGTTTACTTAAGGCCAGAGAGAAAATTCCACTTGTCTTAGCCTCATAAACCCTGCGCCATAAACCGCAACTAAACCGCAAAGACATGAACTCACTGCCATCTCTCTGGTTACATCACTGTTTATGGTTTCTACTTCATGCTGCGCAGCTGTTACAAAACTCATTTAGCCTCCAAGATACAAGTCAGTGTGCTGTAATTCTCTTTTTATAAAGTTCTTAAAATAGCACTTACAGTTTCAGCTCCAGGTTTTCAGCCTCTGCTTTAGTCCCGAACAGCGAGACAGTCAGCGAAGGCTCCATCTCTGAACGGTTAATGTTACCCAGGAAGTGGATCTTCAGCTGATAGTGGTAAACTGTGAGACAAGAAAGCAGATGGACAGATATTTTATTAAACTCAGAGACAGTGTTAAATCATCTAAACCCTCCAAATTGAACCATCTCTCGAGATTCAAAAACTTCTCACCTCTGAAAGGCATGGACGCTCGTGTATTGGTGAACATCTGGACGTTGCGAGGTCTGCGGACCTTGCTGATGTCATAGCCAACGGTGTTGCAGCGGCTTTTATGGCAACTAAGACACAAGCCACGGTTGAATGTGTTGCTGTTGCTGCATCTGTATGCCTTTCCTGCCTCCTGCTCATTCAGCAGAGAGTCGATGAAGAGGTGGACGGAGCGCTCGTGTTCGCACTTTACAGCATCAGTGATTGCTGGAGGACAAAGAGGGGATGATATTTCTTTCAATATATACAACTTGAAGACATTTACACTATCTATGAACCCACTGGGTCAAACAGACAAGTGAGTTAAACTTTTCCTTGGCCGTGTTTTGAGGCCTTCTGTGTGAAAAGGCCACACAACAATATGCTGTATTTGTGTTAACTTACTGTGTTTTCATGAAAAAAAGTATACATTATTACTTATTTACAGTGGCTCAGTTATCACAGTTTGTTATACTCACCAAGAATCCCAAACTGAGCGATCTTCTCCAGGGCCCCTCTCAGATTGCAGCCCGGCTGGAAGCTGCCTCCATTGGGGTAAATGTCAACATGGCCAACAGGCTGCTGGATCCCAATGCTGAAACCCAGCGTTCCCCGTGTGAAGGTGTGGAGAACATCCACGAAGTAAGCATCATCTGGAGAGAGACGCCCATGGGCATGCTCACCCTCAAAGTCAGGACCGGCGGGGTCCAGACCTACATACATAGACAGGACGACGAAATACTCAATCACCTCCCCATGACCCGAACATTTTTAACAAATTTAACTTCAACATCATGCGCTCAGTAGTCATGTGTGTGGATGCTCAGTTTACCAGTTATCCTTCCAACTTTATTGGTTGCATGGCTTCCAGCAAATCCTGCAACATGAGCGCCAAGGCTGTAGCCAATCAGGTGGAGGTTCTCAAGAGCCATGTTGGTAGTTTCCTTGAAAGTACAAAAAAGCGAGACATTTAATTCCTTGATTTGTATGACTGATTCAATAACTGATAAAGTATCTTACTCTGTTACTTAGATAGATAAGTGTGCAATATTCAGTCAGTGTGCAATATCATTGTAGTCCTTAGTCTATTGTGTTACAATAAAAATCAGGGTCAATCTATTCCTGATTGTTCATAAATTATCTTTGAAAGATTGTCCATTTCAAACCCAACTCAGGTTAGAAACATTAGCTCCATCCTCTTGTTTCCTACCTGTGTTGTTAAATTAGGAGCTACTAAAACTGAGTGACAACTTTCAGAGTCACCTTTAACGTAGTGAACAGTACTGAATGATGCAATCTCTTTAGAAACCAGTTCAAGTTCAATCCCACTCACCTCAATCCAGTCAATAAAGTGGGCAACCTCCTGTCCCACTGCTTTGGTGTTCTGAGCCGCCACCCCATAGTGGTTCTGTGCTGAATAGAGCCAGTCCACCACGATCACATTAGCTGTCTGCTCTCTCTCGTATAGCGCTGACACGAGCTTAGCCACCCAGCTTTCGAACAAACCACTCACCTGTTGACAGGAAATAAAAACAGAGCATTTACCTGACAGCACCACAATGGCATTGGCACAAATAACATTCTGGCGTTCATGGCGTTAATTAGAGTCCAGAGTGTTCAGGTAGAATTCATTTAACAGGGTTATTGTACGACAGTCCAGACCAGTCCTACAGGATGTTCTTTGGCTTTCACTTGGACAAGTTTTTACTTGTGAAGAAAGCTCTAATTTGGCCAGACTTGAAGGCACCGCAATTTGGCGAAAAAATAATGACGCATAACTAGTCCCAGGTGGTTTTCTGTCTAACCTACACCATAGTTAAGTGAACAAAGGCCTCAGGTGTTTTCATGACAGAGGGCCTGTCAGTACAGGCTGAAGCATCTCTGCTCACCGTCCATCCATGGATCACTAGGAAGGTTTTGGAAGTGCTGTTGAAGGTGCAGGCGGCCAGGGATTCAGGTTGACCGGGAACGATGTAGCACAGGTCATCTTCAGGTTGGGATGGTTTGCGAAGGGAGAATTTCGCAAAACTTTGATTTTTGTCATCTTTGTAGTCAAACAGGTCTCTCAGAGGGTGAAGGAGGTTACCTGAGAGGAGAAAAACAAGCTTTAGGTCTTCTGAGGAGAGATTCTGTGTGTAGATAGATGTAAATCTGATCTAATGTTCTGGCTGGGCAGACCAAGACGCCTGACTAGCTAACAGAGTGACTTGTTCTAATAAGCGTGGGCCCCTTTGAGGCCCCTCAGAAAATGAGCTTCCACCTTAGACTAGATCAGTCCTCCAGGGTTACAGGGGTTCACTTGGTCAGACTGAGCTCCATAGAAACCAACAAGTGTTTTTTCCCAGCTTTGTTCCTGCCATCTCATCCACTATAATCTGCCCGGTTTCAGAGGTTCTGACGCAGTCAGCTGACTCAACTCAACTGGGGGTGGTGCTGATTTTTAGAGTGGGGGGTGGGGAGATGGATGAAGGAGCTACACAGATATTTACAAGGCTTACATTGCGAAAGGCTTGAAGTTGCTGAGGGACCATATTGTTTTAATATGTGACCATCATTAAAGTTTTCAGACTGAAATCATTTAGTTTCACTGAGCAGACTGAAGTGTTTTCACCACTCTGAGACCTCTGAAAGTTTAAACCAACCATCTTGTCTCTCATAGCAGTAGTGGAGTAAAAGTTGGATATTTGCCAAGACAAAGACAAGTTTAGTCAGACACGTGATACTAGTTTCTCTTAGAGACCGTTAACTTTATCAGGGTCCTTACTACACACATCCAGCTCATACTTGCCACAAGAACTACGGTAAACGGAGACTTTGGCACCGTGTTTATGCATATGCATCATGCATTCAACTCTCGTTTCCATAAAGTGCGCTGATTTGTGTGGAAATGTGAGTGGATGAGGAGTAAACTGGAAACTCACCAGAAATAGAATTGGAGACTTCTTCTTCCAGGGACGTCACAGCTGCGTTCAACACCAGACTGAAGAGAAGCACAACTCGCCACGCTTTCATTTCTTTCACAGCTTTGTCTTCTCAGGGAAAAAAATGTCTTGAATACGGACCGGAGTCCAAAGGAGGAGTGTACAGCCTGCTCTTGCTCGGAGTGACTCAGTGCGTCCTGTTGCGCGCAGAGTATCGCGCTGATATCTGAACCTCCTTGAACTGTCCGCGTCTTAAATAGCTCTCTGACAAGCCATTGGCTGCTGACCCCGGGCGGGGAATGGAAAACTTGGAGTAAAGTAAATCATTAGACTGCTTTACAGCTGTAGTGGGCAAAGCGGATTCTCGTGAAAACCAGCAAAATGCACCATAAATATTTATTACTTTGTTAGAAGCGTGTTTCTACCATCAAATAGGCCAAACATGAGGATTAACTACAGTCAAATTGCATGTTTGGTTTATTACACTTTTGGTCCAAAAGATTCATCAACTGATTGAATGATTACTACAACAAATAACTGTAAAGTCATTTTGATAAAACATGTTTCATACCTGTGGTGAAGGTACCTCCCTAAAGGCAAAACAAAACCATAAACTCTGCAGAGAATACTCTGCATGCAGGTCTGCAATTACAACACTTGAACACTGTCAGAGCCTGACAAGTTTACAATAAAACCCCATATGCAGGGAAAGGGGACATTTCAAATAAAGTTGACTTATTTTAATAGAGACACAGAATATAGAAGCGATGTATCAGGAGTTTTAAATGAAGTTTGACAGTTTCAAATAAAGTGCACTTTTAAGAAAATTATCATCAATTAAATTTGAGACCTCTGGTTTATTCATTTATCAATAATTACCATCAGTCTGTGGGCTAATCGGGTCAAGAGTGTTTCAGGAGAGGACAAAATAACCATCCTCGTCACCGGTTGGTTTCATGTCTCTCCCACACATTCCTGGTACCATGCAGCTTGGCTGGATGCAAGGGGCCTCCTAAGGACACTCTGGGGCCCCCTTTTCACTGATCCACTGTTGTCATGGCACCAGAAAGCAGGTAAGCAGAGAATACAGAGCAGACACTAACAGGCATCGTTGTCAGAGTATAACGATTATCTGTTAGACTCTGACAACTTCACTAATGCAAAATGGAGGTGGAAACATATAAAAAATATTTTGACTTGGTTTCATTCATTCTCATTCATTGTTTAAAGTGTCTACACATAGTACAGCTGATAATCCAGCTGCTTTATAATGCTAGCAGCAGCTGATGTAGCCACTAACTAGCCTCAAGCTGATGCAGGAGCAGGTGAGGAGAATCTGTGAGATCTTATGAGTTCAATTTCTCCTAGTTATGAAACTTGTTTGCATTAACTACAGAACCTGTTCAAAAGTATCAATTGAGTCAAATTTATAGTTTTCCTAAGTTGATTAAATTGGTTCAGTTTAGGTTCTACATTCATATAAATCATACATATTTATGGGAAAATATGTCTCTGCTTCAAAAGAAATGCAAATATTTGTGGCTTTAAGCAGTAGACCTTGGTATCTACACTACAGGCCAAAAGTTTAGAAGCAAGATCAGATTTGTACAAAAAAAGATTATAGTTTCATATATATATAATTTGCAACACAATAAACATGACTATTGTGTAAAGAGTAACTTATCAGAAGACATTTTGACTATAATTATGAGGTATTTGAGTTATTGTTGCTTAGACTTTGCTTTTTTTAAAGTAACCTCCTCTGGCTTTAGCAACAGCTTGGCATATACCAGGCATTCGTTCCACAATTTTTTAAGGTATGTTCCAGGGATTGCATTTCAACCTTACTTAAGTTCATTAAAAAGAGACTGCTGATTCATGGGACGCATTTTTCTGACTGATCGATCCAATTCATCCCGCACAAGCTCAATTGAGAAAGGTCTTGAGACTGAGGGGGCCAAACCATCTTTTGAAGAACACCTTCCTCTTCTTTTTTGTCTAGGTAACCCTGACAGAGCTTGGCAGAGTGCTTAGGGTCATTGTCTTGCTGCAAAACAAACTTAGGAGCCACAAGTCTGAGTCCAGATGGAACAGCATGGTGCTGGAGGATGGAGTGGTACTGTGCTTTTGTAGTAACTCTCTTTCGTTTAGGCCTGTTCCTCTAGTCTCTTCAGAGTGTCGTGGACTTCTTTGTTAAACACCTTTAGGCGTTTTGCAATTTCTCTTTCTGTGTATCCTTCTTTCCTCAATGTACAAATCTGTACTTTTGTTTCTTTACTCAGTTGCTTCTTTCTAGCCATTTTTGTGGTAGTTTGACGCAGTTGAGATTTACTGGGATTTTTGTATGCAGACTCTCAAAAGCCAAAAAGTTGAAGTGAATAATCCAACTGTGATTTGTTTTTTTGCTTTTGCACTGAAGTTGTGACTCTTGCAAATGTTTTCGACCCTAAAACTAAGCCCTTATTATCTTTTGCTGACATATATTTAGCAATGGTCTGTTAAAATCAATGTACTGTATATCTAAAGGTAAATGGAGTAAAATGGTGCATTTCCATGAAAGCAACATCTGATCATGGAGTAAATACATCCCAAAATACATAAAACTCATGCTGGATTTAAAAAAAAAAGCAGTGAACAAAAACTTGAAGTTACTCCCAACTATTTGGCTTGTAATGGCCTTGCTTCCAAACTTTTGGAATTTTATGTCGTATATAATCATTTTGAGTATTAGTCTGTATCTCTAGGAGTGGGTCCCCCTCCACATAAGCCATCATGTTTGCACAATAGAAACATCATGTTTTAATATTTAGTGCGTGGTTTAAAAAGTGGTTGTTGTGGTGTGCAAAGACTTTCTGTAAGTTCAAGTTTTTAATCATAAAGAACTTGAGGATTTAACTTATTAAGCTTCACAGCAGCTTCTCATCCTTGAAAATGGCCATTGCTACTGGGATTTCACTAATGGTAGAGGGGAGTAAAGGAGTGTTTTAATAAAGAATCTGACCATTAGATATTGCTATTTAGTACACACACGTACATGTACATATTTTTTATTTATTTTGCTTATATAGAAGTCCATAATGGCCCTGTTTTTTTTATAATTATTCTTTCATGTCAGAACCAAGAGTTAATTACCCTGTTATCTGGAGTAAGAGAGGTATCAGTCTGGAGGTTATGAAATAATAAACATGTGATAACAAGTTAACAATAGGTTTTCACTTGCAGTGTTTATCGGTATGCAGCCAGGGATGCCAAGCCCTCATGCCTAAAAGGCATCAGTGCACTTATGGTTTTAGCTAAAGAAGTTACACACACTCACAAAAAAAAACATAAAAACATTCAACAAGAAGCCATCTTGATAGTTATCAAAGCAATCTTGATTGCTGAAAGAAGCCCTTCAGTACAGCCAAAGCCTGCCAAAATGGTGGTGGATGATGCTTGTTGAACAATGAAGAAAAACTGGAACTCGTAATACTTTACCTTGGTCCAATTTTTTAAACAATCTGATTATAATAAACAAAATAAATCCTTGTGTCATGACCAAACCTTAAGAAAAACTCCGGAAAGAGGGAAATATTGGCAGATATGATAAAAATTGAAGTCCTTGGTTGATTCGCAATAAAGCCTACAATCACACACTGCTCTTCATTTCCATTGCTTTGACCATATGACCTTGAACGTCTCACATAGAGCACTTCATTAACTAACTGGATAAAAATGTTGAAACATGCCAGTTTGGGATTATGTGCTAACATCCAAGCACAGTAATTGGTTTCACAGCGGCTGATTTGCTGCCCAAAACTCCAAGGAGGGATGCCAACATAAACTGGGCAGAAGGCCGATGGTATGATGAGTGAAAGTTACAAGCTTGTTTCTGTGACGGTCAATTAAACCCATAAGTTCTTAATCATGGTCACAGATTTGACAGCATACCACTAATACTCGAACTAACTATCGATAATTAGTGTCATAATTTAGTGGTGACTACAGTAGTGGTGTTAGTGGAAAAACACGAATTCTACCAGGATACAAATGTAAACACACACACATAATTCAGACACCCTTTTTTCAACAAGTCAGAAACAGAGTCAGGATATTGAAATAATTCAGATAATATGAAAATCTAAATAAATGAAAAACTTAACAGACAATTATGGATATCGAAAAGGAGGAGATGTGTTTAAAAAAGTGAACCAACTGGTACAAAAGTGGCACAAAGTTCCACTCAAGCTTTCAGAGAACAGTGGTGTAAGATTTCAGTGTTTTTTGAAACCTTCAGTGTATTTGATGGCTGGGTGAAGATTTAAGTTTGGTAGTTTAAGGAGTGCAAAGGAGTGGTCACTCTGTCTGTGGGGTTACATACATAGTAGGTTGTGGTAGGATGACCTAAGAGGTTGCTCCAATATGCATTAACATTAAACATTAAAAGCTTCAGAGTTCTGGGATGTAAGCAGGGCTAGGCCAAAATAGTTTTAAATTTCACCAACGTCCAGTGTAGTAAGGCAAAAATAGGTGGAAAGTCAGACCTGCAACATGACCTAGTTAAGGATCTGGCTGCTACAGTTCAGATCCAGGAAAGTGGTTAAGTTTGGAAAAAATGAATTCATGTATATAATAAGTAGTCCTGGGCTGGTAGAAACTTATTTTGGTAATGTTTGGGGTTGTACTCACAGAGACTAAAAGTGAAGTGTTTCGGTGTAAATGTCCACAAACCAAAACAACAAATCATTTAAGGCACCAGTAAGAAAAGAGAATCAAAACCAAGGAGTGAGCCCTGGGGTACCACATATACAGGTACAACCCAGACATTATAATGAAAGCTCTTCATCTTTTATACACACACACGTCATTCAAATACACAAGACTTTGCTCCCACAAAAGACCAGCTGGCTCCATGAACTGCTGTCCCATGAACTTTCAGCACTTTCCTCGAAAAACTGTGACCGCATTTGTTTTTCCATTTCTGCTCCCGCTTTTCAGACCTTGTTGCCGGTTTCTCCTCTAGGGTCGAGGCAATGAGGTCCAGAACTGACTGACTCAGATGCCAGAGCTCCATGAAACGATGACTTGGACTCTTACAAAGAGTTTGGCTTCAAAAAAATTATTCCTTCCAAGACTTAATTCCTGGGCTTATTTCTAGGAAAACACATTACCACATGACAAGATTCACAAATAAAGAGTTCAGACTTTCAGACTCTGTGATGTGCCAGTTACAGTACAAAACTTCTAAGAACTATATATCTATATATGTCTTCAAGTCATAAAGAAGAAGGTGGGCCAAACAATGCAAATAACTATGTACCTACAGACAGACACAGGGGAGGTCACCAGTAGGTTGCACTGCAGAGTAGTCTTGATGAGTGTCTCCTCAAACTTCACTGCTGTTATTATTAACATAAAATAGAAGAAACTAGATATCTGTCTAGGAACCTGTATGAACTGTGTTAGAATTCACCCATTCGGCTTGTATGTCAGTGTTTGTCAAAGTTCTTTATGTGTATTTAAACTGAACTGAACTTGGTATAACTCAAAAAGAAGGAAAAATTTAGTTTGCGTGAGTGAATTTTTGTTGTATTGTTGTAATGCATACCATGAGAGTAAACTGTTTTTGGTATAGTCATAACATATTGTTAGGGATGAAAAAGGCCTCCCAGTATTTTATGCGTGCATTTTTAGGGGTGGTAGAAAAGGGTATTCATATGCTCTGATTTTTCTCTTTATGTCAATGTGGCTGTCAGTGCTACAAAGTTCACACCCTCTTGTCTCTCTGTAAATAAGTCAAACAATAGAAATATCACATTTATGAATATTTCAAGATTAGTGGTAGCCACAATCTACTACGAAAAGCTCACCAAAATCATTAATACCCTTAAAAAGGAATACTATTTGTAATGCGAGCAAGAAGTTTTCATTTTTCAATCCTAAACAATGACGAATGCAAACGTTAAAAAACTTTTGTTCGTTCAGGGGCCATATTTCAATCGAAGCCTGTATCAGTGTTGCAAGCAGTGCATTCAAACAACTGGATGTAAAAAGTGTAATTTAAGAGAAGGAAAACATTCAGCATGTTTCTGGGTCCTCAGAGATACAGACTTCACTCTGTGTTCTTGTGAGAAACTTTGGCTGTAGAAAAATGTGCCTGGGAGAACATTAAAATCTCCTCAGGATGGTCCAAACTTACACAAAAGCATTGTTCGTTTGCGTGACATGTTAAAAATGATTCATGCCCATTCTCAGAACAACTATGTGTTTGTTTTTGTAACACTAACCAGGAGAAAAATGTCCTCCCCTGACTTGGCTTGACTTGTGTTTTTTTTTAAAACAGCTGTTACCCCCCGAATTATTGTGTTTCATTTTTAAGTTTTTCAAATCAGATTTTACCGACACCTAAAAGGCTTGTGCTTCTTCACTTTCATTCAAGAAATTCTGGTTCTTTTACTTTTTCACAATTCTTTTTAAAAGGTATCTGTATTTTCATGGTCATAGTCTACCTGTCGACAGAAGCGGTGTGACGACTTGGTACAGAAATTCCATATGTATAAATCGACAAACTAAACTGCTGTACAACATAATGCAGAAACCTTGAGTTAAAAGAAAGCACTTTCTTACATTTTCTTATTTGTTAATGATAATTCAAGAGAGCACTGTATGGTGGCCTGTTTTAGTATGTAATGTTCCTTAGAAGATAGATATTTAAGCATATATGGTTTTCATATTCCTTCAAATATGAATTGTAATCATTGTAATTCATGTTTTTCCAACTTTATCTTCTCATCTTTAAATTGTTAAGTGGCAACTCCACTCACAATTTCTCCTTTTGGGACTAATAAAGGAGTATCTTCTCTTATATTATGAGTATTTCAGAGTAACTCCAGCAGTCAGGCATATAGAAATATAGGAGTAATTATTTATTAAACCATCCTGGACACTTCATTTACACAGTGCACTGCATTTTAGTTAGTAAAAGTAAATGCACTGAACAGCTGGCAAGGAGACCAATTTGATTGATCCTTCCAAAGCCATGTGAATGAAATCATAAAACGCATCATTTATAAAATACAGATGACAATGGAAGCCCGCAGAAAAATATAATACAGCTTAATATACAAATATATAAATGTACATTCAATAAATACAATTAGAAGTATTCTTGAGATGTATTATGGCTATTATGTAGGTCAATCCAACTGGAAATTACCTGCATGTTTACCTTGAGTCAATATGCAATGTTTGACCTTTCAAAATAAGAGCATGTTGTTGATTGAGTCATTGAGGTAAACTGTTGGAAGTGACAGTGCTGACCCAAGTATTAAGTAATTAAGAAGCACCTAACCATCACTGCAATTTAAAAAAGTGACTTCAGTTCAATTTTGTAAAACTCAATGGTCAAAAGGACAGGTTGTGTCTCTTAGTCCAATGACCTCAACCTCTGAATGTCTACAGGGAACAGAGAGCCTTTTAAAGTGACTGGTGACACAATAACCAAAACACAAAGAACAAGCAAGGCTTCAAGGGATCAAATATTAGCACATGACCTATTCAAAAAAATATATATATAATACTGATTCAAATGTATATTTACAAAGACTGCTGTTATTCTCTGTTCAATATAAAGGAAATACTTCTTTGGTCCCTGTTGATTGTTGACATTTAGTGGTTAGGTACAGACAAATTCTAGGGATGGGGGATAGTTGTTTCTATTTAAAAGATTTAAAAAAAACAAACATAAGATGTGCCTAAGTTATGCCTTTCACTCTGAATCATTTATACAAGAACAATAATCCAAGTTCACACTGGCAAGCAAAACACACCACTTCAAAATACACCAAGAACACTATCAACAGTAGATATCGACTACAGAAGTATACACATATGATCAGAGAGATATGAGATAGGGAAAGCGACTAAAGGTTGAACAAATCTGAGCACATAATGTCAAAGAACAACTGTCACATATTTCAGCAGCGCAGTTTTCATAGAGACAGGGGGGAAGCTGCTGAGCCGACTGATTTCCAGCTCTGCGGGTGATCTTGTGTTGGAAGCACCGAGAGCTGAGGTCACAAGGCACAGCAGGAAGAAAATCAGAAGCATTCAGTGAAAGTCCAGTTACTCGCAAAGGTTTTTCCCAGTGTCTTTGTGTGCTCTCTATCTTTGGCTATAAATGTAGAAGAGGATAATGTGCACAATGGGCAAGTGAGTATTTAAGTGCAACTTCAAGCATCATCCTGCTCAAAAGCACTGCCCTCCATCTTCCGCCTGTGCATCCTGGAAAGGAGAGAAAAAATAGAAATGAAGAGAAAGACTCCTGGTCCTGATTATACATCTCAAAGCCAAATGTACAACTGTATCCATCCCAGCAAGTTTTCTAGGGACGAAGACAATTAGAAAGTAAGGAAGCTTCCTCTTAACTTACTTTTTCTCTTCACGGCTCCTGTTATCTTCCTTTGACTTGACAAAGACTGCATCCTCTCCTCCCCTGACAAGGTAGGCAAACTCCCCTTCCTTCGCGCTGAAGATCACCCTGAAATCATACAGAATTTAAAAGTTTTTAATCTGGATTCAAGATAAAATCATTTCATGAAATAACTGGACTAAATCACATGACAGTCATTGTATCATTCTCTGTAGTTTCTCTTCAATCCTATGTTTGTAGTGATTTCTAATGGCTTACTTGGACTGGTACTCTCCGGACTTGATGCGCAGTTTGCGGAGGTGAAACTGGGTGGTGCCCCAAAAGCTACTCCAGCTCAAGATGGCATCCTTCTCCCAGCGCAGCTTCACGATCATCAGGTCTCCAATGTCCACATCAGAGGTAATGAGGAAAGAAAGAGTGGTATTGCTGTTCAGGGCTGGCCTGCAGAGTGGAAAGAGTAGTAAAGGTCAAAGGTCTGCGGCTCAGATTGGAAGCAGTGAAGGCATCTGTGGTATGTTTGTTCTATGTGTGCATGTATGTGCGTGACGTAAGATGCACGAGAGCCTTTAAGTCTCTATTTAGTGTCTGTATGAATAGAAACATAGTTGCTACCATCTGTTTTCATTTCTTCATGGTTGCACGTGGTTGTGTTTTTGTTTCTACATGTCAGGTGAACTTTTTTATTGTACTCACAGGACGAAGGGAATGTCCTCCTTCTCTCCGTGGGTTCCAAACAGAGAAATCTTCATGGGCTGCTCTTGGAAGCTCAGCGGCTCTTTGCCGAAGAAATGTGCCTTCACCTGATAGTGAAAAACTACAAAAGAGCAAACAGATGGTACACTTTAGACACACGCTGACACAGCTGGATGTTTTCCCTAAGTATCCCATCTACTAAGTTGTTTACACTCTCAAAAAGCGCTTACATAACCTTGTCTCTGTCTGCATGTGACTGTCACGGTGCACAGATTAATGCTAAATCCTGTTTGCTTTCCCTCACTCACACACACAAATATGCATATTTATATATATCGATTTATTCCTGTTACATAAAACAGTTACATCAACACATGACAACACCCTTTTGCTTCTATCACATGTGAGCATCATTCATAAAGTCGACTCGTGCCAAACTTTTCCATTGCATATGCAGTGGTGTAGCGTTACCTTAGCATAGCTCAAGCAACCGAAGTACCCATGACCTCTTGGATGCTTGCTACTTGTTGCACACATTTAGCTGTGTTAGGTGCATGTAGTTTGTTTTTACTGACACTCATGTTAATGATAGTCTCTATCCCAAGTTAATGTAGCTACTTGCATCCAAGTGTAATTCTGTACCTTTGTAAGGCATCATCTCCCGGGTCTTCAGGTACATTGTGGCGCTGCGGGCCGTGCGGATCTTGTTGATGTTGTAGCCCAGTTTGTTGCAGCGGTTCTTCCTGCAGCTCAGGCACAGTCCCTTGTTAAAGGCGTCTTTCGAGTTGCAGCGGAAGGCCATGCTCTGCTGCTGGCTGTTGAGCAGGGAGTCAATGAACAGGTGGATGGAGCGCTCGTGGGAACATTTGACAAGCTGGTCCATATCTGCAGGAATGGAAATGCAGAAACGTTTTTGAAAATCTGTATAACTTGACGTCATACAGCAGACAAACACCCTTTTTGTGGGTACATTTTAGGATCCTTAACATGTCAGACTAAATGCTTCTCCAGATGGTGTTTCTCAACTGCTCTGGTCATACGACAGCTGAGAAAGTGAACCAGCACAACATCAAGAAAGACTTTCATGTTAACACAGGACAGAACACGACTGTGACACTCTGTGGTCTGTTATGTCTGCAGACAAACAGGCTTTAATTGTAGCCCTGAGAGCTTTTATGAAGTCAAAGTGTCTGTTGACACCATGTAAACTTAGACAGGTCCATCTTAATGATTTACCATGGCATTGTTATAGAAATCTTTCACTTTAATGTGGGCAGAGATGTGTATTTATGGCGCAGAGTGTTACACGCAGGAAAACGAGATTGGTCCCAGCAGGCTGGAGCAACTGAAGTATAATAATAAGATGCATGTCAACCAAAGGGGTTTGATCTAATGCAGACTCCACGCCTTAATTCATAGATATAAACTGAAACCTTACATTAAACATGACTTTAAGGTGAGAAGCAGTTTGATATAGTCAGAAGTATTTGGGAAACATACTTTGGAGGCCCTTGAGCCCTGCAGATGCAATCCCCAGCAGTGTATTCTGGATGTCACAGCCTGGCTGAAAGGTTCCTCCGTTGGGGTAAATGTCGATGTGGCCCACAGGTCTCTGGATGCCGATGCTGCGATCAGGGGAGCCCCTGGTGTTGGTGTGCAGGACGTCCACAAACTGGGCGTCGTCTCTGGACAGGGTGTTCTGGTTATCTGCATGCTCAAAAGTGGGACCAGCCGGATCCAGACCTTGAAGAGGAAGACGATAGAGTGAAATCAGTTTCTATCATCTGCTAGTCATCACAAACAGATCACTGCCAGCAGATCATGAATGTCATTTTAAAAACTTTATAGTAAGAATCACAGACACGTGGATTGAACCCAGTTGCACATGCACATGTTCACTGGGGGTCTGAGACATAATGGTCGGCAGATTGTATTTCATTAGTGTGCTTTCATGTTTTTATGAGTGCCAGATAGTGCCTAGACGTTCGTATGGCATACTACAGTATAGCATGTGGGTATGCACGGCTTTGCTCCAAGTCTAACCTTAGACACTAAAGCTGGATATAAAATAAGACAAATGGATACAGGCACAATAAGTTACATATGCTCTGAGGTCGAAGGATATATTTATAAAGAGGTGGTAAAATGCTCGACTCAGAAGGAAAGACATTGAAGAATCAATCAAAAATCATGGTTGCAATTAATAATCATGTACTTCAGCATTAAAAAACATTTGACCAACTTAACACGACTATTACCATTTTATAATTATGTAACATTACTTGAAATGTAGGAGGACAATGTTGGATATTCACCTGTAATCCTGCTGATTTTATGATCAGTGAGGTCTCCAGCAACTCCAGCCACATGTGCTCCCAGACTGTAACCCAGCAAGTGAATCCTGTCCCAGGGCAGCTGCAGCTCTTTCTGAAAGGGAGACGATGTTTGAGATGCTGATGGACATTCATGATGCAAATTCTAAAGAATTTCTGGGGGATTACAAGAGTTTAAGGTCATACAAAATAAAGCAGTACTGTCTCTGTTTGATTTGTGTCATTTAACACTGTGCCAAAATTGTGCAAGCTTCAAACTTTGAACTCTTAAACAAAAGAAAAACAAATAAAGAGCCTTAATTATGCCTCTGCCCTTTTTTGCAGGGTTGCTCAAAGAGAGAGCCCCACTTAATCCTCAGAGGCCACAGAGACAGCCATAAAACACCTTTATTGGGCGTTTAAAATCATAACCAGTAGGCAGGGATATCCCTCGCAGCCTTGTTGAGTTAAAAAAAACTGACATCACCAGCTACAAATTTGTCACAGATTCAGTGGCTGCTCTCTTTTCTTTTCATTCTCCGTGGATTAATGTAGAGTGTGGTGATAATTTGGCCATCCCAAAAGCTAAATGCACTTGACAGAGGAAGTGAGAAATTGTGTCCAGCTGTCAGCCAGCTGTAAACTTGTCTGGAAGAACATTCACCTGTAACCAGCTCACAAACTTGGCGACGTCCCGGCCGACCAGTTTGGTGTAGGCTGCAGAGGTGGGGTAGTGCTGGCTGGCACGGACCAACCAGTCTACCACAATCACATTGGCAGTGGGCTCCCTGTCGTACAGAGCGGACACCAGCTTAGGCACCCAGCTCTCAAACATCCCCGTGACCTACAGCAAAACACACAGATACACACATAGTCATGCACATTTGTGAGGTCAGCTGAAGTTTGGTGTGATTTACTCTGGCCTTGGCCCTCATTCTGTATCCTGGAGAGAAGCCAGGGGGTCAAATCTCGTTGCATGACTGGCTCTAAATCACATTAGAGGAGGAGATCCATGCAGAGAGAACAAACTCTGTACTCTCAGTACGAGATGTGTATTTATTGCCTCATTCACCTCATTGTACTATGTTGGGTCTCATCAATTAGGGCTTGGCTCAAGAGTTACGGTCAATTTGATGCTTACTGAAGCCCAAAACCTTTAATATGTGCAATACATAATCCCAACAAGTATTTTTGATGATGGGCCAGAAGAGCACTGAGTTCAGATTTTGAACGATTACACAAAGCTCTCCCAACTGATAGCTATGATATCTGATACTTTGATGTCATTTTATACAGTGAATCATGATAAAGACAGTTCTCTATTCGTGATGACTTACCGTCCAGCCATGAATCACAATGAAAGTCTGCGTCTCTTTGTTGAATTCACACTCTCCGATGGTTTCGGGCTCACCGGCCACAATATAGCACATGTCATCATCAGGGATGTCTGCAGTGCGCAGGGAGAACTTGGACTGAATGTCAGTGTAGTCTGCGATCCATTCAGTGGTGGTGGGCAGCGGAGGAGTCGCAGTGACTGTGCTGTTTACTGTAACAACAAACACACCAGAGGAGATTTATGAGATTATGATGGTATGAGAGACAGGCAGAGATTAACATGCACATGATGGGATTCAGATTTTTCTGTCCAGCATAAAGAAAAGGTAGAATAAAATTTGAAACAGTCAGCTCCTCTCTGTAATATGAAGTGACCATTTATGTGCCTTTTGAAACTCAGCCGTCCAGCTGGGATATAAAGCATGGCAGTGTCGCCCCCTTTTGTCTGTTCCTCGTTTTTGCCAGAATTAAACTGGTCAAAATCTCAAAATATGAATTGCTTATTTATTTTCTGAGTCATATAGTCAGAAAAAAAAGGAAAAAACTGGGAGAAAAGTATAACTTAATGATTAAAATGACTTTCAATCATTAAGTTATACCTAAAACAATTTGTAAAAGTCTGATTAGGCTGGATGTTTTAAGTTTAAATTATTAAAAAGTTTTTCAATCATAAAACATGAACTTTGAAACTCTATTTTTTCTCATATTTTTCTATATTTTTCATTGTTTTTAAACAAAGGGCCCACTTCTCCTCATGCACATGTGGCATGACTGGTATGAAATGGGATGCAGACCTGCAGACCTGCAGTCTAAAAGCATTACTAGGGGTTACTCCCGGTCAAAACGGAACAGCATGCATTAATTAAGCCGCTTTCTCTATCTATTGACTCCATTAAGACAGAGATAAATCATAAAGACGAGATCCAGCCAAAAAAAAAAAGTTATCATAGGACAAAACACCAACAGATAAGTCTTACCAAACACAGCAGCAGTACTATGTTCAGGGTCTGCAGAAAGAGTTGCAAAGAGTTTTCCAAAAAATATCCAAACTGTCAAAAAGCTGATATTTTCTTTTCCCATATTATTAAAAAGTTTTTTCCTGAAATTTCCTGAATGAAAAGTTCTCTTAATGTCTCTCGACCTCTTCTATTCCAGTCTCCTGTTTCTCAAATCAAAGCACCGGTCGTGAGGTGGTATGGAGTTGTGGTTTAGGCGTAAAGTTTCTTATGGTCTGTCACAGATGCCGCTACAAGTCATCTTTATGGGTGGCTCATTTGAATATTTACACATGATTGGCTGGAGGTGAGTGGGCGGAGTTTAAACTTTGGCCCAGCTCTTTGGGGGAATCATTCACAATCTTCTTCACACCGAGAGGCTGAAACTCTGCAGGGCAGCAAGGACTCTGAATAAATCTGGATTAAAGGGTACAATTACGGTTGATTAAAAACTATCATCTAGGCTGTTAGATTTATTAAAGTACAGGTATGTCAGAATACTTTACAGTTTTATTAAAGAAGAAAGCAGGAGGAAATAAGGCAGAAAAAAAAAAAACAATTCATTGGCTCCGTGACAAACCTGAGCTAAACCGCATGTACATGCAAGGACTTGTATTGAAACGTTTCTGAAACTGGACTTTTTATTCTATTATTACAAAAGTAGGAAACAAAAAATAAAGCAGGTTTTGAATTGAGAGGTGAAGTATTGATTTTAATTCTCATATGTGATTGAAAGTGTTGAAAACTTTTTTGTAAAAGGGTAAAAAATGACATTTGAACTACAACTTAATCCAGAACTTCATTTTATTAGACTTAATCTGAGATTTGAGAAGGAAAAAAAAATCAAATATCAGCCACTTTGACTTTAACTTACCTCTAAGTTGACTCACTTTATACAATGAAGTTGTTTTGTAAGAGTATTTCCTTTTACTGAATGGCTGAACCAGAATGTGACCTTCAGCACCATCTATTGTTTTAGGTTACCAACTTTGTATGGTAAAATCTTTTTTATATATGTTCATTTATATTTACTCAAACTTTATTTAGAGGCATCTCCTTTTTAATCAAATTCAGATTTCAAACAGATTTTCAAAAATAATCATTGAGTTGTCATGACCTTTACACTAAGTCATGACAGTGGAATATAAATCACCATAAGTAGTCATTTTATACTGTGTATAATAGACTGCTCTGTAGTTTCTCTACACTATTAAAACAATTTGTAAAGTAGTCGTATGAGCAATAAGTCATTTTAAAAAAGGATAAAAGTCAATACGGTCAAATTCAAATAGATATTCATAAAAATACCAGAGTAAAGTAGCAACAAGTGATACAAATATGTATTTAGAAAAGTGTCAGAGGATGTAATAACGTTTTCATCCAATTTATTTTCAGAGCTTTTGTGTCCTCTGTTTGTTCATGTTTGAAAAAATACATAATTTCTTATAATAAAATAAATAAATAGATTTTTTTTTTTTATTTCTACATCCAAGATCCTTCAACACACACGGTAAGTGATGCCTCGGTGTGGCCTAAAACGCCCTCCAAAAGGCCACTGGTGCTCTTTGTAACCAAGTCCACTGTGACAATCTTAGACACATCTCCTGTGTGTGAGCCAGGGGGGTTGGGGGGGTCGGGGCGTATAAAAAGCCCCCTCTCTCATTGGTGGAACCCTGATGAGTGTGAAAGTCTTAAACAATGACAAAAGCCCATGGGTAATTAATGAAACCTCTGTGTCTTGTCCCATGCCCTCTGATTGCATGAAAAAGAGAAACTGGGAAGTTTTTAGAAAGAAATAAATCAAGAAAAGAACATTCCCGCCTTATAACATGTCTTGGAAAATCAAAACAAGATGTCTGATGCTCGTTCGGCACTCGGGGGCACCGGAGAAAGTCCAAAAAAAGTGCATAGAAATCAGAAACATATGCGGGGGATGAGAGGCGGCATGAAGGAAATGTGTCTGAGGACATGTGTGGGAGTTTTATGACAATTTCCAAGCCAAAACATCTGCATGAGAAAATGTTACACCTCAATAAACTGAGGGCAACAAAAACAGGCTGACCTATTGCCTAGATATTTCCCCAGTGCGATATTCTCTGTCATTTTGTTCTCTGATTAAAATCACTTTCTGTTCGATATCCATAATAAATTTCTGAAGTTTTATCTGCCAGGAAATCAATCTCATGTGAGATGCTTTCTTATGAAAATATTACTCTTCTACAACCTGCAGAAAATCTAAACAAATTCACTCAAAACGTGATTCAGATAAAGATATATCACACTGAGAGCAGAGCAGGACATCTTGTTTCCTGTGTTGTTGCAACGATGAAGCACGTACATATTAAAGCTTCTGTGAGGAGTTTTACACATTTTATAGAACAGGCTGAAAACTGAAGTCATGAGCAGTAAAAGCAAACTAAACCATGAAAATTAAGGTTGATTATCTTAAATTGAAGAATAAGTTGCATGAATAGAAATTTGACCTTTTGCTCTTTTTTTAAGAAAACTTTCATGAAAGATTTTGATTTATCGCTGATGCTCTGTTGACATTAGCTCATAGGGTCATTGGTGATTCCTGTTTTAGGAAATGATTGGTGAATTTGGACAAAAGTGGGAAAATATAGACCCTCTAAAGAGAGTTGAGATCAGGTTGAGAAAAAATTCAGACTTATTTGTTGTCACAGCAGTAAGAACCATATACATAAATATATTTACATTTAATACATATATTTCTCCTGTTGTAGACCCAGATTGGCTGGTCATGTTGTATCTAAGGTGGCTGAGGCTATTGCTCTGGTCTGACTGTTACTGCTATGATGCCCTGTAAACTGGATGTAAAAGGGCACAGATGACAGATGGCATCTTGTAGTGCAGATATAGTCAAGTGACTGCATCAGGCATATGACAACCGAACTGGAGAAATACATAACCAGCATAGGCATGTGGACATGAACCTGCAAGAAGGGCTGAAGGCTGGTGGTGCAATATCCGCTCACATTAGCCACACTCAATAAACCAGTTTGTCATGTTTACCCACAGACTTTGTCACTCTGTGTTAAAAAACAGATTTTTCTTCACTTGGCGTGTGTCATATGTTAAATGCACTACCAAACGTCTGTGCTCATGCATTGCTGCTCTATATTTATCGTTTCCAAATATAGCTCGTTTCTATCATGTATGCATGTGTGTTTATGTTTAAACGTCTGTGTATGGATGTGTGTGAGTGCAGTGATTGTTAAGAAGGTGATGCTTATGGGTGACCAGAAGGACCAACCCGGTGATTAGGGAGAGGAGCAACGCCTCGCCCCGAGGCTCTTATCCTATCCTTAATCTCTGTGCTCACAACAGTTGCTGTATTTGAACCAAGAGACGGAAACACAGAGATAAACAACAGGGCTGAGATGTTGTATCATGTTGGAGTCACACCCAAATATCTTCAGAATAATTGTGGCATCCCTTTAATGGTACAGAACAGGCTACATGTGGTGTATTTATCAGGAAGAGGTGATGATAAGTAAAGTGATGACTGGCCTTTTAAACTATTGGGAAAACAGAGTGTTTGTGGTGTTTGGCCTGTGGACAGATCTGACAGGTTACACTCTCATGTTTTTCACTCTCTCTCAGATGCATTTTGTTTGGATATGACTCTTGAGGCCCGCTGAGGAAATTAAAAGATCACTGCAGAGAGAACGTTTATTTCCTGCTGGGAAGGAATTCCTTCACTTTCCAATTGCTTCTTCTCTTTCTTCCCTTTTTTTCTTTTTTTTCTTTTTTTTTTTTTGTGGACCATTGCAAACTTAAAAGGCTGCACATTTGTTTCACATTCCTCTGTTCACACAACTGACGGATTACGTCTGCTGGAGCCTGCAGAGCGGTACTGAGCTGCGCAAACTCCAACAGATGTTTTAGGTGCTGGTTTATCAAAAATGATTGCAAATCGTTAAATTAATATAAATAGAGAACATCTGATTTCTTTTTTTCTAGAACTGGCAGATTGAATTGACACAGGTGCAACTCAAAACCCCAAAATAACATCTTGCAGTCTCTTAAATTCTCTGAAAGTGCGATGTAAACAGTCATGCACAAACAAAAATCCCCAACTAAACATCTACTCTGATGACTCACTGAGAAGCAAAGCAGAAAAAAAGGGTTTGGTTTCAGGGGGCAATGCAGCCCCAATTTCACTGGGCCGCCCAGTGTTTCAGGCAGATTACACCATGTGTGTACGGTATGTAGCTTCACACTGCACGGGCTGTTTGATCCACAGCCAGAAACAGAAGAAGTAGCAGCTGATTCTCACTTTTACTGAGTCTGTTCCCTGGAGCTGAAGCTCGATCCTGATCTCAAGCTGCTCTCCTTTATCAAACTATATTCCCTGCTCATTCCTGCTTATACAAGGCCATCCTCTCATTGTTTTCCTTTCACACTCTTCACGTTGTGTTCTTTGTTATCTCTGTTTCCATTTTCTTTCAATGCCATTGCTCTCCAGACACATCATGGAAAGACCTTCAAGAATTTCTGCAGAGACCTTCAAGCCAGCTGGAGGGTTTAAAAAAAATGTCAAATAAGGACGAGAAAAAAAAGTAATGAATCACAGTTTCTCCATCACTACAGTAAGGTTCATTTCACTTGTGGTACTAAAGCCACAGAAAGTGCGCTCATTAGTCAACAGCAGAAGGCTTTAATCGCCCATTCAGTAATCCATTAGACGAGGGGAAAGATTAGTTGAAAGGAAGAAAAGCTCCCCGCGAGGAGATTGGTCTTTATGAGTCTCCTGGTAAAGAAACAGTGAAGTTGTAAAAGACCGCAGAAAGACTCTCTCTCGAGAGAGAGTTGAGTGTGTGTGAGGAAGCCGGTATTTTATGCTTCTATTCAAGGTTGACATGAAAAGGTTGTGCTGTTGCTTGTGCGGGCAGTGTAACAAGGAAACTCAATGATGCATGAGCAGCGTGCAAGTGTATGGGTTAATGTGCATTTGTTGGCATAAACTCATTTGGGTGTTTATGAGTAACATACACCGAGCAGGTTTCTTGTTTGTATCCAAACTGTGGCTGCCCCTTTCATGAACCTTCCAGCCTTCATTCCAGTAAGTAAATCTAGAAGACAACGGGAGGGAATCTTACCGCTTTTGAGGAAAACAGGAACAGTCAACGCAGAAGTTTAGGAGAGACTATCCCTTTAATGGCCTTTGTATCATATATGATACACACTTTTATACACTTCTATCAAACACCTGAATACAGTCCAATAATGATAAAAATGTCTTCTTGTGGTTTATCAGTTTCCAAAAACATCTAATGTACAAAAGGAGATAAATTTATATATTTGTTAAATTTTAAGGACATTTTGATTTCTTTGGTTTTCAGCAGGAAGTGAAATAAACATTTCAACTCCAAAAAAATTTGAATTTTCTGGCCATAATTTGTGGTTTCAGGCATTAGAGGGCTATGTTAACAGATTATCAACAAAATCTGATGTTTCTGGAGTACAAGAGGGATAAATGTTCACACAGTAAGGCAAAAACACCAACTTTGCATGGTACACTGTTAGAAATGAAACAAAGTCACTGCTTTAGCTTGGAGGTTAGAGTCCTTGACACAGTGGTTGCAAGTCCAAGTCCTAGTTTAGTTCTCTGCTGCATGTCATGACCCCCCAACCTCTTTTCCAAAATATTACAGGCCTCTCCTCGACTTCATAAAATAAAAGCCCAAAAATGACGCTCAAATTACTCCTAAAAGAATATATGAATTCTTGGGCCACATAGACAGACCCTGAGAGGAAACAGTCCCATTAGAACAATAAGTAGTAACTTACATACAGCATTAATTTACACTTACACAAACATGTGGGTCAGCAGCTGTGCATCTGTCGTTGCATGTCCTTCGTGAGTCAGCTCCCACAGTGCTCCCACAGTCCTTTACATTCTGCGTCCAGCACAGAAACGCTCACACACATTAGTCATGGATTAATACAAGTCCACACAAAGTCCCAACAGGGATATTAACACAAATATATGCAGCGATATATGCAGCGCAAGACAGACAGCACACATGTTTATGTGTGTAGGCTGAGATTGAGTTCCCTTCAGTTTTTTCATACATTACATAAACTCGGGTTTTATATGGATGATATGGAAGGAATGCAGCGGACCAGAGACTGAGTGAATGAGTAGTCAGAGCATAAAGACAGCTGGTCAGGCTAAGGAGATTCTCGCTGTACATGCCGTGGTCAGCAGCAATCTGGTCAAAGAGGACTTTCTCAACTGACTGATGTTGAGTCAGGAGAAAGTGGAGGTTTCATAACTGTTTGATTTCAAAGGCCGCAGAGAGTACAAGTGTCTGGACTGGGGTGGGAGCCAGAGGCTAAGACAGTGCGTAGGTCATCTCACTGTTGTCTTGACTTTTAAATAAGAATATTTTAAAAGGTTTTCTTACCTAATAAACATTTAAACTTGTACTGTTTTGTTACATTCAGGTCTTTTTTTATTAGACCTATTTACGGGGCTTTTAATTAAGTCAGGAGTTTTGTTCCCTTTGCAACCACACCTATAAAGACTTCAGTCTGCAGGGATTGTAAAGGATTATTTTTAGGTCAAAAACTGGAAAGTATTTGGTCAGCGTTTGCTCTTACTGTTTAGCATCTCCTTCTTACAGCCTTGGGTGACAGAAGAGTAACTTTGTCTGACTTTCCACTTGTTTCTCTCCATGATGAGGTTTGGACTGTGGCGACCCAGCTTGACTCAAGTTTTGGCCTGTCCTCAGTCTCTGAGCTCGATGTCTCTGGCAGTAAGGGAACTTTGCTTACATCATTTGTCTCTTACTGTTGCCCGGCATGAAGTCTGGATGTTCAACATGACGGTTTGTGAGGACCTGGACTGGAGCTCTGGCTGCAAACATCAACAGATGACAGATTTTCCAAATTGTCTCGGTTGTTCTGTTGCTGCTTACAAACTTCAGTCTGAGGTTTGACCTGAATCCCTTTTAAACTCTGAGGAAAGACGGCTTGGGCAGATTAGAAAAGTCTATTCAAAACCTCTCAGAAAGATTGAAAAACACTTTCTCTATGGCAGTCTTGATGGCAGAATCTCTGACAAAAATACAAATGAGGATTTAATGGGGTATTTCTTAGATTTAATGTTGAAGGGTTTTGTTTAGCACTACTGTTAATGGAGTAAAAAGTTACAAAAATCCTTGTAGGCCTCTGTTGTCACTGGACTCTGTCTGCTGTGGCTTCAGACGTGCAGTTTAAATCAATAAAGGAGGAACATTACCTGCTACTAGTATGGGACACCCAAAATCTGTCAGAAGTAAGATTGGATTATGGGTAGTGTAGGCAGCAGGTTTTGACAACAGGTAGGATTTCAAGTCTGACAATGTTATGGCACTTTCCTTTAGTTTGATGTTGGTGTTTCATATTGATCATCCTGTGTTACCAGTTTTAAATCACTAAAGGTTTACATGATTGTGTCAACAGCATTTGATGAAGATATTCTCATTTCACATTTGATGGCAGAATCAATTCAAGAAAGTATTTTAAAGGGTGTTTAACTTCATATCAACCTAGATGTCTTCATTTTTCTCCTCCCTGTGGGTCAGACTCTAACTTTTCTGAAAACATAACAAGGATGTTTTCTCAGCTTTGTTTTCCCTCAGCTGTTGAAGGAAACTTTTGGTGGATCCCCTCACATTAGGCCTAAGGTGGACTCAAGTCCAGAGACTTGCAGAGAAGCACATGCACATGAGAGAACAAATATAAACATGCCACTAAAACATTGGGACTCCACCTCAGCTCCCCTGCTGCAGCACCTCACATTCACATGCATGATAACCCACAGATGTCAATCATTACAAGCCCCGAAACATGGCACCAACAACCTGCTGTGTGATATGATGTGAACTCCATGATCTTTATACATTTCTCACGTGCTGTTCACAGGTAGGGCTCTGGCACCTTCTCAGCTTTTCTCATCCATAAAGTTTTGAAATGAGGAAACAGTTAAAAGAACAATGTCTGCTGTGCTTTAGTAATATTTGGATATCAATATAGAGAGGCTGAGAAAAGAGGAGAAAGACACAGAAGCAAAAACAAAACTCAGAGGGCAGTGCACTGAGACAATTCATCAGAGCAGACATGAGAGCAAATAAACAGAGGCCAGGAATCTGGGTAAATGGTGTTGCACAGCAAGGGGCAACACTAAGGATCACTGATGTCTGCGTGTGTTTGAGTGTGTGCACTCCCTCTACACAATCCTTAAAGTGTGTGCTCGAGTGTATATGTTTCTTCCTTTGAACGTGTGTCTCGACTTGAAGTGAGACCCTCTTTCCTGTTAACACCCCATGTGCTCTTCTTCCCTCAGTGGTCACACTGATTCAAGCTGTTCATTTTACATCTGGTGAACTTTTTCTGGTGGTCATTTCGGGCAATGGGAGAAAAGGAGGTGAATCAGCTGTAGGGATACTTGCACATGACCTTTTTCCCTCTCAAAGAAGTCATGTCCTCTGTGCCCTTTTCATCCGTCCTCAGTGAGTGAAATATTTGTCATGTCCTGGTTAACGCCTGAAATATATGAAAGATGTGGAGACAATTACAGCAAAAACCTAGAGCTCTTAAGTTCTTCACTACATTGTTTATGTTGGTGTTGAAGTCAATTTTAAAAATGTTCTCATTGTTTCTCAGTCTGCATAATTTCCAACACTCAAGACACAGCAATTGTTCTGCCCTCTATATGTGGTTGCGTTACCCCCTCTAGTGGGTATTAGGTAAAAATGCAGGAAATTGTACTGATTATAAACTCTAGAGGTACTTTGTACTGTTGCAAGATCTTTGTAAAAGCACAGACACATATAATAACATATATAATAATGCATAAAATGTAAATATCTGTAGTTAACATGCAGACCTAAATCCTTCCTTGAAAGTTACAGGCATCTTAGGTAAAGCTACATTTAAATATGATGTTGTTTTACACTTTTTACATGCAGGTTTCAAGATTTCTCTACCCACAGTTTTATCGTTGCATATTTATATTTTTCACATTCATAGTTTTACCTTCACCTTAACCCTGATCTTGTTCCCTTTCACTTACATGTTCAAGAGTAACTCCCCCTGTGTTACCACAGAATCTATAAGTCAGTGGCTAAAAGCTGTGCACCATTATTGGAGGAAAATACAAGAGAAGTGTGTAAGAAATGTGTAAAAGTCTATTCTGAGGTCTGGGCTGGTAGTAAATGCAGGGGGAAAGAAAGTTACTCCAAAAGCTCAAACTTCTGTTCAGTGAAACTCCAAGTTGATGAAGAAATATTCAATTGCTCATCATATAGTTCACTGGTACTGCCCCTGTTTTGGGTTCATATGATGATTCATCGCTTTCACCCAAATGAGCTGCAATTTGTCGGAGGAGGAAAGTCCCTGTGGAAACAGAGGAAGTTTATTTACAGAGAAAAGGAACTTAAAGCCTGTAATAGATGAGGATCAGGGAAGTAAAAGTGTGGAAGTGAATCACATCTAAATCAACACAGTGACTGTTTTGGCACTTATGCTCTAAATTAGTGTAATGTACAAAGGTCAGTATGCCATCATTCACTCAGGGTCATTTCCTGTTTCAATGAAAAAGATTTATGCGTCCCAAGAACATGAACAGTTTGCATGGATGTACAGACAGAAATTAAACATAGCATCACTGATAAGTCAAGCATCTTCAAATTTGACTCTTCATTTTAAGACTCAGTTGGAATTTAAATGTTAAATCTATGATGACTATTCTTTTGTTTAATATGAGCATCTCAAATGATTTAATGTTCATCATGGCTTTTAATGATTACGGTATTTGTACTTGACCACCACAGAGACTCTAAAATATCTTAATTTTTCAGATGAAAAAAAAAATGACCCCAGCAAGACAGGTTCTCTATAATAAATCATATCCCAGTGTCAAAAACATGAACAAAATATGAGTCAAAGAAACTTGGGATGGGAATAATATGGAGTATAAAATCACAGATTTGATCAGAGTCAAAGAATTCTGAACACAAACATAATTCAGGAGGATTTATTACTATAATTCATTGATCACACAAATCCAATATTATGTACAGAACGCAGATTGACAAAGTAAAAATAAAATGGTTTACCAGAATGTGACATCAAGCTTAAGAACCTTTTCCATAGCAGCACAACTGTACCAACCATCGAATTATAAAAGAAAACATCCAAAACCAGTTTGAATCTTGAACAAATTTATTTAGACGAAAACTTGTCTGACGAGAATGGAAAATCCTGCAATACATTTCAGACACAAACTGGGAAGACTGGAAAGGTTAGGTCCATTAACCCAGGCATCTAAAAACATGTGAAGTTCGATATCAGAGTCGTAAATGACTCTCCTCCATACAACATAGAGCTGTGTAAAATACATTTTCGGATGCAGGGATGGATGTGCTATTCAAACACTGCAGATATGACCAAATGCGAAATACAAGGAAGGGGAATCACTATGAAAGCACACATACACACACACACAAAAAGAAAAAAAAATGTAGGCAACTTAAAAATAAAAAGGTCTTCATCAAAATCCATTGGAGTTGTGTCAAAAAAGGAATATCCAATTAAAAACATGTACAAGAGCAAGATGGTCACAGTCTGAGTGACGTGACCTCCTCAAAGGGTTCCACTCATATCTTCAAGACTTCAGTAACGTCGACCAAAAGCTCCACCCTGCAGCCCGCTGCCCTGCATCAGCTGGTTCTGTCTGTTCAGAGCTCCGGAGAGGGACTGAGACGTTCCTGTGTTCATGTAGCCCCCACGGCTTCTGATGAAAAAGACACACAACTATTGATTACAAAGACTGCCTGCATCTTGAAATGGCCTAAATTATAAATGAAGTAAAGTCGCTTTAAATCCCAGATACTCAGTCCTCACCCTGTCATCCCTCCACGCGCCATGTGGCTCTGGCCTGGGATGGCACCATCTCTATCTGGAACAAGAATGTCAACATTAGACCACTGTGGGTGTGGGTACAGTTTTTCATAGAGTCCATGACTTTAAAATGTACATCATGGTATTTCTAAAACAATCCTTGCACATACTTTGCCATGATCTGTCTCCATCCACCTTTCGATTGGAGTCCCAGTCTCGACTTCCTTCCCTAAAAAGACAAACATGTTTTTTCGCACGTTCCAGTTTTCAGGGAAAATGTTTGACCAACGTCAGTCCAGCTCAGTGTAAAACTCACCTGGGATTCATGCGTTTGTCATATCCTCCACTCCAGGACTCTCGACCCTCTCTACCATGTCGGTCTGAACGGTCCGAAAAGTGCTGCAAGAGGAGTCACAGAAGAGTTAATCTCTCACACCCTCATCCTCAGAAAGGTGTGGGCTGTAATAGTCAATCTTTCGATGGTCTTTGTTACATTTTATAGAGGTGCACTTATGCTCAGAGTGAGAGAAGTTATTCTCCTGACTTTAGATAATGTCAATATGTCAAATGTCCTGACAATAATCTTAATTTGTGAATAAATATTTTCATGCTTTGTTGAAGGATGTTTTTGTCACTTTCGGACTCAAGAGTTACTCAGAGTCTTACCTGGCCATCTCTGTCCGCACCAATACCCCGAGCACTGTCACGTCTGTCCATCATCATATTGTCTTGGTAACGACCTCTGTCCCTGTGGTCAAAGTCCTGATACCGATCCTGACGGTTGAAGTCTGAGCGGCCATAACGGTCATCCATGGTCATGCGCTTCTCAGGCCAGTCATCCTTCCTAAAAAAAATAAAATTAAAAAAGAAGAAGCAAAGACAATGTCCAGAGTTAAGTTTGTCCAGTGAGCGGCTCTGTACTGACCTGATAAAAAAAATTGCTGCAGCACTCAGTTTCATTCTAAGTTTAATGCTGCGAGTCTAAGAATTATACACAACACAACTGAGCGGGTCCCTGCAACAAAACAAGTACATTTGCCGTTTCTGTTATTTACCTGCCCTCCATGTCATAAGGCCTCTTCACAGGCCTCCGCTCTTGCTCGTAACGCAGCTGCTCCTGCTGCCGTCGCAGCTCCTCCCGCTCCCTGAGGATCCTCTCTTGCTCGCGCCGCCTCTCGTACTCAATACGCATCCTTTCCCGCTCCAGGAACTGACGCTCCATCCGGTCTGCCTCCAGCCGCTGCTTTTCAGCCTACGAGGGAACAAAAAGTCATAGTGGAGAATAATTAGAGAATAAGGCTGCCTATCAGAAGTTCAACCAATTGACCAGCTGCAGTCACTTGCCTACTATGACTACACTCGCACACGTGAGGGACTCTGCTAAATGAGCCGAGTCACTTTCAGGGTGCTCAAAAAGGATGTATGTAGAGAAACCTCTGAAGACTGGAACGCCTGCCCTACTGGTCCCAGCCGTTTTTATGTTTACCTGACAGCATGCGGTTGTCTACCTCAGTCACAAGATTCACCACGACAGCTTCAGGGAGAAAATCCAACCCTGAGATGAGACTTCAGAATTGCTATTAATTGCTGTTAGTGATGTGCGACGAATCTTGTGACTTAAGCAGATGACAACTCCATTAAGCAAACAAAATTAGTGACTAATAAGTCAACAGTAATGGCTGCCAAATCTTCCAATGTATGGCTGTGATCCACCCCCACTTAATGTTTTTTTTTAGCAAACAAGGCAGAGCTGCAGGAACCCTTTCTTTGCCTGTTGCTTCACCCCAAAGCTAAATAAGAGGTTTCTCATGATTGAATATGTAGGTTATGGCAGGAAATGTGTGGACAAGATGATACGTTTAAGTATTGTGAGGTCACATGCAAAAGACAAAAATTTGACTAATAAGAATTTCATTAAATTCTTCAAATGAATATTGGCGTCTATTTCTTTTATGTCAGTCTTCAAAAAGTGCAAACACTGAAAGCAACACAGTGAGAGAGAAAAGACTGATCTTCTTACATTAAGGTTATCTGATGTTACCTCCAGCCAGTGTCTTTTCCTCATCAGGTGGTTTCTCTCCTCTCTCTCCCGGAACAGACGGATTCGCTCCCGCTCTCGGTCTGGGCGGTTGTCGCGATCCCGGTCTCTAAAAGAGAGAAGAAAACAAAGTTATAACTCCCTGCTACAAATATGCGGTATTTAGAGGAAAAGTTAAAAGATTGAATCAGAAAGTAGTGGTGGGCTTTAAGATATAAAGTACATGACTAAAACAATCAAACCATTCAAGGATTATCTTTTAACTCAGAGTGTAGTATCAAGTCCTCCGTGTGTAATCCTTACGTCACTCTGCGTCTCTCCACCTCTCTGATCTCCCTCTCTCGTTGTCTCTGCCTCTCTCGCTCTCTCTGCTCCTTGATCTGGTCAAATGATAGGATATCTTTCTTCTCCTTACTGGGTGACTTGCGGTCCCGACTCTTTGTGCTCTGAAGACAAAGAAACACAAAGCAAAAGTGCCTGGAGGTCAGATAATTTCGATAACAATCACTGTTTGTGGGGGGGGACAATCATATTTGAGTGCAGCTTTCCAGTGTACAAACAGCGGTTAACTCACCCTTTCCTTGCTTTTGGTCTTGACACTGATGACAGGCTCTCCTTTAGACTTGTCCATAACTACAGTCCTCTCATTTCGTCCTGTCAAACATAAATTGATTGATCAAAAAGGGGGGAAAAAAAGTGTTTCTTCAAAATTGTATTTGACTGTCAAAGCAGGAAATCATAACACTGAAATCACCTTTTCCATCTTTTCCTTCTCCCTCAGACTTCTCATCCTTTCCATCAGATCTATAAAGAAATATGAAATAGGTTAATGACTATATGAACTTAAAAATACTTCATACTTCCCTTCTTATAAACTTGATGGCTACTTTAGTCTTGAGTTTTTTAAATCAGGGGCTCAACTGCTAGTTAGTTTATCATTTGTACATGCCATGATATAAGAAAAAAAAAAGAATTCACCCATGGTATTTCAAAACAAACCAGACCAAAATACTGGGCCAGAGTGGTAAGGGACTTGTAAGCAGTCTTACTTGGAGTCCGAAGAGTGTCTCCTGTCACCACCAGATTTCTTGGCTTCGTTTTTGTCAGCTGGCTTCTTCCCCACAGGCTCATTTTTTGCCTGCAATGTTTAGATAGAAACAAGTTTATTCAAAAAGGTAAATGAAAGATACGGTTCCACGGTGACCATATTAGACGGTGAAACTACAAAGCTACCAAGTTTTTCTGTCTCAAAATATGTTAGAAGCAGGCTGATAACTTTTCATTCAGATCTCTTTAGAGCACTGGTTCTCAATCAAGTCCTCGAGGCCCCCTGTCCTGCATGTTTTGGATGTTTCCCTGCTCCAACACACCTGATTCAAATGATAAACTCGTTATCAAGCTCTGTAATGGCTTAATAACGAGCTGATCTTTGAATCAGGTGTGTTTCTGCTTTAGAGTGACCTCCAGCATGAGTTTACTAGCCCAAAGCTCCTCCAGTTCACGCAACCCTTGAGAAACCAAGTGAAGTCAAAAGCCCCCCCCGACCCTCACCCGCTCCACAGAGATCATCCTGCCATGCAGCTCAGTCCTGTGGAGGTGGCTGATGCACTTGGTTGCCTCTTCTGTGGAGGACATGGTGACAAAGCCGTAGCAGCGAGCCCCAGGGCTCTTGGCGTTTGTCACCACCTTAGCTCCAACAACCTGCAGGAAGACATGAGACAAGTGTGAAATTCTCACACTTGCACATCCTTGGCACTATGAAAATGGCAAGGGATCATCAACGCAGACTGACCTTGCCATATTTGCTGAATAGGGTCTTCAAATCAGTCGCTCTGGTTGTGGAGGAGAGACCACTGACCCACAGGTTCCTGCTACTGCTTGCTGCAGCACCACCTCCAGCTGCTGCAAATTGATACAGAACTTACTAATGAGCATTTATCCACTCAATTTTAACACTGAGGCGTTTGGAAAAATAACATGAACTCACTCTTTTCATCTTTAGACTCGGTCTTGCCATCGTTTTCCTCAGAGCTAGAGAAAAAGAAATACACGCTATAAACATGCAGCTGTGAGAATAACTGATGAAGGTGTATATAATCGTTATTTATGGTATAACACAACTCTGACAGTGATCCGCCCATAATGTACCATAGTGCAGTGGTTTAACGGTGATTAATGAATTTGTGCCCTCTCGAAATCCCAATGCATTACTTGTTAATGGGTAATCAAGTGGGACAGGTGGGTGTAGAGAACGACAAATGAAACACACAAATGCACAGAACGTATTTACCTCCAAAAGAGCATCCAATTTTTTCTAGCACAAAGGAGCCAATGCAACAGAGATAGCCATTTTGGTTTCTAGTAGACAGAAAGCAACAAACCTCTTTTTCTGATCATCGCCCTCTACAGAAGAGGACTCTTTCACAGTCGAAGTTGCATCCGCAGCAGCTTTCTCTTCTGTCTTCTCATCCTCCTCACCCTTAGACCCCATTTCTGAACCAACAGTTTCATCCCCCACAGTGCCCTGTTCGCTTACACTAACAGCCTGCAAGCTTTTGTTCTCAGAGTCAAATGTCACTTCGGGGACCGTCTGCGCGTCCCCAACCTCTTTGGCGTCAGTCTCTACAACATCCCTGTCGCTCTCCACGTCTCCAGGGGCAGCCTTGTCGGACTTGGAGCCGGTGTCGGACACATTTTCTTCCCCTGAGGCTGTGGTGGCAGCTTGCTCTTCTTCATGGCTCGTCTCGTGGCTCTGGTGCTGATCTTCGTTAAGCGGCTCAGATAAACAAGACCCGGCTACTTTGTCATTTTCTACGGATTTAACAGGAATAGAATGGCACAGAGTTTAATCACTTCTGAAACACAGTCATGGTTAACGAGGAACTGGCAAGGCCTGGATTAGGAACGTCATGACCACTGGCCTGTGTTTTAGATCTACGTATTAAAATGATGAAGTAGACCCTAAGGAGAGACTGGAAAAGAACCCAAAAGGCTAATAGACAACTTAGCTACTTTGGCTCATATCTCAAGTTGAACCACTGTTCACCTGATCCCAAGCAGACAAAGAGTTCAAAGTTCTGAAGAGAGCCACAAGATCTGCGGTGCAGCGGGGACATCCTCACTGATGTTCATCTTCTTGCAGCTTTTGATGCTCCTAGAGTCCAGAGGTAATGTACAGAAGTCCAGAAATTTGATTTCCAGCTGAGTCCATGTCTTTAAAAACTTTTCATAGTTCTTGACGAGTCTTCTCTGTCTTGATCTTCATGCGGCAACCTAGAAACACTGCAATCACCAGCAACAGCTCACACCTCCCTGACCTGGAAATGTAATTGCTGTCGATGTGCATCAAATCGTTAACCACTGCTGTTTTTTAACAACTTAAGAGCATAACTGGACACTTCATACATTTACCAGTGACTTATCAATTGTGGTTAACCTCATTTCAACACATAGCCAGCAATTCCCTTTGGGCTTCCAGTCTCTCCACCTGATGGAAGCTAAACAAAGTGTCTGCAATCCAAGCTCAACACTGTAAAAAGATGTCTCCATCTTTTTTTTTTTTAACCCATTTTCTACAGTACCTGTTTCTTCTTTGGCGTCTTCGGCATCTGGGTCCTGCAGCTGAAAGAAAAGCATAGTATTTAGTGAACTCGTCCTCTTGCGACATTAGGGTTTTACTCAAGATTTAAAACCATGAGCATTCTTGAAATAACATACCATATCACCCGACAAGCCTGTCATAAAGTCACGCGTTTCCAACATCTCAGGCTCATCCATCTATTCAAAAAGTACAAACAGAGACATTTAGAGAAAGACCGGCAAAAGATCAACAGGAAGAAACATCACCAGACTAAATTCTCACCTCTGGATCTTTCACTTCATCTTCAGACTCAAAGCCCCTGTTGTCGTGCTCTTCGTTCAACAAAGCGTCTTCATCTAAGTTCTCTGCCTCCTCCTCCTCATCCTCAGCTGGTATTCCATTGTCATTTTCCGTCTCGTCAAGGACGTTCATGTCCAGGATGTCCATTTCCTGCATGTTTTCATGATCATCTTGTTGCTCCTCCTAGAGAGAAAAGGAAATATTGGATCAACGGTCGCTCCAAAAGCAAACAAAAGAAGTTGTTCCTATATCAATATAAGAAAAGCACCAATCAGATACAAGGGTTTAAAGACCTGACTAAAAACTTAAAGCCGTCTCAGCTTTAGGTGCCGTTACTGATAACTATTGATAACTGATAACAGAGAATTGGCTGATTTTTAAGGTGACACTACACTTAACAGTTTCATGAGGAAAAAATATTCAGAGGGGGTGCAAGCTCAGCTGCAGCTTGAGCTTCTGACTGAATAAGAATTTCAATCAGCAGGCACATGGTAACAGCAGTTCTCCATAATACAGACAGAAGTGAAATCTGACGGTGAACTCACATGGCCATCACGGGAATCCTCTTCCATTGTGCCGTCCTCTGGTTCATCAGTCTCTTGCTTTGTATCTATAAAGAAATGATTCAGGTTTGACCAAGTCTTTCTGCGAGTGCGACAGGTTTCAAAGCAAACTGTCGGTTGTCAGTTTTCACAAGAGGTGAATGATCTGAATGCAGTCCAGGATATGTACGTGGCAGACTCCTCCCTGCACTGTTATTTAAACCTTGCAGCCCACACCCAGACTTTGCCCTGCCTGATGTGATAACATGCTAATGATTGGTCTTCAAAATTAGGCGGAGAACTCAAGCCTTTAATGCTGCTTTCAATTGGTCTAACTCTGAGGAATGACTGTTACTGAATAAACACCTGCATGTCCTCCTCCATTCTTGTGTAAGGATTCTCCCGGTACAGATACTTCTCCTGGTATGTATTAATAATTTGTTATAAATATTTTCTGGCATAGACAGAGGTATTCACTCCTATTTTGTGTGTATAGTTAACTCCTATAATATTTATAAACTTTAAGTCCAGCTGCACAGACTGTGAACTGACCACACTGGCCAGCAATAACTTTAGGAACATTTACATGGTTTTGAAAGGTTAAAAAACTCTTACTCGTGTAAACTTTAAAATTAACACTGCATATGTTTGTAAATGGAAAATAAAAGAAAACAAGTTACATTGTTGGACCCTAACATTTTCATTACATTCTCAAAAAGGATTTTATTTCTGTATTTTGTAACACATGAGCCACATGGCAACAACTCACACTGTTTGATACAACTAATTCCTATTTTATTCAGGCTGTTTAAATACAACGTGGTTCACAACATGAAAAAGGAATATAACCTCCATCAGGTGCAGGTGGTTTAACACAGAGGCTGTGTGTCTGCAGGCCACATAAAACGCCACGAGACTCAGGCTCGTGTGTTATTTCATAAGCAGAGGCTCAGTGCAGCATAGTTTTGCTGTCGCGTAAACCATGTTCACAGGAGTTCACAGTTTTACACATGGAGTTCACGAGGTGTCTACTTCACACGATCTTGTGCCAACTTTACCTCTGACAGTCCGTTTAGTTGTAGATTTCTTAGGGTTTAACTCCGTAGTGATGATAATCTCATCAGGGTCCCCACCTTCGTCCTCAATTGCCTTTAAATAAAGATCAATAACACAAATAAAAATAGTTGAAAAATCAGGAAAACTTAAAATTGAATCAAGTCAAAAATGTAAAAATCTCCAACACATAAATGTAACACGGGGCTTGACACTTTGTTTCACAAGTTGAAAAAGTAAGGAGCACACAAAGAAAGATAATGTGTGTCTTATTGGTCGACATAAATACTATTATTTGAAATCAATTTTAGGTCAATTGGTCATATGTAATGAAATCTATTGAAGGAAACACGCTTTTTTGAGAATATCAACCGGTAATTTATTGATGGTCCCTTATTCAACACCCGACATTCACGGCGAGGGTGCAGAGTAGATTTAACCGCACTGCTGTTGATATTCCCGGTTATAAAGAGTGAGAAGACACCGGTAGACACCATAGACTGTATATACTATTGTGTATATGTATGTATATACTGTAAATACTACTGTATATACTGCATATACAGTCTATGGTAGATACGCAGTGAATGTCCGTCGGATATCGAACCTAAAACTGACTTCACCGCGGTGTGGATGTAACCACGCTGCTCTTACTATTCCTGGTTACGTAGAGTTAGAAGACACCGGTAGATACGCAGTGAATGGCCATCGGATATCCAACCTAAAACTAACTTCAACGCGGTATTTACATGAAATAACAGTTGTTCTGGTTCTTTTTGTGCGCACGTGTGCCCCTAAATACATTTCACAATTCGCACACATCTATATTTAGTCGCAAATGTGAGTTAAACATTAGCACTGTCGAGCCCTGCAACACCAGCTAACTGTAGTTTCCAATGAGTGGACGGGCCTTGTGCTAATGCTGCTCTGTACTGGCAGGCCTTAGGCGGGTAGCTCTAACAGGCCAAATATAACACACTTACATGCATCCATACGAGCTGCATTTATCAAAATGCTGAGCTGAGTTACACAACGATAGAAAAAGTTAAATCACCTTTTTCAGCCGCTCTGATAGCACGCTCTTGACGCCCGTCGTGTCCAGGTTTCGTTTCTTTAGCTCGGCCTTCAGGTCAATCACCCTCAGCTCAGACAGTTTGCGGACCTCTGCGCCCTCCAGGACCTCCATGTCTGCTGCTGGGTCAGCCATCGTTATGATTGTGGAAGCGTCACCTCAGCGTAGAATAATTCCTTTTTGCACTTTGTTGACTGATTCAATTCCTTGAGTGGTACCGGATTGCTAGCAAGCCCACTGCAAAATGGAGGTTCTGTCAACGCGCATGCGCAGAACAGCTGAGGACTGAAATGCTGAGGCGTTCTCAGGCATAAACTTGTGTGAGACCCCCCAAAAAGTTTAAACTCTTGAAAGACTCAACAATAAGCTTTAATCATTGACAAAGGTTGTGTTTTAATCTGCGTTGTATTGCATTATCATGTACAAAAATAGCATCCATAAAAAGCCAGTATGTATATGACTTTTACTGCAGGCTCAAGTCCCAATAGCATGACATACACCACAACATTAAGAGAAACAGGCAATATATAAAAAAGAAAAAAAAAAGCATCATTATAATACAGTTCAGTGTTTAAGCTTGCATCTTTTACACAGTCTCCAATTCCATTTTTTAAGGTAAAGGTTATAGGAACTAAGTCCTGATCTGAAACCACAGTACATGGCCATTTCAGATATTTTCTCAAAAAGAATAAAAGGTTCTAAAGACAGTCCGTTTCCTCCTTTGGATAATTTGAGTCAGATGTCATCAGTCTTGTTGTTTTGAATCAGGACTTGGCTGAGTGTTGTCCTGAGATTACAACAGAGGACATCTTCACGAATAGAATAAAGACTTGACAGATTGGAAACTATGTTTTTAAGAGACTGCATTTTCCCTCTGGGTAATTTAATATTTAAATCTGATCAGTCTGAGTACAGTGGTTATGGATCAGTACCTAGTTCCCCTAACCTAACCTGTGACACTCAAGTCATAAGCTATGAACAAGGTGCTACTTTCAGTGTAATAAGACAAAGTTAGATGAAGAGAACACATTCAATAACCATAGACAGCTTTACAAAAACAGTATGACTTTTTCTTTTGTTTTGTTTATGTGTACTTCAGATTTGTCAACACATAGCTGTCATCGAAGGTCTCATGACGCTCAATGAGAATGAAAACCATACATATCACTGAATTTGTAGTTTGTTTCACTCGCTTGGCTGAGAGGTAAACTTTTGCTAGCGACAAGAGGTTTAGGCGCATCAAAAAATTCAGAACCGTCAGTCTCCTCTGGTACATTCACACTTCTGGATAAGTCAGCTTTTGATTTATACGACCATGCATCTGACGAAAGAGAAGAGCACTCAGAAGGGTTGAAGGAGTCATAGCTGAAGGATGAGTAGGAAGACGCACAAGGTGGTCGCAGTTTATGCAGGTTGAGTTTGGAGACCAGTGGTTTACCAATCGTCACCGACTGCCTTTCCTGTACTTCGTCATCCATGTTGGCATAGGTGTAATGGAGGCAGATGGTGAATGTGAGCTCCCCCTGTAAAGACAGCAAAAGTTTTTTTTTTTAAATAAAATCTATGTCTATAATATAAGCTCCAACGCTTAAGACTGTTGCTGTTTCAATGATACATGATAGAATATTGAATTTTGACATTTAGCAGGCTTCTCTTCAAACAGATATAGGACAAACTTATCATAAAAAACAATAACAAGAGCCTGACCCTGAGTCTCTGCAGGCTTTGGACACGTGTGTATAGACTTGGCGCCTCTGGTGAAGCTGGACTGTCGTCAATCAACATACAACTTCCAGCTTCAAGAAGAGTCTCCTGGTTACTCTTCTTCAGATCAATGTCAACATCCTGCCAAATCAAAAAAAATACAGTAGGCACATATCCATAATAATAAACATCTGCTCAGAAGGTGGTTTACTGTGAGTTTGTGCTGTTGTGATTTTAAAATCTGTGTTTTCTTTTCTGTTTACAAACCTCTGGGAAGTCAGTAAGCTGAGCAGAGCAGGAAACGATTTCTTTGGGCTGCTCAAGAATCCGAGTGTAGATGACCATGATATTGGAGAACTCTCCTGCAAACCCGAGCTGCACCTTTACTCCACATTCAAACTGCAAGCACCGGCTCTCTGGTAGATCTACAATAATAAAAATTTCAAAAGAACCAAATAAGATGTGCCTCATTGTTTTGTGTCAATAATAAATGAGACAATCTGCAACAATCGTGCATATTTGAAACAATGACAACTTGGGCTTATGTTTTCACAAAAACAATACCATGAGCAACAGCCCACTGCAGGTTTCGAGCCGACTGGGAGGCTGAACACTCAAAGGTCTGTATGTGGTCGGTGAGAGAACGTCGCTCTGACAGATTACTGCGCAGCTCCAGAGCCTGTCTCCCTTTGGTGATCTTACAATGACCCATATCTGGAGAGGAATAACAGTACTCAAATATTAAGTATGCATAAAACAACGGTGCTGTGGAAGAGAGATGAAACTGGATAGAGCCAATGGAGTGTCACAACAGGTGCGGCCCATCACCTGTCGGAAGTACAAAAGGCGGTTCAATACAAGCTTCTTATAAAAGATAATTTGGCTGTCATCACTCGAAGAACACAGGCCAAACAAATAACAACAAAGATGTTGCTGGGTGTATCAAAAACACATTCCTGAGTCAGCTAACAATTAAAATGTCCTAGAACTTTAAGAGTAAAACATGTTGGATTTGTAGAACAATAGGGCCAACAGCATTTGGTAGGAAAAAGTTATAACTGTGCATGTTCAGCACAGTTTAAGTGATCTGATTAAAAAAGAGAGAGATGTTACTCAAATAAGCAGAAGTAAATCACCAGTAGATGTGAAGTTGTATAATTTATCATGACCACAGTAAAACAGTATTAAAAGCTAGAAGAAAATTCACTGTCCCCTTTGAATATACTGAGACATTTAAGATAATAAGCAGATGTAACCATAACTCTCAATGGTTTATTGCATGACCAGTTAGTTAACGCAAGAATGAAATAGAGATAAATAGATATCCTCATACCTTCAGCGACTCTGTCCAGCATGACTGTGACCTTCTCGTCTTCACAGACCCTTTTCTTGAGGAAACTGATGAAGATGCCATTTGACACATCTTTTCTCTTCACTTCATAGGCCTCTGCGTCTACGCATCTAAACACAAGAAAATACTCATAATGTTGGGCCTTTAAGCCTGAACCAAGGAGTTTCATTCAGACGTGTGTTGATGACAGGAATGATGATAACAGATGAGCTAAATAATCTATTTGTCAGATAACAGAGAACTTACGTAGCGTATCCAAACACTATATTGGCCGTCACCTTAAGCAGTCCTGGCTGTACAATGACATCATCATTTGGGTTTCTTCAAAGAAATCATGAGACACATAAATATGCATATGTAATGTAAAACTAAGTTCTGTCATCACTTCATTGATTAAGAAAAAAATCTCCCACCTTTTGCGGCACATGTCCAGGAGGAATACATTAAGTCCAGTCTCTTTCTCCTGCATCCTGGTCAGTATGTTCTGCACACACAAACAGTGCTCTGATGTGTATGAGGCCGGTGCATCGATAGGGACCATGAAACTGTTGCCGAAATTCTCATAACCGTGACCAGCAAAGTACAACAAGCCTGGGGAAAAGAGGAGGAGTTTTAGTAACCTGGCATAAAAAGTATAGAAAAGAACTTCATGTTTGATTGGTGAGTAATAACTTGTTTAAAATTGTCTTTTAAGTTTTGCATGACATTTTATTTTGTTAATGAAAGCCTCTTTAATCAGAATACCCACATTATTAACAGACAGAGTATTTTAAACATATTACACATGTAGTCTGGATGAACCAAAGACTGACCATAAACTCCTTTATCAAGCAGCAACAGGAACTCTGTAACAGCGCTGTGCATCTCCTGCCAGTTGAGGTCGAGCAGAGAAACCACCTTAAAGTTCATTTGTCTGAGGAGGTTGCTCAACTCATGGACATCAGCAATGGGAGCACACAGCTGAGTATGGTAGACATAGTTCATGTTGCCAATCAGGAGAGCAACTTTGTCTGTTGCTGTGGGGTAAGGATGAAAAGCAACAAAGCAGGAACATTAACATCAAAAAATTACCTGTCTATTTTCAGTCTACATCATTTAATCCACAGTGTATTGCACACACATTATTTTTGAGGGCAAACTCACCATAGAAATGTTTGGTTGATGTTGATTTGGACATCTGCTGTAGTGGGTATGGTCCCACTCCTGATCTATGGATTTCTTGTGAGTCTAGCAGCAAAGTACACATACATTACAACCGAAATATAAATAATCACAAGCAGTTTGATCTTACATTTTAAGGATTTTAAAAATCTTGTCTTTTTTATTGCCTGGAAATTGCAACATGATAAACACAATAGTAAATCACTATAGCAGTAGACGTGTTGCTGCATGTGACCAAAAAAAAGTAGAACTAAATGATAGTCTTAATTCCTATTTCTGTACACACAAAACTGTGTAAAGCCATGATGCGAAGCAGAACAAGGAACTACCATCATGTGAAGTTACCCCATTTCCTCCTGAATATGTTAACAGAACATTTCAAAAATACCTGGTCCACGATCAACTTCTACCCAGGATGTCTCAGTAATGGAGCTTGGGCCTGCATAAAATTGCAGAACGAGATGTTAACCCCTGCACAGGGTTGTTCAAGCGCGATTGAGAGTCTATAAATGTGCACCATTTGAGTTCAGTTTTTCAAGCTCTTATTTCTACATAGTTGAAAAATGTGCCTGAGCCTTACCAATGGTTACTGTTGCTGTGTCGCTCCAGGCTGTATGATACAAATTGAGCACCTTGCATCTATACTGTCCTCTGTTGGCTGTGGTCACACATGGGATCTACAGGAGAAACAAGAATAGGACACAAGTAAACTCACATGGCATTTATGTATTTGTTTCTCATAGGTATCAAGAGAATGAATATTTACACACCACGATAGTGCAGGGCAATTACTGCAGCAAGAAAAGTACTATCATCAAAAATGTATCATGTGAGAAGGGATGGTACTTCAAAAGTTGTGATTAATAAACTTTTGTGGCATCAAGTAAGAGTGTGGGCTTGCCTTCTTTATTGTTTTAAACCTTGACATCTAAACAATGTGAGTGAATGTCTTTTTAATCTTTTTCTGATTTTCATTTGGTTTGAAATGACCATGCTATAAACTTTTGCTCATGTCAGATACAACCTGTGAGCCAAGAGGACATTCAGTACATCATTATTAAATCCTAAAGATAAGCAGCTAACAGCAGACACAATTAAAAAACCTACCTTGAGTGTTTGCGTCTTCGATTGTTTCAAGGGTATGGTGTTGTGGTACCACTCATATTGAGCAGGAGGGTTAGCCTCTGCATGACACTCCAGAAGAAGAGTGTCACCCTCCGACACGGCCTGAGACTGAGGCTGACGGGTGATGCGCAGCCCACTCTCTGCACCTGGAAACAGACTGCTGCTGCAGCCTGAGATTGCGAGGCTTAGTGGGACATTAAATCACATTATAAAACAAAAAGAGAAGAAGATCCAGAAGAGGCGGAGGCAAGAGCGGATACCTGCAGAGACGATGCAGCGAACTTGAGCCCACTGAGAGAAGACAACGTTTTCTCCATGGTTGACCCTACAGATGTAGTGACCCTGGTGGACTTGGGCTAGGGGACACAGAATCAGCTCTGGTGTAGATCCTGTCTCGTCCAATATCTTAAACATGAAACAAGTAAATACTGAGTAGCTGCAACAGGAGAAAAAAAAACTATGAACACAAGTAAGTATGTGCCTCAATTCCATTGCAACAATAAAATGAACACAAAAGGGGCAGAATAAAAAAAAAGCTGTTAGACTGACCTCTTCTTTGCCTTTGAACCACTGGTAGCTGAGTCCAGGAGGACCTGTGGCTCTGCATATCAGTACAACCCGTCCTCCAAGTGTGGCCTGCTGGGACTGAGGCTGCACTGTGATCTGTATTAGCTGTGCCACTACACACAAATGCACACACACAACACACGAGCACACTCTACAACAAGTCTTGAACATGAGACTGATAATCAAAATGATCTCAGACCTAGGGACAAAGTTAAAAGTACAAACTCACCACTCACTACCATTGAAAACACCTATAACAGTCTTATCTTATGTAGTGAAAGCAATAAATCTGAATTGAAACATGCACATTTTGACCTTGAAGATGTTATACTGTACATTTGTCATACCTCCACATTTAAAGTAACTACTTCTAAGCACTAAAACCAATACTCCTTAAATCCTGCAGATTAAAGCGCTATGATCAAGAGGTAGGAGTGTCATTGACCTCTCTAGTCACATCATAATAATGCTGCAGTTACTCAACAATGAACAATGTAGGGAAACAAGTTTAACTTCACTGTATTTATACAGATGATATGTACTTTTTGTAATGCATCCCTATAACTATGCTTTTGTGTTGCACAAATCACTTTTGCATTACCGACGGTGGTGAGATACTGCACAGCTTCCTGGTGGTCAATCTTTCTCAAGCAATGAAGCAGGAAGTCAAGTGAGCAGGAGCGATCGGCCAGCCGGGCAAGGAGGGTGCGCCCTGGGCTACCTGCAGCGCTCAGCACCTGGAGAGAGCAGCTGGTCAGCTCTCTTTCACTGCAGGGAGGGGGAACCAATGAGAAACGTCAGTAGGGGTGATGACAGCCAAAGATGCCAGCAAGTGCAAGGGGAAAACCCGAGAGTATTGGTAAAAATGTCCACAACTGTGAAGGGACAAACTTCCTTACTTCTTAAAAAATCCCTTTAATATGACGCTCAAATGATTTATCATAGTTCAGAGAGCAAAACTAGAAAGAAAGAAAGAAAAAAAAAACACACTGCCACATTTGTATGTGATGCCTTCAATGTCTCACCTGTAGCAAAATTTCGGCACCTCAGACACAGCACTGGCGAGCTGCCTCCATCCACAGGTCGCGTTGTCCAACATCTTTGACAGCCTTCTCAGGACTTCTTCGTTCAAGCTGTCGATACTCATTTTCACCTCTCTTTCTCCGCGTTATTCGCCTCTAAAAAAGGCTACCCAAAAGAAACGAGAGAGTTGAAACACCTTTTGGTTATATACTCCACACCTTTAATGTTCCTCTCTGCCGCGGAGCTCCACGACGGATGTGGCTCGTGCAGATGAACTGAAACGGCGCTTTAACCTTTGAATGAATCTTACTTCTCCGCCCACGCGACTGGTATGTAAAACTACAGGTGGAGAGCAGCCGTGGGTTATCTAGAGGTTAACTCACTGAAGATCCCCTCTGTTGCAGCTCACATTAACAGAGTGAGGTTTACGTCGACTAATGATCGAGCAACTGAATAGTCGAGCATCCGCGAAGCTACACGTAGAAACATGGAGCCCCATTTAGATCAAATGTAACACCAGGTCGAGAAGTCATGCGATACCGTTAGCCGCCTCCGCCATGAACATTTAGCTGATTTATTGTGAAAAGTTTGGACTTACCGGCTTCAAAAGTGCGAACTTTTCAGGAAAGTCCTATTGCTGGAGAAATTGAATCAGTGTCCCCCACTGATTAATTTATGTCTAGTTATTTATACAAAACAACAGTCTCATAACCTTGCGTAAATTCCCCCCTCCCTGTTGATTTGCTTCTCATTTCAGTTCCTCATTTTTGGCCAGCCTTATTTGCATGAAAAGTTGCCATCGCAACGCTACAGGGGAGAGTGGGGTGAGATGAGCCATTTTTCACATTTTGGATCACTACATCAAGGCAATCATAGTTTTGTCTCTAACTAGTGTATCTGCTTATATTTCAAGATGTTGTGCATCCCTTCAAACCAACAGAATGAGTGTAAACATAACTGTCTTGATAATATAGCATGCTAAAAAAAAAAGTGGTTTCCCATGGTCAATTTACCCCGTGTATGGGGTAAGTTGACCATAGGAGCAGGGTAAGTTAAGCCCTACTATCCCCCCACTCTCCATCCCAGCCCTCCCTCACCTCCTCTCTTTCACTAAATAACAGTCACTTCTTCACATTCATGTGCATTTTTATCTTTCATATTTATCTATTCAATTGGTACAATAATTCTTTTTATTATTGTTGCATCTAACTGCTAAAAAGCTGTTTTGTAAAAAGCCATTTTAACATGAGAATATCTTACAGTGATTCACAACATTCACAGCTGTATTTTTGAAAAGGAAAAAGTAACAGATTTCAACTTTTATGCTAGGTTTTTGACCTCATGTTGTCACTCATAGATACCACAACTGATGTATAAAACCAATTTAAAATGATCTTTTTCGGTCTGAACACAACTCTAATAAAACTTATGACAGACTTTTACTCTTAAAAATCACTTTTAAGAGTGAAAAAAGCTTTTTTTTTTTTTTTTTTTGTAAATAAATGTCTAACCCCTTCACCCATGTGCTTCTAACCCTCACAGACTCCATGAATTGATGCCCATCTCCTAAATATTTGGTCACATGATCAATTATTTTTTACCATTTCCAAGCAACAGGGGGTGGCTCAACTTACTCTTTGGCTCAACTTACTCCACTCTCCTCTATAGCCCAGTGACACCAGCTTCATAGAAAATTGAAGGTGAAAACTAACCTCCAGATATGCAGCCTGAACACCTTAGTTTGCTTTGTGAATTAATAGTAAATTTTTTAAAACATGGCATATTGGAGTTGGATTACTAAATTATCTTTGCATACTTTACAAACCATCCAGAGTGCCCAGCAGGTCATCAGGAACAGGTGTCCTTTCATCTCTGGAGTCAGAACCAAAAATGTGAATCAGCTTTTGGTTTTTACTAGATGTGTCAGGTCCCCTGACACTTTACATTCATTTGAATAGAGGCTGAAGAGGCACCTACTTTTTGTTTTATCCTTTTGACAATTAGCTTCAGTACAAATAACACACTGCACTGTTATTTTTATGCTCAACTGTCTAATTGCATTTCAAATCTCTGCTTTCACCATTTTATCTTCTCTTTAATTTTTAATGGCTTGTTTTATTGAGTTTTTAATGTCCTATGTGAAATACTTTCTGCCCTTCATCATGTTTGGTCTTGTGTGAAGCAATTTGAATTCCCTTGTGGCCGAGATGTGCAGTAAATGAGCTTGCCTTACCTAAAGAGTCACTAAAAAATGAGCAATTACAGTTATTATTAAAGGAAGGCAAACTTAAATAAAAGTAAAAAGGTTTTTTAATGACTACAAATACAAGCAAGCCAATACTCTTTCAATAAAGCCAAACATGGACTCAAATAAATGCAGTATCCTTGAAATATATATAAACCTTTTACCTGAGATCTACAAAATAATCTTAGAAGAGGGTGCATCTTATTAATTATTTATTTTATTGAGTAGTATGGTGTAAAATTCAAGCCCATCACAAAAACCTCTAAATTAGGCAAATACAAACCCTTTAAAAGATGTGTTCAGATGTTATATATAAGATACTTTCACAGGGCTTTAATAGAGGTTTCATGAGGCCTTTCTATGGTCATAAGTTGGATTGTGAGTGGGTGTTATATTTGAGACTCCCTCCACCAACCCATATATTTTTCAACATACCAACACAACTCTTTTAGTGTTGAGTTTTATCAGCAAGGAGTCTTTGACAAACCTCTGTGATTTTAGATAATACACCAAATGCAGCAAAGAGTCGGGATGATGAAATTTAATTTGGACTCTGCCTGTGAAAACACATTGTGAGGTAATTTAGTCCACAGATTCCACCCCAACCCCGTGCACACGAATAAGCACTCTCTTAGTCCACTGTAGTCTTAAAAACTCTTTCCTCTATGAAGTCTGTTGTGACGCCAAATGTTTTCCTTCCTAAGACGCTTCCAGTACTCCCAGGTGTCTGGATCCAGCTCATGCAGCTTTGAGGGTTTTCCCAGCTTCAACTGGAATAACCTGAGAAAATAATCAAAGAAGAGAGCAATCAGGTGAGTGAAAACACATTAAAGCACATGGTGAAAGTTTGAAAAAAATAGCAAAGATACTCTTTCGACACATTGAATGCCTCTTAAAATTATTATTTATTATTAAATTATTTATTAAAACATGTAAATAAAAATTATACAAATAAACACTTGACATAAAAAACCTCAGTAACACAAGTGGACCTGACTGAAAATACCACATTAAAATTATGTACGAGTCATTCATGCTTTTATTTCCACATGGTTGGACTACTGTAACGCTCTTTACGTCAGTGTTTATTAGGCTTCCCTCACACGCTTTCATCTTTTAAAACGCGTCTTAAAACTCATTTTTATTCCTTGGCTTTAGCTCAGCATGAGAGTTGTGTGATTTCTGTCTTTTTATGTCTTTTATGGTCCGTTATTCACTTTTATTTCTTTTATGCTTTTGTGTTTTTATTTCATTCATTTTATTTTTTACCCATTTTTATTTCATCTTGATGTTTTCTGCAGTGTTTGTTCTTTTAATTTTACTGTGCAGCACTTTGGTAAACTTGAATGTTTTTCAAAATGTGCTATATAAATAAAGTGGATTGGATTGGATTGGTATGAGGAAACAAACCAAACTGTGGACTCAGACTTAACCAGATGTTTTGTATATCTGCAACACCTGCACAGCATGACCTGAAGGGCGAGATGATTTGTGAGCCACCATGGTATACACAGCAAATTTTATTTTAAAAAAATGGCTGTCACAGGACTGCTCATGCCAATTTGACCAACCTTTGTTGTTACCCCCCACCCTCTTGCCCTTCCAGGAGCTACGCTGTTACATTCACATTACGTTACCTGCGCTACTCGCTATACAGACCGTGTATAAGCTTATACGTTACTCTTCACATTAGTAGAAGAGGGTTCCGACAGGATTTGATGCGCTCGTTGATGACTCAGAACAAGTCAAAAATAACGTGTGTTGTTGTGCTCACACAGTGCGAGTAGAAATCTCTAGAGCTGCATTGATTATAATGCTACTAATGCTGTTAATGCTACTCGCTGTATAGATCGTGTATAAGCTTAAACGTTACCTTTCACAATGATGGAAGAGGGTCTGACAGGATTTGATGCGCTCCTTGATGACTCATAACAAGTCAGGAATAATGTTGTGTGTTGTTGTACTCACACAGTGCAAGTAGAATCCTTAGTGGCGCATTGATATTAATGATCATGTGAGATTTCAGTACCGGCGCACGTAATTTAGCAGCGGCGGTGCACCGCTGCTGAATGAATGTAGGGGAAACACTGCTGATACATATGAGTCCGAGGTAGAACTATGTGAGATAAAAACTAATGCTTTTAGGTGCGGCAGCTTTTATTTAGTTGTGGCGGTGCGCCACGATCATTTGCATGTAGGGGGAAACCCTGCATTAGCACAAACCAGTCTGACAGTAACTACATGTCAACATCACAACCGGGGGGAGAAAAATTTATATTCTGTGTAATAAATTTCTAAAGTTTGTCCACAGCTCCATAGGGATTGCTGGAGGAGGCGGGATTTATGACCTATACTACAGCCCGTCACCAGAGGGTGCTGTTCTCGGAGTGGCTTCACCCAGCGAGGAGGCAGACAGCGTCCATTCTATATACAGTCTATGGGCTGAACCCTTTGTGAAGTAAAACAAGTGTAGATGCAGTATTATACAGCCCTGGCAGTGCAGTCATTTACAAAAAAAGTGAACATGCAGTAACTCGGATTCTGGACACATGGATGCATTATATTTTTCATTTTAATCTTCTTTCTTTCCACTAAAACATGTAAAAAAAAAAAGTTGGTTTTAAGAAGGAATAAAAATCCACACTCTTACCACTCTGGGTATTCTTCAGGAGGCTTCAGCTTTGGGTCTTCTCCTTCTTTGTAGATGTTGACGCCTACTGCATATGAAGTCAGTCGGACAGGGTCTTTACAAACCTCTGGACCTTTCTTCTCTTCTATTACCATGCCTTTATTTCTTCCTTTGACCACTGCAAGGACCAGGATTAGGGTTAGGTACAACACAAAAAACACACCCTTAATATTGATCTGGTGCTACATGTCCTGCTCTTTACTCACCGACTTTCTTTGCATATCCGCAGATCTGTGTTCTGCTGTGTGATGTTTGAGCCGTGCCCAGCAACGTCGAAGTGTTGATACATTTAGTTAACGTGAATATCCTCAATAGACCGCTACCAGACATTTTTTTACGGTAAGTTACACAAAAACGCAGCCCAGCATGCTACAGTTTGACATTCATATTCCCTTCAGTTTCCGTTTACGACGGAAGAGCTTTGGTGCTATAAAAATAATGGACTGCCCCCTGTGGACGGGAAGACACACTGCAAGACCTGTCTCAAGATTGAGAAATGTACTAACAGCGCAAAAAGACAGTGAGGGAATAAACCAGAACTATGTGGACAGTTGGATATTTCAGTTTATTTACTACATTAACAGTAACAACAGGCGTATATAAAATAAATGATATAAAACATAAGGAAAAAGGCCAGGGGACACTTTCGCAAAACAGGTAGGCTATAATAGGAAAAATTTACACCATAAAACAGTATTAATAGCTTTTTTATTCTCAGTTGAAATAATTGCTCTAATTTTTTTGCCCAGTTTTTTTTCTGCAAGGGAGCAATGTGGGTTTTAGTTTGGTAAATTTAGATATATGTATGTAAAACTTTGCTAGAAATAAACCCAGATTTACAATAAACTATTCAATTTCTTATGACATTCCTATTTTTCCTATTTTAATATTTGTATTTTCAAAAGCAAGTATAATAGCTGCAATTCCCCCTGGGATAAATGCAGTATTCTGATTATTTTTCTATTCACCATCATGTAACATAGAGAAGTGTAAATGTCCACTTAAAAAGTATAGTTCATGTTGAAATAAATAAATCTACAAATATTTTTGAGTGTTCACATGTCAAGATCAGGTCAATCCTCTCAGCTGCTACTCCTGGAGGGACTCACGTCTGAGGTCATTCCGAGTAAATCCGACAGGTGGCAGCACAGACAAACCCGCTGGGTTGTGTACAATAACAACGATAACGAAGAAGAAGAAGAAGAAGACGAAGACGCTTCTCCAAAATGTCTGAATACGCCACGGCGCAGAAGAGTGCCCTTAAATTAAAAGGCTTAGGGACCGTCTCAGCTGGAAAAAAGTAAGTTAAAACTATGTGACATTTTTAAAGAGTTGAAACGTCGAAATTGACGAAATTATAGCGTAAGAACGGTGTCGAAGAAATAGCTGGGGTGGCGAAGCTATTGTTAGCCTGTTTGCTAATTGTAAACAAAGTGATTTTTTAGTAAAATTAAAACAACAATCCTTTAAACGCGTCATAAAGTGTGTACTAAAGTGTGTGTGGCCTTAAACCCATTTAAAAGAACGTGGGGCCTTGCTGCCGCATATCGTTACATAGAAGATACAAAAATGTGAACTACTGAAAAAAAAAAGCATTGGAAAACAACTTCTCATCAGATATCAAAGATAGTCACATGACATATTTTTCACTACTGTAACTTTTCGGCGACGATGAATACCAGTGCTTCACTGTCTAATTTGATCATGTGTTTACTCACCCACTTCATTTTCCTGTTGATGAGGGTGGTCACTGATCAGCCATTACATGTCTGGTGTTTTTCAGGAAGAAGAAGAAGGATAAAGAGAGCAAACATCGCCTGGAGCAGGTTGCGACCAACCAAAATGACGAGGAGGTGAAAACCAAAAAGGTGTACCTTGACAAAAGGACACCGGCTCAAGTCGCTTTTGACAAGATGCAAGAGAAAAGGGTGAGTTTAGACTTCTGCAGTGATTGGTAAGCGATTTGAAGCAGAAAATGGTTCATGAGGGTTATAGCATGTTGTTTTCTCACTTTATTTCATAGAAAGCTTACACTGCTGCTACCTTTGAGGCTTACACTAGTGCAAAACTTTGTCAAATTAACAAACAGTAACAAAATAGAAACAGGGAGCTGAGGAAAATACCATTGTATGTTTGTGCATTGGTGTCACTGGGCCCCCTAGCCCCAAAACATCATGGATAATCAATGCGACAGTCATTTTGATTTGCTCCTCTAAGCCTTTAAGCCAGTGGTTCTCAAGTCCAGTCCTCGAGGCCCACTGTCCTGCATGTTTTGGATGTTTCCCTGCTCCAACACACCTGATTCAAATGATTAGCTCGTTATTAAGCCATTACAGAGTTTGATAACGAGCTGATCATTTGAATCAGGTGTGTTGGAGCAGGGAAACATCCAAAACATGCAGGACAGTGGGCCTCGAGGACTGGACTTGAGAACCACTAAGCAATCAAACTAGCAACAAAATAATTTGAAGACAATATGAAGACTGTGTCTAGTCTCTTGATAATTATGTCTGCAGCCTGACTGTAGGCTCTGTTTCTGCAAGAACTGCTTAAAAGCCGGGGCATCACGTTTGGCAAACACTACTACAACCTGATAGTTTTCCAGTATTTACAATTTCTGATCCTCTGGCTCCTTCCTGAGTCCACATGGCTGAGCTGAAGGGATCAAAGGTTGAGCCCATGAGGCAATTATAAGATAAGTGGATGGTGTATTGAACTGACACAGTGCATCGGTTAAGACTGTAGGAGAGAAAGTTTAGCATTTCTGCAGAAGGTCACCATTTGTAATATTTGAAGGACGTATTTTTCAATTGGGTGTTGTAGATAACATTTGCATTATATAGAACCTGCCTGTTCCAGGTAGTTAGAAAAAAGGCTTATTGTATTTAATGTTGGACTAAAACTAATCTGAAAAAGACTCCATTACCTCAGAGTAAATGGTGTTCCCTGGTCTCAGTTCAGGGGTTAAAATCTCATGACGATGATTACTGGCCCTTTTCACCTCAAAAGTACAAAGTTCATGTAAGCATACACATGGTGACGCACCATAAAAGGAACAGGGTGTCTTTCTTTGAAATGACAGATAAATTGTGCTAATGTTTACTTCATGCACACATATGAATATTGAATTAAGCATCTCTAATTCTAAGCAAGAGCAATTCAGTAGAATTAAGGCATTATTATCACCAATTGTTTAATTTAAAAATGTTCTTTTTTTATTCATTCTGCAGCTTCTTTTGTGTTTTAACTCTTTTTCTCTCTTCTCTTAAAGCAAATGGAAAGGATTTTGAACAAAGCATCAAAGACACACAAACACAGAGTTGAGGTAAGTCAGTCACATTTAACATTCAGTCCACATCATCGCAATTATTGGAGAAACTTGGGTCTTGTTTTCAACAAATGCTTATGATTATAAGAGAACAAGCATTGATAATTTGCATGTGAAACTGATTGAAAGTTATCAACAGAGATGGTTATAAGTCACCAATAATGTTTCTTTCAATTCTTTTTCAGGATTTCAATCGGCATCTGGACAACCTGACAGAACATTACGATATTCCCAAAGTCAGCTGGACTAAATAAGAGAAAAACTTGTCATGTTTTTTTTTTTTTTTTTTGTAACTATTCCCTGTGTTTATACATTGACTTTTAAAATGAGTGCTGTTGACTTTTAGTTTTTGATGTAAAATTTCCTGCAGATAATAAAGGATTAGACTTGACCCACATTAAATGCTGTTGTCATCTTTAACTGGGCATGTTAGCTATGTTTAACTGTGTGACGGCTCCTGTTTTCATGAAATTAATAATTGACAAAAAAAGGACAATGATGCCAGACCTTTGTGTACGTAGTTTGCAAAGGGTACACATTTAATAGAGCTGCAAATCTGGAAAAATGGCGCATGTGCTGTAAACCAGAAAAAAAGGAACAGTAGTTTGTGTTCACCATTTGGGATGACATCTGAGGGTACAAACTGATTGTGAAAAAGTATTTAAGACAATGCCAGGAAACGGCTTAGATACAATGCTTGTGATGCTGAACATTATATACAGTCACTTAGAACACTTGCAAATGTCTACTCAATAAATCAGTTGCTGATAATCAATTTAGTGTTTCACTGTGGTCAGTTACACTTAACCTGCATGAGGAAAATAAAGTGTAAGAAGCTGCACCAAACAACAATGCAGGATTCACACTTTTTTTATTAAAGAAAGGAGATGATCATGTTTTTACAGTCCACCATGTTTTATTTGATTGAAAATACTCCTTTCATGCACTTGAAAAAGGTATTTTCTGAATTTGGTAGTATTTGTTATCTCCAGAGTTTACTTTGGCCCCAGCATCTCACTTGGTTTCACCCACTGGTCAAACTGCTCCTCGGTCAGGTAGCCCAGTTCCACAGCCACAGCCTTCAGCGTGGAGCCTTTCTTGTGAGCCGTCTTGGCGATGGTTGCTGCTTTGTCATAACCGATGTGTGGGTTGAGTGCAGTTACCAACATGAGGGACTCGTTCATGAGCTTGTTGATTCTCTCCGTGTTGGCCTGGATGCCCACCACGCAGTTGTTGGTGAAGGAGACCGAGGCGTCACCGAGGAGCCGAGCAGAGTTCAGCACGTTCTTGATCATCATGGGTTTGAAGACGTTGAGCTCAAAGTGTCCATTGCTGCCTCCAATGGTGACAGCGACATGGTTCCCCATGACCTGGGCGGCCACCATGGTCATGGCTTCACACTGGGTGGGGTTCACTTTGCCGGGCATGATGCTGCTCCCTGGTTCGTTCTCGGGCAGGATGAGCTCCCCCAGACCGGACCGAGGTCCTGACCCCAAGAAGCGAATGTCATTGGCGATCTTCATCATGCTGACAGCCACAGTGTTCAGGGCTCCGCTCAGCTCCACCAGAGCATCATGGGCTGCTAGAGCTTCAAACTTGTTGGGTGCTGTGACAAAAGGCAGGCCTGTGAGAGAGGAGACAGTGGAGGCTACCTTCTCAGCAAAGCCAATACGGGTGTTGAGTCCTGTTCCTACTGCTGTGCCTCCTGCTGCCAGCTCATACACTCTGGGCATCGCACTCTTCACCCTCTCAATGCTGTACTTCACCTGCTGGACATAACCCCCAAACTCCTGTCCAAGTGAGAGAGGGACAGCATCCTGAGTGTGTGTGCGTCCAATCTTGATGATGTCTTTGAAATCTTCAGCTTTAGCAGCCAAAGCGTCATGTAGAGTCTGCAGACCGGGCAGCAGGACGTGGTGGACCTCTGTGGCTGCAGCAATGTGCATGGCAGTGGGGAAGGTGTCATTGGAGCTCTGACTCTTGTTCACGTGATCATTAGGGTGGACAGGATCCTTGGAGCCCAGTTTTCCCCCTAGAATCTCAATAGCCCTGTTGCTGATCACTTCATTGACGTTCATGTTGCTCTGAGTTCCAGATCCAGTCTGCCACACCACAAGAGGGAAATGATCGTCCAGTTTACCAGCTGATACCTCATCTGCAGCCTGGATGATCGCATCTGCTACCTTTGGGTCCAGGCCGTAGTCCTTGTTGACTTCAGCGGCCGCTCTCTTCAGGATCCCGAAGGCCTTGATCACTTGGATGGGCATTCTCTCACTCGGTCCCCCTATCTTGAAGTTCATGGTTGATCTGACTGTCTGAGCGCCGTAGTACTTGTCAGCTGGGACCTTGAGCTCGCCGAAAGTGTCGCGCTCCAGTCTGAACTCTGAGCTGGCCATCTTAGACGTGCAGAGAGGGAGTTTACAGTTAATACTGTGTCTTTGTAAAGTCAGGAGGTTGCAGTTAAACTGCTGGACGCGTCTAAGAGACCGAAACATGGTTCTCATTAGAGGTGAATACGGTGGGAGGTCAATGTAGCTTTCCACATTGTAACCTGTCATTGGGTAGAAAGGAAACTGATTGAATGTCAGCCAATAGTAAGAAGAGAGAGGCGGGACTTCCACGGAGGTTGTCAAATCGCGTGAAGGTGATCAGGATACCTCATCCGGATTCATAAAGCTGCTCATGATATAGCGCTAATTTATTTCCGGTTTTTCATTCATGCGCGATTTCCTTTGTAAAATAAAAGTCTTTGTTATTATATAATTTAGTCAAATTAGTGCATAAACCAAATTTATTTAACAGACCAGCGAGAAATAGCAAAAAAAGTCATTATCATATATTTATATGACGTTTTTGTCTGAGTATTGATGAGTACTCAAGGCTTAAAAACACATGGGTTCATTTCCAAGTCTGTTTTGATCGAGTGAACAGTACCTTTATAGAAGACAGCACATTGTATAACATACCCTTGTCCCAAAATGAAGTATATGCTGCTGTCCTGTTAAAACTTTTTTTGGTCATAAGTACACAAAGCGGTTGAGAAAATGCAGTTAAAATGTACCCCATAGCACGCATTAGTTGCTTTATTTCAACTCAAACATGTTGGGGTTGATGGACCTGGACAGTGTGGAGGCTTTGATTTTCCACACTTTAAATGCAGGTTACATGAACTTTCCTTTGGCTATTAAAAAAACATTTTTAGCAATTCAGATGCAACATGTGCTTCGCTTTCTTTCCAATTCAATACTGTCTCTTTGTAACTTTTTTTTGCTGGCAGTATTTATCAGCTCCAGGAGTATTTGAAGTTGGGGCCTGGCATATTCAGTAAACTGTGAGGGTCCTGCATGAAATAACCATATTCATTACACATAGAATTTCAATGAAATTATAAGGGTTAAGGCAAAAATAAATAGCAATAGGATTTTAGGATTTAATAATGATAGGCATAGACTTAGCAAGTTGTGTATCAAGTAGGGAAGAGTGGGGTAAGATGAGCCATTTTTCATATTTCGGATCACTACATTAAGGCAATCAAAGTTTTGTCTCTATCAAGTGTATCTGCATATATTTCAAGATGTTGTGCATCCCTGCAAACCAACAGAATGAGTGTAAACAGAACTGTCTTGTTACTATTATGACTTTATTAGTCCTCTAAGCTAAAATGGTGGACTTTTATTGCTAGGTTTTTGACCTCGTGTTGTAGCTCATAGGTACCACAACTGATGTGTAAAACCAAATTTAAAATGATCTTTTTTGGTCTGAACACAATTCAAATAAAACTTATGACAGACTAAATTCACTTTCAAGAGTAAAAAATGTTTTTTGTAAATAAATGTCTAACCCCTTCACCCATGTGTTTCTAACCTTCGCAGACTCCATGAATTGATGCCCATCTCCTAAATATTTGGTCAAATGATCAATTTCTTTTACTATTTCCAAGCAATGGGGGTGGCTCAATTTACCCTTTGACTAAATACTACCCCACTCTCCCCTATTGGTTCTTTTACAAATAGAATGTTACAAATATAAACCCCAAATTAAGAAAGGGATACGCATTTTTAAATTGTTGACTATCTAAGAAGAAATGCTTTGCCTTAAAATTATAATGGAGGATAATTCCCAGAAATACCACTGATTTAATTGACGCAAAAGACTTTTATTTTGAAAAATGAAGCCATTAACCACCGGAACTGCAAGGTGTGTTATTGCTAACTACACTCTGCTGGATCTTCTCGCGGTAACGGTAGTGTACTGCTAGCTTGCTAGCTAACTTCATCGTTTACAGGTTTCGTGTCGACCTGAAAAACGCAAACCAAGAGAGACGCGGACAGACTTCTTAGCGGAATACTTTTAAAATTCAGGCTGCACCGAGGAGTGGGACAATGCCGCACAACTTCCAGGCCGGAGACCTGGTCTTCGCTAAAATGAAGGGGTACCCCCACTGGCCAGCCAGGGTAAGCAACAGCAGCAGCCGGAGGGGCGGAGGGGATGAGCATGGGACTCTGGAGAAGGTTCTCTGTGTATCCTCGACTCTTAAGATGGATACATATCATACACCTACAAACATACCGGTTACTCGATTTATCGTTGGGTTGATGTGCCGACTGTCAGAGTCACAGCCAGTGCACGAGCTCCATAATTTGAATGGGATGATGTTAGCCTCATGTTAATCTACCGCCAAGCTAACGCTCTTATTTGACACAACCACGGAATAAGACAACTCCACTTTTTAGACAAGATGCACTCTCCGTCAAATACAAATGATGAACCATGCACAGCATATCCGTGCAAAATCATACACATAGAAATACATCCATAAAGGTTTGTTTTCCTAGCGGTAGCTGCCTGAAATACTCGGTATGCTGAGTGCAAGAAAAATACTGGAAATCCATCCACGTAAATGTGGGTTTTTATTAACACCAGGGCTCAGCAATCTGGTCCAACAGCTATATCACAAATCCTTCCTCCAAGAAGCCACTACATGTTTGGTATTTGATGAAACGATCAGACAGATGATTGTTTATGTACTGGAGTGTGTTTCATTTAGTCTACTTTATCGACAGACATGAAGAGAGACAAAATATTAGGAACATTTTCCAAATACTGTTCTCCAGTTACCAACAACTTCAACAGGTAAAAAGAAAACAGACAATCCTCCCTGTCTGGCCATGTCATCAAAAATTAAAAAGTGCAGAAGCCTCAGAAAGGTAAAAAAATGGTAGAAGTGTTTTATTGTGATGCTCAGATGTTAATAATGTCGTTTGATCAGTGTGCATCCACAGTAGTTTGTGTTTCCAGTGATACCAACCTGAAATACAGTTTTGTCCAAGTTGAGTCCTATTTGTTACCTACGTAGGGTGATTCATTGTTAGAAAAATCTTATAACATAGTATGTTTTTCTTATACTGACACGAGGCCTGAAGTATATGAAAACAAGTAATGTTCAATATCGTGCTACATATATAAGAAGTAGGGCCCGACCGATATGGATTTTTTGGGGCCGATACCGATTATTAGAGGGGAGGAAATCCGATTACCGATTAATCGGCCGATTTTTAAAAATTTTTATGAAGTTATAAAAAATATATATACTGTAGATATCTACAGTATACTATATACTGTAGGTGTACTGTAGGCTACTGATCCTCTCGTCGACAGAAAGACCGACTGATCAAACTCGGACCAGAAAAGGGTTTTCAACTAGATCTGTCACTCTGCTGCGCTGTGAGGTAGTTAGTGGATGAAGATTGTCATGAGGTTGCTACAGGATAAGTTGGAGAACTTTTCAAATGGTGGAACATTTTTGAATCTTATTCTTCACATTTTATTTCTGAAAATATTGGTGAGAATCGGCGAGTTTTGGCCGATTACCAATTAGTCTCAAACTGGCTAATATTGGCCCATTTAATCAGCTCGCCAATAAATCGGTCGACCCTAATAAGAAGTATGATAAAAAATTCATTAGAGAGTGTTTCAGCTAAAAGAACACACCGTTTCTTATGTTTATGTGATGTTCTTAATATTTTTGCTCATAACTTGTGCTTGCAACACATCTCGCCTGAATTGGATATACATTCATAAAAGCAGTTTTACCATCACAAAATTATCGCTAACTGATCTGAGGTTAGCAGACAGCTGACTTAAACTTTGGCTGCATAGAAATGGTGCAAAGCACAGCCAGAACACCCAGGGCTCTGTCTTACAGGTAAAATGTACATGCAGAGTGAGAAAACATTGATTGTGTATACAAATTTATTCCCCACAATTTATGAAATCGAGATGTTTAATGTAATGTTGATAAGTTTGAGATTTATTGTGGTTCTACACCTGAGGTTTACAAGAGTCTTGTTTGATTCCAGATCGAAGATGTGGCCGATGGGGCAGTGAAACCACCACCAAATAAAATCCCAATATTCTTCTTTGGGACTCATGAAACGTGAGTATAACACTATACCGCCAGAGTTCTAGGACAGGACACATTTTTACACTTGATTAACTGCAAATGCTTTTTTTATTTTTCAACCGATCAAAGCGTTACCAGTCTTGTGAATTTTAAATTAAGGCCCTCGTCACATCTGTTTGAGAGTCATATCCTCTTTGTGAGCAATGGTGCAGGACAAAAAACTATCACCACGTTTGTCTCATGCTCTTTCTTGATGTTCAGGCTCTGGTCAGGGTTTCCTGTGAAGCATCGAATCATGTCAGTTTGAGCATGCAGTATGTTCCAGAGAAATGTGTGGATATTCCCGCTCTGGTATCAGACACCATCTGTTTGACAAGATGGCACCTGCAGTATACTTTTTAATCACTAGGGGGCACAGTCTGCTGCTTCACACTCTCAAGTCAGCTCTGAGCATCTGTAGCCAGAAAACTGATGGTGATAACATAAGAATGGTTTGATTCAGGTAATAAAGTTGATTTTTTTTTTTTCACAGAGCATTCCTCGCACCAAAGGACCTTTTTGCCTATGAAAAGTACAGAGAGCGCTATGGGAAACCCAACAAACGGAAGGGATTCAATGAAGGTTTATGGGAAATCCAGAACAATCCACATGCCTCCTACAGCGCTCCGCCTGTTGTAAGTTTTCCCCACAAAAAGAAAAACAGAAATCCCTTCAAACCAAGATTCAACATGACCCCAAACCCAAAATGTTCTGTAACCTGGTTTTTAATCACTGTTCAACCACAGCCAGCCAGCTCCTCTGACAGCGAGGGCAACAATGCTGGGGGAGGAAGCGACGAGGATGAGGAGGACGAAGAAGCCGCAGTGCCTCAGAAAGCAGAGTCAGGAAGTGAGGTTGACTCTGATTCTGGGAGTGATGACCAAGGACGGGGTGGGGGAGTGAAAAGAAAGCCACCACCTGTTAAGGTTGTTGATATTTAATTTCACCATCAGTTGAATGAATCATTTGAATCAAACGTGCTTATTCTTCACACAGACATATTCAGATCACATAACATCAAGAAAACCTCTGCTTTCAACAAACATGTACGGAAACAGTCAACAAGTTTATCTTTGTTTTGTTTAATTTTTCTGTAATTTTTAAAATCTGACTTCTATTCACCTCGTTTTGTATTGACCTAAAAATACATCTGAATAAGCATAATTGTCTGATGTTAGGGGTCCACTCTTTTGAATGCCAAAGCAGTGTACCCCTCATGATTGATTAACTGAGGTGAATAGCAAAATAACCTATAAACTACAGGTTATTTTTATGTTGTTAATCAGAAATACTGAAATCACAAGTGCTTCATGTAACACCCACAGTTACATTTCATTTTAGATTAAGTGATTAAATGAAAGACTTTAAGCTTAAGGATGTTAAAAACAGTTCTCCAAAGTATATCTACTTCCAGACTCATACCCTAAGTGGGCCTTTGTGAAGAACAGAAAGAGAAATAACACTGAACAGGAAAGGGAGGAGAGACGCAAGAGCACTGTAATCCCTTACGTTGCAGGCCTGTCTGAGAAACTCAAGAGGATCTTTGGCAAACACCACATTCCTGTTCATTTCAAGCCTGGTAACACACTAAGGCAGAGGCTAGTCCATCCCAAGGACAAAACACCGAGACATAAACAGAGTAATGTGGTATATGCTGTCCAGTGCAGCGAGGAATGCTCAGACCTGTACATTGGGGAAACTAAACAACCGCTTCACAAGCGCATGGCTCAACACAGGAGAGCCACTTCCTCAGGTCAGGACTCAGCTGTCCACCTTCACTTGAAGGATACAGGTCACTCTTTTGAGGACAGCGATGTACAGGTGTTGGCTCGAGAAGACAGATGGTTTGAAAGAGGAGTTAAAGAAGCCATCTTTACCAGGCTGGAGAAACCTTCTCTGAACAGAGGGGGTGGACTCAGGCACAATCTCTCTGGCACTTACAATGCAGTTCTCAGCTCTCTCCCCAGAAAGCTCCACAAACATTCACACCTGGAACCACATGACTCAGGTGGCATGAGTCATGTGGTCACATGATAGGAGTCGCTAACGACCCTTTCAGGATAACGACTTGGGGGGGACACACCGAGAGATGGGTTTCTACGACCCATTCTTTTCAACTCCAGCCAGTCGTTAACTGTCCCCCTTCTCCAGTAAGATAAATATCTGCTCCTGACACTAGCACTTTTAGAACTGAAGAAGCTTCTTGGATAAGAGGCGAAACGTCTTCTTAACTCTACACAGTCCAGTTGCCTGTTTCTAAGTCTTCAAGATAACCATGACCTGGATGAATGAGAATCTACATGGACATATTTTCTTATCATGGCTTGTCTCTTATGGGAACTTCAGCAGGCAGTTTTACCACTAAAGGGATATTCCAGCCTGAAATGAATTTAGGGTCAAACACACCGTAACACTGAGTTAGACACCCCCTCGAGAGATGGACGTTGCCGACCGCTTGCTTCTCTAGTTATACCAATTTTAGTAACGACCACACGATAGCAATACACAGCGGTCTGAGGAGCCATAAACAAACCTCAACCAAAAAACCACTCTATAGCCAGGAATAATGCTCAGAACAGCACCCAACTTCATCAACAGTACATAGGGTCCCAGGCATAGCACTAGCCACCAAACATCTTCTTAGCTTTTCCAAAGTCTGACTCCCATTAAGATCTGACTTATGGGAGTCAGATCAAACAGATGTGACTGTTGAAACAATTCAGTTTTGCCATTTGAATGATTGTGATTTTCTATTTTTAGCGGCCTCCTCCTCCAAAAAAGGCGCGGGGCTCGTCCAGTGACCGAGATGAAGAGAGCGGATCCCCCTCTGATTCAGAACCCACACCGTCAGAGTCTGACTCTGGAAAGAACAGCGATCAGGTTCGAACACACAGAAACACACAGAATGTTTTTTGCTGTATGATCTAAACTTAACAGCCCATAATGTTGAACTCTTTTTCCTCCAACAGGATTTTACTCCAGAGAAGAAAGCCGGTGGACGAGGTGCAAAGAAGGCAGGAGGCAGAGGGAAAAAGAAGGTAACCGTCATCCACATTTATCAGAATCCTTCAAAGATTGCTGTTGTTGTTTTTCTTCCTTTATCTCCAACTTCATTTCTATCACAGAAGGCTTCGTCTGGGTCAGACTCAGAATCCGGGTCAGGCTCAGAGAAGAAAGCAGCAGACAGTGACTCCGAGGACGAAAAGCCGCGACCGGCTCTGTCTGGCTCTGAATCCCAGTCTGGCTCAAAGTCTGATTCAGATTCAGATCCACCTCCCAAGAAGGGTCCACAAGCACGCAAGAAAGGTGAGGGTCCAGTCTCATCCAAGATCGGCTTGAACTACTTTGGCATTTGTTTTACTCCTTATCTAGATGGACTCTGATATATGCATACATGTTTTTTTTTTACATCCACAGAGAAGCCTGCACCAAAGCCACGTGCACGGAAACCCAAACCAGCCCCGGCAAAACGAGCACCTTCATCTTCCTCTGACAGCGACAGGTGAGCTCCTCTTAAGACATTCTTATTTTTTATTCACTTCTCCTTCAAATACAGCAGTGTGAATCATGAAGAAGAAACCGGCTAGTTAAGACAGCTCTGTTTTCCTCACAGCGACAGTGAAACCGACCACATCAGTGAATGGAAGAAGCGAGATGAGGAGCGCAGACGGGAGCTGGAGGAGCGCCGGAAAAAGGAGGAGGCAGAGGAGCTCCGTAGGCTACGTGAGAGAGAGAAGGAGGAAGAAGAGAAAAAGAAAAAAGACAAGGACAAAGGTAAAAAAGGAAGCGACAGCGACAACAGCAGTAGCTCAGATGAAGGCGTAGATGATCACCCGTTGAAGAAGTCCAAGAAACCCCCTCCACCTCCGATCCCTGCGCCTTCAGACTCTGATTCCGCACCACCAACCGAGGTACAGTCTTAAACACAGTCAGCTACATTATGTGTTACATTCGGCCTTATTCAGAGAAATAGGCCTGCACTTTAATTAAGGTGTTACTAATGTTTGTACCTTGTTTTTTAAAAGTCAAAGAAACCATCTAAGAAGCCTGATCAGCAGAAGAAGGCAAGAATAAAGAAAGAAAAGGAGAGGAAAGAAAGAAAGGAGAAAGAGAGGAAAGCCAGAAGGTCGGAGGAGAAGTCCAGAGCCAGGTGAGTGAACAATGGGAAATACACTACGGTAGGCAAACCTCATTAGAAGAAGTTCATTAAGAATTCATGCGCCCAGATCACAGGGTTGCCTCTCCCTCTCTTTCGCTCAAACTCACTTCTTCTCTCTCAGGTCGAAGCCTGAAAAACCCAAACGCAAACCAGAGAGACAGCCAGAGAAGAAAGTGGAAAAGAAAAAGGGTCAGTGTTTTGCGAAGTCACACTCAATTTCACAAACACCACAGCAGGCTAGAAATCATTGCCTGGTAGAAGCTCATTTGCAGAGACTTAAACTGAACAACAGGTATACAGACACACAGATAGTTTGTATTGATTGTTTCTGTGAGGGGTGAGAATGTAATTTAGGACAATCTCATTATCCTGCTTGTCCAAATGCAGAGCCATCACCAGAAGAGAAGCTACAGAAACTCCACACAGATATTAAGTTTGCACTAAAAGTGGACAACCCAGTGAGTATTATTCTTTATTTTGGTTAAATACTTTTTCACTTTCTGCATCAGCATGGAAGTAAGTTCCTTGTTTATTTGTGTTTTTAGGACATAGAGCGGTGTCTACAAGCCCTGGAAGAACTTGAGGCTGTGCCTGTTACGAGCCAAATCCTCCATAAGAACGCAGAAGTCATCGCCACACTGAAAAAGGTGATGTGTCGGTCCGCTACCTAAGAAAGTGGGGGCTCTTATTCAGTCAAATATATGTTTCAACTTAGCAAGAGGGTTGTCTAATAATCATGGCTGACAGGGTAGTCTTTATTCCCCCCAGTCTCATCTTCCTTGATGTTCTGTGTCTAAACTAAAATCTAGATTCGGCGGTATAAAGCCAGCAATGCAGTTATGGAAAAAGCTAGCGAGGTCTACAACAAGTTAAAACTTCGCTTTGTGGGCAAACCGGTGGTGACAACTCAACCTAAAACAGAGGACAAGGAACCAGAAGATGACGAGAAGCCAACAGAAAACACAGGTAGAAGTACTAAAACACAAATGCACTGTGGTTACATAACCGTGTTTTTCTCACATTTGTCTGAACTTTCATTTTCCAGTTTCTACTCCAGTGAACGGGGAATCTGAACAGAAAAAAGATGATATGGACGAGGAGGAAAAACCAAAATCACCAACTCCAGAGGAGAATAATGATGAAACGGCTTCAAGTCCAAACAGGTGAATATGACATGTAAAGCAACAAAGTACAGACAGTTGACATGATTTGAGAGCAGATTTGTCATATTTTTTTGTAAATTACTTTTGCGCATGAGTCTGTTTGCTAACCTTAACAAAAAAGATGTGTGGCCTGTTATGATGCACAAATTTCCACAAACTTTGTTCTTTCTAGATTGAGTCCAGACAGCCCCGCTGAACACACTCACATGTATGAAGAAGCAGAAAACTCCATCTCTGCAGAGACAGAGCCACCTGCTGTAGAAAGCTGAATGAAAGACCCTTAACCACCTCGGGAGTGGACCAAGTGCTAAAGATGGTGGCCTCTTTGTTCAATGTCTTGCAGTACTCCTGACCCAGAAACAGTGCGACACACACCCAGCATTTCCTACTGTATCTGTTTCACTGATGTTGATGTTATGGACTTTTTTGTAGTATGATGATACGAATTGAGAAGGCCCTGTTGCTTAAAAAGTTTGCTCCATTATTTATCACAACTAAAAGGAAAAGCTTACTAGGGTGATAGATCGTGGTGCTGCAAGAACTCCTTTTGTTTCTGAGATGTACTTATCCTTCAGGACAACACTTGGCCCGTCCCGGACCCTCACCCTGTTACCCCCCCTTCCCCTTGCCCCGCTCTTGGCTACTTTGTCTTTCTACCACATGAACTCCTTCTTCGGTCTTTCATACCTTATGTATATTGAATGATTACATTTTTAGCACTTCTATCCGGAGTATACTGGGGGAAGTATAAAATGAAAATTTGATGACTTTCAATGGGAAACTGGGCAGAAAGGAGCCATGATGTTAATTTTTTCACTTGAAGATTTTGTGCTGCCCTTGCATCTTGTTTTATAAAGCCTACAAAACATCACAAAGGCCTCTTGACTGTGTGTATGGCATTGTGAGAATGGTTAAGTACTATTTGTGAGTCTTTTATGTTAAGTATTTTTTTAATGCTCTGGTCATCATCCAGTTAATCCAGTCAGAAATGTAAAGCCATCAAACGAGTCACTCTTGAACTGTTTTCCAGCTGAAGTCCACCCACTTTTTATAGCCTTGTTTGCAAGTTATTAAGATAATAACTGCTGTGGAGTTGAACATCTTACACTCATCTCCTCATAGTGTCTGCTTTCAGTAGCTTGCATAATATATGGAGTAACTACAAATTCAAACTGCCCTCAAAAGCTATGGACCTCATTTAGCCGCAGCATAATATTTTGCCATTTTACGTCAAACGCATACAACAGGTGTTTTTAGTGCTATGTAAATTGGTATAGCATTTCTATCACTGAGTTGAGACTTGAATAAAAATCTCAGCATGGTGTTGTTTGTCTCTCATTCTTTGCTTTAAACTCCTGTGAGGAACTTTTGGTTGTGTCATGTCAAGGCTCTTATTCTTTGCAGATCTGATGTCTTTCAACTATCAAATGCATCCTTTTGTAGCGTGAAAAATAACATGTTTTAGCATGCTGTCAATCAGTCTGACATAGTCATTACAGCCACTGATAAGAAGTGTACATATATATATTTTTTTCTTGTTACTAGTTTCCTTTGCTTTTGGAGGCCATAAATTAACATTAGGGGAGAGTGGGGTAAGATGAGCCATTTTTCATATTTTAGATCACTACATCAAGGCAATCATAGTTTCGTCTCTAACTAGTGTATCTGCACATATTTCAAGATGTTGTTCATCCCTGCAAACCAACAGAATGACTAAACATAACTGTCTTGATTATATAGCATGCCAAAAAAGGGGTCTCCTATGGTCAACTTAAGGGGGGTAATTTGAGCTGTATCCCTACTCCCCCCCCCCCCCCCACACACACACACACACACACACACACACACACTCCACCCCAGCCCTCCCTCACCTTCTCTCTCCCTAAATAACAGTCACTTCTTCACATTAATAAGTCATTTTAACATGAGAATGTCTTTAAGTGATTCAGAACATTCACAGCTGTATTTTTGAAAAGAAAAAGTAACACATTTCAACAATCTGAACTGAAACTCTGATCCTCTCATCAGACTCCTTTACTTTCTCATTTGAGACACTGGCTCAACTTACCCCAGAACTACTATGATGACTTTATTAGTCCTCTCAGTTAAAGTGGTGGACTTTTATGCAAGGTTTTTGACCTCATGTTGTAGCTCATAGATACCACAATTGATGTATAAAACAAATTTTAAATTATCTTTTTTTGGTCTGAACACAATTCTAATAAAACTTATGACAAACTAAATTCACTTTCAAAAGTAAAAATGTTTTTTTTTTTTTTGTAAATAACCGTCTAACCCCTTCACCCATGTGCTTCGAACCTTCACAGACTCCATGAATTGATGCCCATCTCCTAAATATTTGGTCACATGATCAATTTCTTTTACCATTTCCAAGCAACAGGGGGTGGCTCAACTTACCCCACTCTCCCCTATATGTTTTTTTGTTACTAGTCTCCTTTGCTTTGGGAGGCCAGAAATGGACATTATTGTTCATTTCAGTCTCCCACAAAGTTAACATTCAATTCCTGCATGTGTTCACAATACAACCGCATAATGCCAATTTATTGCACACATGACTTGTTGAAAACTACATTGTACATGAGATAACTTGACTAATTGAAGTTTAATCAGAGAAAAAAATAATACTGGTTGTGTTACATCTTCATACAGTTTGTTTATATCTTAAAACTGGCAGCAGTGTCATTTCACAGTTGGCTGCTCTGAACGGGGGACTAGACCTTTAATTCCTCTGATTCCCATATGAGAGTCTCGCATAATACTCCAGTCAGCTGACTTTAGACGCCATTTTGTCAGCCATTTCCTGCACTGCTCGGTTGCCAGCGTCTCTGCACAGTACAGGACGCCCCGTCTGGCCTCAGCTTCATCTGCCCGGGCTTCGTAAACAGCAGCCGATCTTGCACACACGGTCTCGGGTTGATGAGACACAGCCTAGAGGGTCGCCCGGCACCCACTCGACCCCCAGGAAGGCGCTCGGCCCCGCGAGACAGCAGCGGTACAAGTCAGAGGCAGCAGCCATGGCTCTGAAGATTGTCAAAGGGAGCATCGATCGGATGTTCGATAAAAACCTTCAGGATTTAGTACGTGGCATCAGGAATCACAAGGAGGATGAGGTAAAACGACCACCGGGGCAAACACTGTCGCTTGGCACGTTTTAAAACCCACATTCATGAGTGTTTTTAGCTCCGGTCATACATTACCGTTATCATTGACCAGCTAGCTACCGTCAAGCTGAGTAAATGAACGTTAGCGTTAGGTAGGCTGGTCAGCTAACGTTAGCGCCTGCCCAGTCATTTCACCCGCTAGCTAACTCCGACTCCAAACAGCTTTATTTTTCACACAGGCCAGTGTAGCCGACGTGTTAATTTGACGTTTGTGAAGTAAAAAAGCACGAGTTAACATACTGTTTGGTTTCAATAAAAGTGGCATATTATTAACGACGACTGGCTAACTCACCTAGTTAGAGGAAGCACCATTTAGTAGGAGATTACTGTTACAAGAGATCATACCTGCTTATGTGATCTTTCCTCTAACTACAGCTAACTTGATCAATTGTCCTCCTTAATTGAGATGTTATTATGATAGTACACTAACTTGTTCAGTCTGAAGGGATGGATATGATAGGATATGATGCTCTGTGCACTCTATGTGGAAGAGGCCTGATTTAGGTGTAAGTTAGATAAACACATTTGGCTGATAAATGTTCTGGATGTTGATGTTAATATTAAATTTTCATTTAGCTGTACAAATATGAGAATATTTTGAATGAGTCAGCACACCTTTATATCATATTAGAAAATCTGTATGAGTGATTGAAGGTGATGTCATCCCTGTCACAGCTCTGTGGCTGATGATAGACTCTTCACAACAGCATCTAGACCTGGGTGGGAATAGGGTGGGATGGGCCATTAGAGGGCACTGTTTTGGGGGAGACACTAACCCTCTCTCTCTCACTTTGGCCTGGTTAATCCTTGTAGACTTAGCTGTAAAATGTGGTATCAGGGTGTAAGTAAGATAAAGGTATAATACAGGAATCCATAGGTGGATGTTTCAGAGAGCAGCCGTGCTGTGGACACCTGCCTCCAACTGTAGGTCTGGTGTGAAATGTAGAGACGGCGTGTCTAACCTGAGGGCAGAAGAAGGGCTTGATTTCTCTGTTAACGTGGCAGCTTTTTCATGTGTACAACCTTTTTAGGAAATGAAATTACAACCAGGCACCAACCCTATACACTTTTTATAGTTATTTTTTAACTAGTGTGGTTTGTTGTTTAGGTATAAAACTCAGGCACTATATAATGTTTAAGCCATCAGACCTTGATCTTTTGATTCAGAGCGTGGGCTAAGCTGTGCACCAGTAAGTAACCTAACCTGGGCTGCCCAGATAATGTGGTGGTTGCCCAGTCAACAGTGGACAGTTAGCTGAAATATTAATATGTGTGTGTGTGTGTGTGTGTGTGCGAACATCGGAGTGTGTTGACTTTTTCCAGGCCAGCTCACAGTCCCTCATCCACTGTGTTTGTTTCTCACGTGTGTGTGCTGAACCTTTGCACATTTCATTCATTCATTCATTCATTCTCCCTCACATTTGTCGCTTGCCGATCAGCCTGACTAAAAAATTCTTTTGAGAATGACTGAGCAGCAGAGCAGTTCTGTGTGAGACCTAGGGAACACTTTAGGTGAATGTATATCATAATTAAAAGAAAAGTTATATCTGCGTTTGACCTCAGCTGACACTGAGCCTTGAGTCGTTTGGGGCTTGGAGTTCACATCCAGCTTAGTCTTTCTTAGTTTCTGAAAGACTGTCCTTGTTGGCCCTTTGACAACTATTTCAATAATTTCACTGGGTTCTTGAATTGTTCATTGAAGAAGGATGAGTAAAATGGTGAAGTGTGTGAGTGTCCAGTGATCATGTGTTGAATCCCTTCAGCCTGCTAGCCTTGGCAGCAGCACCCCCCCACCCCACCCCACCCCACCTCCTCCTGTCACTGTGCTGTCTCATGACTACGCACACATGACCAGCACACACTCACACGCTACAGAACTATATGTGTGTGTGTGCGTTTGTTTTGCAAGGTTGCTCCTCTCAACAATAGCCAGCTGATTGCTCTATCTGGAGTCGAATCAAAAGCACCTTCTGCTGATTCCATCGCAAGAAATGAAGTGTGGTATAGCAGGGATTACAGAAACTGCTGTTTTTCAGTCATTCATTTTAGCGTGAGGTTCCTGTAAAATCTAATATGCTAAAATAAAAAAGGCAGTGAGTGAATAAAACAACCTGGATGGAGGAGCTGTGTCATTAGGGTGATACTTTATAATCATTTGCTTCTATCTTTTCTCTGTATGAATGAGCAGGGAACTTCTTGCATTTGTTTGTTGCAGCCGTCAGACTCTGAATGACGGCAGCATCATAGGAAGAAGGTCTAATTTAATGTCCGTCTGTAGTGGCCATCAGAGAACAAAATGTCCTAAGTCGATGAGCAAGACCAAGACGTTGTCAAAATTGAGAATCTTAGCAATTAAAGTAAGAAATACAGCTGTCAGTTTATGAATCGGATGACTCTAAAGGGGGCGTAACTTCAGATTTGGTACCAGTGACTCGAGTTTGACTCATTAATTAAATGTTCCAATCATGGAGGAATTTCCAATATTTCCTGATGCCATGTGTGCCTTCTGAGAGCAAACTTCCATGTTGACCTGATGAAGTTTGGGGTCAAGTTTAGGAGTTGCCTGATCTGACTTGTGATTAGCAACATGAGCAATAAGCAATGACATAAAAAAACATAACCATTCATAACTATAATTAGCTCCACCTTTGCAGGCTGATGTCTTTTAAACGCAACAACAACAAGCAGAGCAAGAGTTTTTCCCAGCTGGTTCTTGGTGCTCAGCAGCAGCCTCCCACTCCGGATATCACTCCTCCACCTAATCTGATCTGGTGTCTGTTGTTTGTCTTCTCCTCTGTCTGCCCTCAGGCCAAGTACATCTCCACATGCATCGATGAGATCAAACAAGAGCTCAAGCAGGACAACATCGCCGTCAAAGCCAATGCTGTTTGCAAGCTCACCTACGTAAGCTCTCTCTTCATTCTCCACTCATTCACCGACACTTCCTGTCTATCACTTGTAGGTGATACAGAGGAACTGATGAACATTGAGATAAAACATCTAAACTCCATGTCTGGTTCACAGTGTGAGGCTACCTGCTTCTTTAAAAAGATACAGACTGTGTAGCTGCTTAATTTAACACAATGGCAAAGTCTAGTAAGGCGATCAATTCTACATTGAACACCTAAGATTGACAAAACGGGACACCAAACAAACAACATGGACAAAAGTTGCTTCTTTAGATTCTAATGCTGACCCTAGAGAAGTATCAAAACAGTCTTTTACAGATCTGTTTCAACTTTTTTCATTCTAAATTATTTAGCAAACTAAAGAAAACACTTTTTTTTAAAAATGGAATTCCAGTTGCAATGTGCATGACACAGCCCTCCTGAGTTACTTCCTCATTGTCCAGAATTAACCAACAGTAGAGATCTGTCTGATATCGCGTCAGTGTAGCTCCCCTCTTCATCATTCAGAGAGCTGAATGCTGTGCGTGTCGCTGTCACAGATACCTCAGCAAACGTCTAATTAAAAACGACAGACTTGAAGGTGGTGTGTTCTGACGTGCGCCGACCACCACAGAAAGCTTACTTTTAGCAGCCACACTTGCAGCTCAATTACAGTGCGCTGTTGTGAAAATCAAATGGAGAAGAAAACTGCAAGTTTTGGTTTAATCAGAAGTCATCATCTCGGGACTTGTGACACAGATTCAACATAATTTTAAACACTGTCAGAAATTACTGATGATGTGTAAGTTAGTCTTTTTTTAATTGGAAATCCCGTCACACCACCTGTACTCCTTCCCTTGTGTCTGCTTTTCCATGCAGGTATCAGATCAGCTGTCAGAGGGCTGAACACTGTGTGGTGAAAAGTAGGAAGGGGGGGTTGTAGAAAAAAGACCAAAGGTTAAAATTTAATATATATTTAAAACTGTATGATTAAAAAATGTGATTGTTTCTGAAATAAATTGCATTATTTGGTATAAATTCCTGTTTTTGTCATATAATTTAAACGACAGAAAGGAACACATGGAAGTAGTTTTTTCACTGTTGTGTATCCGTATTGTGTTGGCACGCACACAATGAAAAACCCCGACCGTGTGTGGCAACTGTAAAAGGTAGCCACACACAGACTTTGTCCTTTGTTCATTACCTTCAAATCAAAAAGCATAATAAATTCAAAGTCAGTCTCCATCAAAGGAAAATAACATGAATTGGATAGAAATGATTCAGTAAATTTTCACAAAACAGGTGTAAGGCTCCATCAGCCTCTAATAAGTCAGCGCTCAGCTGTTTGACCAGCAGCCTGTACGTCCTGACAACAGCGTACAATTTCTGCTAAAATGAAAGCACTTCTATTTATGTCCCGGACCCACCTTTGGGTTCTAGTGGCTTCATGCAATTGTGTGATCGAATCATTTAGCCTCTGTGTGTGCCCCAGGAACAGTTCGGAGCCCCTCTTCTCCATTTGTTCACTCGTATCTATCTTTGTCTCTTTTCTTCTCTGCTCTACAGCTTCAGATGCTGGGTTATGATGTCAGCTGGGCCGCTTTCAACATCGTTGAAGTCATGAGCTCCTCCAAGTTCACATACAAGGTAGAACGGGTGTAAAACCAGAGTCTTGGAAAAATAGGACCCTGTGGTGATGATACAAAGTCTGCAGTCCGCAAAATGTAGATTTATCAGGGCATTGATTATTGTGGTACAGTCTGTAAACCTTCCTGTTCTGCATTATTGAAGTTTCTTTTTCCACATCATTACGTACCTAGAAACAGCAAGAAATAATTGTTGCAGCACATTTAGTGTACTGTGAAGGTAAATCCCTTTAGAGCTGCAGGCGGTTATGAATTTTAGTGATGATAGCATTGTACTGGAATGAAAAATATGCAGCTGCATAGTTAGGAGGAAGCAGACCGCTGCATTATGTCTGCTTCTCGCCCTACAGAGGATTGGCTACCTGGCAGCCTCACAATGCTTTCATGAGAGCACTGATGTCATCATGCTGACAACCAATCAGATCCGAAAGGTCAGTAAATTTCATCGCTCTGTGCCTTTTTATTTATTTATTTATTTCTCTTTGTTTATCCCACAGCTTGTCTGCTTTTATGGACTGTACCTGTCATATTTTCTCCTCTAGGATCTCAGCAGTCCAAACCAGTATGACACAGGTGTTGCTCTGACTGGTCTCTCTTGTTTTGTGACCCCTGATCTGGCTCGAGACCTGGCTAATGACATCATGACACTGGTGAGTCACGGAGAATGCTGTATTTACTTTTTCTGGCTGCAGTTGTTTTCCTCTTGAATTTCTTTGCTTTGCAGCCAGTAAGAGGTGTTTTTGCAGTTAATACATGTCTTTCTCTTCCTTAGATGTCCCACACTAAACCCTACATCAGAAAGAAAGCGGTGCTGATTATGTACAAGGTGTTTTTGAAGTATCCAGAGTCCCTGCGGCCCGCTTTCCCCAGGCTTAAGGAGAAACTGGAGGATCCAGACCCAGGTACGAGCGAAGAACACTGCGCGCTGTCTGATATGAGTAACAGTGTATAGTTATGAAAGATGAGGAAATTGTTTGCAAGTTCTTTTAGTTGTCTTGGTATTTGACAAATTTGCTGTCTTGTTATTTGAGGTTGCTAAATGTCAGACACTGCTGGTAGTCTGAAGAACGGGCATTCTCTGTCACCTGAGCCGTATGAATTATTTATCATCTAAGAGGATGAGATTAAAGACGGATCATTTGTTGTCTTGCCAGGACTGTCTGGGAATGCAGACCCATTCAGAGGACATTTTCTGTCAAATAGACAAAAGCATCTCACAGGGTGTTTATAAGGCACGTAATGCCTGGAAGTACTATAATTAAATGTGTGTCAGTGTGCCATTATTTGATGGGTTGAGATAAAAGCAGGTTTCAGCTCTTGTTAAAAAAATGATCTAAGTAGGGTGTTGATGTCATTTTATATCATTTTTCAGGTGTCCAGTCTGCTGCAGTAAATGTTATATGTGAGCTGGCACGAAGAAATCCCAAGAATTACCTGTCTCTGGCCCCTCTATTCTTCAAACTCATGACCTCCTCTACTAATAACTGGGTTCTGATTAAGATCATCAAGCTGGTGAGTCAACAGGAAATGGAAATGACTTTTAAAGATTCTGTTTTAGTGAGAAAAATACTCACAAGGTTTAAGGTCGGATACTGAGAACCGGTTTCCTTTTTGGATCCGGTTCCTAATGTCTGGTTCTGGAAGCATTAAGCAGATGTTTGAATTTCGATTTAGAGTATCGCACCAATCATATGAAAGATTACAGTTGCTGCCAATCAGCTATAATTTATGATAAAACTGTGATTTTAAATAAAAGGAGATTACAGCGTGTGTCACAACACTTTGTGTCTGTCTTTCACAGTTTGGTGCTCTCACACCGCTTGAGCCACGGTTGGGAAAGAAGCTGATCGAACCTCTGACCAATCTTATCCACAGGTGAGATGAAACCCCTCCAACACAAACTTATCATTGGTAATAAGCTATTAACTCAGGTGTAATAATTTCCACTCTTTCTTTTTTTGCCTGTCTTCATCTCTTACAGTACCTCCGCCATGTCTCTGCTGTATGAATGTGTCAACACTGTTATCGCAGGTCAGTTCTGGCGTTTTGTGTGCAATGTGGCGGCCTCATGTTGCTGATTGTGTTAATGGTAGAGTTGGTTGTAATGCCAGAATTTCCCCTGTGTGCTTTGACTATAGGTCTTTTTCTTTCTTATCATTTTTTTCACTTTATAGATGCACCTTTTTGTATTCTTTGCAAAAACCCATATCTTGAAATGCTTATGTTCTTCTCAGTCAGCTCTAACTGCATCTCTGTCCCACATTGCAGTGCTGATTTCTCTGTCCTCTGGGATGCCTAACCACAGTGCTAGTATCCAGGTAAGCCCCCCGAGGTCAGATTAAACATCTTCTCTTTTTTTGTGGTCAGATGTTGAGCATAACTCCTTTCCACTCCAGTTGAATCACACTGCATGCTTCCACCAGAGACACAGTAACTATCACCAACATGACACCAAGACTCACAGAGCTACGCAAAATAGGCCCCATTCCCTCACTTTTGATTTTTGTCTCGTTTAAGTCTTTTAAAGTGCGCTCATATGACAACACTGAAACTGGTGTGGAAAGGTTTTCAACGGTGTTAATGTCTCCCCTCCTTTTTTCTCTCTCGCTCTCTCTGTCTCTCTCTCTTCTAGCTCTGTGTGCAGAAACTGCGAATCCTGATAGAAGACTCGGACCAGAACTGTGAGCCCTCTGTCAATGCCTGCAGTGTGTCATTTTCTCATTGTCTGCGTGTTTCTGACTGTGGAACAGTCCGCCCTTTAGACGAAAACACCGTAGAGCCCCTGACTCTGGATAGCTCGAACATTATTACCTTTTCATTCATAATTAGCTAACCGGCTAAGAATGCCATTTCACTCGAGTCACATCTGCTCCATTTGTTGATTCAATCTGAACTGGGGGAAAAGCTTCCCTGTCGGTTTTTCCTCAAACATAAGGCTTGGCTCTGCAAATAAACACCCTTGCTCACATCTAGGTGGAGCTGAGTGTTCGACATCCAGACATTCGAGTTATCTGGACACTTGTACATAGATAGTTGTGTTTTGCATAGACTGTAGAACGCTGATGTTATTAGAACAAACAGTGAACTTGTGGTTTCAGGTTTTGTTTATCCTTTCACCACACCTCTGAAAGTCATACTTGTGATATGACGTGTTCAAATAGATTGATGAGCTGACAGATCATGCCTCTCCTTGATTATAAAGATGCTCTGCTGATAAGACCAGTTAAGTTGAGCTGACAGAGCAGATACAGCATTAAAAAGAAGTCATGTTGAGGATCTATCACAGATTTCGAGATAGATTCGAGTATTTTAAGTAGAGTCATGATAAACATAGGTGATACGCATACAGCAGCATGAAATAGCCTACAAAAATAGAATAATCAATCATGACTAGTATGTTGTCTGGGTTGATGTTTTCATGCATTATTTGTTGCTGCAGCCGCTGCTGTCACCTTTTCCATAGCAGAGGTAGATTTGTCTGCAGCCGCAGCCGCCCTCAGGCTGCGTCCCCAGCTATTTCTGCAACGTCTGCACTTCAGTGACCAGCCTGACCTCACACACGCACTTATTGATCCAAGAACCTGAGAGGCATTTGTCTCTGCCAGATTCCTTGACGGGCAGAATTGCATGATTCAGCAGGTTTTCTGAGTCTTTAAAAGTCTGCGTGCTGAGCGGGAAAAGCTGCTGGGAAGACTGCAAAGGAGAAGGCAAAACAAAACTGCTGTGTCCAGTGTGTGTGTGTGTGTCCTGTGTGGGTGTTTGTGTGTCTCATTTGCATGTATGTTACGTGTTCTTTTCCTTTTGTGTTATGTAGTCTCTTATTTTCATGTTTTTTTTAAAGACAGCACTATAGCAATTTAATGAAATAGTGTTTAGATATAGATATTTCTCTGTTCATTCGACTGGACTTGCTGCTGAGAGGTTTAGTATGTCATGTTTTCAAGAAGTTCAGATTTATTGAATCCTAAAGTATCTAAAAAAGCACTTTGTGTTCAGGCAGAAATTTGAACTTTTTTACTGCATTTCCAATCAGGTTAAATTTATCTCAGATCAGGTGAGACAAAATATAACAACATGTACCTTGTCTTTATGGGCACAGAAAGTGAAGGATACAATTACTCTATTCTGAAGGGTACTGAGGCCATGTGTGTATGATTTTTCAGTGAAGTACCTGGGTCTGCTGGCCATGTCGAAGATCCTGAAGACCCACCCAAAGTCAGTGCAGTCTCATAAAGACCTCATCCTGCAGTGTCTGGATGACAAGGACGAGTCCATCCGCCTGAGAGCTCTGGACCTGCTCTATGGCATGGTATGATACAAAGACACTTTGTTTCACTCATCGGCAAACATGAGCATTAACCGTCTAATTTTGATTTGAAGTGATGTCGCATATCCAGATTTTTAGTCGGCACTTTCACCGGCAGCAGGTGGTTTTGATTCTGTTATAGTAGATGGTAATTTATAATGACAGATGAAGCTCTGAAAAATGTTTGCTGCTCAAGACGCTAAGTTGATAGAGCTCTGTTGGAGAAGTTTCGTTAACTCCATTCACACATTCAGACTTCACGCTCATTGACGCGTCCCTCATCCGCAGGTCTCCAAGAAGAACTTGATGGAGATCGTGAAGAAGTTGATGCTGCATGTAGACAAGGCAGAAGGAACCACCTACAGAGACGAGCTGCTCACAAAGATCATTGACATCTGCAGCCAGAGCAACTACCAGTACATCACAAACTTTGAATGGTCAGTCTCACAGCTCCCTGCCCTAAATCTTCCTCTTCTTAAATGTCCCTCCATATTCTATTTCAGTTTTGAGCTTCATGGCATATTTTTCATCTACAACCTTTTGTATCTGCCTGACAGGTACATCAGTATCCTGGTGGAGCTGACCCGATTAGAGGGCACACGGCACGGCCACCTTATTGCCTCTCAGATGCTGGATGTCGCTATTCGGGTCAAAGCCATCCGGGTCTTTGCTGTTGCCCAGATGGCCACTCTGCTGGACAATGCCCACCTGTTGACAGGCAACATGCAGCGAAAGGGCATCTGTGAAGTCTTGTACGCTGCAGCCTGGATCTGTGGGGAATTCTCAGAGTAGGTTGATTCATCTGACTGGGATACACACACATTTTAGTATAATTTGATAAAGTAGAAAAAAAGACAAGAAGTGAAACCGCTCCTCGGCTCTTAGTTTCCTGCCATTTTTTACACAAGAAGTACTGTTAACTTGGTGTCAACCATAATTTAACAACCATGTTTAAATAATTGATGACTGCCCTGGCAATGAGGTATCCGATGACTGCACCCCCTGTGATAATGAATCCATAGGGAAACAACAAACTCGCTTTTAGTCTGGACTTTTACTAACTTATCAGAATGACCGACTCTTCCTGAGAACCTCTCAATTTGTATCCAAACCTGTGTCACTTGATTTCACTTGCCTTGTCTTTTAAAAAGTCAAAAGTTAAAAAAGGCTTCCATTTTCACTTTGAGTTGTAACCAATTACCAACTAAAATATCTACTATTTTGGTTGTTGGAAACATGTTTTGATAAGATCAACCAGGACTAACAGATTTGACAATCACAGCTATTGATACTGTCTTAAAGTATTACATCAGGACCATGCTTGAAAGTGCCAGAATTTTCTTTTAATTGCCCATCTTTTTTTTTTTTTTTTTTTTTTTTACATAGACATCTGGAGAACCCCATGCAGACACTAGAGGCCATGCTGCGACCAAAGGTGGCCACTCTACCAGGCCATATACAAGCAGTGTATGTGCAGAACGCAGCCAAGCTGTTCGCTACAGTGCTGAAGAGTCAAGAAGGCAACACTGAAAGCACAGCAGCGCAGGAAACCAGCCAGCTGATGATAGACAGACTGCCATTGTTTGTCCAGAGCGCCAACCTGGAGGTGCAGGAAAGAGTAAGTCAAGAGATTTCCATAAACTATAATAAAGCAGATGCCAACTTTACGAACATACTTCTCTTTACACCTGGTACTTAGCTCTTAATCCTCACATCTGTTTCATCTTCTGCCGTGTCCTCAGGCGTCCTGCATCCTGCAGCTGGTCAAGTACATACAGAAGCTGCAACAGAAAGATGTAGAAGTATCAGAGGAGGTCAGCGCCCTGTTTGCTGGAGAACTCAACCCTGTGGCCCCCAAGGCACAGAAGAAAGTGCCTGTCCCCGAAGGGTAGGTTTTATTCTATACTTATGAAACAGAAATACATTGTGACTATGATCAATACCATCACAAGATTGTGAAATAACAATGTTCATACTATCAAGGTCCACCAACATGATTACCTGAATTCTCTGAATATTGTCTGGGTAACAAATGACTGTGTTTTTTTTTTTGTGCAGTCTGGACTTGGATGCATGGATCAATGAGCCACCATCTGAAAGCGAGTCTGAGGATGAGCAGCCCAAGGCTATTTTTGCCAAGGAGGAGCCCAAGCACTCCCGCCCCCGACACACAGAGGTGGATGAGAAGGAGCTGGCAAGGGTAAGCTAGTCAATAATTGAGCGCAACATTGCAGTATTAAAAAAAGCAGTGCTATTTTATGAATAGTCTAAATGCATACAGTCGTGAAATAAATGAGGACTCACCTTTTCAAACTGTTTATTTTCAGGTGTTCTGAGAGACAACCCTCTTATCTTTACAGCTTTTATGATAACATCAAAATCTGTTGTTTGCATTTTCAGTTTTATTGTCAGTTCATGGCTCAGAGTGTGAAGTTTATTGGCATTTAGTAAAGCAGACTTTGCAGAAATGAAATGTAGTTGGTGTAAAATCAGCTGAATGCAGAAATAGTTCACTTAGAAGCTTTTATATACATCGTCTGGCACTACTACTATCTGGCACTGGCATGTCTCTGCAGTAGCACACTTGAAGGTGTCATGCTGTTGACACTTCAGATAGTACAAACTTGATAAATGATGGAGGATACAGGAGCTTCTTTTCTTGAAGACGTATAACACCATTTTGTTCCAGGACTAGCACTGAAAATCTACTCGTCTTTCATATAGGTTTCAAAAACTGGAAAGGAGCATGTCTTTAATTTAGCCCCTGAGTATACAGCCCTTAAAATTCAAGCAGTATTCAGCTTCTACTGTAGCTCCGTCAGTTTGTTTAGTTGCTCTCTAATGCTACATCTGCTGGAGGCGATGCAGTCATTGATTAATTCATGCACCTGTTTTTGTTACACACTCACAGAGGAGAGAAGCAAGAAAGCAGGAGCAAGCCAACAACCCATTCTATATCAAGGCCTCGCCGTCCTCTCAGAAGGTGTGTTTCCAGAGTCGCCAAAAGGCTTTATTGTGCACACATACAACTGTTAAATCCAGTCTGTTTTAAACCTTACATAAACATGACGTAATGAAGTTAGTTTCATTCAATTAATTGTTTAAAGTATGAAAGTATCATGTCGTGAATGAATGTCTGTTCTATGTAGGTGTACCAGGAAGGCCCTGGCGTGGAGCACATCCCAGTGGTGCAGATCGACCTCAGCGTGCCTCTCAAAGTCCCAGGTGGGGAATGACCAAGACACACCAGCTTCACACTCAAATCTTTCAAAGTGGTTTACTTCTGTTGAGCTCTAAGCTTTGCCATTAAACAGCTGAGATACTGTCTCTGCCGTTGGTATTTGTGTCATTTATAATAAAAATGTAACAAATATTGTTGTCCTCTGTCACTCAGGTCTGCCGATGTCTGACCAGTACGTGAAACTCGAGGAGGAGCGTCGGCAGAAAGAGAGAGCAGAAAAGAAAAAGAAAGAGAAGAAGAAGAGGAAAGAAAAGCGCAGCGGACGAGGGAAGAAACACGATTCCGGCCCGGAGAGCGAGGAGGACATCACGCCTGCGCACATGGTCGACATAGTTACAGAGGAGATGCCAGAGGTACGCTGTAGCTGTGTAAAACATCACAAAGAGTTGTCGAGTCAAACCAAGAAGTTACATATATTATGAAATATGTCACGGCGGAGACATGGGGAAGAGGATTGGATCCTCTATTTGGATTCCCTCTGAGTCAATCAAAGTTAATGTTACTAAGAGGTTTTACTGATGTAGACATCATCGTTAAATTCAGTGAGTTTTCAGTATTCAAGTTATTAGCAGAACTCTTCACATTTGAAGTGTTGTGGATGTAGATTCTGTTTAGAAAGTTATGATTCTGTTTTATTGATTCCACCTTCTTATTACTTCAGAATGCCTTACCCAGTGACGATGATGAGAAAGACCCCAACGATCCTCATAAAGCCCTGGATATCGACTTGGACAAGTGAGTCAACATCATGTGGATCCTAATACAACCAAACTACCTCAAAGTCAATTTCACTTCTGTTAAACACAATGTTAGAGTCACTCAGAGCGTTTTATTTATGTTTTCTGACGTAGCCAATGAATGTATGTTTGACACTTTGATTTGACCTCAGTCATGCCTCATATTCATGATAGAAGTATTTTACCCCTGATCGTCCTAAACATGCAATATTTATCCCAGCTGATGTGATTCGGGCCCTTTCCCCCCTCTCACTCCTTCTCACGGCGTTCTACTTTCTGCTTCCTCTTTTCTATGCCTACACACATCCACTACTGCCTCTTTGCGTGGGCAGCTTGGTGGAGACGGCTAAGCGCAGGTGAGTTGCACCCGAGCCACAGAACCTGGGCTCCGACTCTACATGGACTGCTTCTCTGCCTCTCTCTCTCACTCTCTCAGATTAGTCGTCATGTTCCTCTTACTAACATAGCCGTCCTTTCTTTCCTCATATGAAGTTTGCAGTACCTGCTTCCTCTTTTTGCTCGATTTTCCATGTTTTCAATAACTCTCTTGTAGCCTCGTCTAACACCCAGACTCCCTTTTCTCTCAGCCTGCTTCTTTTTTTCCAAGTTTGACAATATCAGCAGCTTAAACTCGTCCGTGATTACTCTGTCCTTTTTAACAAAAATATTTATATGAAAAGATCTCTCCTTAAATGAGACTTTTAGAGTTTCATGGAAAGCAGTTGTTGCTGATGTTCTCAGGACTTGATCTTTCTCAGCCTGCCCTTCTGGAAATGGCTCCTAAAAGCATTTTGGCGCTTCTCTCAGAAAAGATCGTCTTCATCACTGTGCTTCTAGGAAACTTATCCCAGAGGTTAGGTGCTGCCTCAAAAGAACAAGAACATCTCCAGAATCATCCGTAGTTTTGGTCTTAGTTTGGTACCTTTAAACTGTCTTGAGCTGTTTTCTAAGGGAATACTGCGCTTTGCCTGCTCTTCGTGAAAATAACAGACATGTACCTTTAGAAAAAAGCTCTGGTCTTAATTGATAATGTCGCTTTAGACTTAATGGACACACACAGGGATCATTTTCCAATCGAATAAAAACAAGATGATTTATCCATCGTAAAGAAAAGTGAAAATTATAAAAAGAGGAAAAACCTGTGCGATCTCCGTTATCAAGTTGGTGGCCTTGTGTTTTTACAAGGAATAACCAGCAGGGGGCTGCATTGCCCACCATGACTGCTTCACATAGTGTGACTCTGAGTAATAACATTGATAGCTCTTATCAGTTCAATATGGAGAAATTTATAGGTATAGTCTCTAGCTTTCTGGGAATTTCCGATGCTTGAAGCTCTGCCATAGGAATGGCTTACCTCATTGCGCTGAATGAGACCCGGCTGCTGCACAGTGTTGAAAAAATGCTTGAATTCAATATAACGGTGCACTATGTGTTCCCTCTTTAAGCTTCTGCCATACTACTGTGTGCTGAAGAATAAAGGAATATGAAAGATGTTTTCCAGATGCAGGTGGACCACAAACACCTCATAATTCCTCATTTTAACTCAGTTGAACTCATACTTTTGCATATCTGTTTGTTCAGGCCACTTGCAGACAGTGAGAAGCTACCGGTCAGGTCACACCGTGCGGCGGAGGCTCCAAAGAGCCCAACAGAAGACGGAGATGCAGAGAGTGCTGCTTTACAGGAGCCTAAAAAGAAGAGCAGCAAAGAAAAGAGAGAGAAGAAGAAGGATAAAGAGAGGGATAGGAAGGTGAGTTGACATGTTTTTGTATTCACAGCGTTCATTCATTTATTAACTTTCCCTCTAGAAAGCACACTATCCTCATTTTGTTGCTCCTTAAACCAGAAGAAATCCACAGAGAAGTTGGCGGACATTTACAACAAGGAGCTGTTAATGCTTATCACTATGGACTTGTTTTTTTTATTTACAGAAAAGCAAAGAGGAGAAGAAAAAGAAGAAACACAAACATGAGGAAAAGGAGGAGGATCTTCTCGGCGGTCAGGCAGACGAGCCCGCGGTCCAGTCAGAAGAAACCAGTGAAGTAGCTGCACCGCCTACCTCCACGAGTGCCGAGGTATGTCCCTGCAAAAGCCAGGTTGCTCTTCTACCTAGCAACCCAGTTTACGTATCAAAGCGGATCCAGATCACAGTTTACTTGAATGTAACCTGATCCAAAAGTTACGCAGGAGTAAAGTTTAAGAATTCTACACCATAAGTAGTCAACAATTTCAGCTAAAAGATGACATGAGAGAGAGAGATATTTGATCATTTTCATTAACTCAACGATTCCATTGCTTCTTCCCAGTGCCTCTTTCAATCAGCTTTCAGGATCAAGTATCAGTTTCCTCGTAGCTGACGGTGCAGGCTCTTGCCAAATACTTGATTTATTCATGAAATAGAACAGTGTAATCTCTGGATCCATTTTCATGAATAGTAGAAAGATAAAGAACCTGTTTGGCCCTCACCCCTCTCACCTCCTCGCACTCCTCTCCCTCCCTTCCTCCTCTAGGTTTCGGATCTGGATTTCTGGCTCTCAAACGCTCCAGTGCCCTCTAACACCCAGGTTGAGTCATCTCCCCCTGTCTCTCTTTCTCTGTCATTCTCTCCTCTTCTCCTACACCTTTTCCTGATCACCCATCCCTCTTAAAAAAAGCGTCATGTTTTATTGATCAACCTCACATGTTGGTGTTTGTCATTTGTTCAACCTTTTTTTTTTTGCCTCTTTCTTTGGATGAGTTTTACATCTCCCACAGCTCACCATTTTGACACAACTTCCTCTCTTTCACAGGTCACATAACACTTTCCTCTCTCACCCTCCAGCCTTCCTTTGTTTTCCAGCATGTGTGTTTGTATGTCTGTGTGCACACACGGTATATTGGTATTTGTTTCAAAACGCCAGTGGTTCCCTTCTTCAGCTTTTGTTTTGCTCACTGGGCGTCGTGTCGGTCTTGAGGTCAAAATAGAAGTGGTTGTTGTTGTGTTGTTGGTGGTGGTGGTGGTGACGACAAGTGAGTGAAGGTTGTCTGAGATTCCCTGGAAGCTGCCCTGGGGTCAGTCCTTTTTGTGCCTCTTGTCACCATGTGTCCTTTGGCTGCTTCCTCAACAATCACATTTTGGGGTCCTACTTTTAAAAACTGCATATAGAAACTCAGAAGACATATTTCATACAAAAAGATACTGAAATTTATCACAAGTCAGATAAAGTTTCAGGCAATTTTCAAAGCTTTCGGCTGTTGGAGGTTTGATAGGGTAATGAACAGCTGATACCTAGTGTAAACCACTGACTGTTAAAAGTAGGTAAGAGATGGAGGAATTGACCTCCTGGCCTTGGTGCGTGCAAAAAACACACAATTAACTTGCTGAGCAAATGGCAAAGATTTCTCAGGGATTCGTAGTTTATGAAAAAAACAGATTTTTTTGTAGTTAGGTTGGAGGGACACCCTCTGTTATGGACAGTTGTGCTTCCCCTTGCCATTCTGCCCATGCTCTCTCAGTCATAATGTTGTACCTATATGTACTACATCAAATAACCAGTTAAACTTAATATGTTCAGAAGACACTTTGACATTATATATGAACATGATAAAAACAAACTATTAAGACAAATATTTGAGATAAATTTACGTTTACATTCTATTTAAACAGTGTTTCGACCTCAGCAGTAACCTCTGGTCTTGAGGAGTAACACCAATGTGACAGTGCTAAAAACTGCAGTTCTTCAAGTGTCCACTTGAGGCTGGCTCCAGTAACCCTTGAAGCCACATCAGCCTCTCCAAAAAAGCACATCTTTACAGCTAAAGTTAAACATTTCTACTCTATATAAATAGTTTCTCTATGCGTACAGAGGGTGCCTTTTTTATAGCTCAATAATTATGAAGATCAGTTTATAAATTTGGGAGTATTAAGGGTTGTAGCTGTTAGTGAGGGGGCTAAAAGGCTGCCTCAAATACCCTTCCCTGCCTTTTGCCAGGTTAGTCTAAAGTTAGGGGTACTCAGCAATTCCAACATGGCAACTGTCACCAGTGGGCTTCACCACAGCTTCAAAATCTGTTGATTAATGTCACTGAGACTATGTCTATAATTTACATGAGTCTATCAGGGTTCCTACGCAAGAATGGAAAGTATGGAAGTAGTTTGATCAGGTCTTAAAAAGTATGGTAAATGAGAAATAAAGTATGGAAAAGTATTATGTTTCCAGGCTTTTACTACAGTTCTAAAATACTGTTCTCTAAAAATAGAAAAGTACAGCCAAAATGAATTCTAAAAAGCAGGATATAGAAAAGTATGGAAATTCTTACTGTATAGGAACCCTGGTCTATGGTCCCAACTGTGGAGGAGGTGCGTTTTATGATATGTACTGCAGCTTGTTGGAAGAGAAGTTGCGAAGGTCTTGGCTTCACTTATAGAAGGTATCATGTCACCTGTTTTCGTACACTTATGAATTTCAACATCTTCGAAACACAAGTTGGCCACAATGACAAATGACCACATATAGCTATATGCCAACAAAGACAGTAATTAAAACTACTTATTTTTAGGAACAGTCAGCATGTTCAGCATGTTTGCCAGCTGTCGTGAATAAATTCTTTCCGGTGAGAGAATTTAAATGTGAACTTTAATGGTTTGTAAAATGATACAATTTGCTTTTAGCTTATAATCTGAAAATCCAATAATCGCTGTTAATTATTTTCAGATAGATATGAAAGAAATCCTCTGTGACAATAGTTTGTGGTAACATACTGTTGAAAATTTCTCCCCTGAACCCTACTTGACTCTAACACCACCGTCACATTGACTGATTGTATTGGATCTCCTCTAGTTTCCCAGAGAGATCAAGTCAATTCACTGAATTACAAAATAGTTTCTCTGTCCCCTGAACTGAACTGGATAGCTTTTCACATGAAAAACATGCCAGCAAAACCTTAGTTCAGGTTTTCAGCACATTTATCATATTGGGTGTGTTCAGTTCAATTGGGGTTGTCAGTCATTTTTAACTTTTTTTTTTTTTGAGTTGTTCGTTTTTCATCATGTTAGATGTCAACACCAAAGGAAAAGATCCTCTGACATGCCTCAACATGTTCACATGTAACACTTGATTTAGTATAGACTGAGGAGTGTACATTAGCACAGATGTAGACTGTCACTAAAATCATGTACATCAGGTTCTCTGATATCTTATCAGCAGCTAGCACGGCTGGTTAGTACAGTCCATCCCAAACAAAACAAAAGGAAGCCACCACACATGTACAGCTGCCTTCACGCATAACATACATGCGGGTTACTTGTCTGTGTTTGGGCTCATTTGTCTGGTTGTCTGTCTTAAAGAAATTAGATCTATGTATTCATGGTATCACAGAGCTGAATGAATGAATGACTCTTATCAATGATGAGTTAACTCACCAACTTAACCTGATCAACACAAACCTGGCAAACACTACTTTATACCCTTCATGCTGTGAGAGCTCACTGCTAATGGCTCCATGTGTTTTTGTGGTGGTGTGTGTGCAAACAGGAAGCAGCAACAGTAGCAGCAGAAGAAGCAGCCCCCGTGCCTGAGGCAGCCTCTGGCACAGCGCCAGACTCCGAGCCTGATGAGCCCAAAGACACCGAGATGGAGGAGTCTGTGAGTCACCAGCAATGATGTGATAATTACTAAATAAAAAAAAGTTTGGCTGCTGTGCGAGAGGTTCTGGTTCACAATGACCTGACAGGATGCAGCACATCAGCAGCTCTCTTCTCACAAGTCTGTGTAAATGATGTGCCAGAGACCTGCCAGTTATCATGTGGGCTCTGCAGAAAAATGAGTTTCACTTCATGTTTCACTGACCAAATTTTCACCTTGTGAATTTCTAACAAGTCACTTCCTTTTTTTTTTTGTTGCTGTGGGTTTCTCAATGGTTAGAAGTCCTCCAAACACAAGAAGAAAAAGCAGAAAAAGGAAAAGGAGGAGAAGGAGAAGAAAAAGAAGAAGAAGCATCACCACCATCACCATCACAGTGACGGAGGAGGAGGAGAGGAGTCAGTGCAGAACGGCACCGTAGAGGATGAAGAGCCACTGCCGGTCAGTGTTTGTATTTAGAATTAGAGATTATTTTCACTATAAATTACTCAGTTTAATTCAGTTACTCTGTATTTTGCTTGTTAAAAAATAAGATCTTTAAAGTCTTCAAAAGCTTTTGTGTTTCCTCTTACCTCCATTTAATTCTATGACTACTGCACACACTAGTGCACACACACACACTTTGCTCGTTATGCTTTAACTACGTGAAACCAGCTCCTGTTGCTTCATTAGCATACCGAGTGATAGAGAATGCCTGGTCTGACCTGAGCTCTTCTGTCCTTTCAGCCCATGTCCAATTACTGCCTGCTGGCTGAAAACTCCTACATCAAGATGGTAAGTGGTAAAGATTGAGAAGCTGTTCCTTTCATTGCTGTGAAAATTCAGGCCTTTACACACCATTACTAATAGTTAGTCTGTCATTTATCCATAACCTGAAATGACTTTTAATCCACTCATTTAATTCTAGATATTTCAACATGTACTTGTGCTTCTTTCTGTTATTGTGTTTAACATAACAAAGAATAGGAATTCTTTAACTTATAAAATCAAGTTCACTCCAGATCAGTCTGTTTTGTTGATGAGGGCATACCCATGTTAGTCTGTTTCTGGAAAGCATGAGACATTTTGGATCATCTGATTGACCATGTGATGTTTGTCCTCAGTCGACCACGGTGTTTTCATTTTGCTCCATCGCTGCAATGATGTTATAACCGATTTTGAATTCCAAGCTGTGGAAAAACCTGATTTTCTTGATTTTTAGATGTACCTCTTTGGGGACAGATTTCAAAATAATCTTGCTCATCTTCACACTTTGCACAACTACATTCAATGTTAACATTATCAGAAAAACGCAGCAGTTTTCAAACAGAACATATGCAGATCTCTCCTTCTTTTCTCCTTCTCTTTAAAGATGATGGAGGATGCCGATGAGGTACTGGTTGAAATTCTGTCAGCGACAGAATATTATTGAAACTCTCCTAGATGTGTTTCCACTCTCAGTCTGAACTCTGACGCAAACTATTGTTGTATTTCTGTAGGATAATTCTGCCTTTGTGATTGTTTATTATGCTCAGAGGGTTTCCTGGAAACTGATGTGTGCTCTGGTGTTGGGTTTATGAATTCAACTTTCTGTATTTGCTGTCGGGCGTCACCCAAGAGATGACAAACAGCAAATTTAACTCTAAATTCACTGAGTTTTGTATTCCTTTTTTGTTCTTTATTACAAAAAAGGAGTACAAACAGCTTGAGTTTGATTGTCTACTTTTGTGTAAATAAATTTGTCAAATATCTAAAACATCTCTGTCCCTCTTCTTTCCGTTTACTTGCGAAGGTGAATGACATCCAGGGAAACCTGCAGGATGGCAGTCAGGTGGTCGTGTCTGTTATATTTGAAAACAAGTGTGAAAGCTTTCTCAAATCCATGGAGTTCAATGTCCTGGATTCACTCAATTCCAAGCTACAGAGGCCAGAGGGGTCAGGTCCACATGATGGCCTCACCGTCCCATTCCAACTTCCACCTGGTCAGTGTTGATCTGCAAAAAGCATCCCTATGAAAATAGTCATTTAAACAGTTTTAAGATTCACAGATATTTTAACGGGTATATTGATTTAAAACCTTGGATTTGACTTAATCTGACGTTTCTTCTTTCTTTCAGGGGTGTCCAATGAAGCTCGGTTTGTCTTCACTGTGCAGAGCATCGTGATGCCACAGAAACTTAAGGGAACCCTCACCTTCATAGTTAAGGTTGGTAGGTGACACACAAACACAGCAAAACAAGCAGGATCGTCTTTCTTTTTCCGCCCTCTTAGCTTCCATAATGCTTACGTTTTTTTTCATTCATAACTTGTTTTGAGATCTACTCGTATATTGATAGGCTTTCCAGGGCTGCAGGTTGGCACGGTGAAGTTGTCGTCACGTGTTTTAGAAAGATAAGGAGTTCTTATTGCTACAGATCTGAGTTTTGTAACCAACCCTTCACCTATATCTCTCTGGAGGTCTACAGGAATCAACATGTTTCTTTATTGATTATTTGCATTTGTTATTGTGTTGTTTTGTGTGTCCACAGAATGAGGACTCTTCCACTCATGAGAAACTGGACTTTAAACTGCACTTTACCTGCACCTCCTACCTAATCACTACTCCTTGCTACAGGTCGGTGTATTTTTAAACCTTTTCTTTTTTTTCTAAAACAAGTTCTTGGCACATAACAACCCATATGTGTGGGGAAGGGACTTCCTGGCAATTATATACTTTTCTTTAATGTTGTTTCTGGATAGAGTCCAAAATCTAAACATTTTTCCCCTCAGGATCACGACTGTGCCGAGAAGATATAGTGCCAATGTTCTTATTACAGTTTGTTTTTGACTGAGTGGGTGTATTGACAGTTGGGCTTTAGGACAGTTAAAGAAAAGCGGAAGTGGGTTCAGTAATCTTCATGTCAATCCGCCCAGTAGATTTTGATGTTTTCTGTGTGAAATGTAAATCTGTGATGTGACACTGTCTTAGTCATGTGAAGCCCACAGAAGGAATCAAAACCAACTTCCTTTCTTTCTCTCTCTTTTTTTTTTGTTGGTCCAGTGATGCATTCGCAAAGCTGCTAGAATCAGGCGACCTGAAGGGCAGCTCTGTCAGACTGGAAGGGGTAAACATGCCCTTCCACCACCTACTGGCTCGGATCTGCTTCCACCACCATTTCTCCGGTATGTACATCCGATGCCAAGTGCTATGAGAAACAAAGAGACAAGAAGGGTAGGATATTCAGAAAAAGTGAATGATTGAACTGTTCTTTAAGGGAGTTTATGACCACATTAAAAAGGCTTCTGAAAGTCAAAGAAGTTTTTGACTTAAATGATTTGACTCTCTATAAAACCATATAATACTCAAGATATGAATGTCTAAATAACATGTACCATGAAGTAACATATTCAAAGTTTGAACACTGGCACACATTTGCAAATTTAATCTGTGTATGCAAATACTCTGAAAGTTGCTGACACCAAATTGTTGTGTTTCATGGGATTAGTTGTGGAGAGGATCGACTCCTGTGCCTCCATGTACAGCAGGTCTATCCAGGGTCACCATGTTTGTCTGCTGGTCAAAACTGTGAGTGAACTACTTGAACCCCTCCCCTTTTGTCTGTAATAATTTTTTGGGGCACTCAGAATGTGATTGTGATATTTTTTGTATCTCTCTTTACCTCTTCTAGTCGGGTCAGACAGTGTCCATTGACGCCAAATGTGATGAGCCGACGCTGCTTGGGAATGTGCTGGATGAGATCAAGCAGACCTTCTCTCAGTGCTGATCATGTCTGACAGCCCCAGGGTGCCCCCCTTGACCCTTTCATGCCACCCCCTCCTTCGCTGAAACACAACATAATCATGTTATGAAACACTGCGGCTGGCACCTCCAGTATTGCCCTATTTATTAGTCCTCAGATTCGCAAGACTTCTTCCCTCCTTCCCTTCTTCTTTAGTGTCCCTACACTCTTGTTCCTTAGCACTCTGAGCTCTGTGGTAACTCCCAACACTTGATGTTGTTTTACAGACTCACTGTGTACGCGCATCATCTGCTCTGTATTGCAACTTAATTTTTACTTCCAACCCCAGCAGCCACCCTGTCCCTCCCTGACTCTGACTCTGTGCTGAGCTCCTGATTCTGGACGCTCTACTTCATCTGCTCTCTGCTGTGTTACTCTCTACACCCTCCACTCTGTTGGCAATTCAGTCTTTGACAGTCATGTAATGTAATGTTGACAACTGGACTTTTACTGTTTATGGTTGGATTGTGTTTTTACTGTTTTGAAGGCTTTTTTGTCTTTGGTTTGTTTGTTTTTTCGTTGTTGTTTTGTCTCTTTTTTTTTTTCTTTTTTGTCTGAAGCCTTTCTGCGCCTTTTCTCTTCCCCTTCTCTATGCTCACTTACCATCAGTGTGTGTATTGCTAATCTGTGTAGGAAAAGAACTGGAAAAGAAAAACATTTGACTGACCTTTTCTTAAACTAGTCCTGGCTGGAAACATGGGGTCTCTAACCTTCTCACCCACCACTGACCGGGTGCCTGGAAACGACCGGGCGCTGAGCAGCTGCAGTAGAAGCATAGTGCTAAGATGAAACCAAAGCTACATATAAGGCATGAGTGTTAGACTCCTTTCCAAGCCGTTGCCCTACTTGCCACCAGGCAGGGCTCAGAGCAGATCTACTGGTGTTAGTTCAACTGAATCCTTATGTGGCACTACGGGTGATTTGTACAGTAGATCATAGTTTTGCTGCTCTGTGCCTTAGCTGTGCAGCCTGACCTACTACAGTGAGTTTTGGAGAGCCCCGCCTCCATCCCCTAATATCCACCCTAAATCAATTGAGCAGCTGCAGTTTTGACTCCCAGTTTACAAACTTCTAACATATAATTTCTCTCATGAATCAAAGAATTTGAAGTGTTTACAAGAATCAGTGAATGAATATATGGCACTAGAGAGGAATTGCACACGGTTATATAAAAGCAGGATATCTGTCTGTCAGGCCAGTGCCACCTTTCATCAGCACTCTTAAATGGTTCGGTTAGTTGCACAGAAGATTTTCTATTAAAAAGAAAGTTATTTTGATGAATCTGCTGTTGCTGATGGCCCTTATTTGTGTGATCAGGCAGATTAAAAACAGAATAATGTGGCAAAAAGAAAGCCAGCCATGTTACATCACTCGTGTCTGATTCACTCGTGATGGCAAATGTTACACTAAACTGCTCTGCATATCAGTTTTTGAAGTTGTATGCAGAGTTTATTTATGGTCAGTGGTTAAAAGTTCCCTCTTAATTAGTCTTAGGCGACGTGGTTGCTGCTGTATCAGCTTTTGCGAAGACATGTAAAGCATTAACATCTGTGCCACCCGACCAGTAGCTGCTGCACCCGCACTGGCTGACACCTAGCTAGTGTGAACCCAGATAAATCCCAGAGTTCCTGTTCCCTTCAAAAATTGCCTTGCCTTTTGTTTTGTTTTTTTTTGTTTTGTTTTTTTGTGCTTTGACATGTTATAATGAACATATACGGCCATTTTTGAAAGAATGGCCTCATTTTAGAACTCTCAGAGGTACGTGATGTTTTAGTTTATGTCATTCATGTCTGAAGTCACTACCCAGTCCAACACGACTTAACCTAGTAGTAGCAAGATTAAACTGACTTGGTAGCGTCTCTGATCATGTTTCCTGGTAAGGCCATCTTTACATCCGTCTGCTATTGTAGATAACTATGCTGATGATGATGATGATGTCTGTGACCTGAAGTGCAGGTCAGCCATTCCATGACATCTTCTGTCCAGTAGTAGAGTTACAGTGAAGAGGTGATCAGCTGTATTTCAGGAATGTCTATTGAAAATAATTATCTATGTATTTCATGTTCCTGAAAATGACTGGTGTAAGTGAAACAAAAAAAATACCAAATCCCCCAATCATACATTGTCCGAATTTTGATCATTTTCTTGTGCATAATAATTGATTAAAATTTGTATATTGCATGATTAAGAATGTACACATTTTATTTTCCCTTTTTCTGTTCCACTGACATGCTTACACAAACAGAAACTTATCATTCCATTTTTCCATTTTCTTTATATTTTTTTTATGAAGTTTACTTGACCGTTCTCTATTTTTGATGGTATTGTGTTTTTAACTACTCTAAGTTCAAACAATATGAAAAAGAGATATTGAATGTTTTAAATTATTATTCCTAGAGTAAGGAAGGGGGTTCTAATTGGTGTCGTGACACTGAGGGCATGGAGCTTAAAAAAATATAAGTTGAGTAGAACAGACCACGTGAAGCAGTGTACTGGGAGGCCACCCGCTCTGTCTTAATTCTTGGTTCAGTTGTAGTGAGTTCCTTTACCGAGTTTGGCTTGTGACATTGAAATATACTCTCAGATGACTCTTGAATTTTGAAGGTCCTGTCTTTTTATTTCTCCATATTCAATTATTGAACTGTACAATGTAAAATGTTTTAAAGGGGACTACATAAATGATCTACATTCCCTTTGGAGAAAGTCCACTGAATTAAAGTAAAGGCTATACAAAGCTGCTGTAGTCTTTCTTTTGTTACCCTGGACTTCTGTTTTAAGTGGCTTCAGGTGTCTAGTTGTGGTGTTAGCTTTTCCCCTCTCTCTCTTTAAATGCAAAGACTGCCTCGAGCACAGTGATGCTTGATCTATTGATCACTACTGCTTGTTGTTTTGATAGAACTTTATTTCCCAGAAAGCCTTTCGTGACAGGAGCAAACGAGACCTCTTCACTGACTGACAGCGAGCAGCTGAGTTAGTGGTAGGAGGAAAGACCCGGTCGGAGGTATTGGTGTCAGGATTTCTAAGAAGAATATCTCTCTCTGAACGCAGGGTAGCCCAGCCGCCCACTTTCTTTAATAAAAAAAAGACCTAGTCTTACAGTTTACTGGGTAGACACAAGCTAGCTTTTCGTTGACATACCTCTATACTAAACAACCGAGCAGAGCTTCCTTTTGGAGTTTCAAAATAAAACTCAGTTCAAGCAAAGTTTACAAATATTTCTAGTGAATTGTTTGTCGAACTTCTACTAATTGTGTTATTACCACTTTTGAATTTATGTGGCAATAAGTTGATAGATATGGCCTTAAAAAAAATTATTGAATTCTGATAGAATGCATATTAACCTTTAACCAACCACAAGTGGATAATTTGTTAATTTGATAAAAATGGGAAACTAAATCCTAGATGGATGGATAGATAGATAGATAGATAGATAGATAGTAGGGCTGGGACGATATGCTTTTCTCCTGTTTTGAATCTTCTACGATTGTTTGGATACCGATTCAATTTAATTCGCGTTTCTATGACATTGTTGATTTTCTTGATTTTTAGTCTGCATTTTTTACACCAGTGAAACAGTTGAATGATTATGATTTTCTACTGACTATTCCAGGAACCATATTTACCCCCAAAAAACACACATCACATGTAAGTCAGTAAGTCAAGATTTATTCTTAAATTTGAAAAAAAAAAGCGAGTTATGAACATAAAAATCGGTTTACAAATTGTGAAACAAAAATTCGCGATACTTATGTGAATCATTTTTTTCTCCCACCCCTAATAGATAGATAGATAGATAGATAGATAGATGGATGGGTAGGTAAGTAGGTAGGTAGATATATAGGTAGGTAGGTAGGTAGTATATAGATGCGAATCTTCTACGATTTTTTGGATGCCGATTCGATTTAAATTGCGATTCTATGACATTGTGGATTTTTAGTCTGCATTTTTAACACCAGTGAAACAGTTGAATGTTTATGATTGTCCACTGACTATTCCAGGAACCATACCCCCCCCCCAAAAAAAAAATCGTTTTATTTTTATTTTCTTCTTCTTTATTTATCTCAAACATTAAGAAGAACAACAACAACAAAACAGCTAGAAACAAAAACACCGAACAAAATAATACATATGTACACTAAACACACACACACACACATACTTTTCTGTTCGAACGGTTTAAAAAATAATAAAGATGAGCTTTATTTCGAAATCTGTAACCGGAAATCAACCGTTATAGCACGAGCGACTTGATGAAAAAGGTTACATGGTCGTTAATACCTGGGGCTCCCCGAGATTGTTCACAACAACGGAGGAAGCCGCACCAGCTCTGACTAAAGAAAACCCTTTCTCGGTATTTTTTTGTTCATCCTGTTCGGACCCACAGTGCCGTGAACGTGTTCCTGTGCGAAGAGGCTTCAGTTCCTTCACTGGTCGCTTTTGTTTGATGCCGAGCTAGCTTTGTCCTTCCGTGCAGTCACAGCTGTGGTGGGTTGCTGATATATTTATACAAATCCTAGTGGAATATGGCACAGCATGGACATCATGTAGCCAGTTCCCAAAAAGCACTTATGTTGGAGATGAAAAGTCTTCAAGATGAGCCGGTCGAAGGATTCAAAATAACTTTGGTGGACGAGTCGGACATGTACAACTGGGAAGTAGCGATTTTCGGACCCCCAAATACACACTACGAGGGTGGTTATTTTAAGGTGAGTTGCTAATGTTAGCTAGCAGTCGGTCTATTGTTCTGTAGCTGGTAGATTAAAGACTACATTTGTGTAATTTAGTCTTGAAGAGAGTCCAACGGCTAACCTTAGCCTTCAAGTTAGCGTCTACGACAACACCGTTAATAACGTTAATGTCGCCGTTGGCTGTCGAACCCCGTTAAACCTTACCGTTTTCACTAAAAAGTCACATCTATCTTTAAAAAAACAACTCTTAACTAATATCATGACTGTTTTTGTCTACAACTCTAGGCTTCATCTCTTATTTTTTGCTCTGCCTCTTTTTTAATGGAGCTTCATTGACTGTCCAAATTAGTTATATTTAGTCCATAATGCTTGACAGAGTTGACTTGTGTGTTAACGTGAAACTAAATCTTGTTAGTAAAAGAAACACCTCAAGCTTTAACATGATAATTAGCAAACTGATTCAATCAATTCCTGTTTGTTTAACAGCACAACTCCAGGTTGAATAGGCTTTTTGTTAGTATATTCAAATCAACTGAAGGCACATCATCCACACTGAAAAGTTACCTTACTTTTTGAAATAGAGACAAACAAAGGCTTATTTTTTTAATGGCTGTATAACATTTGACTTCTTGCACTCTTCCTCCTTTTGAGAGTGAAATGTGTGGGTTCTTCAGATATGAGGTTCCTGTTTTTCACTGTGTTATTTACAAAGAGGGTTGTAAGCCTCCACCAAGTGACTAACTACTGAATGTCTTGGTTAAGAAAAATGTCTTACGCCTGTTTGAAGTTTTATAAAGCAGCAGCTTCTAAAGTTACTCACTTGGCATCATGGCTGTGGTCTTAAACCTGTCACTTACTGTGTATTGGCCTTGTTTTTAGATTGACCTAAAGCCTCTCTTTAAGTCCTATTGCTTAAAATTGAAGGATGGCAGGAGCAATCTTTTGTATTTGAATTTGAAAATTGACATTAATTTCAAAACTCTCTTGCAACTCTTTTGATCATCCAGGCTTCAAGTTGTGTACTGTGCCAATCCAGCTAATGAAGCTACAGTTATTCAAATGTATTTTTTTGTCTTGTAAAGGCAGTCAGGAAATCTGTTCAAACAGAAAACCTCAAACAAACAAGAATGATAATTCAGCTCGGTTGCACAACCCTCTTGTTTTTCTGGTTAAAGGCAAACAGCCCATAAATAAAGGTAGACAACAACAACAAACTCTACATCAACATTACTATTTCTTGATTTTTGGGCTCGTAGCACTGAGTCTGACATGAGACACAGTTCAGATATATAATGTTGTTTGGTGGCAAGACAAGTTTGATGCTATTTGGGATTTGATGATATATTATTCTATTACAATTGGAGTAAGTGCGTAGAAAAACCCAAGGCATTGGTAGGTTTTAATGTATTTTTAAGATGATCTGAGTGAGTGTTATAAAGTTAAATAGGCCCCAATTCTACACCTGCCCCAATATCTATCTAGAATGTAATGTCATGGGAGTATGGATGGGAATCGAGAACCAGTTCTTGTTGAGAACCGTTTTTAAATGGTTCAATCCATCGACATCGTTTAAATTTTACCGTAACGATTCCCCTAACAATTTCTTTCTTCTGGGTGCCGTAAAGTAGGCGGAAACGATCTAAAGCGTGGCTCAAAATTTTGCGCACGACTCTGCCCTGCGTAGTAGTGTCCTCTTTTTGGGGATCCAGAATATAGTCAGCCTAATTTGACTTAATACCTACCACAGCAAATGCTGTACAAAAAGTTTGTTGTTTGATTAATTTTAGACTCTCACTGAAGGTGGCATACATCTTTTCTGTTTTTTTTTAGTTAATGGTGAATACCTATAGTCTACTTTTTTTAAATCAAAGAAAGGCATTGATAAGGGAATCATTAAAGAATTGAATTGATAAGCAGAATCAATAATGGCATCGATATCAATAAAATCTTCTCAATTCCCATCCCTACATGGAAGCCTCAAGTCTTGATAGCAGTGTCGATTAGCTCAGATGCTATTTATTTATCGAATTAAAAAAAAAAAGGCAAAACCAGGTCCTCTTTGTGTTTCAATTCCCAGCCCTCGACTTGAGTTCAGACTGAGCTAGAATATTTAAAGGCACATCAGTTCAGCTGTAGCTGCTGTCCTTGGTGAACCCAGTTCCTGCTAAAGTATTCTAATTTTTGCTTCTAGTCTTCATTAAGCCCTTGAACAGAAGCAAATAGGGCCCTGGCCAGGCTACTGTAGACGCTGTTCAGTCACTGTGTCTGTGTGGGTGCTCTGCTGTGTACAGGATTCCTTTTGTCAGGGCCAGGAATGCACAGGCTGGCTGTGAAATCCACCGCATGGTTGTGACTCATTGTTCTGTGCTGGGTTTCCATCCAACCAGTTTGCCTTATTCAAAAAGGAAAAGGAAAAAAAACACCCTTTTTCTAACCAGGTTACCCAAACAAACAAACAGTTATGACATGCTGCCACCACCTGTTCCTCCAAAACAGGGCAGGTAATGACGTCACATGAAGACTGGCTGAATCAGGTATTAATTCCACATGGGTGTTGCTCTCAAAGAGTCACACCATGACGAATAAGTTATGACTGCAGGCACACAGTGAGCTGAGACATATCGAAATGTCATTCAAAATACTTGACATGTCTGTGCTGGACGAGTAAACATACACAACTTTATTTACCCATTTATTTTTATAACTGATTTGAACAGTGACCTTAGGGGTTCATGGCAGGCCCTAACACTGATGTTCATTCAGTGGTTGTGAAACATTTCCAGGCTGTTTATGAACCTTCTTCTCTGTCATGTGAAGCATCACTCCAGGCACCTAATGATCACTGAAAGAGGACCAGTCAGTCCTTGTGTGTGAGTGTGCTTATAGTGGAAATTTAGTCAGACTGTTGATTCACAAGTTGTCAGACTCGTTCTATTGATGGTAGCGTTCTCACTCAATTATTCGTCTATACAATTCTCAATATGTTGTTGAAGATCTCGTCATAACTCTGTCATCTTCTTTTTTTTTTTTTTTTCAATCGCTTTCTTGAAGATCTATCTTTGACCTCAATCAGTAAGACTTCAGTGTTTTGTGAAGTAGTACAATCACATGCCTTTTTGTGTCACTGCACAACCTCGAAAACTTAGTCGCTATTATTTTACATAACAGCCGGATATCTCAATCAGAGCAAACACAGCCCCTCGATGAATTATTTTCCTGTTTTTAAGATCTTCAGAAAAATGTGTCACTCACTAACATTTTGTTTCTGAACTCGCAGTTTTCATTTAAGAATCACAAGGAAACTAGTGATGGTTAAGAATGTGTCCTATCACTGAATTTTTCTCTTTAATGGCCCAATCTTAAATTTTTGTTTTTCAATTCTTCTTGTGAACTCCTTTCTCAAGTCCTAAGTAATCACTGGTCTTTCCAAGAGGCCCCTACAAGGCGCAACCAATAGGCTTTACCTTACATGGCACAAAAGTGCAGCATACCTTAAACTCTAGTTAAGGTTTGCTCAGCTTCAGTTAAAGTCTCAGATTATATGCATTTTTCAGATGTTTAATAAATGACATTTACTAGTGTATGTTGGAGTATCATACAAAACCCACCATCATCCTCTTTTTGTGTCTAATAAATCAACTAAGACGTCCATAAAAACTTCAGCAAGTCCACTTGAGAACTACGACATCACTTTTATGTGACACCAGAGTCAGTCTGTTCACAATTAGCAGCTTTGACCTCTTCCTGCTCCGTTCTGTGTCATGCAACAGAGCTGCAGAACAGGGTGTTGCACTCTCTATCTACAACTGTGAGGTCATCTGCTTGCTTTTTCTCAGAGGAGTTTGTTGCCTCAGCATACAGCGGGGACTTTCTCTGTGTCTATACTGACATGACTGTTGTGGAAGTTCCTGAGATCAGTTAAAAGAAAGAAGAGAGAAGAAGAAGAAGAAGAAGGGTGACTATGTTTGGCGTGCTGCTGCGTCAGCATCTGGCAGCTTTAATTGTCATTTCTGTTACATGTAATTATGCTGTAAATTGGATCGTGGGGACTCAAAATATACCGTGAAACAAAACATCTTTCATATCTCAGTCATGTGGTTTTCCCAGAGTGGCTCACTAAACACTGACAGACCTCTTCTTTGCAATAGCCATGAAAAAAAAAAGTGGGGTGTTGACGTTTGGTTTTGGCCCGGGCCTGTCTGTCTGTCTAGTTCTGTCGAGCAGCTGACTCTGTGCCTTCCTTCCTTCTTTTTCTTCCTTCCTCGGCAGTGAAGGGGAGGAGGGTACAGGCGAGAGTACCCAACCTCGGCAGCAGAAGGGCCTGACTGGGGCTGGGCCTGGTTGAGTTTGCCGGAGTCATGTTTCCCCCCTCTGGCTGTGTCGCAGAGAAATGAGAACAGGGCAGAGGGAAGAAGCAGAGAAACAGCCAGATCAAGAGCAGGCAGAGCTCTTTCTCCATGCAGTGGTGCCTCTTTGAAAGAAAATCCTGCACTTAATACAAGTGGACTGAAGGCCCTTGTAGACAGTTAAAGCAGTCCCCTAAAGCCTGGCCTTATTTTTCCTTTTCCTGTTGGCCTAAGAGTGTTGTAATTGTTTCCCTGACACAAAGCTGTATGGGCAGTTTCTTTGAAGCGTCCATGTTTTGTGATAACCTGTAGAAACACTGTGACAACCTATTTCTTCTTTTGAACACCCTCATTCTGGGTTTGTTCAACCAGGCAGGGGGACTGTAGCGAATGAATTCGATCATCTCTTGGATTTGTCTATTTGTGTGTGTTGGAATGGAATTTGCTCTATATTAGACCCCTTTCTCTCTTCAGTGAAGGTAAAGAGGTGCTCAGAGAGAACAGAATGAGTCGTTCCATTCAGGGTCTTCACATTGACCTTGTTTACTCTGCCCTGCTGTCATCTACCAACCAGTGGGTGTGTTCACACTCATTCCCGTTCTCTCTTCAAGTCAGCTTGTTCGTGTACAATCAAAAAAAGAATTTTAAAGTGGGATGTCGAGACGAATCCTTTACACCAGTGGTTCTCAACTGGTGGGTCCCGACCCAATAGTGGGTCACGGACACGTTCTGGATGTGTCACGAACAGCTGGTCAAAAAAGTAAATATTTAATGGGCTATTTATAAGATATTGTATATTTTCTGTATATGCAACTTCAGTAGTTGTTGTCCTTTTGTTGTCCCCTTCATGTGCTCTGAAATGCACTTTACTCAATAAAACAAGTGGATTTATGTGAAAGATTAGAGACTTTAAAGTTGTTGGGTTTTTTTTAATAAATTTGCATGGTTTGAATTCTATAAAAGTAGGTCACGACTTAAGGACCATGGGAAAATGTGGGTCCCAGAGTAAGACCAGTTGAGAACCACTGCTTTACACTGTATCTTCCATACCAAACCTTTTCCAACATGTATATCTTTTTCAGTGCATGGCTTCATGTCAAGTAGCCCTCAATTGAGTTGTCCATAGGGACTAACCTTTGTGCATGGATGCTGTTAATTCTGTGCTCAATCCAATTATGTGGCATGACATGCAAGTCAGCCAGTTGCATGTTTCAGCGACTGGGCTGAGGCCAGCAGCACTTTGTGACAACAAGAGACCTAATTTTATCTGAACAATCAAATCCATCCAGGTAGAACAATAGGGACACATGTTTAGAAAGAAGAGCAGTAAAGATCTGAAGAATAAGCGCTGATAACTCAAGAAATAGCCACTCATGGTTTCCTGAGACGCTGCTGCTGCTGCATCCTCCTCCCTCTTGTTGCACCTCCTTGGATTTCACCTCTTCTGTCGGCCCGGTGCTGACGAGATCGGTGACGAGTTCCTCGCTGCTGCAGAGAAAACAAGCAAACCAAGCAGCCTGTCTGTATTTACCCGAGCTCCGTCACACCTTTCTACTTCCATCCATCCATCCATCCATCCATCCCTCCATCAATCTGGGGTTCAGTGTCACTTTGCGTGGGCAGGCCAACACTTCCCCTCTACCTGCTCTCTCACAGGGTAAACTGCTGTCTTCTGGACTTTTGTTCAGTGTGGTGTTCAATATGAATTTGCTGCTGCCAAGACCATAACCAGCACGAATTTCCAGCCTCTTGACTCTGTCTCATTTGATGTGTCACAGAGCTCTAAACAAATTAGTAGATATGCTTCATTGTAAAATCGTACTCTTACCTTCTTACAGGGATCAATTCCAGTACTTATTCTTAATGCATATCCCCACATCCCTGCTTTACTTGTGGCTTACATTCTCAGGATGGGGATGAATGAAGCCATTTAATGCTGGGAAGTGTTGATGCTTCAGTCTCGCAGCAACAGTATACAAAGAGTGATCATTTTTTATTTAGATGTGGATGAGACAAAGAAGACTTTCATGGTAGTTTAGACTATGTTCTTGTTTGAAAAGTTGACTCATGGTTTAGATCCAAGTGTTGGACAAAGGCTGTGTTTTCTCTGACTGTCTCAGACTAGATGGGTAAAAGGTATTTTGCCAAAGATGTTTTTTTGTGAGATCAGAGGAGTTCAGAAGTTAGGGTGCTGTCGATTTCATCACGCACTGTTTCATCAAACTTGTGCTGGCGTAGCTCTCAGTCACATAACCTCTGCTTGTCTTAACACCATGTCCATCCCTTTTTTTGCAATGGACCAAACGCTCTCTGAAGTGGTTTGTGTAAAGCATCCCCCCTCTGCCAGATGCTGTAGCTGTCTGCTCGGCCTATTGGGGTCAGCGAAGATAAAAACATTGCCTTGTGTAAACATAAACTGACATGAGCCGTCAGTCAACCATGACATGGAAGCAAGGAAGGTGTTTTCCAAATCTACAGTATGGGATAATTTTTGATACAACCTTGACGCTCATTGTTTTAGAAGACAAACCAAGCACTTACCATTTCTGCTTCCCCAACCCACCCCCTCCTAGCTGGCTGCTATGTGTTGCACTCTTGCCAGTTTGTAATCTGTGCAGTGTTGGCTTGAACCCTGCACTCTGTTGGGCCGCCAGCTTTCCGGCAGGGTCAGACGGACCCTGGGATTTTGTTTGTGAGAGTGTGTGTGTGTGTGTGTGTGTGTTTTTTTTCTTCCTGCAAGCAGCATTCTCTCAGGACTGTGTCAATGTTTCCTCCCCAGTTTAGTAAGAGTAACTATATTCTGTTCAGAGCAAATCAGGAGCTGTTAAACCATATGATACCTAATGCAAATGTTGTTCAGATTTGTTACTGTAACACCATTTCATTATTAAAGTTTGAGAGTGTATGTTTATGCTACATACAGCCTGTTTTAACGCAGTGCAGATGCTAATGTGGAGCAAAACTATTATATACGCAGCAAAGCCCCCTTTTATTCTAAGCAAAATCCCCCATCCTACACCCTTGCATCTACTCCACCTCCTCCCTGCCCCAGCGCAGCCGATCCCCCAGCCTTCTGCCTCACTGTGGCGAGGACCAGCTGACCATGCCGAATCAGCAAATGTGAGCAAGTGTGTGTGTGTGTGTGTGTGTGTGAGTGTGTGTGTGTGTGCGGGGTATCAGAGGGGGGGGACAAGCAGAAGGTTCCATGCTGTGAATGACGTGCGTGTGTGTAATCAGTGGAGTCGGTGTCCCCTCCATCCCTCCCATAGTTCTCCTTATGGAATGGGAGGAGGGGACCTCCACACATAGCAGGATTTACACCGTTTTTGTGTGTGTGTGTGTGTGTGTGTGTGTACGGGTGGGTGTGGTTTAAGTGTGTGTACATATAATAGCAGAGCAAGGATGTGAGTAGTGGATTGTCTCACTTTGCAGTGACAGCTGGAGAGGACAAACCCCCCCAATGTCTACACACACCAGCAGCCTCCCCCTCACCCACCAGTGTTCGTCTAAAGCTCTACGCACCCAGCAGCTGAATGCACTACACGCCGCCCTCCCTCCACACTATATTACATTACACTGTCATTAGCTCGTCCATGCTCAGCCACCTCAGAAGGGTTCGCCATGACTCTACAGCTGCTATTTTTAGGTGTCTTACAGTCACTATTGGAGCTGATCAGTGCGATTGTACAGATAGGCTTTCAGCTGCTGCATATTGACAACAACGTGCAAATATTTAGAAAAACATGCAGAATGACGCTTCCTCAATCCCCAGCAGCTGTCCCTGTGTGTGTGTGTGTGTGTGTGTGTGTGTGTGTGTGTGTGTGTGTGTGTGTGTGTGTGTGAGAGTGAATGTGTGTGCGTGGCTTCTGCAGCATTGTACAGACTTGCTCTCTGGATTCAGTTACCCTTGGGAGACTGTGTCAACCAGCTCAGTACTTTTTAGCAAAAGTATGTGTGGGAAGGTTTTCCTTGAGCAAACAATTCTATCAGTGTGCCAATATGACATGCAGTACACTAACCCAAGTTTCAATAATCACACCTTTTTGAGCAGTTTCTGTGCACATGTGAAAACAGTTTCCCCCCCCAGTTCATTCTAGCTTTTAAAGGAGTGGTAATGGCTCGTCTATTGTGTGTCGATAAACTGCGTGCTCATATGTGTCTCTTCTTGTTCTCAGGCTCGCATCAAGTTCCCTGTAGACTACCCGTACTCTCCACCTGCCTTCCGCTTCCTCACCAAAATGTGGCACCCAAACATTTATGAGGTAACTCCGACTTGTGTCAATTCTTGGACAGACCTTAGAGCAGTTCTTCATCGCCTTTGTTTACATGCCATTGCACTGTTGCTATGTTAAAAAGATTAGCATCAAGCACAAAAAAGAAACACTCCATCTTTTTTAATGAGGTGAAGTGTTGCTTTTTGAAATTCTGGATTTTAAAATCTTGTATGTTGGTAGGTAACTGAAATGTCTTTTGAGCATGTTAGTGAGTTTCCTTTTTGTCCCCAGAACGGAGATGTATGCATCTCAATCCTGCACCCACCAGTGGACGACCCACAGAGCGGAGAGTTGCCTTCAGAAAGGTGGAACCCCACACAAAACGTCAGGTACAAAGAGAAGTTACTTTCCTTAAAGAAAAACACCCAAAAGTAGCTAACTCAATAACTATTGCTGCGTTCGACTTACCTCAGAAGTCAGATGTCGGAAGTGAAAATGACGTCACACCCGAGTTCCCAGTGTTTCAGTTACCAAGTCGGAAAAAAGCAAAATCAGAGGTGGAAACAAGATGGCTACATCTACGAAAGTTATTTTAGAGCTTGCCTTGCCTGAATATAACAAGGACAAGGCAAGCACTAAAATAACTTTCGCAGGTGCAGCCATCTTGTTTCCGCCTCCGATTTTGCTTTTTTCCAACTTGGTAACTTATATGCTGGTTACTCGGGTGTGATGTCATTTTCACTCCCGGCATCTGACTTCTGAGGTAACTCGAAAGCACTATATTTCAAGGGCCCTGATATTAATCTAACAACTCAACTCCAATCCAGTCATTAACCTCGAAGTAAAGTGGGCAATATGTCTTTTTTGACCCATTATTGTACACATTTGCACATAACACAAAAAAAACCACAAGATAACAGAGTGTATGTTATGTTCTGTTAGGTTCAAATATTTTACATGTGGTTGAAGTAAGAATAACTGGGTTTATTAGCTGCTATTTGCCCAAACTTGTGATGGTATTTTACGTAGTTTTCCGTGTATTTCACATGTTGCTCTGTGTTGCAGGGGGGCTCTTATTAGCTTGGAAAAATGAGGTAGCATTACAGTTAACATGCAAAGACTTGAAACTTCTTCCCTCCCCCTGAGTTATTTTGGTTATTGAACACTAATGACGCAGATTGTATGAAGTTTTTTTTAAAAACACCTTCGTTGAAAACATCAGCTGATTGGCTCCTTACAGCAGCCGTGAAATTGAGATTTTGCTTCAAACAGTTCTCAAGACCATGGCCTGTTTTTAAAAAATACTGACACCAATTTTTTCCATCTCTTTGTTACGACTTGAGGTTATGTTTTAGATTGTGATTCTGACCCAAGCACAATGTATTACTCATTATGTTTTTATATAATCTCTTGACACAGCTGTATTTATTCAACCCTTGCTGCTTTCTGTTCAATCTCTTGCTGTGTTTTGTTATTGCTTTTTTTATGCATTATGTACAGAGGCACATTCACAGCTGGATGTAACTATGTTTACATTGATTCTCTACTGCTGCTTGATTCAGTGCAAACCAGCCAGTTTTCCTCAATCAAGTTAAATGATGAATAATGAATGTGCACAGTTGTCTCTAAGTATTAATGAGAGGTCATCAGAGGCTGACGGCAGAGTGCTCTAGTATATCAACACTCTTTCTCTTTCTTTCTTTCTCTCCGTGTCTTTCTTTCCATCTCTGTATACCTCTTTGTCAATTTCTATGCGTCTTGTCTCATCTTTCTCCCATCCTCCACTCCACCCCCTGTTGTTCTTTTTCCATCTCCTCCTCCTCCTCTTTCTCCTCCTCCTCTGGTATTCTAATCTCTCTCGGCTTTCTCAGGACCATCCTGCTCAGTGTGATCTCCCTCCTGAATGAGCCCAACACCTTCTCCCCGGCCAACGTTGACGCTTCTGTCATGTACCGCAAGTGGAGGGACAGCAAGGGCAAGGATAGAGAATACATTGAGATCATCAGGTAAAAAAAAAAAACTAAGAACAAAACACACACAACTCTTCACACCTCCAGCACCAGCACCTACAGCCTTCCTTCCTTTTTTCTTTCTTTTTTTCTAACTCCTCCGTCTTTTCTCACAGAAAGCAGGTGTTGGCTACCAAAGCGGATGCAGAACGGGATGGTGTCAAGGTCCCCACCACACTGGACGAATATTGCGTTCGCACACAAGTCCCACCCACAGACGATGGCTCCAACCTTTTATACGACGACTACTATGACGATGAGGAACTGGAAGACGACGACGATGAGGACGATAATGATGACTGTTGCTATGACGACGACGATTCAGGCACCGAAGACTCCTGACCTTGCCTCCTTGTGATGACACCGCCCTCTTGCCCTGGCCCCTATCACCACACCTCCTTCTCTTGTCATAAACTGAACTTAAACCCTCCCCTTTTCCTGTCACCCTCCTTACTTCACTTAGCACCGACCCCCCTGTCCAGATTCTGTCACACGTGTAGTCACAGTACGCACACTAAAACCTGATGCATCCAAGAAAAAGAAAGCTGCAGAGTTCTCTTTTCTGTTTCTTACATGTCTATTTTTTTAATTTGTTGTTTGAGGAGAAGTTACACACATGATAACCACACAGGAGCACAACTTACATAAATGAGAAGTAGTTCAAATTTTCAAAGACCTGTTTCTTCTTCTGAACATAACAAAGCTGAAGTAATGGCCAAGTTTCCTGTTGAGAGTTTGGCCGAGATATGATCATGCCTTTTCTTGACTTCAACATCAGCAGGGTGGAATGTAACGTCACAGGTCAGATAAGATTCAAGTGAAATGATGAGCTAGCATATACAGAGCAACAAAGTTTGTGTGCTTTATGCATGTATGGGAAAAGCCGAGTCACTCTCTCTCCGAGCCATGTGTGTGTGACCTCTGGTTAGCAGGCTGTGGTGAAGTTCTGCCACACTTCACCTTTGACCCTTTGAGCCTTCTGGGCTTCTGCTGCTCCAAACAGGGAAGTTATCCATTTCAACAATCCTGTTCACATTCCCTCGTGCCTTCCCTCTCTCCCTTTTACCACAAATCTAAACGAGCTGTGGGGGCGACTGTGCACACAGCGGGGGGATTTTCAGGCTCACAAGGGTCCCAGGTGGGAATACTGAACAAACAGCGCCCCCCCTGATGGAATAAGTTATTTAAAGCAGCACCTGTCAGATGTGTTAGGGGGTTGGAGTGAGAAAGGTGAGATCCAACAGCTGAACTCAAGTATGGAATGTAGATCAGAATCCCACAAACGTCCTCCACTGCCCGCCACGCACCCTTCATCACAGGAGCATGAGCTACTTGCAGCTTGGATGTATTAAGAAACAACAACTCATGAAATCCAATGTACTGTATTTACAAAAACCTATGCAGACAGTGCTTGAACATATCTTATATGCAGTGCTTCAAGCGTGGCAGTGAAGCTGAGCCTTTCTAGTTTGACCTGAACTCCAGTTTGAGTTCAAGAGCCAGCAACGATCCTGTGAGGGCACTGGACTGAATTAGTCCTCAGCTCGAGATGTTTATGTGGAGTTGTATGAGGTATCTAAGTTTGTCTGTGGTTTGATACTCAAGCTCAGACTAGCACAAGTCCTCTGAGCGGAGGGGGGGATAAGGTGAGTCTGTGCACAGGCCTCCATCAGAGCTCGTCCCCTAGAGGTGGCTGTGTGTACAGGCATCTATCCTCTCCTATGAAATGCTTGACTAGGCTGCAGCCATCTTTCCTCACATGGATAAATGAACCTTGTTACCTCAGAACAGAAGAGGTAGCAGTGTGAGTGACTCGTGTATGATAACGGCGAACTAACTTTGGTTTTTGTTCTTAGTCGATACCTTCTAGAAGCCCTCTACCACCACCCTGCAGTATTTCTATTGTAACCATGTTTCCATTGTGTGTGAATATTCGCTGGTTGTTAATAAGATGTGCTGAAAAGTATTGAGAAGAAGTGCAGAAAATGGGAAGGCATGGGGATCAGGTTGTCCTTGTAGCATGAACAGGAGACTGTGGTTCTTCACTAGCATGCTGTTATGATGTGTTTGTGGCTTTAGAACGAACTGCTATAAAGGGTCGGGATTGTGTCCAAGGACTTAAGTCTTCTTCTCAATTTTATCTAAATCGTTCAGTTATGAATGGGCTGAGGGTTTTATTTTATTTTATTTTATTTTTTTCGTTTTGTTTGTTTTTTGTTTTTTGTTTCCCTCGGGAGGGGTGGTGTCACTTACTATATTGGTATAATCTTTAATTTCCAAATTGTGGTGTGGGCTACAAGTTTTTCTATCTTATACGAATTAAGTGCTACCAACGTTGACCTGATTGTGGAGAACACAGGATTGTTCATGAGAAATGTACCAACGTATTGAACACAAATAACAAACAGGAAGTCCAAATAGCACACCACTTAGTAATTCTTCTAGCGTTTTCTAAAGCACTGAACGCTCAGAAATGAGTTCTCAATCTCCAGTGATTAAAGGTATCCATCACACAGCCTATAAATGGTCCTTCCCCCTCTGTTTTACTGTTCTTGAGTAAATGGGATCATTTTTGACAAACTACTGTTTTTTATTTTTATCCTGTCTCCACCTCCCCACTTGTCCCCCCCACTTTCTCTGAGCTCTGATTGGTGGAAGCGTCACTGAGGATAAAAAAAAAAAAAAGAAAAACTCAGCAAATAATTACAGAAAACCACAAAGACCTCAGGAAAAATAGCAACGACAAAAACATCTAATAAACAAACAAACAACCTTTTCATTTTTCAATCCGAGCGAACCTACGCCCCAGGGAGTCTCACTTTTTGGCTTCAAAGGACTGTTTACAATCTCTTCCTTATTATGCACATGTGGATATTTGATGATCACTTAATGTTTTTCTTTTCTTCTTGTTTATATTTTCTTTTTTCTTATGGTTTGTAAATCTATTTAAAATCTGAAATAAAGATCTTTATTAGATAATGACCAATTTTTTTATTGATTTGGGGGAATCAATTGAGATTTTAAAGGTCTCTTGGTGTCTGTGTTCTCTTGTAGACACTGGAACAGCATGAATGGTTGAATGTGAATGAAACTCACTTGCTTTGAGAGGTAAGATTTGCTTACTGATGATTTTATTTTAAATAAATCGTTCAGAAAAAGTAGTGAGAGGAAAGTACATGATGAGATGTGTACACTGCAGTCACCCTGCTAGACTCAGAGGGTGGTGAAGACTTCAAAAGGATTTCCTGATGCTTTCCATGTTTTCATCTGTACCGAATATTAATCCAGGAAATATCTTTTCTAAATCGACCTGTTTTGTTTTGTTCTTGTTTTCTGTTCCCTTTCTTACTCTGAGAAATGTGAGGACTTCAGAGGTATAGTAAGATGTTTTTGTACATGTTTTTCACGGTTCCCTGCCTCACTTGTTCATTCAGCACCGCTTTGCATGCTAAACTCAAACCATCTCTTTGAAGCTGCTTTGGTGATGGTCGGTGAAATGGATGAAGAAATACTCTGACATACCAAAAAGCAAACCTCTTGAATTTATACTGAGAAGAGGATTGGCTTATGACTGAAATATCTTTTCTGGTTTTACCCAAAGAGACAAAAAAGTAGTCGTTATCATTATAAAATTTCGGCCTATGAACCTGTTGGTTTGTCACAAAGCAGAGCAGGATGGCTATCATTTACACTCGTTTACACCCATGCTTACAGTTAGTCAAAGTCACGAATTAGGTCCAGACAGAATTATCTCAACTAATGGACAACCTGTTATGAAATTTTGGTGCGTCCCTTGTCTTTATTGGCACTCTTTTTTTCCTCCTATGTCACCACTGGTAAAAAAGTGGTCTAAAGTGAAATGTCTCATTAGTTGTTGGATTGATAACATTGAATATTGGTACATTCATGGTACCCTCAAAGTGAATTTTTTCATCCATCTTGTTTGTGGGTCAATTATCTATTAAACACATGACATGTTAAGTACCAATGTTCAAATACACGTTAAATTACATTGGTAAATATAAGGAACACAGCATCCTTACAATGTTTCTGTAAGCATGGCATTTACAAGCTGTAGCAGCACGAATGACTGTAGTATCTTAATCACAAAATTGATAATGAAATATAGAAATTTAGAGTCTCACACTAAATGTAAAAAGTCTGTCTTTTTTCAGTTGGATAATCCACATCCATAGATACAGAGATTTACTACAAAAAGATCAAGAGGAAAGAAGGGTCTTTTCATATACAGATGCATCTAAAGAAACAGGATTTACAATGAGGAAATGTTCAACTTCTAAAAGTATTTTATTTATACACTCACTACTGTGGGAAAAAGGCTGTCCAAGAAGAGTTATTTCAAGTCTTCAGCACAATACGAAGGTGTTAAAGTGACTTGTATTCGGAGTGTTGTGGAGAACATTTTCCCATGTTCTCCACCCAGCATGTTCCTGTTCTCCCCTCTCAATAATCCTTCCTTTCCTTTTACTTTCGTGAGACTTTCATACCCTGCCAGCCTTCCTGTACAAGGGTAAAAAGTGCAACACACTTGATTTGAACTCTTTTACCACAAATTACAACATGGCATGGAGGCAGTCAGACAGTGGTGCTGCTGAGGTGTTACTAATGCACAGTGGCTTCAGTTGTTGTATTGGTTTGGTCCTGTTGTAATGGAGTAATTATTTACCTAAACTTGAAAGGAAATATTTGAGATGTGTTTCATTAAGCTGTAGGCTGTGATTATCTAGATTAAAATAGAGGAATGTTAAAAAATTCAAATTTACTTTAATCAAATCTAGGATTAATTAAATTTCATTTTTTGAATACCTGGTGAAATGTTTCTTAATTTTTCATGATATTTTGATTTGTTAAACTGGACCTGCAGCTTTATAAGATGATTTTACTCAGATAATTTAGATTGACAAATACTGAAAAGCAATTTTCACTCTGATTTGCTTATGATTTAAAAGAATCCGTGAATTTGGATCTAGATAAAGCTGATTTTATGTTTTTTTTAAAGAAATCAGTTGTTTGACTGCTTCATGCCTCTAGAGGGCAGCAACAGCTTGATTCTCATTTAATGGGGGTTGTCATGCAAAAGCCCCACTGAACACAGTGATAAAAGATTTTAGATTCTCAAGAGTCCCAACATGAGCGCAGTTATACCGCTTAATTGAACCATTAAAATCCATTTGATAAGAATGATTGTGTCTCTTTGTCTCCTCAGCCTGAACTTGTGGGGCTCTGTGACCAAAAGCACAAGCTGAGGTGAGGAAGAAGTCTATGCTCTTGTTCTCCAGTTGGGGGTGCTGCTTTTCCTTTATAGTGAAGAGGTTCAGAGAAGAATGGACCAGGTATGGTGCCAAAGTGCTGTGTGGATTTGCACTTTTCTCACCTCTCACTGAAACTCTGTTGGTAGACTGCAGGTTTTCCTCACAAGCTGTGCTGTTATTTGTCGCTCTTCCACATAAATCTTCTAGAAAGATGACCCACCTGTGGCTGCCTGAAAATAGGCAACAACAGCTTGTGAAAGCATGAAGATTGCACCTGACACAAAATGCGGATCAGTGTGTCATAAGCTCATATTTTCTGGTCAGTTTTCAGAATTATTGTATGTTTATTCTGCAGTTGAAGCTCTAATATGCATACTCCTCAGCTGCTTGGTTATCCTATCAGTCTTCCTCAACAAAGATATTTCGAGCTTTGCTTCTGACTCTATCAAATTTGTTTCACGCAGTCACAGCTCTGATCTTTTGCCCTGCTCTTGTCCAATCCAAAATGCCAATTCAGCAGACCAGAACACCCTTGAAGACCTTGAAAACAGTCCTGGCATTTACAGCACCGCCTCCCAGTCAGTGGTACCTTTCTCGCTTTTCTCAGTTTCTGTAAAAGGAGAACACTTTGTTTAGACTCAATGGCGTGACCAGAGCCAGGTGTTATAACCTGAGGGTAGCATTTGCCTGCTTCCTGCTCCAGCTGGCAGTTTGTCTTCTTTAGGCTCCCCAGGACTTCCCTGAGTCAGGGCCCTCTTTGACCCACAGCTGTTCTGGGGAATGAACACCCTGTTTGGACCGTAAGAGACCGGAGAAGTGACGAAAGGTGAAATTAGAGGAGGAGAGTGGAGAGTTGGTCAGTGAGGTCGAATTGATTCATATGCCAGGACATAAGATGTCACCAAGGCAACAGAAGTTGTTTGGAAGCAGGTTGACTGGAAGTAGGTAAAATGGATAGCAACAATGAGATGTAGTGGGTAAAAATGGAGTCTATGACGTGTCTAGTGAGTGACTATGTGTGCTGAAAGTCAATACAGACTCACTGTAAGAGGGAGAAACCTGGAGGTACACAAGACCTCCTGCAGAGCTTTTTATCAAGGCTTGTTTCTGAGTCCCATGCTTCCAGGAAGTCGATCAGACGTCATCAGAATAGAAATTGTTCAACAGTTGGTGCAACACTCTATACATCAACTCCTTCTGCTGCTTCTCTGCATGTGGAACTACTCCTGTATGTGTCAGTGTGTAAGTACACCTGTCTCTCCATGACGAGAACAAGCGGAGCCCTGCAGCAGCTCTCCTGCGCGTCTCTACTTTTGGGTTGTGTAAGAGTTATGTTGAACAGACAGAGATGTAGACTCAGCCTCTTAATGAGCGCTCAGCAGACACATTAACCTTTTCTCAGGCTGTAGTCTGTCCTCCACACTGAGAATTCACACACGCCTGTGTGTGTACCCATCTTATTATTTCCCTAAAGAAAGCTGTAAGCGAGTGTCGCACAAGAGTAGAGTGACATTCAAATGATTCCTCATCAGACACTGTTCCAATATTTATCCACTTTCAATTATTGTTTCCACTTTTAGAAAGGAAGTTCCTCTTTATCTTAAAACAATGTTCTTGTAATAGCTTGAAGATCGAGTAAACTCAGGCACTGATTAGTCAGGCCAAACACCAATCAACAATTATTCTGATTATTAATACATCATATTAAAGCATTTCTATGATAACAAAGATAAAATTCTACCATCTACAATTTTCTTCTTCGTTTGCTTGAAGAAAATTCTCAAATATCCGTATCTCTCCACAGAACTCTCTCCTATCCCACTGAGCAATAGACGGCTGTTAGACATCTGTTTTTTTCTTTTAGACCAAATTTCAACCGTCTAGACTCTGTATATTTTTAGACAGAATTTAGACGTTGCACTTTAACCCATTATTCGATAACTATTTATTTCAAAAAGCAACTGTGAGTTGCATAACTGATCTCCAATAATTATGATAGCCGTTGAGCAATGTACAGTGTAGTATAGATACAGCCCAGATTTAGACTTGGTCTAAATGTAGATGTCTAAAGAACTTTCATTTTTAGACCTGTGGTAGCCTGATCTTAGACCAGTCATCTAGGCCATATTTAAACGTCTATTAGACCTCTTTTAGACCAAAAAATGCTCAGTGGAATGTCAAAACACAAACCTGTAGTGTCCAGATTCTCTATAGAAACTTTAGGATTTTACTTTAAGCCAAATATATGTCGGGGATGTTCCAGATTTTTTGTGGCAACATAATTACATTAAAAAATGAATCATTATAGGAGTATTCACTAATGGAACAATCATCAGCTTGCAGCTCTTGTTGAACTATCTTTAGACAGTCTTGCTCACATGACAACCACTGACCGAGATTGTTCCAGCTCTAAAAACTTGTTTGCTTGACATGCGAACAAAGTCAAGCACCTGCGGGTGCAAACACAGTGAGAACTGCCGCCTTTAGATGACACAGCCGTGGGTGCAGGAGAGTTAAAATGTGCCTCTGCACCTATCCGATGAGTGGCTCTTTTCACAGGTTGATTACATCAGACAGTGACCTCCCAAAAGACCCAAGAAGACAAGACATGTAATTATCTCCACTCAGAGCCAGAATAGCAGACATGTTTCACATGCTGAGAGTACGACCATCCCGATGAGTGTGTGTCCTCACTTTAAGTTGAAGCCTGACACCAGGGCATGCTTTCACCACCAGGTAAAAAATGTCACGTTGCAGGTTTATCACGAATGCATGAGTAAACAGCCGTGGATTTGTTTGCATGGGGGTTGCGAAATGTCACATGCAAATGCACCTTTGTCTGATTGTCTTTGAAAGGCAAGGCATTCATGTCGCTCTACATTTGGATGTACGAAGATTATTTTGTGACTTATCCTAATTTATAACAGTTTATGAATCAAAGTATTTATGTTACAAATGACTCTACATATGAAGAACTTTCCAGCAACACGTAATGCTCTTGATAAACCAGATATAAGCAATATATATTTTATTTTTTCATATATATTCATTAATTTGGGGTTTTTTCAATTTAATTTAGAAAATGAGCTCTCAGGCTTGTAGGTGGCACAGCTCCATGTTGACTCTTCAGTACAACATTATAATCCAGATTAAAAACAATCTAAAAGGAGAAAATCTTCAGAGGAATTCATAAGAAGTCTAAATTTTCAGCACTTTAAATCTACAAATTGTAATTCCAACTACACCCTGGTGAAATCAAGTTGATCTCATCCTCCATCTGATTGACCTGAAGCACACACATCACAGGGATATATTAACATTAAATTTCTGTTTCTGTTTGTCACCACTGTCCTATCTGACATCAGAAGACCACACACACAGCCCACCCCCCACCTCACTCCACCCCAGGTTTGTGCAGCTCTCTTGACGGTTCCATTCAACTGATCCATGATAAAGAAGTGACCGACACTTGACTGAGAACCAGGCAATCTGGTCAAATGGAGCTTTTTGTCCTAACAATCAATGAAGTCAGTGGGGCCCTTTCCATTTTAGACTGACAAATTCGTTTGTTGCCATAGCAAAGTTTCCAGGGAAACCAATTAGATGGTTTAAACCTAAAGATAGAGGGACAAAAAAGATGGAGAGAAAGAAAAAGCTGCTGTAAAATTAAACCACACAGAGCACAGGTGCTCCACACACAGCACTGACTGTCTGCTTTGGTACATTTGCTTTTCCTGCTCAAATATTTAGATTGTTGTTACGACTAATAAAACGGTTGGCTGACATAATAAAAACTCTCCCTGCTGTCTCCCTGGAAGTATAGAACAACAGGTTTGCTTTAGTTTATCCTTCTGAACATAAAGGCTAGATAACAATTAATACCCTGATTGGTAATCCCTTCACAAATATCCCATCAAACAGTTTTTGTGTCAAAGTCCAGTCGCATCAACATTTATAGAGTTGCAAAGAGAGTGTTGTCCAAAATTATGAACCTACACGTAAAACACCAACTCTGACATATTTGACATGTACGTTTCTTGTCGCTTCGACGAGGAATCTCTCTGTTTGATCTCATTGGTCAGCTGCAGCCCTGTGTCGAGTATAAAGCGCGTGCCATAAATTGTGGGGCTGAGACCGTGAGAGGGCGCAGAGCAGCGCGCAGAGCGCACAGCTACCCTCGGAGAGAAAGCGCCTGTGACTGACGGAGACAGAAGACAAAGAGGAGCGTGTTATTTTCAGAAGTGCTGTAAGTAAAATAAATGTTGATTTTTCATGAGAGAAAAACGTGTCAAGCCGTAACATGATGTGGAAATATTGGATGTAACAGCTCTTGGAAAAACAGACTTGTGCGTAAAAGGAGGTCTTGTAGTTGAACCTGTTGAACCGATGAGCTTTTCATTTTTAAACATTTCGCCTCACTTGTTTTTTTTTTGTTTAGACAAGAGCAATGTGGTTTTCTTTGTATTTATTAGACTCTTGTTCAAATTGGACTAAATCAGCTGTAGCCTAATTTAGATATTTCTTGTAGACCGTCGAATCGGTTGTTTCAAACTAACTCTCAGATTTACAGCAGATTTTTCTTTGGGATTAGAATATAAGAATGAAGAATATCATAAAATTTTATGACTTTAAGGTAAGAAAGGCAACGAGAAAGCAAAATTACGTCGTCATTGGTCAATTACAAAATATAAACTTACAAAAATAAACTCACAAAGTCTCAAGTATTATGTAATATATTCATAGACAGACGACAAATCCCCTCTTCCAATATCTATCCACTGAGTTGTCCAAATTATGAATGGCTAATTTGCTATAAAAGCAGGTTCATAATTGATTTTTGGCTGATTTTTTTTCCTGTTTTATGTTACTGCCTTCCAAATGGAGTGTTCGACCTCCTCTCAAATATATAGTGAGTCCTTTCAATGAGCTGTTGCTCTTTCTCGAAAGCCTTCTTGGAGCTTAAGTATTTTTGAAGGAGATTTTCACTCACTTGTAGCTGTGGTCAGAGGCTCCTGAGGTTCAGTGTGCTGTTGCATTCACACTCCTAATCTTGTCAACTAACATCAAGGTGCTATTTTAATCCACCTTCCCTGTGGAGAAGCTGTCCTCTGATCATTTGCCTCTCTGTGTGTTATTAACTGCAGACACACCTGACTGCGATTACTCCGCATCCCCACACATCCCACTGTCTGGTGGGATCATGTGGGTTCTGGATAAGATCCGTGGCTCAGTGGAGACTGGTGTTCTGCGACAAGGAGAGAATGGAGACAAGAAGGGCGCTCCGTCCTACAGCAACGTCCTTACTCCTGACAAGATCCCAGACTTCTTCATTCCTCCAAAGCTAGTCAGTAGCCCCCCTGAACCCGAGATCCCGACCATAAAGCCCAAAGAATGTTTGGAACCCTCAACTTCTGAGCAAACAATCAGCAGTGGACGGAAGATCAGCAGCCCAAGAAGTCCACGCCTGGTCGCCAAGATTGCGGGTGACACCAAGAACTTGCTGAAAGCAGCGAACCGTCACATCATTCAGATAGAGAGTGCAGATGATGTCGTGACTGGAGACACCAATGCAGACCCCCAGTCTCAGACAGCAATGTCCTTGCCTTATGTTCCCAAGACTCACACGCCTTATGGCTTTGCTACTTTGAAGGAAAGCCCCCACACTCGCCGTAAAGAGTCGCTGTTCCACTGTGAGCACACCAGTCCCATTACTTCTCCAAACACCCAGAGGAAGACCCTTGGGAGAGGAAGTGAAGCCAGTAACCACCTAAATCCAGCCGATTTCAACACCTCTCACATGAATCCTTATCGATATTTCAGCGGTGGGGAAAGTGACACCTGCTCCTCAGCTGAGTCCTCTCCCTTCAGCTCCCCGTTGCTGTCCCGCTCTGCTTCCCTGCTCAAGATCTTCACCCATGAGACGCAGGCCAAAGTGGTGAAAGCCAAGCGGACGTTCGCTCGCCACAGCTCGCTCTCCACAGACGAGTGCAGCTCAGCCGAGCCGAGCCCCAACGTCCAGCGACGGCTGCACCAACCCTCCTCCCATGGAGCTGCAGTGTCAGATGGTAAACTCCATCGAGAGCACACCATCAGCCTGAACAAAGGCGGGACAGTGAGAATCAGCGCCAACTACGACTCTAGCACCTCCCGTCTTCTCATCCGTGTTCTGGCAGCCGAGAGTCTCTACGACAAGCACTACGACATCAAGAGCATCAACTGTTGTGTGTCCGTCTACCTGAACCCGGGGAAGCTGCAGAAGCAAAGGAGCAACATCATCAAGAACAGCCGCAACCCGGTCTTCAACGAAGACTTCTTCTTCGACTCCATTAGTTCGGTGCAGGTGAAGAATCTGTCCATGAAGTTCAAGGTGGTGAACAAAGGCACAAGCCTGAAGAGGGACACATTGCTGGGACAGAGAGAGGTGCCGCTGACAAAGCTGCTCTCTGGACTTTAAGATCGTATGACCGGGAGTTCAAACCCTTCAAAAAAAGGACACTGAAGTTTGATGCTTGCACTGGTTTTTTGGTTCAAACAGAATAAAAAGAAGAGGGGAAATACAAGAGAGGAAAAAAAATCATCCCAGAAAATGAATCTGTTAAAATTCATGGACAGATGAAGGATTCGTGGTGATGTAGGCTTTCCAGGCTCATTCTCCATGCATCGAGAACTCATTAAACCCGGCTGGACAGCACAGCAGCAGATTAATTTGACAGATGAAAGGATTCTTTTTTTCCAGACATATCTCGCCGCCAGCTGCCTCAGTCAGGTCCTGTTCAAAGGTTGGGGACACCTGTGCGTCAATTCATCGCCATGTCCTCGCCTGCACTCCCGTCATGTGTGGCACGGTTTTATTATGAAAATGTGACATAAATCTAAGGCAGCAGAGGATATGATTCTACATCAGCTACACCATGTGTGCAGCACCAAGATGCTTTTGTGAGTCAGCGCGAGCTTTGAAGTGGTACTACATCCTGATGTGCAAATGACCCTTTGATCCCAGTTACCGCCTGCAGCCTGCCTACAACAGGAGGGGTGAGGGATAAACAGACAGCCACAATGGTCCATTTACATGCAGATCAAAAATAGAAACCGAACGAAATTAGTTATGCAATTAGCACTGAGTCCTGTGATTGCATAACTGGAATAAATTAGAACTATTTTCTTCTTATTGACAGTAAACAAAACTATTAGATTCAGTATATGCGCTGCAAAAATGTTCAAGTTTTCAGTACAAATCTTATCTCTGATTTAAAGCTCCTATTAGGAACTCCCAGAGTTGGGATTGTCTTATTTCTTTAAGTGTTTTTGTGTCCTGCACATGTGAAATTCATGAGAATATGTCACTTAACAAATCTCTTTTACCTTGTAAATGTTTTTTAAAAAGGTTGTTTCTGCAGCAGTTATTTCATCACTTTGACGGACACCCACCTTTGCAGAAAGTTTTGAAGATTCAGACAAAAATTGTGTGTTTTACCCACCTCACACACACACACACACACACACACACACACACACACACACACACACACACACACACACACACACACACACACACACACACACACACATATATATGACAACATATATGTGTTTAAAATTGCTGCGTCTTACCTGATTGAATTGTTTGAATCCTCAGAGTCTAAGAGACAGGATGAATGCATTATTTTTCTCATGGCAACACGGTGGGATTTAGAATTGATTGTTTCACTAACTTCTTCAGACTCTTAATTTGAAACTCCCGCCAAGAGTTTTTAATTGGTTATAAAACAAACTAGAAAAATGACACCGATGCCATGACCTATAAAAGTAGATCATCGTCATAAAACTGATGATTTAAATGTTGTGATTTTTAATGAATGAAACTCCTGTGAGGGGGTAGGTGTCAGACTGGATGATTGACAGCATGCTGAAACAGCCTTTTAACTCTAATTTACAGTAATTGGTATATTTGACTGTGAAAAGACATCAGGCTAAGGTTTCTTTTTGGTCTGAAAATATAACTTAACTCATGTACAGGGCAGGATCAGCACAGAAGAAGACCATCACAACGCCCAAAGGGAGTGACAAAATCAAAACAAACAGAAAGTTCCCCACAAGATCTTTAAGATGTCTTTATGACCAAACCTGAAAATCCTCCCTAATCTTATATGAAATTTAAAAGTGAAATAGCTGGAGCTGGCTTTATCTCTTTTGATGACATTTAAGTTTAACAAAAACTTTTAAAAGTGACTTCTTTTCATTTTCTCAGACCGTGTTTATTTCTCTTCAGAACATATTAAAATGAATTGATATCTTTTGGCAACAGGGTGAAATGCTCTTTCAGCACTAGAAGACTCTTTTTCTACTTTCTCTTCATATATCAAAAATAGAAGTTTGTGGTGAGAGGTGACTTGATTTCAACATCTCAGTAGCCAGTGGTTGAAAGTAAACTGCATGAAACCTAACTCCACATTTAATGAGCAGTGAACTGTTTTCACATTATATCATGAAACTCCTGTATATTTAAAACATGCTTAATATCTGGTTGGAGAGTTTAATCTGGGTGGACATTTCAGCTGTCAGTCTGTCACATATGTCTCACCCAGTATGGGTACCCAGATTAAATCTTGTGCAATCAGGCAACAGGCACCAAAATAGGCACACCAGTATCCTCGCTCTGTAACCTTGTTGTTATTCTGCACAGATTCTTGGCAACTAGAACCCAGACGCACCGAAAAAAGCATCTAGGTTTTCACAAACAATACAATGTTAAGATGCTTCAGTCAAAGTCTGATTGGAGTCGTAAATGTTTTTAAAATAGCACCTTAAGGACAGACCTTTACAAACCGTTTTATAGAAGTGGCAGTGACAAAGTGCCCGATAGTTGATTTGTTGTTGAGATAACTTCAAGTTCAAATGCGTTCATGGAAACAAAAATAAAACAATTGTCAGTTAATGCAACTAGTGTAGGCGTTGGACAAATACAGTGATTGTCTGCATGTTGATGTATTAATGTTTGATATAAGAATAACAGAGCGCTGGTGTCACAGTGCAGATTACCAGTTTTATGGCATTAATATGTAAACTGGTGTTTGCATGACATGCTCAAAGTTTTTCTGAAACCCTAAAGCCTTACTCTTACTATGTCCGTGTGTGTCTGTGTGTGTGTGAGTGCATGCATGTGTTTTCAATCGAGAGAGAGAGAGAATTGGTGTGTCTTGATAGGCATGATATTTTGTCTAAAGTTGTTTATTTTCTATGTACAAAATGTATTTTGTAAAATGCCACTGACTGCTTTGAAAGGACACAGTATGAGTGTCACATTTATACTGTATATATTACATATGTTCTAGTTTCTACACTTGTCAGTGAAATGCTCATTATGCAGCGGTGTGTGAGAGGTGTGATGAGAGGCATGTTAATTTGATAAGTTTCAACCTTAACGAAGCCCGAGGGAAGAGGCAGAAATGTCAAGAAGGAAGAGAGGAAAACAAGGGAAGGAGGAAAGCTGTATTATGTGTTTTGACAACCCTCTGCTCTTTCGCTGTTCTCTGGCGTGGTTTTGAAGAATTACAAAAAAAATTGCATGTGATTGCAGCCTCAAGTACTCGGCGGAGGGAGGTGACTACAAACAGGAAAGACTGATGTAGATTACTGGAGTGTCTCATACCCTCCTCAAAGCTTCACTCGAGCTCAAAGAGGATTTCTCTCATGGCGTTTTGTAGCTCACATGTAGCACTGCTATTGATATGCTCTCTATTCTTTATATTCAGTGACACTGCTGGTTGTTTTTGTGTCAGTGAAAGTCGGTGACCAGTTGTAACACCTGTTGCAAAAATACAGTGCCTGTGTTTTCTACCCAGATCTGTTGTGACTAAACCCTATGTGGCATGTTTAATTACTAAAGAGACCAAACTCTAGCATAGGTACACTAAATACAGATATTTTTCAAGAATGCAGAAAAAAGCTGTTTTGTGTTTGTGTGTGTGCGTATGTAATGAAACTCTGTTTGGCTTATAAACTGGCAGCCAAGCTAGAAAGCTAGTCATTTAAAGATTCATTTAGTTAAGAGGGCAAAATTTCATATTTTCAAGGTGCAGGACTTACCTGCTAAAGTGACTTCAATTCACTTTCTTGACTCAAAGTGTAGCTGCAGTTAAGAGGATTTGGTTGAAAAAATTTCCAAAAATGTTGACTATTTTGGGGGTTAAGGTCAACTTTTTTTGCTATCTTTATTTGTGCACATGAAAAGATAAACAGATTTTGTGTACATAGCTTAAATACTGAACAAGAGCTGCAGGGAGATTAGCTTTGCTTTTTGTAAAGGTATAAAACGGGAAAAGTCTTATGCTTGCTTTTAGACACTGATATGTCTATAAGCAATGCTATAGGTGGATAAATTGCTGGTAAAAACATGTTGTGAAATCTGTACTTAGATGAAAACTGATGAGGTGGGGTTTGATGATGGATGTGCTGTAATCAGTGGTGGCACAGAAAATAAGTGCTTCCATTAGATTGGTGTTGTAATGGCAGTGTTGAATAAGTACAAAATTTGACCCAGTGTTGATGGCAGGTTAATTAGTAATTGACCACCAGAGTAATCAAGATTTATCCTCTTTTTTTTTTTCTTTTTTTAATGTATGCATGTCTCAAGTCTTCCTGTTTTCACAGGTTTTCTCTGAAAGAATGAAACAAAAATGCCGGTCCAGTACTTGACTCTAAAATCTTTTCAGGAGTGTTTCAGCTGCAGAAGCTTGTTTCAGTGTGTTGTTTTTGTTCTTGTCGTGTATCTGGCTTGAAGAAGTAGATCTTTGATTTTATTCTGAATTTTTATTGTAATGGTAAAACCACTGACAGCTGTCATCTGGTGACTTACTCTGTAAATTGTGTGAAATTCTCTTATTAAAAGAAATGATCATCTGTACATGTGGTGTTTTTGATTCACAGCTCATTGACACTCTTGTTTGTCACAACATTTGTGTAAAAAGTAGAATAACCAAGAATTTGAATAAACTTTGATTTTAATGATCATATTTATAATGTTAATGATTCTTCAGGAGTAAAATGTTTAGTAACACTTCATATGAACCCACCTTATAATTGCATCTGTAAGGCTTTATAACAACCCTTATAAACGATTATAAGTATTTATAACAGCTTAAAGCCATGTTTTAAAAGTCCTTTAAGCAGTGGCTATGATGCCTCATAAAGGTATGTTGATTTGTCTTTTGAATTCTAGGTTCTATAACAAATTACAACTCCCACTTAATAACTTTACCTGGTTATAAGTTCATGAAGAACTTGTTCTATGTGCCCCTTAAATTCTCAATTCAGAGAATCTCTCATTAATACTCATATATTAAAGCATGATTTTGGGTGCTTTCAGTCAAATAAAGGTTATTTGATTATTTGTTCTTATAACATATATATAAAAACTTATAAGCAGTGCTTTGTGGCTGAAAGTAAAAATACATCACAGCAATAGTCCATTTTTTAAAATCTTTTTTTGCATTAAGCACTAATGCTTTATAAACCACAAGACACTATGCTTGTTGCTTATAACACTTCAAAAACATTGCTGTGAGTTGTTATGCTTATCATTACTTATAAGGAATATTATATAGCCTTATAGAAGCATTTATGAGCATTAATAAATGTCCCCATGATGCACTGTAAGAAATTGATTCATATAAAGTATTAACATTTTTTTGGAACTCATGATAAATAAATTAATGTCAAATATATTTGTGACACTTTTTGATAACTGTACAGGATTTTAAGAATTAGTAAGGTATTACCAAACAATAAGTATAGACTTAATTATTGTCTATCATGCATTGTTCCTATGTCGTAACCTTTTTGTAATTTATCAGTGATTTATACTGACTGATACTGATCAAAGGTCAATCTATTATGTGTTTCATGATCAAATTTTCAAACTTTGTAAACTATGGATTCATCATTTTTATCATTGCATCAATGTAGACACTAACTGATGCAGCAATTCATGATCAATGCAGACATTCAGAAAGAACTTTGTTTTGTGTGACCTTAAAAGAGGAAGTATATGCCATAAAAAATGAAACAAACACAACACAAATCCCTTTATAATATGCATTTATTCATTCTGGCATGCAGCGCTCTTTAAACATAGAGGGGCGTAAACACTGCTGACACTGTTGTCTGCGGGGCCTTCTTCAGATTCTTTAGTGCTATTTAAAATGCTCATGGGTGTTCAATATGATTCATGCAAAAGTAACAGTACAAGTAATCAAAATAAGAGATAGCATAAAGTAAAGGTTAAAAAACAAAGACTATTAAAGAAACAGCCCAACAGAGGCTGCTTGTTTGATAGCAGCTGTTTTAGATCTGTTTTAATCGGGGGGTTTATCTTTTAGGTGGGATGTTGTAGTTTAGGAGTACAAATAAATTACCACTCTCTTGTGTACGGCATCATGCCACCTCAGTGATTTTACAATGACAGGTATACACAGCACAGTACAGCACAGAGGGGAAATGACTCTTGTGACTAAAAGGATGAAAACACTCCTGTGCTTTTAACTCCAAGTATTTCTAACAAAGGGGCATCATCCTCGTCCTCACTCTTTTTCAAACTTGTCTTTGGTTGATCGTCTTCTGCTCTTTCTGTCCTCCTAAAGTCTTAATTTTATCCAAGTTAAGTAACATTATTGCTCCCTCAGACTGTCATTAAGTCCTGTTACTGATATCCCCCCTCTTAGATCCCATCTCCAACAGAGCTGTCTAGCCTTTTTCTGTCTCTACAGTTTATCCTGAATTAACAGCATAATCTAAGAGATAAATTCACATCTTTTTACTGTTATGTTGTTTTTAATTCGCAGGATGAATACACCTTCTGATCGCCACGAGCTTCAGTGAGTTAATCTTGGAGCAGCTTGTTAGAGGAGAGAGTGTGGGAGAGGGGAACATGGTACAGTGTACACTCCAAGGAAATACTGGCAATAACTGCAGCCAACATCACATGTCTTTTATTGTAGACTCAGAAGGAGTTATATTTGGATGAGAAGGTGGTGTTCGAGAAGAGCCAGGGTTAGCAAACATTGAGTTATCAAAGCTAAACGGTCAACGACCATGGCTGATTCATTAGATAGTGGATGAGTTGGTTTACCTTGTGGTGTTCACAGAGTGAGGTTCTATTTGTGGTGCTGGCTGACCGCAGTCATTTCTTTATTGGGCTGGAGGAGCCGAGAGAGCAGGCTCACTGCTCATCGCTCACTTGCCTGAGAGATCAGCGTTTGGCCAACATGTACCACAAGTCTGCTAACCACAACAATCTGTCATCTTTTCTCCAGAGAATAGCCGACAGTAATCCTGACTGCTTTTACCAAGAAGTAAAAGAATATGTCAAACAATCACTCAGAGGGCTAACAAAAAAGTGACAAAACATTCGAAGAGGAAGCCCTGTGCAGTTGGCGGTTTAGTGCCTTACTCAAGGATATCTCAGTAGTGCCAGGAGGTAAACTTGCACCTCTCCAGCTGCTGGTCCTAATTTTCTGTACAGTAGTACATTTTCTCTCCCCAGCATCTTGAGTCAGTTGGTGATGTTAACCACATGGAGAGCTATGGTTTAAGTACGACCTCCACCTGAAAAATTTTCACCAAAGTTTCAAACCCAGCTGGCAGGTTAAGTTTGGTGACTGAATGGGCTTTGTTTATGTTTTTAAAGGCCCCAAGCAGCATTCGCCTGCCACTCAAAGCAGCAATGCCCCTTGTTGTGAATAAATAATGCAGATTATCATTAAAATGTATGAGGAGAAAAATGAATTAGAAAGTCCAAAAAAACTCTTTTGTTTCAGGATGTAAAAATACATTTGCTGAAAAAAAATCATCTGTGGGCTTGATGAGAATTCATGCCAGCCTCGAATGGACACTTGAAACTAAAATAATTTTACTTTTAAATTGGCAGCATTTTGTAATCCCAAAGGCTGTCACAAACTCTTTTTTTCCTGGCGAGCTTATTTAATAAAACATACTGTATGTAGATAACATAATCAATATCTTTATAGTCACAATAGCTGATGTATGTAATGTTTATAGTTTTTTTGTGTGTTTTCCTGTTTTTGGCCAAGGAAAGGAGAATCAAATTTAATTTTAAGTAGAGTGAATTCATTTGTCAGGCAGCCACGAAGACAACAAATTACCAGTTATGCATGTACAACTCAACTCAAGATCCTCAGCTATCTTGGTGACTTTATGCAGTGCCTTGAGCTAAAAGACAACATGCTCACAAAGAAAAGAAACATTAAACTGCAATAAACTAATGGGAATGTCATCTTTATTGGTGATAGTGAAGTCTTAAGTGCAAAAATATAACTTTATGAATCCTTATCTTTTTTTACATGCTTTGATGTCACTCATCGAAATGTTTTATAAAAAATGTGTCATAGCTTTTGATACTGAAATCATTTGGCTGATTTAAATTCAGAATTAAATCCATGTCTCATAACTGGTCAGAGGTGAAAGTAGGATAAGGTTCTTGCAGATACTGTACCTGTAGGCTTTGTACAAGAGGAGCACACAAGGTTTATGTCTAAGTATGTTTAAGTTTAACGAGGTGCCGACCCTGATGCCACAGTATCATCATCTGCTGCATCTCTCTTTCTCTTGACCGTATTTTTTTCTCTGCATTTTGTCTTATTTCTGCATTAAGATTGAAGCAGCTGTCTCTGTAAAAGTTCCCTGCAAAGGTTGGGAGGCGGTCCCCTGCGCCTCGGCAACCAGCGTCCAATCAAAAGTGCGCACTGAGCGCGACCATTTGTGAAGTTTGTTTGCGGAAGCAAATACGACTCACTCGCGAGCAGCATGGCCCTCCTGGATTATTACGGTCACAATACAGAGTGCAGACTGACGTGCGGCAACACGGTAAGCAAATGTATTTTACGTACATTTAAGGGGTGAAAGTTTGTGTACCGCTGTGTATCGGCTGTAAACTGCTGTTCTTTGAGGGTCTCTGATAAAGCGCTATAGGGGGACGCCCTCTGCCTCCTCGCTGAGAGAAGCCACCCTGAGAACAGCACACCCTGAGAACGGGCTGCAGTATAGGTCATAAATCCCCCCCTCCACCAGCAAAATTAGAAAATTAGAAATTAATTTCACAGAACATTCATTTTTTCTCCCCCCTGCTTGTGATGTTGACATGTAGTTATTGTAAGACTGGTTTGTGTTGAAGTCCTCTTTTTTTCTGTGCAGCTCCATTTTTAAAAGTTATTAGGGGGATCATGTTTTCTATGATTGACACTTGATACAGCCCATGAGCGTACAAAGATTGCATAGCTCACCCATATGGGGTGCCGTTTGTAAAGCAGCCCATTATAAAAACAACAGCAAGATTTGGTCATATTTAGCAAAACAACAGCAAGATTTAGTCACATTTAGCTTCAAACAGCATTTAAAAAAGTGATGTGAATTTTCGGCAGTCATTTTTTTGCACATTTACAACAACATTTAAATACTAAAACTAAATGTTAAATGTTAAATCTAAATGCTAAATATAAATCTTAAATATATATGTTAAATCTAAATGTTAAATCTAAATCTAAATGTTAAATATAAATCTAAATGTTAAATCTAAATGTTAAATCTAAATGTGTTGGGCGAAACTAAACATTTAGCTAATATGCAAATTCACGGTCGGAAACCGGAAGTGCCAAAATAAAAGCTTCAGAAGACTTTTAGAAAGACTCGAGTTTTCAGTGTTGCTTCTCCGTATGGCGCGGACACTGTACGAACCATAGACTGTATATAAGATACATATATATAGTCTATACATATATACTTATATACAGTCCATGGTTTCTAACCCCGGCTTCCTGCGTCCCAGTCGTCCGCGTTACCCGTATGGCCAAAGCACTTCATGAATAGACAAGGTGCCATGGAGTAGTATGACGTGTGCGCCTGCATGTGTGTGTGCGTGTGTTCGTACAGTGTCCGCGCCATACGGAGAAGCGACACTGAAAACTCGAGTCTTTCCAATAAAGTTTTTGTTGTTGCTGTCGCTATTGTAGGTAGTTATTACCACGAAACGTCACCCCAAGTATTTGTTCCCCCCTTAAATTGGTTTTAATTCGTTTTCTTCGACACAGGAATCATCAATATGACCTTCTGGAGCTTTTATTTTGGCACTTCCGGTTTCCGACCGTGAATTTGCATATTAGCTAAATATTTAGTTTCGCCCAACACATTTAGATGTAACATTTAGATTTAACATTTAGATTTAGATTTAACATTTAGATTTAGATTTAACATTTAGATTTAGATTTAACATTTAGATTTAACATATATATTTAAGATTTATATTTAGCATTTAGATTTAACATTTAACATTTAGTTTTAGTATTTAAATGTTGTTGTAAATGTGCAAAAAAATGACTGCCGAAAATTCACATCACGTTTTTAAATGCTGTTTGAAGCTAAATGTGACTAAATCTTGCTGTTGTTTTGCTAAATGTGACCAAATCTTGCTGTTGTTTTTATAATGGGCTGCTTTACAAACGGCACCCCATACACCCAGGGGATATGCTGTTTGAGCCGAGGGTGATCACAGCGAGTCTCGGTGACTCTCCCGCCAATGTTGGTTTCAGGAAGTGGAAAGTAAACGCGGAATTACGAGAGCTTTGTGGCTTCAAATCTGTATACTGGCGGAAGGCGGAACCAAGTTGTCCATAGTGTATACACTCTATGGGTTAACCCTAACCCTAATCTGATGCATTATTATTATTATTATTATTATGTCTTCCTGGTATGGCGTACTGCTGCGTACCGGCTTACTTTCACTCCTGTAACCCATGTAAATTAACCTAAATTTGCTGCTTCAGAGGCACAAGGTTCAGTCCTGGGCCCATTTGATTTACATTTCACATGAATTGCTGCGGACAAAGTCATAATGTCATAATGTCTTTGCTGACATTCACAGAATCACACCTACTTCTGCTCTAGCTTTTGCAGAAAATTAGCGTGCATTTGATTGAGTTCAAAAGCAGCTTTATCAGCTGTCACAAAAGATATCTCAAACACTGCCCCTCACTTGCTCTCCAGTGTGTGCATGCACCGCCTTTTTGACTGTCGGTTCAAACTTGCTGTCTTTTGGAAAGTCTGTTTGAAAAGTTGGAAAGATTTGACAGCTTGGATGAAGTTCTGACTTATTGTTTGGCTGGAGTTCACTTCTTGCACTTCATTCAGCAGTCATCTAACCCCAAATAACTTTTTCTGCAACAGCTATACATTTCAGCTACTTGTTATTCAGGATCCCACTCAAGCAGAGACACAGACATTCATGCCTACATTCTTGTCCTCTACTCATCCCTGCCTCCTGTAATTCATCAGTCGGATGTATGTGCACATGCAAAATTACTATTATGTTTCCTGTGTCGGCTGCACATGCTGCTGCCTTCTCCCACTCATTGTTTTCAATATCTTCATCTGCCTTTCTTCATCCCCATCCTCTGCCAGATGTCTCTCACAGCTTGTAAATTGATTGATAATACTGTCATTTCCCAAACCGGGGGGGATGGGGGATTCACAATCAAGCTGAGGGGTCCAGGGACGGGAGCAGGTTCTGGATGTGATGTGGCTGCAGCAACCAAACCTATTCTCAGAAGGGCAAATTTGATTGGGGGCGATTTTCATCCCCGACTTCAGGGAGGAAAGGTTTAGGGCTGTTATTGGCTTTGGAATTACTATGGCAACCACTGAGCTGAGTGCTCTCTGAGTGAAGGAATGAGATATGTGTGTGTGTGTGTGTGTGTGTGTGTGTGTGTGTGTGTGTGTGTGTGTGTGTGTGTGTGTGTGCATCTAGTGGGGGGTTGAGTATTACAGTTTAAATTGCCATCCAGTAGGCCTATAATTGTAGCACGCTGTGTTTTTTCCTTTCAGCATTAACCCTCCAACAAAGGAGCAGATTTGCTGTGATGTTAAATCAGTGGCTCTTCCAACACTTGCAGTGTTTGTGTCCACTCTTAAATACTGAATATTTTTCTAGTTTAGTTTGAAAAGAACAAATTTCACAGAGAGACTTACTAAGGGTGTCTTGTCTCACAGGCCAAGTGATATTTTAGGAAAAACTTAAAACACTGATCCAGCCAAAACTGTGATGTTATTTGATAAAAGAGCAGTCTCTTGGTTTAATAATCTTCTTTGCACCTGTTGCTCCCCAAGCAATGTGCAGTAATACCATTAATAACAGTAACTGTTCACTGGTTCAATTAAATCAAATGAACCTGACATTAGATTAATCAGTCACACTCGTCTTTTCCTTCAGCTAAGGTCAAAATGTCCACTGTGACTAAAGCTTCCAGGCTTGAAGTTGGATAAGTGCTGTTGTGGATCTGCTTACTGCTGTCTCTTACAAAACAAAAGACTCCTGCTCCTCTACTACGAACTGACTGTTGTAAAAGAATCAGGAAGGAGTTTGGAGTAGTCACTGCTCCTTCACATAGTAAGAGGGCAGATGAAGAGGTCCAGTATCTGATACAGATGCCTCCAGTCCAGCATCTCCACTGTCAAAATCCTTTTGAGGTGCACCTGACAAACTAGGACCCTTAAAAGTGGGCTGTTGCAAGAATCCCTGCCCAAAAATGAACAGTGTTTAAGTTAACGTGGTGTTGTTTTTTTCAATAGACATGATGGGAGCAGGTTTTCTCAAGGTTCTCTTTGGAGTTGTGCGAAAGATGACGAGATTTCTCTCAATGAAATACTTATATTTAGGCGATTACGTATTTAAACATACTGATAAATATGATATCACATTTCTACCAAGACTGCTCTGCTAAATTTGATAAAGAACAACCCACTGCACCAGTCAATAGTGACACGATATATTTTAATTTTTAGCCAACATTGATAACCTATATAATAATTTTATACCAAAGTCAATACGAATAAGATAACCAATATATAAACCTGAAAACTTGAATGAGTAGCCGGCGATTTTGTGTGCTCCAATCTGTGAAATTACCCAGTCTGGTGTGGAGGGAGAGACCTAGTTAATTATTTCCTCAGCGCCCCCTGGCGGGGCAGTTCCCCATGGGCCCTTAATGCAAAAACAGTACTGAGCATGACTGCTCTCTTCTGCCTCCATAATGATCTGTACAACATACAGTAAGTGCAAGTCTCCACAAAGATAGGAAGAAAGTAGAATGGCTCACTTGCATGTTGCTTGTGCAGAATGCAGATTGACTATTTTTTCATATATTGGTGTGTAACCTGAGACATTACCTGGTAATAACCTGGTTATAACCTGAGACATTACCTGGTAATAACCTGGTTATAACCTGAGACATTACCTGGTAATAACCTGGTTATAACCTGAGACATAACCTGGTTATAACCTGAGACATTACCTGGTAATAACCTGGTTATAACCTGGTTATAACCTAGTTATAACATGAGACATTACCTGGTTATAACCTGGTTATAACCTGGTTATGAACTGAGACATTACCTGGTTATAACCTGGTTATAACCGTAGACATTACCTGGTTATAACCTGGTTATAACCTGAGACATTCCCTGGTTATAACCTGGTTATAACCTGAGACATTACCTGGTTATAACCTGGTTATAACCTGAGACATTACCTGGTTATAACCCGGTAATAACCTAGTTATAACCTGAGACATTACCTGGTTATAACCCGGTTATTACCTGGTTATAACCTGAGACATTACCTGGTTATAACCTGGTTATAACCTGAGACATTACCTGGTTATAACCTGGTTATAACCTGAGACATTACCTGGTTATAACCCGGTAATAACCTAGTTATAACCTGAGACATTACCTGGTTATAACCTGAGACATTACCTGGTTATAACCTGGTTATAACCTGAGGCATTACCTGGTTATAACCTGGTTATAACCTGAGACATTACCTGGTTATAACCTGGTTATAACCTGAGACATTACCTGGTTATAACCTGAGGCATTTCCTTGTTATACCCTGGTTATAACCTGAGACATTACCTGCTTATAACCTGGTAATAACCTGGTAATACCCTAGTTATAACCTGAGACATTACCTGGTTATAACCTGGTTATAACCTGAGACATTACCTGGTTATAACCTGGTAATAACCTAGTTATAACCTGAGACATTACCTGGTTATAACCTAGTAATAACCTGGCAATAACCTAGTCATAACCTGAGACATTACCTGGTTATAACCTGGTTATAACCTGACACATTACCTGGTCATAACCTGGTTATAACCTGAGACATTACCTGGTTATAACCTGGTTATAACCTGAGGCCTTACCTGGTTATAACCTGGTTATAACCTGAGACATTACCTGGTTATAACCTGAGACATTACCTGGTTATAACCTGGTTATAACCTGAGACATTACCTGGTTATAACCTGAGACATTACCTGGTTATAACCTGGGTGTAACCTGAGACAGTACCTGGTTATAACCTGAGACATTCCCTGGTTATAACCTAGTAATAACCTAGTTATAACCCGGGACATTACCTGGTTATAACCTGGTTATAACCTGAGACATTATCTGGTAATAACCTGGTTATAACCTGAGACATTACCTGGTAATAACCTGGTTATAACCTGGTTATAACATGAGACATTACCTGGTAATAACCTGGTTATAAACTGAGACATTACCGAATTATAACCTGGTTATAGCCCGAGACATTACCTGGTTATAACCTGGTAATAACCTAGTTATAAACCGAGACATTACCTGAGACATTACCTGGTTATAACCTGGTAATTACCTGGTAATAACGTAGTTATAACCTGAGACATTACCTGGTTATAACCTGGTTATTACCTGGTTATAACCTGAGACATTACCTGGTTATAACCTGGTAATTACCTAGTTATAACTTGAGACATTACCTGGTAATAACCTGGTTATAACGTGAGACATTACCTGGTAATAACCTGGTAATAACCTGAGACATTACCTGGTTATAACCTGGTAATAACCTGATTATATCCTGGTAGTAACCTGTTAATAACCTGAGACATTACCAGGTAATAACCTGGTAATTACCTAATTATAACCTGAGACATTACCTTGTAATAATAATTACCTGCTAGATGTTTTATTCCTCAAGATTGCTGATTCGCCTCTTTAGCTGTCAATCAAAAAAGGATTTGGCCTCAGACAGCTCATCCAATCATGGATGCAGAAGCTCAGAGTCCAGGCGAAAGTTGGGACCGTCCTCTCGTCATAGAACTCCAGAGAAGCTGAGCGTCCGATGGGCGGGACAAAGCCCAGCATTTATCCAATGAGCGTCTAGTTTTGCTGCTGGAACAACCCACTTTGAGCTTCCACATTGAAGTCAGCAGACTCTGAGCGTCCGGCTGTGTGAAGCGCTGAGGCACTGCGAGGATGAATGAGAACGAAGTTGTGCTGGTTACCTGTGATTATCAGCTTCTTATCACAGTGTCTGAACAAAAGATGAAGGCTTTCTAGCGCGTATTTAGTTAATGAAATGAACACACAGCAGTACGTATTTCACCACTTTTTCTTTTTTTGGGGGGGTGACATTTTAAGGGAAGCTGAGCTTCCCTTGCAGTCTTAGAGCAATCGCCACTGTTCCAGATCTCATGTATCGATCTTTCTTTGTAAATATGGATACATGTTCCTCCAGAACACATAAAATTAAGTGTGGGGTCCCCCAAGGGTCAATTTTAGGCCCACTTCTTTTTAATCTTTACACATTTCCTTTGGGGGATGTCATCAGGAGGCACGGTATCAGTTTCCACAGTTACGCTGATGATACGCAGTTGTACATTGCTGTGTCTCCTGATGACACAGGGCCAGTTGATGCCCTTTTTAACTGCATTTCAGATATTAAGTCATGGATGGCAGATAATTTCCTCCAACTCAACCAGAATAAAACAGAGGTTTTAGTCATTGGTCCTGAAGGCCTGAGAGAGAAACTTTTACCAAAACTACAAGATTTTAAACCCTCACAATGTGTTAAGAACCTGGGCGTTATTGTTGACTCTGAGCTCACTTTTATTCCCCACATTAAGAACATCATGAAGATAGGTTTTTACCATCTCAAGAATATAGCCAGAGTCCGCCCGTTTCTATCTCAGGCCAGCACGGAGGTGCTCATGCATGCTTTTATTTCGAGCCGCCTAGATTATTGTAATGCCCTGCTCTCTGGTCTTCCCAAAAAAAGCATTAGTAGCTTACAACTACTACAAAACTCAGCCGCTCGTGTGCTGACGAGGACCAGAGGGCGGGAGCACATTACACCCGTTTTGAAATCACTGCATTGGCTCCCCGTCCGCTTCAGGTTTTAAGATTCTTTTGCTGGTTTATAAATGTTTTAATGGTCTTGGGCCGTCTTATTTATCTGACCTGCTTTTAGCATATCAGCCCTCGCAGACCCTGAGGTCCTCTGGTACCGGCCTTTTAACTGTCCCACGAACCACGACAAAGACGCACGGTGAGGCTGCCTTCAGCCATTATGGCCCTTACTGGTGGAACAGCCTGCCAGAGACCCTCAGGGCCACACCTTTTTAGTCTGCCGTTTAACTGATCTTATTTAAAACATTATTTTTATCTGTTTTAATCTTTTAGTTCCTAGCGTTTAACTGATTTTGTTTAAAATATCATTTTATTTGTTTTAATCTTTTAGTTCCTAGCGTTTAACTGATTTTATTTAAAACATTATTTTATGTGTTTTAATCTTTTAGTTCCTAGCTCCAGTGTCTCCTCATGCGTTCTTCCTCACCGGGACCCTCGGTACAAAGCCATGATAAAATGCAAAACAACCAAGCACTGTCCTGTGTGTGTATGTTTGTGTGTGGGTGTGTGGGTGGGTGTGCGTGTGCGTGTGTAAGTGATCGTGTATCTGTGTGTGGGCGTTGGAAGGAGGGGTTTTATTTTTATTTATTCTTATCTTATCATTCTGTAAAGCACTTTGTGCTACTCCTATGTATGACAAGTGCTATACAAATAAAATAAATTTGAATTTAGTGAAAGTGGTAAGTTTGGGCCACCCTGCTTAAGGTTGCCACTTGCCAGCAGGCCAGATTTTCCCTGATGGCTGGCAGTTGAATATGCAGAAATGGCCTCTTTGAGTGACAGGTGGAAGCTGTTAGCTGTCTGCTGGCTGTCATATTTAACTGAGTGGCGTTGGAGCGTTTTGGAGACTCTTTGCTGTGTGCTCTGTTGGACTAATAGACCATTTTAGAAGTGTGACACCCAGTTTTTACACCCAGTCAAATTAAAACATTATTCTAATTATATTTTGGTGCTAATAACCAGGTTTCTGAGTCTATGCTCACTGTACCTGATGTGTCTTTAACACATTGCTTTAATTTCTTTTAACAAAATAGTCACCTTCGAGTCTGGACAATTGTTACGGCTGTATGTTGCTTGTGCCTTTTTTCCCCTTTTTGTCTTCTCTAGCTCTGCCCAGGTGATCTTACTGTTTGACAATCAGCCTCACATGGTCCTGAGAGTTTAAAACCCAAGAGCTGCCTGCAGGAAGGAGAGGCATTTAGAGGGGAACAGCTGTAGCCTCTCATTTAGGGAATCCTTGTGTTTTGGTTCTTTGTGTTTTAGTTGTCTTCTTGATTTGTTCTTTAGTTAATCTTTGGTAAAGTTTGGATTTTTCTTTAGATTTTTTAAGATAATATTTGTCATGATTTGATACTAAACTGTTGATGTAGAAAAGCTGATCATTGAATTTCAACAACCTTTGGTGGAACAGTGTGTTTAGCTACCTGCTATCTGTAGCGATTTGCAATGAGCCTCACAAGGCCGCACCAAAATAATACTGTAGCGATTGGAATTTATAATAAATGTCTGAAGATTAATAATCTCAAATTATGACATTTATGCACTCGTTGAAAGGGGCACCACCCACCCTTAATGGTGGGAAAATAAAGAAAAACAAAAGTTTAATTCAGAAATCAAACATCAAGTCAGTTTTAATTAATCAGTCTCATATCTTAAGTCGAAATTCTAATTTCAGGGACTCCACTTCTGGAAGAACACTAACAGTCAAGAACTTAGAAAAATAATGATCTGTTTATTACAGGATAAATGATGGTACAACACACATGCAATAAATGATGATAAGATAATGAGGATAAATAATAATAGGTGAATAAATAAAGATTCTGAGTCAGGCTAGGAGCACTAAAGTTAATGATAGTGAGTGAATATGCGCTAACATATTAACCTACGCTAACTTTGGTGTCGAGATAACTCGGATGTGGATTTGGAGGAATCTAAGATTGCCAGAATAAGTGGATATCTGAGTTATGAACGCAGGAGACAGCATCAGCCCTCTTTGGAGGTTTGCATACTTAAGTGAGACTGGTCCTTGGAGAAGATGGAGCAGGTTCCGAAGGACCGGGCTACTGGCGGTTCGAGCGGTTCAGCTCAGAAGATGACTGAAGTCAGCCGAAGGATGAGCCAGGAGTTGCAGCACTCGGGCCCGAAGCAAAGCCAGCGCCTGTGGATCCTGTGGATGCTCGTTTGGGTACTTCTTTGGTCTCACTCAAAAACTCTGGCACAGAGGATGACCTGGGCCTGCTGGGTTGCGTTCAGAGGTGACTTTGAATCACGCAGATAACTCAGAAAAACGAGACTCGAGCAGAGAAAACTTTCAAAAATGGCTTCGCGAAATTAAAGAAAAATCAATCAAAGGCTTAATCTTGAATTGCTATGTGCACAAAAAGTTGAAGTTTCAAAACTTGAACTAAGACGATGTTAAAGAAAATCAACGTGAATCAACACGTGGCGTAAAACTTAGAAGACTAAGAAAAAGTTCTAAGAGAAAACAAAGAAACGCACCACAGAAGGGTGTGGGCAGAAGAAAAGGGGCATAAGAGCCGGGGACAAGAGCAGAAGCATAAGAGTGAACAAGAGAGTGAGCAACCCCACTTCACTGGTTTTATCTTCTCACACTGGGAGTGTTTCCGGGGTGTGTGTGTGAGGAGAAAGGAGGGGTCGTGGAATCTCTGATTATTTGATCTAACTTATTCTTTTGGCTGGTAAAAGAGTCAGATCTGATACTCACTCACTATGATTAATATCATTGAATGCTAGGTTTCATGATAAATAATTTGATACTAAACACATATGAATGAAGTGTAGGATCACATCAAACATTCTCATTATGTTTTAAGTATCACATTGAACATGCTAAATTACTCTGAAATGAAACAGATAGTAACACATGGAAACTGTGAACAACAAAAGAGTAAACACATGTGAATGAACTTCATCATGATTAATAATGGATTCTAAATACTCACATTCAGATTATTCAATGACATTATAACCACCTAATGGTTAAAAATACTAAATAAACATCTACAATATGAACCAAACATTTCTAAACTGTTTCTGTGTTCATAGAGTAAGTTATGATCCATAGTCAATAAATTTAACTCTTAACAGTTCATGAAACAGTCTGAAAAGCTGTTGGTCTAAAGAAACTAAAGAATAAAGGATTTATTCTATCAGATTGATAACTCGGCTTCTGAAGCACATAGAAAAATGGGAAACATCTCATTTTAACACAAATTTCATGATTAGACAGATTAGTACATTGCTGAATGCATAAGATGTCATGATCAGTCATTTGTATTCTTTCACCAAAGGAATGTAGTCTTTATCAGTGTATGGTCGAGCAGGGTTTTACGACCGAGGTCTGGAGGTCAGTGCCCCCCCTTTTCCTGGGGTCCGTATGTTCACACACTTTAAGACGCTAAATCTCAAATGGGAGATCTGGGTTGAGGTTAATGTTTATTTAGATGGTCAGCGATGGAGTCAGTTTGAAAGGTAATAAAAACTCTGTCTCTGTTCTCCGAATCGACCAATCGTGAAGAGTCAGAGGTTTAGTCAACCTCCGGTTGGGTCACTTATTTAACCTGAAAGTGTAAACGAGTCTGGAAAGATTTATATCCTGTGTCCTGGGACCAGATAAGGAAACTTTCCTGTGAGGAATGTGTGAGATTCACACCCAGGGTTGTCTTGATTGCTACATATCCAATTCTGCTAAAACTCATCAGGTGGTGCGATATCCTGAAACAGCATTAAACAGTTAAAAATTAGTTGTCTGACTAAACTACAAGGTTTATATTGGTGATGGTTCCAACCACAGTAATACCCCCTCTCTAAAGGGCTCAAGGGTCACAAACATATCACAGGGGTTGTGGTATGACTAACACCAGCTGGATTCTGGTACAATCTTCCTCCCAATGTCTTCCACTCTCCCTGCACAGCTGATGTCTATGATAGATGAGCTCCCCTTCTTAAAGAGAATAGGATTGTCTCCTGATAACATCAACTCCTGACATTGTTATAATACCCGAAAGCATTCCTTTTGTAAAAAAAGGACATAAAACACGGCTATAATTAACTATGCTTTATATTATGTGATTAGTAAATTGGCAATATTTGTTCTTCTGCTTGTTAACAAAGAGGCAAAAATGCCTGTTTCAGTTTCAAACTGGGAAACATCATTACAAAATTTAGCTTTCTTTTGCATGCTTAGATATTGGGTCCTGTCTTGCAATCCAGGCACTAGATGCACTAGACCTTGTTGTATTCGATTTTGACATCTAGTATATGTATCTATATGATGATTGCAGGCCAATGGAGAATTTGCCTGGGATTTATGGTTTAGCAGCAAGTTAGACATGAAGATAAATTTTGATCTACAAATAACATTTCTTTGAAATTTTGCAATGGCTCCTCATTTTTTTCAATTATCACAGTACAGCATACAGCAGGTGTACACAAGGAGGTTGGTACTGTGTTTATCACCTGGCTGCAGCAGCATTAATGATCAGGAACTGCTTTGTTGGACTGATCCCCCGTGACCCTGTCATCGCATTCACCCTGTGACCCCCAACCAATAAAATGGGCGACCCTCTGCCTTCATCCTGCAGCTTAACCATGGTGATCACATACACTTCAGCACTAAACTCTGCGAGTGCCGAGCAATGCTGTCAAACCCTCAATGTCACTGTTACCATAACAACCCAGGGGACACTTGCCACGGGTGAGGGGAATGAGAGTGGAGAAGGGGTCTATAAAGGTGTATGTGTTGTCTTTTTTTATGGCACATCAGGTGGTCAGTGTTGCAGAAAAGACATTTTAAAACACTTAGAGTCAGTTGAAGCTTGCAGGAAGTGTGTGTAATGAGCCTTTAGAGGTCAGCTGGTGGAGGGAAAAAAACAGTGGAAACACCTAAAAAAGAATATTTGGTCTCACTTTACTTGACGCCTATCTCTATAACGCATTATAAATATATGTATAATGCGTTATAATCACGTTGTAGTACTGTATAACTATAGTTATAAACACTCATAAATGATCATAATGCTTTATAGCAATAATCATAACACATTATAAAGCATTTTATCATGACTTACAAGGTCAGGTATTATAATGTGTTATGCTTATTGTTATAAAGCCTTGTGATAATTAATGAGTGTTTATAATGATAGTTATACAAGTTTATAAGCAAACTATAACACATCATAAATATATATATAATGTATTATCTATGTGGGCATTGTCAGTGAGTTGTTAACAGTTATAACACATTATAATACCTGACCTTGTAAGTCATGATAAAATGCTTTATAATGTGTTATGATTGTTGCTATAAAGCATTATGATCATTAATGAGTGTTTATAGTTATACAGTGCTATAATGTGATTATAACGCATTATAAATATATTTATAATGCGTTAGAGACAGGCGTCAAGTAAAGTGTTACTGAATATTCTATTTTGAATGTGAGCTCTGTTTTTGCTTATTCTGACCAAGTTATTTTCTTGAAGACAGTATCATTTATATAATCACAGCTTATAATACTGTGAGTGATAAATGCCAATATCATACACAGCCCAGATTTTCAGCGTATGGTCATAAAGATAGAGCTTAAGTTGAAAAATTTTCATAATAGAAGATGTCAATACCATCTTCTCTAAATGCTGTAGCTCAAACCTAATAAACTACTGATCTTTAAATGTGACAGGTGCTTGAATAGTGTCTATAATGAAATGTCATGCTTTGCTCTCCTCATCATGAGGCAGCTCTCCCTCGCTCTCCTGTTTCCTCTTATAACATTCACTTTCTACCAAGACTGAAATAGAGTGTAGTCTATCTTTGGAGAAACTCTGTTTATTATCTTGGGTCAACAGCAGTACACAGCCAGTTTGATTCTTCTGTCAACAACATTGTGCTCTACTGACATTCAGTGAACATTATTAAAACTTTAAAACTTGACCAAAGTTGCAGCGTATAAGACACTGTTAGTTATCACCATATGACTCATTCATCTCACAGTCTGATCACAGTAGGGAACTGCCTGACGTATCTCACATGATTATTATTGTCCTCATAACCCTCCTACGACAGCCCAGCTGCAGTTCTTTTGAAATAATTTCTATTATCTACAACATTTTTGATATTGAGACTTTAATAAATGGATGTTTAACCAGGGTAGACACACGTAGTCAATTGATATGACATATCTCTTAAAACAAAAGTGAAAAAATCCTCTAAAATTCAGTTATCCAAATGTGTAATCATCTTTACACCGGCACATGTTCTGTTCAGATTGGCGAAGTGGGTTACAATCCCCCAATGTTACAGTGTCCTTTAGCTGACGCATTTGTTCACAAGCAAGAGAAGGAAACAACATGAGTAAGAGGCAAAAACAGTTTGAGAGCAATAGGGCATAGTGATGTCCTGCAGTTAATGAGGCTGTGCACTTTTTCCTTTTTTATTCCAAAGTGAATCACCAACCAAAGAAAGCCTCAATGACTCTGTCATCATCGTCACCATCTATTGTCGTCATTATCATTATCATCATCATTACAATCACCATCATCAGTATCAGGTGCACCAAGTACAGAAACATTCACAAAGAGCTGGGCAAAGCGTCTTGAATTGGACGTTATTTCATTCATTCTACCACTGGGGACAACACAGTAGAGTCTGGGCAGTGAGTCTGAGCCTTGTTGTGATGGAAGCCCCAGGCACCTTTCATTGGCAGAGCGTAACGGGTGGGAGGGAGTGTAGACCTGTATGGGGGACTGGAGATAAGCAGGAGCTGGTTAGGTGGCAATTTTGTAGGCAAGAAGGAGGGCTATTTGATGCAGGCTACTGGAGAGAGGTGTACAGTGTGTAGTTTTGGGTTGGTTGAAAACAAGACGGGCTGCTGCTTTTTGGATCATCTGCAGAGGTTTGATTGTGAAATCAAAAGGAGGCCTCTGAGCAAAGTGTTGCAGTAGTCAATGTGTGATATTACGAGGGTCTGTACTGAGAAGTGTTGTGTTTCCTGTTAGGTAAATCTGCAAGACCGAGTAACCAGGGCAACATGAACCTTAAAGGTTAGTTGGTCATCAATCTTGGGACCCAGATTCAGAGCAAGAACATTGTTCATTTGATCCAAGCTGGATACAGATACGTGGTTGTAGAGAGGGACTTGCTGGAATAACAAGCAGCTCAGTTGTGGACAGGTTGAGCTGTATCGATGGTGTTCCTTCATCCATTTCGAAAAAATCACTGAGGCATGATAAGACTCAGGCTGAGGCAGTTGTGTTATCTGGAGAGAATGATAGGAAGAGCCGGGTATCATCTGCATAGCAGCTGAAATTTAATTCCACTTCTCTTACAGCACTGAAACAATCACGTGAAATCTCAAAATCTTCCTGTACTGTGAAGTATCACTCACACACTCACTAGTCAGGTAAAAAAAACTTTTAATTTATCATCTCGATGAGTGTTCTGTTGGGATGATATGATACCTATTGATTAATTCAAATTGGGAATTACTTTAACTTTGTTGACTCATAGATCAGTCCACCAAGATTGTCCTTTCTGACTGTTTCTTATACTCATAGCTGCAAAACTGCTGTCCATTTACACTTTAAATAACAACCAACTCCATGGTTTCAAAATATTTGAGAGAAAGATTAATATAATCCAGTTAACTGATGATATGGTATCAATATGAAAAAGCTGTTCTTATGATTAGAACCCTTTTCCTCTGGCTCAACCTTTAATACTACCAAATTAGAAGTTTAGTTGTTTTGTACCTCAAATTAAAATGATCATTTGCAATATTTCTCTTAAAGTGTAAAAGTTCAAGAATGAAAAATTTAAAAAATTGGTTTTTTATGTGTGGTTACCATGAGCTTTGTATTTATTGGCTCGGATTCCTCAAAGTAAAGAGAACGATGGTGATCGACTTATCATCTGCTGCTCCAAATACCGACAGGTTATACATCGCTTGGTCTCCAGGAACAGACTTTGAGAAACGTATATCTGACTGTCCAGAGTCCCAGCATTAACATTCACACTATGTTGATCAGCTCTGCACAGCCTGAGTAAACATCCAGGGAAGTCAGACAACTAACTGCTCTTTTATGAAAAAGCCTTTGCAGTTTATTTACTAACCAGAATGCACTTTGAGATCTGACTCTTTTTAGTCAGCCCCAATTTCCTGTTAAGGAGACATCAGCAAGAGATTGCTTGTGCTGAGGCGAGCTTTGTTTGTTGTCCGGATTAATCAGTCCTGATAAGAGGAAGGGGGAAAAAATGTTTCTGTTACGGATTAGACGGCATACCTTGAGGTTGCCATAGTGACTGGCAGGCAGCAGACACCTGTGAATTAACATTTGTGCCGCAGCACAGGGATCTTAATTAGTGACGCGGGTCAAAAGCAGAATGGACGCACATTACCCTGGCCCTTTGTCGACTCAGTGTATCTATAAAATCAAAGAGATGAACCGGTGCTATAAAATGAGCCTTTTATGACATTTAAATCAGACTAAAGGGTGAAAGCTGGTAAAACAGATGATTGTCCACAGGTAGATTTTTATTTTTTTGTCTACCCATTTCATTTCTTACATTATTAAAAAACTGACCACACATGCCAGCAACTGAAACCTTGAGAAATTTGTCACAGAATGATTGAAATTTCTGCATGCATTGTTAATTACAGGCCAAAAGAAACCTGTGAGGATTTTCTGACGTTAGTCTTACCATTAAACTCAACAATCTCAGTAGACTCACACCTGATGGACCTAAAAGCTGAAGAAAAGACTTAAAAACACAGCAACCATAGTGTGATGCTTACCTTTTTCTCTTTAAGTCAGTAAAAGCCTATAAAAACCTGTTCTTAAGCTCATTTTTATCTAATCATCTCTTTGAACAAAACTATTTTACAGTTAAACAATGGAACTCTTTTATAATTTGTATGACAATATGGACTTGCTGATTTGGATAACTTAACAAAGGGCTTTGTAGACATGCATTCAAATATTTTCTTTACACAGCTTATCAGTAATATTGAGTTAATTTTTATGGTTTTCCCAAGTTATCCCCTTTATTTATTTTTGTTATATTAAGATAACATGAAAATCAGACACCTTTCTGTTATTTTTAACATGGCAAAGCTTGTGCTGACAGGAGTTGAGCTCTTGAGGAAAAAACTGAAATTCCAAATTTCCCAAGAAAAAAAATTGTCTTTAATGAGGAAAGTTGAGCAAGATCCTGTCTTGCAATCCAGGCAACAGCAGCAAAACAACTCTGAGTTGCAGATCGATAAGTGATGGTGATAGTGGCAACAGTGTAAATGTTGTTGACATTTGCATCATTTCTACTTAAATGTGGTGGACTGCTAAGCTCCGAAGAGAGGTTAAGCTGATTGAGGGCTGAAATGTTTACATGATAATTCCTGCAGGAGTCTCTCATAACGGAAATGTTCAGTTTGATGAAATTTCTAACAAGAAAGTAGGTTAGAAATTCACAGGACCATGTTGTGGGGTGTTCTGTTCAATATCAGTTTTCACTGTAAGAAGGCTGATAAGAATCCTTTACCATGAATTAAACGACTGTTTCTTTTAGCAGTTTAAATAAATCTTTTTTAATTGATGTCAAGCTGTGTTGGCCTATTCACTTTCTCACCAGTAAATGTCATCTCTGCTTGAGTTTAAGATCAACTGCACAATGTGAATGCAGCCTCATAGTTTATAATTGCAAAATAAACATCCTTTGGGTGTTGCGTGACAAACTGTTCCCCAGGATACGGTTTTCAGTCTGCCAACACATTATAAAGTGTTTACTTACCACGTGTGTGCTCACTGTGCTGTGTGTCTAGGTGGAGCAGCACGGGACAGTGATGTTTGGAGAGTTCAGATGAGGACAGGAAAGAAATAACACGACCGCATTGGACAAAAACAATCTGCTGAGAGAGAGAAATGACAACCATGAACCCACAGACCTCTAGTGACCTGTGCTATCTGTAAGGTATTTGGAAAGTTGTTGTTTTTTTTCCATTTTGCCCAGCTTTTGAAGTTGTAAATTTGTACAGGGTACGAGATGCTCTATCATTTCATTAGATTTGGAGAAGATGAACCCCCCCCCAAAACAAGCCCTTTGACATGCAATAAAATTGGCATCTTTACAATACACTGTAGTAGCAGGAAACCGGATCACTACTCCTTCAAAAAGAAGAAACTAGGCTGACAAAAGGAAAAATGAAAGCAACCAAGACAAGGTAGCACAAGAAGAATATAGGTCCAGATTCAAAATGCTGGGAATATGTCAAACACAGCTACACAAACATGAGTAAAAAAGGAGAACAGAATTAAGGCCAACTACAACGCTGAAATGAATCAAAAAAATCAAAAAGCATCAAAAAATAAATCTAATCAATACACTTTTTTCTATCTGCTAAAATGTTTGTTTGTTTTTGTTTTTCTTACTGCACAGTGGGGGATGTGTTCCTCATGTACCAACCCAGTTCATAAAATAGTCACAAAATGTCTCCACATAGACACAAATTTTCTCAAATGTTGTTGAAAACCAACACAGTAAATAATAATAATAATATGCGTCTGCCGAAATAAGTTCCAAATTAAACCTCAACCTGCTAATACTATCAAGAATACTGCAGGAGCTGTCAATCACGAGGCCACACCCCCTTATTATTATAACATCGATTCAAACAGAACTCAAAGAAAATGTTATTTTTAGAGGCAAATGTCATAAGTATTTTAATTGTCCAGTTTGACTCTGGTTCTTTCTGTGAACATGTAGAAGGGTAGACATTACTTACACTGCAGCCAGTCACTTTGGAAAGCTCCAGATGTATGGCTTCTCTTTTGGGGAAGGGTTGTGCTGTCCACCCTGTCTGTGCTTGTAACACACTGGCTATAGTCTTGAGACAACACATCAACATATAATCTGTGAGCAATAAGCGCTCAACCCTTGTGTTGTCCTAGTTATCTGTTTACCTTTACCTTTGTGCCTAATATGATCCGCCCTGATTAAACCTCAAAATAAAGCAGCCTTATTAAATTAAAAACATTTACAAAAATCTCTTACATGAACAACTTTTTTTTTCACGAATACCTGAGTTTTGTATTTAAGAATAAATTTGTACCTTCTTTTAGTACAACACAGCAGTCATAATTCATGTATTCACAGTTCATTAGAATGATTTTCATAATGATGAAGATTATTCATGAATGATTTATGAACGTTATTGTTAAGTGTGATTAATTTTTACAAGTTCCCTAAAGGAAATCTGTGTCTTGAAAACAAAACCACCTCTCTGCAGCTGCTGGGATGTTTTCTTCATCTAAAGATGATGCTATTTTCTGTTAAATCTTCAACTTCCCCTAAAACTTTGTAAACTTGTTCCTGGTCATTTTGAAAAAAAAAAAAAAAAAAAAAAGTTATTCTTAGTTTGACATTGTCTTGCGTACTTGTGGCTTTTGCAAAGAGAGAACTGGATGTACTTCCATGAGCTCCATTTTTAGAGCAAATGACACCACTTTGACGATGTTCTCCAAAGCTTTGAATCAAGGTTTTGTATCATCTAAAATGTAATTTACTTACTTGCACACTTTTCAGTCAGTAGCATCCACATAGCCAATTTCTCTGTCTGCATATGTGTGTGTGTGTGTGTGTGTGTGTGTGTGTGTGTGTGTGTGTGTGTGTGTGTGTGTGTGTGTGTGTGAGAAAGAGAAAGTATTTCTTCACAGTAGGCCTTTTCTTGCTTTCATACCTGTCAGGTAAAAAAAAGGCCTGAAGGATGATGGTTGTGCTCTGCTGGTGTATCCCACTCCATTAATCACTACACAGACTGTTCTCCTGTATTCACCCAAAGCCCACGAAAACTCTGCACCTCATTCCACAAACATAAGCCAGAACAACTCTGACTCCAAACTCATTTAATAGACACTGTCTCAGCACTTATAGTGATTATTTCCGGACATAACAAAGTCATTTTGAGACCTGAATCTATGACCTTATACATCCCATGCACCATTTAATAACCCAAACCATGCATTAGACACTTATCTCACACCTTAGTGCTGCTGTGGTCTTTCAGTGTAAGGGTTGGCCTGAAGTAAGCCAAGACAGGAATATGAGGTATTGTTTCTGAAAGAGAGCCTGTGATGATGATAGGAGCCCTGACATTGTGAGCATGATTACCACAACAAAGACTGTAATTGTCGGAGCAACGGTGAATAGATCCTTCAGAAAATCTGCTATATGCCCCCTTCATCATCTGTAATCGACACACATGATGTGTGACATTAAAGTATATGCAAAGGTACTCATAACAGGTCCGGAAAACATGTTTTGTTTCTAAATAAAGTCCAGAAAGGAACCAGGATAAGCTCTCAGGAGGACAGAAATAAAGAGTTTGATGACGATAATTGTTCAGATGTGTTTGTCTCACTCAGTGTGACGTAGAAGGAAAATTGAAGAGAGAACATAACAAACTAGTTGAGACGAACCTTGATTATTTGTAGGGTGTTATTTCCCCTCTATGGTCTCATGTCTTTCCTTGGGCTCTTATTGAAGAAAATGGAAAGAACTTTGGGTAGTAACGCGTTATTAGTAACCCCGGTACTTTATTCAGTAACTAATAATGTAATTCGTTTTTTTTTTAATTCAGTAACTCCATTTCTGCTACCAAACGCTGCGTTACTCCATTCCTTTTGGTGAGGTTTTACAACAGCACTCAGTTCCCATAACATTTTAGCGATCAGTAAAGTTGAATTGAATTGGAAAAACAAAGCACTTGTCACCCTCTAGCATCACACACGTAATCAAACATGCGCCATGAAGAGGACTGAACAGGTCAGGGCACGGCATGATGGCGAGCGTGAAGGGGAAGATAAGCTTCTCCTCATGGAGATACTTACATTATTTTGAACTCGAGAGCAAAGGGAAAAACAACATTTCGGTAACATGTAAACTATGTCCCGGGTTAAAATTCCTTTTTGCAAACAATATCAACAGCAATCTACTGAAGCACCTAGAGAAGCCGCATGCTTCAACAAAGTTAGCAGCTAAGGTAATGCAGCATCGGCAACCAAGAGTCACAGCAGCGAGTACAAACCCACTCCACCCAAGCAGCAGTGGTTGGAGTTCAAAAGACGGACCCATAGATTTCAGACAACAGCACTCCACCGACTGCTCCACCCTCCTCCTCCATCTGCAGTCATTTTTCAACATCAGTAGCACTGCCCGCTCCTGGTTAAGGTCATACCTCTCAATCAAACAATTCGCCCCCGTCACCAACAACTAGTCTTCCTTCACTGCTCCTTAATCACAAGGCGTCCCCCACTGTGTTCAGAGCTTGGCCCTCTCATTCTCTACATGCTCCCACTTGGTAAACTCAGACAGAAAAACAGTCATTTCCACTCTTACACATGATGTCAAAACCCCCACTGTGTTCAGAGCTTGGCCCTCTCATTCTCTACATGCTCCCACTTGGTAAACTCAGACAGAAAAACAGTCATTTCCACTCTTACACATGATGTCCAAACCCACATTTCCACCAAATCAATCACATCTTCTACTCACACCACACTGACTGACATAGAAAAATAATAATGATAATTATTTGGATTTAAACCCATGTCCCTCAACTATTATGTGACTAATCAAACATTATTATAATCTATCTGAAGTCCCCCTCCAAAACAACCCAAAACTTCCACCTCACTACTGACAATATCACTCGGTCTTTGTCTCCTTACATCTGCAAACTTTATGTCATAGCAACTTCACCTTTTTAACAGGATATTAATCATACCATAAGAATCTTATTTTTACCACCTTAAACCCTGAGCATATCATTATCCATTTGTCTCAACCTCTGCATTTGAAACTTAATTGATATAACATTTATTTAGGTCACATGAAAAGTACAGCGCTGGACTCGCAATGACAGAGCTGCTAGGATCTCCATTTTTGGGAACAATTCACGTTTTTCTTCTTGGGCAGGGATTGCCCTGGACAGAGGTTAGACTTAAACCCAACCAAGTATCATTGGCCAGTTATCTCTAACGTAAACAGGCCAACCACTGTTCACACAGTCTTATGAAAATGTGCCTTGAAATATATGTGTGTGTGTTGTCGGCCTTGAGGTGTGTAACTACTGTAGCAAACCCAGAGCCTCAATTGGGCCCTAAGCAAAATTTGATTTTGAGGCCCTCGATTTCTGCCAATAATATTATTTGTTGATCATTCACACACCTTCACAAATCTCTGATTAACATTCCATGACATTCAAATATAGCTTTATCATGGTGTTTTTCTCCTCTTCCTCTTTCTTCCTCTTTCTTTTCTCTGCTCCTGAAGGATATGTCCTTTTTTGCAACATTGTTTTGCCCAACAACCACCTGTGCTTTGGATGCTCAGTGCACATTGCACAGCAGAAGGCGCAAAACGGTAGCAAAACGGCATCAGCAGCAGCACTAAAATGTTTTTATTTTATTTTTACAAAGATATACCGTATTTGATCATACAGAAACCATCACTCATACATGCAAAAAATATATGTTTTTTTTTATTTCTTTTATTTTTTGATTGCTCTTGGGGCCTTCTATTAGCTGCGGGGCACTAAGCAGGTGCTTAGTTTGCTTATGCCTTGGGCCGGCTCTGAGCAAACCTGTCCAACAGAACAAAGAGAGCCTTGTGGCACATCAGGTTCCTCCTCATCAAGTTAGACGTCATAGTGTTCTGGTTAAATAGCAACAACCTATAAGTAGTGGAAACATTTGTTAAATTGCATGAGTTCAGTGGAAAAGTACAAATCTAACACTAGTAAAGCAAAACACAATTGTAACAGTATCATCCAAAGTCTTCAGTAAACTCCAGTGCATTCAGAATTCAGCTGCCCATCTTCTCACTCACTCCTGCTCCCATGACTACATCACCCCTGTCCTCTTGAACCTCACTGGCCTGTTCCACAACACATTCGGTTCATATTCTTTCTCTTGACTAACAAGTCCCCCATGACCTGGCTCCTCCCTGACCTCACCTACCTGCTAATCTCATATCCCCTCCTGCAGTCTCTGATCCTCTGATGCCGACCTCATAAGGCCAAGCGCTATTGCTGCTCCCTCCCTTGTAAACACTTGTGATTGTACTGACCTACTCACACTCAAACCCCAGATTTTCAGAGTTACTACGAAAATGCAACTTTTTGTTGCTCACTACCAGCTTGTTACCTTGTCTTCAGATGTGACCCCTGCTGACGTAAAGCCCATATCGATTGCAGCTTCCTCTTTATGTAGGCTTTGCTGAACTGTGCTGGTTGTCGACAACTGCATTCAGATACTGGCTCACTTGGCTGCACAACAATAAAACAAATATACATCTGCGTAATGACTGCAACATCACCTCTGAGCTTCTTTATTTAACCTTTTTTAAGGCGTCAGCTACTCCAAAGTTGCTCAGTGGACGCCTTAAATCTCCTGAGTATTTGTTGTTGTGGTTTCAGTAGAAGTTCTTTGCTTTGATGGTTTGCAGCTTGAGCCTTTATAGCTGATAATAATCACTGGGTGAACAGAGATTAGGATGGACTGCACTTTATTGATCTCCCTTTGCTCTCAAAGTTACAGAGCAGAAGATGTTGGCTTGCCTGCTCTGTTAACGCTGTGTAGCTTTTATTTTCAGACAAGCTTCTGACACAAGGAGGGTAAGCACTAAAAGAAGTTCCTGGCTCAGGTTATGGTTGCTGATAGCATTTGGGTATTCCTGATGACAAGGTATGTAGAGTACCTGCACCTTAATATCAACTCCAACACTATTCTACCTCAGTACAGGGAATACAGAAGCTGGTTTCTAGAGTCTTATCTGTGACAGTGCTGAGTGCAGTTGAAATGTTGTTTGTCCTTTGATTTAAAGAAGCAGGTAAAACATTGATTTATGTGTAGTAATCCCTATTTTGATCATTACAATTTCTTTCAGTATTGATCAATTTACAAGGAAACACAACAAAAAAGCAGCAAACCCTCATACTTCAGGTTCAGGGCTAGTGGTATTTCATATAGCAATCAGTATTATTAATCATCATGGTAACACTTTATTTGATGCCTATCCCTATAACGCATATAATTATATATTTAATGCATTATAATCACATTATAGCACTGTATAACTATAGTTATAAACACTCATAAATGATCTGGTATTATAACAACTCACTGACAATGCCCACATAGATCATGCATTATACATATATTTATGATGTGTTATAATTTGCTTATAAACTTGTATAACTATCATTATAAACACTCATTAATTATTATAAGGCTTTATAACAATAAGCATAACACATTATAATACCAGACCTTGTAAGTCATGTTAAAATGCTTTATGATGTGTTATGATTATTGCTATAAAGCATTATGATTATTTATGAGTGTTTATAACTATAGTTATACAGTGTTATAACATGATTATAACGCATTATACATATATTTATAATGCATTATAGAGATAGGCATCAAGTAAAGAGTTACCATGATCAAATATTCCATTTCATGCAATTTAAGCAGTTTTTACTATGTGTACAAACAATATTCATGCAATTTGAGGAACTAAATTATCATCTCACCAATTAACACCATGGCTTTGCTTTTACAATCCTCGACTATTGTTCATTTTAATCTCATCTGCCCTCCCTTTTGTCTCATACCCAGCATCAGCTGATAGCTATTTCATTAAAAATGATGGATCCACTGTATGCCACACTCCACTAAGTCTTTCATTATGTTAATAGTTTTATAACAAACTCGAGGATTTTTACAGCGTGCTGGTTCCTGGCAGACAGAAAACTCCTCCATGCCTCCTCACAGCCGAAGCCAATTTCATGACTTTTAGGCAGAGAATGAGCAGCCCTCTTGCTAAGGGTTTATTTATTCAATCACAGTGGGCCGAAGGCAGAGGGCTTAAACATATTGATTGGTCACAGAGCCGTGAGAGGCACAGATGGGAATCAGACCGCCTGTTTTGGGGGATTAGGTGTGATGGTGGTGATAGCAATGGTCTTCGCTCAATGTGTCTAATTTTTTCTCTCTCCGTCTAGAACACTTTGATTTTTTAAATGTTGCCTTACAGACTAGAGGTCCATCTACAGTGTTTCCCTGCCTCCAGTCCTCTGAGGTAATTAATACACGTATTAATCAATGCCTCTAGTTACATATTTACTCCAGGCACCAGTGGTTAAAATGATCTGGTGGTATTTCAGTTAGTTTCTGCAGAGCTCTTGTCACACCAGCTAGTGTAAAATAAACCTGGAAGGACTGGGAACAGAGAGGGATCAGGACTTTTATGATAATGGTCCTCTGATCTCATGTAAAAAAAAAAACTTGATTTGGTGAAAGGCTAGCACAGCGTGTTATCGTCCGCATAAACCCTGACCACATGTAGAGACAAATGGCCGCACAGTCGGTGCTCATCTGCTTCCTCAGATCACGCTGAGATGATTATCAGTCTGTCTTTGTCTACAAGACTCCTTGAAGAAATTGTGATCCTTGAGAGAAACTCAAATTATAGTTTTGTTCGACTTAATGTGTGCAAAACATGACAATTTATTCTTTATTCTTAATGTGAAAATCATTGTAGGAAGAACAATATCTACCTCAGTCGTTTCCTACTTAATCTTGACCTTAGTCCTGTCAGTTGAGGACACATGTAGTACTTCACACTCTTTGTTTCAAGCTAATCAGGTTGTAGCTTTGGATTTATGTGAGTGATACTGCTCTGTGAGTGAGTTTCTAATACAGATTCTAGCTCCAACAAACCTACAGTTATGAATTTGGTAACTCAAACTCTGTCTTTAAACAGGAAATGCGTTTATCATTGGTTTGACAACACACACTGTCTTTAAACAAGTGCGCAACAAGTGTATATTTGTTAGTATATTTATGCTTATTTGTACATTTGCTTTGTTTACATAGAGTTTTTTTTCCCCTGGTGTATTGAACATAGACTTTATAAAGAATGGACAGCATCTGCCTCCTCGCTGGGTGAAGCCACCGCGAGAACAGCACCCTCTGGTGACGGGCTGCAGTATAGGTCATAAAATCCCGCCTCCTCCAGCAATCCCTATGGAGCTGTGGACAAACTTAAGAAATTTATTACACAGAACACCGCGAAAAAACATGGAAATACCGGGAGCTTTTCGGCTTTAAATCCGTATACTGGCGGAAGACGGAACCAAGTTGTCCATAGTATAGTCCTCAATTCTGAACACTCACAGGATGCAGTTTGACATCCTGAAGTCTGCATTAGAGCCCTCACACACTCACATACTTGCAGGCACCAAAGTCAGCAAGTATGAGTACTGAGTTTGGGATTGGACATAAATGGCACCTCTGTCACATAAGGAAATGCTTTGTAACCATGGAGCTAATCCCCAAACTAACACACCACACCTGTTGTCAAACCCTAAATAAGATCGTCAACAGAGAAATAGACAAAATAGACAACCACTGTTGACTCCCAACATTCTGGGCCATCATATGAGTAAGCTAGCACAAGGTATTACAGGTTGAACAGCTGTTTTGTTACCTGAATACCAGAGAGTGACCATGTTTATTTTGAGCCTAACAACAACATATTGATATGATGATATTTTCAGTTTGGTAACATTTCAAACATTTTTTGAATGCTTACTTTAAAGTACATTAAAGCTGAGCCGGCCTCTGTGATATTAAATGTGAGATCACCTGTTGCTTCTCTGATTTGTCTATGCTACTCCCTCTCAACAGTTCCTTCAGCATGTCTTCTTTTCTTTGTCCTCCTCCTGCCTCCCACTCATTTCTTATCTGATCACATGGTCGCAGGCTGCAGACTTAGGAGGGTGATGTGGGATTAGCTATATATTTGGTTTTCTTTTTTCTGCAGAGCTGAGCTTAGAGCCATGAGCTCCTAAAAATCAGACAGACAAGAAGAGTATAGATTTCCCCCACAGCCTCGCTTAATAAATCTGTCACTCTTCCTTTTGCTCCCACAGTTTGCTTCACTTCACATCCCAGCAGCCTTTTTAAGAGTCTTCTATAATCATAATAAACAGGCTGGTAATTTATAAAACCTTTCACAATTACAAACAACATTGTACAGATGAGCTGACAGAATGGCAGCTGAGTAACACAGATAATGAGCAACACTTAAATTTGGTATTTCATTTCTTATTCATGTCTGTTTTTGGAAGAAGCTCCTTAAATAGGTTTTTTTGTGAGTGTAGTATCAATAAATGACAGTCCTGTTTATTCAGCACCTAGTTGTTAAAAGTCTTCACACTGAAAAAGGCACAATATTAAATTCTCTCTCTACTTAATTTCTGAAACTCTGCTGGATCAACAAGGTTGCACTTAAAATATTTTTCTTGAATTTGGATAAAACTGGGTTGATTTTTGTGTCCTGATCTTATTGATTCATTTTTATCTCTTGCATGTATGAATGCCAATAACAAAAAAATAATAATGATTGAGTCAATACCCTCCACCATATCTGACTTAGATATATTCTTTAAAACATAATAAAAATTAAAGGCTCATATCCAAAAATATGTAAGAAATATTGTATGCTGGATCTTCAACATCATCTAGACTCTAAATCCACAAAATTCCTTCCCTAAGTTTTGGATCGGTGGTTCTCAAAGACCCCAAAATTGATGACAGAGTTATTTGCAGTGTGTTGTGGATGTATGCCCGAAAAAAAGTGTCAAAAAAAAATGTGTACTTATTTTAAGTGATGTAATGTGCTGAGGTAGCAGGCTTGTGTATTCATGCTCAGCACAGCAGGTGGCGATCATACATCTAAACGCTTGTTGTTAACTTTTAGTACAAGCTGATAAGACAAGATATGAAGAACTTTGTTTATCCTCAGGAGGAAATTTGATAATAAGTTTTGGATATTTTTTTAGACATTTTAGCAAAAAGGTTGGTCACTAAAATCGAGCATACACTGACATTTTGGAGTCACATGACTGGTCTGGAAGTTGGGCCGACTTTATGCTTAACCCTGGGTCATTTGTTATGCAGTGTAAGGGGGACGCGAGAAACAATCATAGTCTTGAGTCTTGAACGGGAATATTTTCAGGAATTTAATTTAGGTTTCTGTCACAACACAGCACAGATATTGCTACAGAGCCACCTGAATACATCCTGTTTTCAGTATCATTTCCCTTTTCCTGTTCTCTTACAGATGACATTTTCAAACACTACGTTATTTCATTTAGTTTCATCGATATGCTGAAGACCCTCAGCTTTATTTGTCCTGTAAATGACCCAATCTTGCTAAGGTACCTTCCTGCTTCATCTCCTTACTGACTTTGCACACACTTATAGACGAGTTGTGCCTGATTTCTGCAACTTGTTGTACCCGCTGCTCAGAGTTATGTCGAAGTAACGTAAGACCTGAAACTGACACTAGTGATCATGTTAAATTGTTAGCTCTGCTGTTTTTACCACTGTAAGGAAATGCAATCAGACCGAGACGCTAAGGCAGAAGAACTACCGCGTCTGCAGTGCAAAATGACTAATATGATGATTATTACTTCAAGGAAATGATGAAGTAATGATCATAAATGTTCTTCTTTGAGCTGCGTCACCCCGCTGTAGTCCGTAATGGACTGGCCTGAGGTCTCGCTACAAACAAGGGCTGCTGGAAGAGAGTGGGTGAGTTGTTTAGTCGCTTTGCTAAAGAAACCAGGCAAAGCTAAAAAAGATGTTTGGTGGCTAGTACTGTGGCTAGGACCCTATATGTACTGTTGATGAAGTTAGGTGCTGTTCTGAGCATTATTTGTGGCTATAGAGTGGCTTTTTGGTTGAGGTTTGTTTATGGCTCTTCACACCGCTGTGTATTGCTATCGTGTGGTCGTTACTAAAGTTGGTATAACTAGAGAGGTAAGAGGTCGTCAACATTCATCTCTTGAGGGGGGTGTCTAACTCTGTGTTATGGTGTGTTTGACCCTAAATTAATTTTATACTGGAATATCCTTTTAACTGCTTTTGCATTCAGTTTGTTTTTGTCAACACAAACTTTTCTTCTTTCATTTCAACCGAACATTTTTATTACACCTCACAGAACTGGGTAAAGGCACATTTTGACACTTACAAATAAAACCATCCAGCTTTCATTCCACGTACACAGATGTGATAGTACACATCATTCTCAGATGTTGTTTATCTTCTATAAAATAGATTATCATGTTTGCAAAAGGGTGAAGGTCTCATTCAATATATTTCTGACCTCCCATGATATTTTTGATGCTCAAAACCAGAGGCAAAAATTCTCTTAACAAATGCCAAGAAGTGAATATTGGTTTGCCTATTTACAGATGAAAATAGAGTAGTAAAGCATCTTTCATTTTCACATCATAGTTTTTACACTTTGACACCTCAACATTATCAAGAATTCAGATTTTAGTGTTTATTCCATTAATACCCCCTTTAAAACTATGGAGGTAAGAATAAGCTACAAAGGACTTGAAGCTTGCTGTCTGGGGTCATTGAGAACCCTTCTGGTAGGCTTTATGATCACACAGTCTGACCTTTTGTCTTTTCCCCGTGTTTGTAGAGAGAAGCATGTTTTGTGTTTTTGCTCCTTATTGTAGGGCGTCTAAGCTTTTGTGCTTCAGACAAGGGAGAGAAATCAGTTTTGTTGGCCCATGTCACCACAGGGTGATACCTAGTGCGTGTTTTCTTTTCAGTGCATTTGATGGCGACACATGTGGACATTAGCAGAGAGCGAACTCGGGCATGATCTGTTATGTTGCAGAGAACTGGGGACCCAGTGGAAACTCTGTAACAATAGAGTCTAACTCCGCCATCAAAGAGTGTTAAACTCTGTAACCTTTCACAACAAAACCACTTTAGAGATGAGGGAGAAGCAATTTGTTTCAAATATTAAAAACATGTAGGTCAAAACCCTTTCTACTTTTTCACAGAACAAACACACACCTACAAACAAGCTAGCTTTGAGCATCCTGTTTTTACCTCTGCAGACGCCAAAAAGTAATACCAGAGAATGAGAGAGAGATTGTGTTAGCTTTGTGGGGATGTAAAATTAGCAACAACAGCCACAACCTTGTTTAATTAACACAGATGGGATTATTGTCTTTGTGTTAAGGATAAGCACTGTGCAACATTCACGTAACTGTTATGAGGATAAGTCCAGGTTGCAACATAGTGGAAACTCTCTTCAAAAGGGGACTATACACACCCTGTGTGCCCAGGCTCATAAGAAAAAGGGTCAGAAGCGTACACTTAACTCCACTCTACTTGCAAATGGTTTGAAGCAGAAACCACATCACGAGTTAAAAGCCAACACAGCAGTGCTCCTCCGTCTTCAGTTCAACACCTGAAGTTACAGCTCAATGAAAACCTGCAGGCAGATTTTTTATTGCAGTCTCGTACTCGTTTTTCTCCACATCCTCACTCTGTTTTTTTCAGTGTCCCCTCAGCCTCTCTGCCCCTCACAGGGTGCATCAACATTTACTGTGCGTGGTTTCTCAAGCTCAACCTTGTGTTATCATGTTTTTGCTCTCTACCCCCCATCGCTTCACCCAGAACACTCTCTATTTTAGGTGTGTGAATTAACACACACGTACACACACCTCTACATCCTCACGCTTTGTCACTGCTAAAAGGTGCCTCTTGTGTGTTGAGTTGAAATCAGACTCATTTGCACACAAGCTGTCGTCATGGTTACAGCAGGTCAGGATTTTAGTTTAAATATAATACCAGGGCAACTTAAATGAGGAGCTAACAAAAAATAATGTGTCATCAGACGGAACAAAATTGCAACCAGTTGAACCTCTCATAAAGCGGGTTTCAGTCGTAATGACTCGCCATATCGACCCTCTACGTTTTTTGTAAACAGTATGAAGTTTTATTTATTTTTGAGTGGGGCTTTAATCTAAGCGAAAAAAGGAAATTCATATATATATATATATATATATTTATTTATTTATATCAGTTGATATATTACATGTTTTTGGAAACTGATAAACCACAAGAGGAGATTTTTATCATTTATCGGACTGTATTCAGTTGTTTGTTTGTTTGTTTTGTAATTTGTTGATTATATTGATTTGATAGAAGTATCATAAAAGTATGTCTCAAATATCACACAAAAGACATTAAAGGGTTAACTTACTTTCCTGTCATTAAGGCTAACATCAGCTCTTATAACAAAAAAACCCTTATAACAGAAATCCCATGTTCCTCAAGATGCCTCCACGATTTCTGATCAGAATAAATGAAGAACGAATATACATCCATCCATTTAAATTTGGTCATATTTCCCCAAATGTTGACATTCTCTATTGTGAATTTTTACACCTATTACTTTTTTTTAGTTCTCCTACCGTGAGACATTCACTTTTCCCAAATCAGCCTATTTTTATCAATTTGAAATAACTTTTTCAGATTGACGCAGACCATCAAAGTTATTTCCATAGGTTAATTTGCTTGTGAGCTTCCAAACTGTGTGAGTCATCCGAGCCTGCTCCCTTGAACCAAGCAGCAGATCTGACATCCTGTTTACGACAAGCCAGGGACAGCTTTCCTCCTGAAAACCTGCCAGTAATGGGGGTGAACAAAGAACCAGGAAAACCAGCATATCCCAGTACCAACTCCTGAGAGACATGGTAATTTATGAAGTACAAAAGAATTCAGTCCGATGTTGGTCAATCACCAATCCTGACTGAACTGTTTCAAACTGAAATATTGAAATTCATCCTTCAAGACCTCTGCTCTGACAGTGAAGTGAAAACATTTGATCCACAGATTCAAGGTCTCTGTGTTTCGTGGCAGGGCGCGGGGTGTCTGCTCAGGGTATAATTACACAGATAGATGAATATAAGGGTGTAATTACCTTGAGAGACAGTTCACTGCATTGGAGCCCAACTAAAGAGTGTGTATATGTGGCTAAATTAAGGGGTTGGAACAGCAGCACAGTAACCTGTTCACATTAGTGTAGGTGCAGAGTGGGGGGCGATTTAGATATTGTACACTAATGGGTGGAGGATGTGGATGAGCCCGACCTTTAAATTTGGATCTAGAGACCTGACGAGGATGCTGATGTACATCATAGAAGCTGTTATACAAGTACTAGCAGATGTTTTCATGTCTACTGCTTGAAATGTTGGAGAATATACTGACTCAGTACAACAGGGAGTGGATGATAAGAAGGCACAGTATAACCATCTATGAGTTTAATATGAAGGTACGACCTGTTAGCTGTTACAGTGAAGCAGTTCAAGCTCTTATGGGAAATCTAACAATTTTAAGGGTTCAAAAACTATAAAAAGTAAAATGATGAGCCTGAGAGGTGCAAGCAGGATAACATTGGTGTTTTTCTGACAGCATAGTCTTCATTTTTATTAAGTAACATAACTTACACACAGTAAAATCAAGCTCCATATTTGCTGTATGTCCCTGTCTCTCAACACTTGTGGTTAGCTGCAAAGTTTTTCATGGGAATTATGGTAACACTTAACCTGACGCCTATCTCTATAACACATTATAAATATATGTATACTGTGTTATAATCATGTTATAACACTGTATAACTATAGTTATAAATGCTCATAAATGATCATAATGCTTTATAGCAATAATCATAGCGCAATATAAAGCAATTTATCATGACTTACAAGGTCAGGTATTATAATGTGTTATGCTTATTGTATAAAGCCTTATGATAATTAATGAGTGTTTATAATGATAGTTTATAAGCAAATTATAACACATCATAAATATATGTATAATAAATGTATTATCAATGTGGGCTTTGTCAGTGAGTTGTTCACAGTTATAACACATTATAATACCTGACCTTGTAAGTCATGATGAAATACTTTATTGCTATAAAGCATTATGATCATTTATTAGCGTTTATAACTATAGTAATACAGTGCTATAACATGATTATAATACATTATACATATATTTGTAATGCTTCAAAGAGATAGGCGTCAAGTAAAGTGTTACTGGAATTTTAACTTCATGTTACAGCCACATTGAAAGTGGAAAACTTTGGTTCAGTCAGAAATATGTAGGTGTTTGGCCTTCTTTGTTACCATCTCATCAGCAAAAGGTTTTTTTGTTGTTTAAATCCAACTCTAACCAACCATAAAGGTAGACAACAAGCTACAACCTGTTTTCATCAGGCTGAACACTTCTCATTGTCCTTAATTCACAACCAGCACTGACTCAATTGTGCAAAAATAACACAAATCCTCAATATCTTTGCCCAGGATTATCAATCAAATCTTCCTGCACATTAATGCACAATCTCCTCTGAGTTTTTCTCCAACAAGAACAAGAATAATCATGTTTTATTTTTTTCCTGCAAGCAACATTATAGCTCATGATTATCAATGCAGAAGCAGATGAAGAACACAAAAATGACAATGACAAGTATCCTCCACCGTAGGACATGTTGAGAACAAGCAATGTAGATACTGTTGGACGTTTATACAAAAAGACAAACAGAGATGAAGAGGGGACTTTTGGGTAAGTATTGAAATCTAATCACAACCTTTTAAAGCAAGACATTATGGAGCACTTACCGGGGACAAATAACACTGTAATAACATTTCCCCAGCAGCTCTGGATGACTTGCAGGGATATGCCCAGGTATAGTGTGTATTTCTTTATCTGTGTGTAAACTTAAGCTTAAGGTGCATTATGTAACCGTATTGTGTAATTTTATTTGATAATGTCCTGATAATCACCTGGGTGCTGCTGGCATAATCTTGCCAAAGCAAATCATAAAAGCTTGTTTTATTGATATATGTGAGTGTAGCATGTATTTATGTTGAGACCCAAAATGAACCGAAGCATTAAAGCACATATTTCATTTTCCATCATTACCCCACTCACACCTGTCACTACTTTCTCACCATGCTTTAATTGCTCTCGGCACTGCCAGCAAAAACAATGGCACATTTTAATTAAGGACAAAGAGAAGCCAAGACCATAGTTGATAAGTTTATGTGAGTGATCTTTATTGTACAAATGTTAAATAATGAGCTCCAGGTCTTATATTTGCAGTCCCCAAACATCAGGTGTTTAAAAAGGGGTTGCAGCTGCCGTTTGAATCTCCCCGCAGCAAAGAAACCTCCGCCTACAGCGCTGTGCAAATGAGCCCAGGTAAACAAGCAGGCTTTGGGAAACAAAAAACTAACTGAAAACTCAAGTTCAGAGACACTGCTGAAGGAAATGTAATCCAACTGTGACCACAAAGGTGCCTCATCAATCCAGATATCATCCTCTGTCTAAATTTGCTGGAGGCTGAGGTCTTAACTGTGTTTACCTGGCAGAGGCACATCAGATTGGCTCCTGTTTCCTATCCTGCTACTTATCAGCATCGTGCAGACCTATGTGAGCAACTTAGAGCAGCTTTCAGGGATTATTGAGCTTAGTTTTGCCCAGAGAATAATCAACATGTAAATACGATATTGAATCAGACCTGTTGATATATTACATTAATATACTTTCATAAATACACAACATCTCTTTGTGAGCTTAAAAGTTTCCGCTGTCAGGGCTGAAAAGTTTAAATTACTTTCGTTTTTATTGCCTCAGATGGGGTCTCC